TCTGGTGATACCATGAGTGAGTATATCAATTTTTATTCAAATATTTTAAAAACTAAATTTCCAGAATTAGTTAGGATTAATTCTAATTAAAATACCTTCTCATAAGGTTATTAATTTATACTGAAAATATATAGAACCACCTATTGAAACAATAAATTCCAGTATTTATTTTAATTTTACAAATAGTATTTTTCTAATAAATTAATCTTTAAATAGTTTTATCATATGTTAGTAAATTCTAAAAAGTTCGATCAATAACTCCTGATTAGTGTTGATACGTTAAAGGAGGCAATCCTGAATACTTTTCTTTGATAATTAAATTGATTTGAATTTTTTGTAAGATTTTTGTGTTTATAGATAATTATAAATCAATTAGTTTATGAATATTTGAATGCCCTAAAGAACTTTTCAACATAATTCTTAAGAGAAAATTATAATAAATTTCTTTCGTTTTCTTAGGCAATTATAACTCATTAATTGCAATTTATTAACAGCTGATCAATTTATTTAACCTAATCAAAATTTTTATTTTTGATTTGAACTTTAAGTATTGATTGAAAAAAAAGAGAGCAGTGTGACGGTGAATTTTAAATTTTGTTCTATAGAATTTATAATTTAGTTTTTTATTTTATATATTTTTTATTGATGTGTTTATAAAGTAATATTTATTAGAAAATAAAGAATAAACTCAAAAGTACTCATCTCTTTATATAAATAATGAAACTTATACCAATAATTACACAAATAAAATGAATAATTTTTTTTAAATAGAAAGATAATTGTTGAATGAAAAATTTTTCCAAAAAAATGGAATTAATATTCATAAATGATGGTTCTAGAGCTATTAAATAGAATTTTCTAAGAGTAAGTTTTCTTTAATTAACTCTCCCAATACTTTCTTTTGACAATCAAAAAATTATGAATCTTCTGAATTTTGAATTAATTCTTATTTTTGTTATTAATCTGTTTAACCAAGAATTTTAATAATTTCATGTAAGGTTTGCTTATCTTAGTTCCATAATCGAGTATCTTTCAATTTTATTAGTTATTCATATTCTTTAGGGTATTTTTTTAATTGGTCATCAAAGGATTAAATCATTTTATTCAATACCTAATTATACTTTTCTTATAATTTAGTAATGAATCCAATAGCTGAATAAAATATTGATTACCTTTATAATCTTTTTTCACACTGATCTTTAATGTATTCATTCCATTTTTCGTCAGCTCTCTTCAAAGATATTGTATGAGCAACAGCCTTATTACCTCTAGTTAATAGATCTTATGCACATTCAACACATAAAAAAGGATTTGTTTATTCAAATTCTGTTTGATCTAAATTAAATATAATAATCTCCATTTTATGACTTTCGCAAATAAACTTTAAAGCTGGAGTTCTCTTTTGTTTATCATCCATATGTAAATTAATTGAGCATGTCTATTCTATAGTCGTTATTTCTTTGTCTACATCTTGCAATTATTCAAAATTTTCAAATTAATACATTATTTTTTTAATTTCAACTTAAAAATTCTGTAATTTCCTTATAATCTATATTGGGAGAATGACTTGCTATTTTATCATCCTCCTAGTAACAACTTGACAACAATTTAATATCATCTGTGATAGCAGATTCTTGTACTGATTGTAATTTTTTCTATTCATTATTTATTTATGAATCTAGCTGCTTCTTTAAATCCTCGAACTTGGTCTAATATTCTCCTTATATCAATTTTATCACCTCCGATAGTTTTTAAAAACTCTCCTTTGTTTATTGACGTGTTTGAAATGCACTCTTTTTTAACTCTTCGTTCATAGATTTTGCCTTATTTTTTGCTTCATCGTATAGAACAATCTTTTTAGTTCCAATTTTCTCAATTAAACATTTCACACAATAATAGTATTTCTTTTAATCATTTTCTATATTAAATTCCTCCGAAAGGTCAATAGCTACAATTTACAACCCTTTATGGTCATTTCTAATGCATTCCTTTACTCCTTCTTCTTTTTATATCATTTCTTAATTATTGAATATATATCGATTCAAATTCTATTATTTATAATAAATAATAAAATCAAAAATTTATGGAATTCACAAAAAATTTTTTTGAACTTTTGTTTAGATTTTCAACTGATAAGCCATTCTTAATTATAAGTTAATGAAGTCCTTGAAGAGGAGCATAATGAAAATAAAACATAGATAATGATACTAAATAAATAATATGCAGTCATTTGTATATTCATTCTGATGGACTCTTAAAATAATAAATAGATGAATATTTTGTTATTATTATTATAGAAAATAGAAAAAATGATGATAAGTTAATGTAACTAAAATCCCTGATTATAATAAATTAATTAATATAATAGTAGGATATTCAAATTATATAATAGGAAGGGCATTTTGATTTAAATTGTTAAATAAAACTGATTTTATAATTTGATATGATTGATTATAAATAATATTTCAAACAAATGTTAACATGATAACTTCGCATATTTTGATATTTGGCTCAGGTTATCCAAATAGGCGATTTTTTACATTAGGTATATTATATTGATTACATTAATATGATACACCTAATCGTGATGATCCAGATTAAAAGCCTGAATTTATAAAAAGATCACTTTAACCAAAAACTAATAGATCTTTTGTACAATAAATTGCTTTTGATTTATCTGATATAGGATAGAATTCGTTGTTGGTTTAAGAAAATAAAAATGATTATGCTTGTTCATCTATTTGATATGCTCCACTTTATATCAAACATTAACAAGGACTAAATGCACCAAAAATATATTCAGAATATGACTTAAATACAAACAATAAATTAGACATTTTATCTATGCTTTTGTTAAAAATATCTGTATATAACCCCTGATTCTTTGAAGAATATAACAAATATTTATTTTTTATTTTTTAATTAGTTCTTTTCTCTAAGTATTAATATAATTGAGATGCGTAATCTTTGGTTAATAATGAAGTGTCTCCTTTTACAAAAGAATGTTTTCCTATTTTATAAAGTTATTCTAATTCTCCAATTTTATCAGAAAGCCAATCAAAATCTTTAAACTTAGCTTTTGCTGACAATAATTAATCATTATAATTTTCAACAAGTTCTTAGTATTTCTTCAACTCCTATTTTTTCTAATTATCTTATAATAATAATTCATCTAATTATAATTAGGTCCTTTACAGTTCATCGATCTTCTTAAAGCTTTCCAATTTAGTTTAGTTTTCTTAGAATAATTTATACCATTTTTATTAATTCAAAAGTGCTTCATTTTGATTTTCCAAATCTTATTATTACAACTTTGTAAGTTTTCCTTTTTGTTATAATTCCTGTTCTTCTTTTTTGAAAGAACTTAAAGAGTTAAATGACATTTCAAAGAATGATAAATATAAATCTTGAATAGTTGATTTTTTAAGAAATTCTACTAATTCTTATTCATTTTCTGAATCATTTGATCTTTTTGGTTCTAAATAATTATAATATTATACATGTATCAAAGTTTTACAGCCACTAAATTTAATTTTCAACAAGTAAGTTTTCTTTAATTAATTCATCTAATACTTTCTTTTGACTATTGTAAAATTTTGAATCTTCTTAATTTGAAATTTATTCTTACTTTTTTTATTAATCTGTTTAACCAAGAATTTTAATAATTTCATAAAGACTTTGTTTCTTTTAATTCTATAATCTAGTATCTTTCAATTTCATAATTTATTCGTATTCCTTTGGTTCTTTCTTTAACTGGTCATTTGAAGATTAAATCATTTTATTCAATTCCTAATTATACTTTTCTTATAATTTTTTAATGAGTCCAATAGCTTAATTAAGTCTTGATTACCTTTATAATCTTTTTTCACACTGATCTTTAATGTATTCATTCCATTTTTCTTCAGCCTTTTTTAATGATATAACATTAAAAACAGCATTATTACCTCTTGTTATAAGATCTTATGTGCATTCAACACACAACAAAGGATTTGTTTTTTCAAGATCTGTTTGATTTAAATTAAACATAATAATCTCCATCTTATGATTTTCACACATCAAATTTAACGCTGGAGTTCTCTAAAAATAAATTATATACTTACTTTTATTTTTTCATCAATTAGTAAGTCATTGTAGCATTGCTATTCAAATTTCATTTTCTCTTGGTCTGCTTCTTGCAATTTTTCAAAATTTTCTAATTATGACAATAATGTTTATATTTAGATTATGGAATCGGTAATTTTAGTATAATCTATAATGGGGGAATGTCTTGCAAGCCCACCATCCTCTTAATAAAAAGCCGAAACAAGCTCTAAATCTGAGTTTGTAGTGGTAATCTCTATAATTGATATCAATTTTTTCTATTAATTATTAATTTGTATTTCTAACTATTTCTTCAATTCTTCAAATTGTGTTAAACCAATTTGCTCTATTGATTTGACTGCTAATATTAGTTTTTAATTTCTCTCTAACAGTTAGACTGCATTCTTTTTTAACTCTTCAGATTTAGCCTTATTTTTTGCTTCATCATCATATGGAACAATCTTTTTAACTCCAATTTTGTCAATTAAACATTTAACACAATAATATTTTTTTTGATGATTTTCTTTATTTAATTCCTCTGAAAGTTCAACGGCGACGATTTAACAACCCTTATGATCATTTTTAATGCATTCCTTTTCAATTCCTTCTTCTTATATCATTTATTAATTTATTTAATCATTTATTTACAGTTCTTGGTAATTATAAAAATTGATTAATAGAAATTAAAAATAGAATAAGAATTCTATATTGATTCTTCATTTAAGAAATATTAATTTGGTAGAAAATTTACAAGATGTCAAAGAATAATCAAATTTTACCATTTAATGACAAGAACTGAATTAAAAGTATGGAATAAATGTACATCATAATATATACATATTATTGAAATAAAACTAAATTGATTTATTCAGCTCTCCAATATATCTAAAATATTTTTATATAACTTGAACCTTTAATTATTAAAATTATCTTTAATAAAACTTTGCTTTTACATTAGTATTTCAAGAAAATATAATGATTTTTATACTATAGGCTTGAAATATGTGTTTGGAAATTTACTAATGATCAGTTTTTCAAAGTTTTGGTAAATTTAGAACGTAGAAAGAAACAAATACATGACATGTTAGGAGAAACAAGAGAATTAAGTAAATTTCTTATATTGAGGTACATTTGTTTTCTATTGTATTGATTTAAAAGGCCATTATATATAACTTGGTAAAATAAATTAATGGTAGGATTAGAAATGAATGAATAAAACACCTCTAAGCTGTAGCCAAAATTCTGTTTATTATTCGTTTAACCCATCAATTTTTTTGCTTAATCTTTTTCGTTGATTTATAGTTTATTTATTTAGAAAAGTTATTTTTATTGGTATTAAATAAAAATCTCAGAAATTTTCGGATTCTAATTTGACAATTTTAGTTTAATAAATTTTAGGAAAATCGCCTATTATCTCAAAAAAAATTAAGAAAAAACTATTATTAAATTTATATGGAAAGCGAACAGGTAATTTATTAAATGACAAAATTTAGTAAGAGAATCGCTCACCTTTGTTGAAATAAAGATTTGAGCCCTTTTCAATTGAAGAAACAAAAGAAAATGTCGTAATTGAATAGGAAGACAAGTTTGATCAATTCAAGGACTTTGTGTTCGGAATATAAATACAAAAGTGCCAGAGAGATGTGTACTTGGATGGGAAAGTGAATCCAATTAATAAATAGAACAATTTCATAAAAAACTCAAAATACAATGCATTTACATTTTTACCCTTAGTTTTGTTTGAACAATTCCATTAATTTATAAACTTATTTTATTTAGGTTTAACAATAACTTAATGCATAAGTTTCTTAAAAGTTGGTATAATCACATGCTATTAAAGGATTTTTAATTGATTATTTAGGACCACTTGCTTTGGTAGTTGCAATATCTTTACTGAAGGAATTGTACGACGACATTCAAAGACACATGAGGGATCACCAAATAAATAATTATGAATACGGATTAATAACAGAAAATGGAATTCAAAAAATTACTAGTGGGAACATTAAAGTAGGCCAAATAGTAGAAGTTAAATGTAATGAGAGAATACCTGCAGATTTACTAGTATTATATGCTGAGTAAAAAGAGAAAAATATTATTTAAGTGATGAATAAGGAAACGTCTTTATTAGAACTGATTAACTCGATGGTGAGACTGATTGGAAATTACGAAAAGCAGTAAAAGCAACTTAAAATTTGATTAAAAATGGGGCAGATCCTAGTTCATTGATATCCTAAAATAGTTATGCTACATGTCAGGAACCTATAGCAAACATCTATTAATTTTCTGGGTTGTTCAATTATAGATATCAAAAGGAATCCTTATCCTTAGAACATGTAATGTGGGCAAACACAGTTCTTGCAACAGGCAGGATATATGGATTAGTAATATTGAATGGTAAGGAAACACGAATGGCAATGAATAGTAAGACTCCAAAAACAAAATTTGGTATTCTTGATGGTACATAAATAAATATAAATTCTAGATGAAATAAATTGGTTAAGCTTTTTGTTATTCGTTATGATGTCTATAATGGCAGGGATAGTTACTGCTTTTAGTGGTTAACCAGCAACAGCCAGCGTTGTTACAGTAGCATATATAAGATACTTAGTTTTGCTGAGTAATATTATACCTGTAAAGATTTCATTCAAATATAGATATCTATGAGAGTAAACTTAGAATTTGCCAAATTAGTTTATTCATATAAGATAAATATTGACCCATAAATTGAAGGAACCATAACGAGGAATTCAAATATCCCAGAATCACTAGGCAGAATTCAATATTTATTAAGTGACAAAACAGGCACTTTGACCTAAAATGATATGATCTTTAAAAAATTATCTTTGGCTTCAGCTCAATTTTCAGAGGAAGACAAAGAAGAAATGAAAAAAATACTCATTGAATAATGCAAATTAAATGAATACCCTTTATAGGATGTAGTAAACTTTTTGAATAAAAATAACTCTAAATTAAGACTAAAAAGAGAAAGAGATTAAGTGTTTAGAGATTTAATGTTTGCATTATGTTTGTGTCATAACGTGACTCCTATATACGATGGAGAGAATCCAAAGACCTTTTAAGCTTCATCTCCTGATGAAATTGCACTTGTGAAGATAGCAGAAGAAATAGGAATTGAATTATTATCAAGAGATTAGATTCAAATTACAATAAAGGATTGCATATAAAGGAAACAAAAGTATGAAATCTTAAACAACTTCCCATTTTCAAGTGAGACAAAAAGAATGGGCATCATCTTATATAATAGAGAAGCAGATAGATATATATTCTATGTAAAAGGAGCAGATGCAGTAATGAAATCATTGGTCTAAGAACATTAAAGAGGATTCATAGATGAGGAATGTGAGAACTTAGCAAGAGAAGGGTTTAGAACACTTGTGATCACTTAAAAATTACTTACAAAATAAGAATATGAAAATTGGAAGATGAAATTTGATTAGGCAAATGAGTAAATAGAAAATAGGGAAACCTCAATTTAGAAGGCAATTTCATTGTTAGAAAAAGATATGGAATTTCTAGGCATTACTGGTGTAGAAGACAAATTACAAGAAGATGTTTGTTCTACTTTGGAAAATGTTAGAAATGCAGGTGTAAATGTGTGGATGTTAACAGGAGATAAGATTGAAACTGCAATATGTATAGCAATATCTAGTGGAATAAAGTCACCAACCTAATAGATATTTTTAATCAAGGAGACTTCCGACCCTGAGAAATTTTAATAACAAATTAATACATTTGGTGTTGATACTAATAATCATTTACTCGTAATTGATGGAACTAGTTTAAATACTGCTCTAACATATTTTGAGGAATTATTTTTCACTATTGCCACTAAGAGTTTATCAGTAGTTTGTTGTCGTTGTTCTCCAACTCAAAAAGCATAAGTTACAGAGTGCATCAAGTTCTATACGAAGAAGGTAGTTGCATGTATTGGGTATGATATCATAATTATAATCAAATTAGAGATGGAGGAAATGACGTTGGTATGATTTAATCAGCAGATGTTGGAATTGGAATTGAAGGTAAAGAAGGGAAATAGGCTGCATTGGCATCTGATTTTTCGATAATCAAATTCAAATATTTGAATGTTCTCTTACTCTGGCATGGAAGATTATCATACAAAAGGAGTGCCTTATTATCATAATTTGTTATTCATAGAGGATTAATCATTTCAGTTATTCAAGCTGTTTTTATGTTTGTGTTCTACTTTTTGTCTATCAGCATCTTTAGTGGCGGATTATTACTTGGTTATTCTACAATTTACACGTATCTATATTTATTAAAGGCTAGAATGTTTCCAGTATTTTCAATTATATTTGATGAAGATGTTGACATTAAAATAGCACTTTAATATCCTCCACTTTATAGGTCTTTACAGAAAGGTAGAGATCTCAATGCCAAGACATTTATGGTTTGGGTTTGGAAATCTATATTCCAGGGAGTTATAATTATGATTTTGGCTCTGGCTATGTTTAAGAATATCTTCTTGGAAATTGAAACTGTAGCTTTTACAGCCCTTATTTTTAATCAATATGCTCTAACATTGAGTGAAGTAATTTTAGAGTGTAATATTTTAGTTGCATTCTTTGCACATTGTAATGATCATATCGAATATTGCATCTGCCTTCATATATATTTTGTCCATCATGTGGTTCCCAAATCAACTATTGGTTTCAGCTATGACTTTTTAATTCTTCTTTTATGTCATTGTAATTGTATTGGTCAGTTGGTCACCTTGTTTTTTAGCCTAAAAGATATTAAAGAAATATGATCCATCTGACTATGAAAAGATCATGGCAAATGTAAAAAGAGAATTAATCAATACCAAAATTTTTAAGTGATTGTTAAAATCTTATCTAATTTAACACAAATTGTTGTTTATTAAACATTTATACATCTTTATAATTTAATGACAAAATATTAGAATAAAATATAAAAATTATAACTGTTTTTAAACAAAACTCACTCTTAATTATTTTATCAGGTTTAAGAATTAAATTCTATGATATATTTTTAGTTAACAAGAAATAGAATCATTCTATTTTATTATTAATTTTACGAAGGAATCTTTTTAATTATTTACTAAAATAATAATAATAACTAATTCTAAAAGTGTTAGAAATGACATAATAACTGTCTCATTAGTGGGCTGGGATGGTTCAGAAATAAATGGCTGAAAAAGTACTAAATGAGAATCAATAAAAATATGATTAATAGTAGAGGAAGCAAAGATACAAGGAAGAATTGGAAACAGACATGAAATTGAAATAATAATAAAAAATAATTTAACATCAATAAGACTAGCATTTAGAATCTTAGATGTTAGAAACTCTTAGGTAGAGAGAATCTAAGAAATTAAAAGAAATGGAACAAAGAAAAATTAAACAAATTGAAACTAGTTTAGACAATCTCAATCATTTATTAATTCGAAAAAAAATGAACTAAGAGAGGTCATATCAGAGTTTATTACTCGAATAAGAGGATATCAAGTAAGAGAAATTAAAAGAGATTAAAAGTTTAGAAAGAATCAAAATTCTCAAAGATGAAGAATCAAGAAAACTACGCGAAAATTATGATTCTGTCATCCAACAAAAATTGAACCAGAAGTAACAAATCAAATCAAAGTTATTAAAAGTATAAGAAACTGATCCCGATCAATTGGCTCAAGCTTAGAGAGGAGATGCATAATCTTACTAAAATGAATTAAACAAGTAATTGGAGGAAAAGAAAAGAAAAATACTGGAAATTCAAGCCAAAAAACAAGAAGAAAGACTAAGAGTGGAATAAAAGATTGCCTTTGAAAAACAGAAGATATTAGAAAACAAATTAAAGGATTACAATATGCATAAACAATATGAAAATGAAAATTATGAATTATCAAACTAAAGGAAATAACTGGGCCACAATCCATCCTTATAATCATACAACATTAAACTAAATGATAATAGTCAATAGAAACTGCCTCAAATTTATTCAGATAATTACTAAGCATAAGAAAGGAATAAATAATTGCATTTGCTTGATTAAGACATGCTAAAATATTAGAAAATGTAATAGCAACTACAACAAGAGTAGACCTATAATCCAAACCAAATTTCAAATCAAATTTTGAAACCGCAGTAACTTGCACAAACACCATTGAAGACACCGCTCTCGTAATCATCAAAACAATCTAAACAATCAAAGAAATCGAAATAGTTCATAAACCCCGTACATCAAGAGGGTCCAGGCTACTCATAAATACATCAAAGTAAAGCCTAAACTCCGAAATCTAAATAATCAAAGAAATCACTACCTCAACCAATTGAGTTTACAGATTCCTCGAACTAGCAATCAAAACCCAAATTCAAAAATTACAATATATTGACAGGAATTCTGCATATATAATGAAATGGTGATGTTTATTATATGCTAATTTAAAAAATTATATCTTTACGAATAATATTGCTTATTAATATAGTTCACATTCTTTTTAAGGATTCCATATGGATTACAATAGTTCTTAAAAATGCTAATTATATTTAGAGAATTTAATTATAAGCAAAATGAAAGAGATAATTAAATTTTATAAAATAATATAAAAATGAAAAAGAAATCAAAGAAACACCATAAAAAGAAACATCATTCCTCATCATCATCTTCATCTTCGAAATCTTCCAAATCTAGATCTAGATCTCGATCTAGATCAGAATCAAAATCGTAGAAATCCAAATCCAATTAATTTAATAAAGAAAAGACTGTTGACTCTGCTATTCAAGATCAGTAATGAATGTAGTAATTAGATCGACTACACGACCGTATAAAGTAAATAAATTTGCCCTTGGATCAATGCTATTTGAAAATCGTAGAACAAATGATAGGATGGATAAGAATGAAGTTTAACATGCCAATACTCAATTAAAGAAAATAGATAAATCAGGGAGGGATGCTATATTATTATCAGCTGCAATAAATACGGTGCAAGAGGACAACAAAAGAGAAGAGTAAGTAGCTTTTCATTTGATTTAGATATTAAATTGAATTAGTAAATGGATAGTATATTAAGATAGCAAAGCCATATAGTTGCGGATTTAGTAATTGTAAGATGAGATTTGTTACTACAGATGAATTAACAAAACATTTAAGAGAACATGATAGAGTGTAATCAATGAAAAACACCCAAAGAGCTTAAAAGTTTATGGAAAACTTATGAAATTTATGTTTTTGTAAAGTCTTAGTAAAAAAACATCAATTAAATATGGTTACATTTTATTGGATAAACTATGGTAGCGCTTGTTAAGTTTATTATAACCATGAGTGATTGTATGCCTGCTTTGCGGTTAATCTTTCTCTGGATAATCTTTTAACTAAACTTTCAATGAACTCTCTCAGCTCCTTGGATGCTGACGACGGTATCAAAAAGCAAGCCTAAATAAGAGTTGTAAAATGTGACTTACAGTTTTCATTAATTCTTGTTAGTGCTCTTTCCATGGAGGTTTACCAAAACATAATTCATATGTTAAGACACCCAAACCCCAAATATCACTTTTTTTGTCGTACATATCTCCTTCCAGGATTTCAGGTGAAGCATAAATGATAGTTCCACATTGCGTTTATCTATAAGCATGAGGAGAGTAGACGCAGAATGAAAAATCAGCAATTTTAGCTTAGCCAAAACTCAAGAGAATATTATCTGGTTTAATATCTCGATGAATAACATCATTATTATGTATATACATTAATGCGAAGGTGATTTAGTGAACATAATTAGAGGCTTCTTTTTCTTGAAATCTTTGATTTTGTTATTTTTAGAGTAGACCGAGCAATTGGCCATGTGAACAGTACTCTAGAACCAAAACGATTTCAGTTTCTAATGAGATAATGAATGAGTTATTACAAGTTTAAAAAAAGGTGTATAATTTAGTGATATTTGGGTGATCAAGTAAATACTGGATTTTTATCTCCCAAGCCAATTAGGCTTCCATGATTTCTTCTATCATTTATTTTTTTTGGATAACTTTTAATGCAACCAAAAATCCAGTTTACAAATGTCTTGCTAGAAACACTTCACTGTATTTGCCATCCCCGAGTTTCTTTATTATTTTAAAATTCTTGAAGCGTTCTTCAGTCTTTTTGGGTGGACTCTGTTATTAAAAGGCTTATTTCTAAGTTAAGAAATACAGTTTACTTATTTAAACTATTCTTTTAAATTTTACATAAGCGGAATTAACGGAATTAATGGTTATCTGTCTATATTTTATTATGATTGATGAAGGGGAATAGTTTTAATTGGAGTAGTGTCTTATTTCTAAGCGATTTTCAATTCTTGTGGTGTTATTTTGGGGGAATTCAAAATAGCTTTGCCATCAGGATCAGTGTTGATATTTTGCAAATTTGAATTGGATTTGAGGTTTGATTCAGGTATCTTGTGTTAAGTGTAATTGGTTCTAGATTTCTGGAGAACCTACTCCACGTATGAGAGTATTTGATTATTATGGTAGGTTTATTGCTGATTTCTAGAATACGGTTTATACGATTAATATGAGTTGTAATTCATTTAATTATTTTAATTAAATAAACACATAATTAATGTTGAATGATTAAAATGCTTGGTATGAGTTCATAGACCCGATTGCCTGGTTCAATATAGAGAGTTGGCTAGGATGGATTATATACTTCTGCTGTTTGATCGCCGCAATGATTTTGGGATATTGGTTGCTGACAGTAATTTTGCATCTATTATTAAGTCATTCATTGTTCCAGATTATGATATCCACTCAAAATTCACGATCTTTTTATTTTGTTTAACCTTTAGTTTGAGTACTATGGCATTGGGGATGTTCATTTTTGAGATCTTCAAGATTGGACAATCATAAACTCGACCAAAATTATGGTCATTCACTTTATTTAGCGACGTTTTATTATTGCTTTACATATTGCCTTCTTTATCATTGATTTTCATATTCCATAGGTGGGGCTTTAACAAATACCCTAAACTATGTAAGTATTCAATCTATTCCTAAAGGCATTGCTGGATTTCTATCTATAATTCTTATAATTTTGTATTTAGTGTAGAAGTTCCATCCCACTAATATAGATTTTAAGCTGGCTTCCCAAATAGATTTCATCACCAACATAGGAACATATATGATAGGAATTCTGTCAGGATTCGGTGCAGTGTATTGTCCTTGGGCATATTTCCAGATGATTAGTTTAGATAGTAAAATCTATATTTAGAATAGTTAACAAGGTGAAATAAGGCAAAAAGGCGATTGTAAGCAACATCTATTTCATTCTTGCGGAAATCGAAAAGTCAGTGGTGAAATTGGTTTTGATCAATGAGCAATATAGACATAAACTGATTGGGGAGGAGAAGCCAACTTTCTTTTGGGCCAGAATAACGAGTTGGTTTAAAAAGACACCTACAGAATCACAGTAAAGAAAAGATTTGAAGGAAGAACTACGTTAATTGAAGGCCATTCACAGTTAATTGTATGATCATTTCAAAGACTACATCGATGAAGAGACCAGGTACTATCAATCAAAATCTTTTTATGGCAAATTCCTTAAGAGATTGGCATGGATTGTATTGATTTATTGTATTTACAAAATGATAATGAGTACAATCAATGCAATTTGGGGAAGGAAGAAGTCAATAGATCCAATCAGTAGGATTTTAAAAGTTATCTTGCCATTTTTTGGATTTGAATTGGATCAAATCACTTATGAGACTCTTGCTATGTATGGGACATTCATTTTTATGGGTTACTTGATGTTCAGCAATGTTAGATCATTCTCCTTGAACTTAGTTAACATCTTCAATACTTTTATGGGCATGGCAGTTCTACAGAAATTACCTTATGAAATTATGGTGCTATTTATTGCAGAGGTGTTTGGAGTGTATCTTTTATCAACAGTTATTTTATTGCAAACAAGCTTACCAGATAGCTTCATATCTAATCTGAAAGAATATTCTTAAGGTATTGAAATATTAAGCCACTATGAAAAAATTGATAAATTATTTTTATTAAGTGGTTTTATAAGTACATTAATAATATATGCAAATTATCATAGAAGAAAATCGAAATTAGAAAACTTTGAGAAATCAGATTTGAAATTACGGGATTGAATTTTGTAATATATCTGCTGTATTTTATTCATTTAATTATCAGTTCTTCAATATAACCATGTTTTCAATAGCCTTCTTCGTTATTGTTTCATCCTTAAACAAATCGTGTTGCAAAGCCTTCTCAATTGGAATTCTCTTCTCCAACTTATTCAGCAAGTCCTTGAAGTTTGGAGATAGCTGCTATCCTCTAATTATATACATCAATAATTTGTATAGTAAGTAGGAATCTACAGATTCATCAAACATCTACCCTGTGCTTGCCTCAGGACAAGCAAACTCCGATAACTTTTGTCTATTATACAACTTGAATGAATAAGTGGAATAACTGAAATTGCAAATGGCCACCTTCTCAATCGAATCTGGTTCTTGTTTATTTGGAAGAACTCCTATTTAATTTGGATTCAAACAAACTATAATCACTCCCATCATATGAACGTAATGGAAGATCACCAACAACTATTTGGCTATCAATCTGATTTGGAATTCTAATTAAATCACAAGTGTCATACCACTTAATTGTTTTATTTGGGATAGATATTCATCAAGAGTAAATGGGATGTTTTCACAAATTTAATGAATTGTTGTTGTATTTTCAAATTGGATTTCATGACATTTGATAACTCCCTTAAAATTTGACACTGAATCGTGAATAATCAAATTTGAAATAGAACTATTGTCTAATTTAAATTATTGAATGGATAGTTTCAATCCCAAAGATTTGTTAACGCATTCAATATGCTATTTGTTATTATTATTTAAAATTTGATATTTCTAAGAATAGGGACAATAAAGTTAATGCAATTCCAACTGAGTATCAAAAAACAGTTAAACCTCCAGCTTCAATTTATCACATTTAATTGCAATTCCAAATTTATTCACATATTATTGCTTAGGGATTTCCTGTATGATTGAGTAAGCTAAAGGGATGATTTCTTATTATTATATGATTCAATACCAATGATGTCCTGATGTTCTGATCCGTAAAGAATAAGCAATTTATTTTCAATCAATTAAAATTTTCTTTTGACAAAGGCATTTGTATTGGATTTCTACCATACAAATTTCTCCTCCAAGTCCAACTGATTGAACCACAAATTGATAAATAGGGATTGCTGAAGATATTAAATCACTTTTTCACTTATCAACCATTTGTAATATTATTCCTCTGTTTGGGGACAATAATGATCCAAGTAATCCAAGATCAACTTTTGATGATTTATATTCTCATCATCAAAATTGGCTTTCTTTATTGGAGATACATTATTATTATTATTGTCTATGCCAGATAGGTCCAATGACTAATTCGCCAAGTCAATCTCTGGCTCTTATTCCATTTCGATTTCAGACTCATCAAAACACGAGTATTGTTCATTAAAAACCTCTTCTTTGTTGATCATATTCTTTTTTAAAAAAGCTTCATCAGATTATATTATTTAGTAAAACAAGGGCTTAGGCAAATTGCTCAACTTGATGGATATTTAGCATATGTTACTGCTAATTTGAAATTTTGTTTGTTTATGGGAAATAATTGGGCGAATACTTGCTGATCCTAATGCACCTAACCTAAAAAAGAATATAATGATTTATATATTACTTAAAAACGATAGAAGTTTGCCATCACATTTCTGATAAATCCAGTGATTCCTACAAGTTTAATAATGTCATATACCATGCGCCCTATTTAGTTATAAATATACCTAAAGATTAAAAATTAAAAACATCTCTTCACTGCTTTGAACTTAGATGATATTAACCATATCTTATACTTAATTGCAGAACTTTAAATTTGTCATATTCTTTCATTTGATACCTATTTTACGCTTATTCTTATTTTCCAAATAGACATCCCATAATATTAATAAATAGTTGTTAAATTAATGCTTCGGTCTGCTTTATATGAAATAGCTCATGATTACATAATCATAGGAGAAGATAGCTTGTAAATTCAAGAAACTGAAAACTATTAGCCAAATCGAACTCCCCTGTCAACTAAATAAGAAAATGTGGTTGATCCCTTCTAAAACTTCTCCAATCTTCTTCAGGCATAAAAACAAAAGAAATAAACAAGAAGAGCCTTGATTTCCATTGACACCAACTTCAACACTATCTCAGGCTCTCCTGAAAAAAATTAAAATGTTGTTAACTGTAGCTCAAAACATAAATCCACTTATTCATCCCCAAAAAATGTTGTCTTCTATGACAGACAAATTCGGTGGTTGAATTAAGTAAAATAAACCATCAAAGTAAAGGAAGTCATACAACAACAGAGATAAAGTGTGGAGTGTCCATTTAAACCAAAGAAATGTCCAACTTCCTTGCCTTAAACTACAAAAAACTAAAATAACAAACCTAAAAAAATGAGGAAAGATTCATATTCAACAATTCATTTATTAAAACAGAAGCTCTACTGAATTTTTACTATATATAAATATTTTTTATTATTATAAATTTTATTTGCTCATTGATTAAGGTATTTTTGGATGTTAAGTTCAGAATTAGCTATAGCTTGAAGAAGGTACTAAATATAGAATGGAAAATAATAGAAAAATTAAATTAAGAAACAGCTAAAAGATAATTGAAAATTAAAGATATGAATTGGCATCCTTATGATATATTGGCAGACGAAAACTTGGATGAAAATATATTCATTTTTGAGCATTATACATATTGTATTGTATCTATAACAATTACATTTTGAAATAGAAAAGATTCATTAACGTTTCAAGGTTATTTTTTCTAAGGAAGTATAACTCGTTATTAATTTTGTAACATAACATTTTTTGTAAACACTGAAATTTCATCCAAACTCCTTTTTGATAATGCATCAATAGATTATCGAAACTTACCTTTTTAAGATTTCTCATCACTCTTTTTATCTTGTTAATAGTCCTCAGATGTATTGAAAGCCAATTATTTTCTAATTAAGATCTTTTTAATTAGTCTTTCAACCTGGAGATTGTTGGTTTCGATTTCCTCTAGAATGGTTAGACAAACCTTTGCGTTTAGTCTCGACTGTGGATTAGATTCCAGCATATATGGAAGAAGAATCTATATATTTATTAATGATCATACGAACAATTAATCCATTTTATTTGAATTGCATTCTGGATGTTGCAATTACTTTTTTAATTCAAAAACTCCTTGCTTGTTTGATTAGTATATAGTCTATTTGCTCTATTTTGTAGTAAATAGATTCTCCCCAGTCAACCTTTGAGTTAAAATGTGATCTCATACAATTTAAACAGAACACATCCAAGGCTATAGATGTCTGCTTTCTCATCGTAGGGTTTGTCCTTATTGAAGTTAATGATCTCTGGAGCCATATATCCAGGGGTTCCTGAAGAGGGAAATATTAACTAATTTCTAACCTTTCTGGCCAAGCCAAAGTCAATCAGCTTTACAGTTTCGGCTTTCATTATATTCAAAGGGTTGATATCTCTGTGCATTATACCCTTATTGTGAATGTATATAATTGCCTCCAATAATTCCTAAGACTCTATCCATATCTTACTTTCATGATCTTTATCGATTCATTAACCGAGAGTCCGTAATTTCTACTCTACAATTCTGTATACAAAGTCTTCCCGTTTATGTATTCCATCACGATATAATAGTTTTGTTGATCCACATAGGTTTCCTTCAATTTAACAATGCTAGGATGCTATAATTAGTTCAATAGACTGAGCTCATGTATTAGTTGAGGCTTAGGGTTTAAGAATTAAATACAATTGCTCCATCATTTTGGGTTATTTTCATCTTGTCTACTTTCTTGATTGCGAAATACTCCTCGCTGTTTTCTGTGGATATACACCGATATACTGATCCAGTCATTCCGCTGCCTATTTCCATATGGAATTAGTAGAAGGTGGACACTGGACTGAAAAATACTTTCCCAGCAAGCATCTCTTTGAGTAGATTCAACTTTTGTCCATAGACCTCTTTCAATCTGCCGTTATATGAAAATTCAAAAGCCACTATCCTCTTATTCTCACATATCCACTTTATCGTAGTTGTTAAATTCGTTTTTAAATTGTATTTTGGAGTTTTAGTCAGATCCTAGTTTGAAGATCAACTTACATCAGTCATAACCAATTCATCAGCAAATAAATATAATTGGTACACTTTGTCCTTGAAGAAGTGTTTCCGTATCACTTGTACATTAAATAATGCTTTGTCATAAGATTACATTTTAATTCATAAAAATCATGATTTCAATATGAAGAATTAAACTGCTAAAATGATATTGAATATCAGGGAAACCATTGTATTCAAGGATGGGCTTTCAAATTACCAATAGACTACTATATTAGCAGGTTAAAACTAAAGAAAACTATTTAAAATCTTATGTCACAAGTTTAAGTATTTTAAACTAACAATAATATTATTAAATGGAAGGGAATCAAATAACAATTATAAATTGAAATTATTTGATGTCAATATAATGAGACTTCGATTAATCACATTTTAATATTGAAACGTAGATTGATGAAATAGGGGGAATGTATATATAATGATATATTTGAAAAACAATAACATTTTATTATTATTATTATTTTACCAATTAATTAGTTAATTTTTTAAATATGAATAAATGGGTTAATGTATATAAGTGAGGAATCACTCAATACAAAGTGATAGTATAAAATAAAATAATGGGAATTTTAATTTGAATTATTTAAAATAATTATATTCTATGGCTTCATAAGTATAAAATAATAAGGATTATAACCATCTACTAACAATTTGGAATGATTATTTCAACAAACCTGCTAAAGAAACAATCGATCTCCAAGACAATGTTCATAATATGATAATCTTATTTTACAAATTATTCCAAGAAAATGATTCAATAATTGAATATCAACATACTCCAAATTTGATTGAATGCAAGATTGACATCCAACAATTATTCAAACTCATTGATGATGGTGAACAACTTCAAAGTTTATTCATAAATGACCCTCAGGATTGGATTAACTCAATTTCATTGGCAATTTCAAGTTTAAATAATAACAAAAAAGTGATTTGCCGACTTCATAATATTCCCTTATCAAAAAAATTAGCCTCACAAGATATTGGCAAATATATAGCAATCATGGGAACCATCATTACAACTGGTTCATCGAAATTATTATTAGAGAGAGCCTGTTTTGTTTGTATTTCATGCGATGAATATGAAAGTAATTAAATAAAATAAAATTAGAATATTATGTTAATTCAGATGGGTCTATTCCAAAGGTGAATCAATGTAATAAATGCGGGAGTTCTAATACTATGAAGCTAGATAGGAATAGAAGTGATGCTGTATTATACTAGAAAATCAAACTGAATGAATTGTAAATAGAAGTGGAATTGAGAGATCTCTATGTGAATTGTTTTATGTCAGGAGATGAGATAATAGTCCATGGGATAGTGAAGACAATCCAAGATGAACAAAAGAGTTCTCTGTATGTCAAATACATACAAGCCTATCATGTTAAACATGAATAAATTAATGAAAGCTTTACAAGACATGAAATCAAGACAGTCAATGATCTGGCCAAAAGTGGAGAGTTGTTTTATGCTTTGATTAATAACTTCTGTCCAAGTATTTATGGACATGAGATTGTAAAAGCTGGGTTACTTTTGTCTCTAGTAGGAGGTAGTACTTGTAACAGAAATGCCTCACATTGTTTATTGGTAGGTGATCCTGGCTAAGGAAAGAGTCAGTTATTGAAATTTGCTCATTTACTTTCAACTCGTTCGATATACGTTTCAGGCACTGCTGTCTCACAATGCGGTTTAACTTGTTCAGTCAATCATAAGAATGATGATACTATTATAGATGCTGGTGCATTAGTATTGGCTGATAATGGAGTTTGTTGTTTGGATGAAATTGATAAAATGTAGAGTCAACATTATGCTTTGTTGGAAGCAATGGAACAGCAAACGATCACTTTAGCAAAAAGTGCTGTTATGTGTTAATTCTATGCTAGAACTACTATCATAGCAACTGCCAATCCAGCATAAGGTCATTTTAATAAAACTAAATCACTAATCGAAAACTTGAAAATTTAAAATACGTTGTTATCTAGATTTGATTTGATTTACCTGTTGATAGATGAACCAGATATGGAAAGAGATTAGAAGTTGTCTGAACATATCATGAATTTTCATAATATGAAAACTTCAAGAATCAAATTCAATAATACTGATGATGTGAAAACTCCCAATGCCTATAGAACTTTAAATGAACGTTTACACTCCAATCAAATTAATTAAGAATTGCCATATCAATTGATGAAGAAGATTATTGCCCATGTAAAAAATATTAAATCGGTGCTTACTTTAGGAGCCTAAAAGCTTATAGCTTCTTATTACTTGAAAATTAGACAAACTGCATTTGGAATGCCAATTACAAGTAGATAATTAGAATCACTTATTCGATTGTCTCAAGCAAAGGCTAAATTATGCTTGAGATAAGAAGTAACTGAAGAAGATGCACAATTTGCAATTGACATTTTTGAAGAAAGCAGATTCGATTGTTTTATCAGTGGATTGGGCAATCAATCGACTAACAAAAAGGGTTAAGCCAGTTCGATCAACAATTCCAAAAACATTGGTACCTTATCAAAACCCAAGCAAACTTAAATCTTCTTGGATGAATTGCATAAGGTTTCATTGTAGAAGGATTCCTATGAATTTTCAATGGAGGAATTGAAGAACACTGCCAGAAAGATAAATCTATAAGTTGGAGATTTAGGTGATTTCATAAGCAAATTAAATTATGACTGCATGCTCATCATGAGAGGAAACAATGTTTATGAATTAAACTACAAAAGATGATCTGATTGAAGTATAATATTAATTAATTATATATATAAATTAATCAATATGAATTAAGAAATTCAAGTCGAATAAAGAGTTTCATTATATGACATTGTTAAGGAGAAAAGAGAAGAAAAACAAGTGCCGATTAGTAGAATGGTTTATGCTACTTATTTTAGTGAAAGTGCTATTCAAAAAATCGACGTTGAATAAGTTTTGACGAAATAAGTTATATTATCCTTTGATTTTAGATTAAAGAGTTGAGTGACACTCAAGGTTAAATCTCAGGCTTTCTCTTAATTCGAGGTCTCTTTAGTTTACATCTAGTCGAAACTCAATCACATGTAATGAATCTTTGGATGCGCAATCTGTATACTGAGTATAGAAAGGAAAAGAACATCTATAGCATGATTAATATTGTTACTGTGAATGAGGACAACCCTACAAGGTGTTTTGACAGGTGGTATTGTGAAAACTTATTCTAAACTGGCCCACAATTGTCAGACATGGATAAAACTGAAGCCTAGTGTTAAGAGAGAGTTTGGGAATTGTATTAACAAGTATGTAATGCTGGAATTAAACACAGTGCAAAAACTTAAAAAGACAAATAACAAAATAAAATAGCAAACGATGTCCCAATCAATTTAGATGATATTAACATGTTGCTGCACAAAAGATTTATGTCCATTGAGGAATATAATGAACTGTATCTAGGGGATATCAAAATTGAATTAGAATAAGAAAAAGTCTATCCATAAACATTACCATTAACAAGAGCATTAGAATATAAAGATTTAGGAGAATGAGTAAAATATTTCCAATTATTATTAACTATAAATTATGTCCATTTTAATTTCTACAAGCTTTCTATGTATATTTATTGATTTGTCTCTATCCAATTTAACAGTATTTTTATTCTCAATATTTGAATATTCTTATTCATAATTAATAATTAATAAGCAATAAGAATAAGAATAAAAAATTATAATTTTCAACAAAGCCAGAGAAATTAAAACTCATTTGATTGGTATAAATAAGTTACTTTAATTCAACATCATTATATAAAACAGGATAATGAATTATTAAATGATATTCTATAAAGAAGTGCAAACAAATTTAACTTAATTGCCTAAATCATTCAATATGTATAAGATTCTTTTTCATTAATAACATGGAATCAATTACCTTAAATTTTTTGCTATAATTCAATTCATTTATTGATTTTTGGAGGATTAATATAATTTATAATTTTAAATTATTCTATTAATAAATATAGAATCACTTTCTTATCTGATTCAGTTAAATTAAGACTTTTAGGTGACCTTATATTTGGTCACAACTTAATTTTATCCATTATATGGGTTTTAATAATTGGTTTAAGATACCTTATAAGTATTCTAAATTCTTTAAGAGTCATAATCGCTTTCATTTTATCTGTAAACCACTTGTTCTTTATCTTTAATGGATACTTTAAATTTGTTATCACTAGATTTTATTTTTACTTGTTGACTCGTCCCCTAAGAAATCTAAAATATTATTACATGATTTTAGTAAAGTGCCATTTAATTAGATTGGATTTTTTCATCATGTTACGAATTATCTGAACAATCAAATGGATCAGAACAATAAAGAGACATATCAATCAATCTTAGGTAATAATTTTTTTAATGAAAAAACCAATAAAATCATAATTATTTAAAGAGAAAAAATATTCTATTGTGTTTGAAAATATATATTATCATAATATGAAAAAATCTTAATTTTATATTAAATAGCTCATTTATTGCTTCCTTAAATTTCTCAATTATGGATCTAATTCCAAAATTTGTTAATATTAAGATGGAATTAATTAACCAGACAAATTCTGTTTCTAAAACATTATATTATTTTGGATGAAGGCTCACAATAAATTCGATGATGATAATTGTTTTCTGCTCTAAGGATAACAGCGGCAAATATTGGTATTCATGAAATTAACAAGTTTCCTAATTTTGCGATTCTATACATATAATAATTTCTTTCGTACTTTAGTGACAACTTTGAGATTAATTGTTTGGATTAATTAGATAAATTATTTAAACTTATATTTGAATCAATTAAACCTTCAATATTATTATTATTTTGGATTCTGAAAATTGAGAAGTAATAATTCATTTCTATCTGATCTATTATCTTATTAAAAGTTGCATAAGACAAATTATTAGATCTTCAAATTATATAAAACCTTCTAAAGTAGTCTACATACCAGAACTCTAAAAATTGATTCAATTTTATTTTAGGGATAAAATTGAAATTCTATCATTCTATATATTTTTGCAATTCTATTAATCAAATTTAATAACTAACAAGAACAATAAAAAATGAATAAATAAATTAAGAAATGATAAAGGAAGAAGGAGTTGTAAAGGAATGCATTAAAAATGACCATAAAGGTTGTTAAATTCTTGCTGTGGACCTTTCAGAGGAATTTAATAAAGAAAATGATTAAAAGAAATACTATTGTGTGAAATGCTTAATTGAGAAAATTGGAACTAAAAAAATTATTCTTTATGAAGAAGCAAAAAATAAGGGAAAATTTGTGAATGAAGAGTTAAAAAAGAATACAGTCCAAAAACATTAATAAACAAAGGAGAGTTTTTAAAAACTATCTGAGGTGATAAAATTGATATAAGGAGAATATTAGACCAAGTTCGAGGATTTAAAGAAGCAGCTAGATGCATAAATAAATAATGAATAGAAAAAATTACAATCAGTACAAGAATCTGCTATCACAGACGATATTAAATTGTTGTCAAGTTGTTACTAGGAAGATGGTAAAATAGCAAGTCCTTCTCCCAATATAGATTATAAGGAAATTACAGAATTTTTAATTGAAATAAAAAAAATAATTTATTAATTTTGAAAATTTTGAATAATTGCAAGATGTAGACAAAGAAATAATGACTATAGAATAGACATGCTCAATTAATTTACTGATGGATGATAAACAAAAGAGAACTCCAGCTTTAAATTTTATTTGCGAAAGTCATAAAATGGAGATTATTATGTTTAATTTAAATCAAATAGAATTTGAATAAACAAACCCTTTTTTATGTGTTGAATGTGCATAAGATCTATTAACTAGAGGTAATAAGGCTGTTGCTAATACAATATCTTTGAAGAAGGCTGACGAAAAATGGAATGAATACATTAAAGATCAGTGTGAAAAAAGATTATAAAGGTAATCAAGACTTAATTAAGCTATTGGACTCATTAAGAAATTATAAGAAAAGTATAATTAGGAATTGAATAAAATGATTTAATCTTTAAATGACCAGTTAAAGAAAGAACCAAAGGAATACGAATAAATTATGAAATTGAAAGATACTCGATTATAGAATTAAAAGAAACAAAGTCTTTATGAAATTATTAAAATTCTTGGTTAAACAGATTAATAAAAAAAGTAAGAATAAATTTCAAATTAAGAAGATTCAAAATTTTACAATAGTCAAAAGAAAGTATTAGATGAATTAATTAAAGAAAACTTACTTGTTGAAAATTAAATTTAGTGGCTGTAAAACTTTGATACATGTATAATATTATATTTATTTAGAACCAAAAAGATCAAATGATTCAGAAAATGAATAAGAATTAGTAGAATTTCTTAAAAAATCAACTATTCAAGATTTATATTTATCATTCTTTGAAATGTCATTTAACTCTTTAAGTTCTTTCAAAAAAGAAGAACAGGAATTATAACAAAAAGGAAAACTTACAAAGTTGTAATAATAAGATTTGGAAAATCAAAATGAAGCACTTTTGAATTAATAAAAATGGTATAAATTATTCTAAGAAAACTAAACTAAATTGGAAAGCTTTAAGAAGATCGATGAACTGTAAAGGACCTAATTATAATTAGATGAATTATTATTATAAGATAATTAGAATAAATAAAAGTTAAAGGAATAAGAAGAACTTGTTGAAAAATCGAATGAATAATTATTGTAAGCAAAAGCTAAGATTAAAGATATTGATTGGCTTTCTGATAAAATTGAAGAATTAGAATAAATATATAAGATAAGAAACCATTCCTTTGTAAAAGGAGAAATATCATTATTAACCAAAGATTACGCATCTGAATTATATTAATACTTAGAGAAAAGAACTAATAAAAAAATAAAAAATAAATATTTGTTGTATTCTTCAAAGAATTAGGGCTTATATACAGATATTTTTATCAAAAGCATAGATAAAATGTCTAATTTATTGTTTGTATTTAAGTCATAATCTGAATCCATTTTTGGTGGGTTTAGTCCTTGTTAATTTTTAATATAAAGTGGAGCATATCAAATAGATGAACAAGCATAATCATTTTTATTTTCTTAAACCAACAAAGAATTTTATCCTATTCAAGATAAATCAAAAGCAATTTATTTTACAAAAGATCTATTCGCCTTTGGGTTAAATGATCTCTATATAAATTCAGGCTTTTAATCTGGATCATCACAATTAGGTGTATCATATTAATGTAATCAATATAATATACATAATGTAAAAAATCGCTTATTTGGATCCCCTATGCCAAATATCACAGCATGCGAAGTTATCATGTTAACATTTGTTTGAAATCATATTTATAATCAATCATATCAAATTATATAATAAATAACAATCTAAATCAACAATATTTATGAGTCATAGATGATATAATTTGAATGTCCTTAGATAAATGGTCTTGAAATTAACTAATCTGCTTTGAGTTAATTATATATTGATTAAATTTTGCTATTTTCTTTAATAGTATGAAATTATTTATTTATATATTAATTTAATAGTAACCCTTTTCATTATTATTTACTTAAATGTAATGGTTTAAGTTTTAACACCAAAATAATCTACTCATATTAACTAGGCCATTAAAATTATAGAATGATATATTGATTGCTTGAAATCAATATAATATTCCTATTACTTAATAAAAAAGTAACTCCATATGAATATTTAATTGTATATAAATATAACATGCATTAAGATTAAAAGATATCATTTCTATAATTTAGAAAAAAATCCATTTATTTTATTTGCTTATTTACATAGATGAATAAGATTAAAATTAATATACATCGAAAGGAATATATTTTTTTTTGAATATTAATGTTGATCTTATGCTTTAATTTTGTTTCTTTTCAAAGCCTTCGTTATCCTACTACCTTAGATCAGTTGCAAATAAAAGCTCAAATAATTTTTATGTTAAAATTACCATTCCATAAAATTTGTGATTCTATTATTAAATATTAATAATAGAATTTGAATGGAAAATATTCAATTATTAAGAAATGATACAGAAGGAAGGAGTTGTAAAGGAATGCATTAAAAATGAACATAAAGGTTATTAAATTCTTGCTGTGGACCTTTCAGAGGAGTTAAATAAAGAAAATGATCAAAAAAAATACTATTGTGTGAAATGTTTAATTGAGAAAATTGGAATTAAAAAGATTGTTCTTTATGAAGAAGCAATCAAAAATAATGAAATTTTAAATGAATAGTTACAGAAAACTAATAATCAACAAACTTAAGAAAAGTTAGACTATTTTACAAAATTATAAACATAGTTTAAATTAGTTGAAGAAAGATTCTAAAAATCTATTTAAAGTGTTTTTAATTATATAGAGTCAAAGTTAAAAGCTACATAATAAAAAATTGAAAAAGTTCCTGAACCTACAATATTGGATGATAGTATTAAATTATTGTAAAATTGTTATGAGGAAGATGGTAAATTTGTTATTCCTTCTCCTGATTTAGATCTAAAAAAAACTTATGATTTTTCCCAATACATGCTGAAATTTAGATAATTAATATCGAATTCTGAATAAATAATTGAGGAAGAAACAGGCATATAAACAATCGAACTGAAGTAATAAATTAATTTATTGTTTGATGATAAACAAAAAGTAAATATATAGTTTATTTTTAGAGAACCCCAGCAGTAAATTTGATATGTGAAAGTCATAATATGGAGATTATTATGTTTAACTTAAATCAAACAGAATTTGAATAAACAAACCCATTTTTATGTGTTGAATGTGCATAAGATCTTTTAATTAGAGGGAATAATGCTATTGCTAAAACAATATCATTAATAAAGGCAGAAGAAAAATGGAATGAGTACATTAAAGATCAGAGCGAAAAAAGATCATAACGGCAATCAAGACTTGGTTCAGCAATTGGATTCATTAAAAAATTATAAGAAAAGTATAATTATGAATTGAATAAAATGATTTAATCCTTAAATGATTAATTAAAACAATAGCCTAAATATTACGAATAACTTAAGAAATTGAAAACAACTAGATTATAAAATTAAGATAAACAAAGTCTTCATGAAATTGTTAAAATTCTTGGTTAAACTGATTAATAAAAAAGATGTGAATAAATTTCAAATTAAGAAGATTGGCAATTTTTCGATAATCAAAAGAAAGTATTAGAAGAGTTAATTAAAGAAAACTTACTAGTAGAAAATTAAATGTAATGGCTCTAAAACTTTAATGCATGTATTTATTTAGAGCCCCAAGATTATAGTGATGATTGCAAAGATACCAGTCAAAATGACCTAGAAATATTAGAATTTCTTAAAAGATCCTCTATCTAAGATTAATATTTTTCCTTCTTTGAAAATTCCTTTAATTCTTTAAGGAAATTTGAATAAGAGGAACAGGCATTAAAATAAAAAGGAAAACTTGAAAATTTAACATAGCTAAAACAGGAAACAGAATCTGATTCAATTTTATTATAATAAGATTTGTATTAATAATCCTCTAGGAGAGGCAAGCTAAATTGAAAAGTTTAATGAATGTTGATGAATTATAAACTTCTAAAGAATAATATGAAAAATTATTACTATTAGAGAATCAATATAAAAAGAAAATTACAGATTTGGAATTTCTTAATAAAAAATAGAAAACTGAGATTGAAAACGGTTTAATTCAAATAGAAAAACTTAATAATTTGTTAGCACAGAATAAAAATCAAATAACACAGAATAAAAATCAGTATTTAGAATAGATCTCAGAACTAAAGCAAGCTTATTCATTTTCTGAGTTGTCTTGGTCAACAGGAGATACAAGAATACTGTTAAACGATTATGCCTAAAAAATTTACAGAAAAATAGAAGAAAGAACTAGAAGAACCATTAAAAAAAAATACTTGATAGATTCTTCTTACAATTGTAATTAAAATACTTTCAGTGCGTTGATGAGTAGAATAAATAAAAAGTCTAATTTATTAATGATTTTTAAATCAAGAACTTAATATATTTTTGGTGGATTTTCACCTTGTTAATGTTTAATAAGTGGAAGTTGGCAAACTGACGAATAGCAATAATCATTTTTATTTTCGTAGACTCACGATGAAATTTATACTTAAAAAGACAAAAGTTATACAATGTTATTTTGTTAATCCCAGATACAATATGGGTATTAGGATATAATTATCATGAATGATTTTTAGAAAGGTTCATCAAATTTAGGATATGCCTATTAATTTAGTCAATATGGATAAGCACATGCAAAAAATCATTTATTCGGATCACCTGAGCCAAATATTATGTAATTTGAGGCTATTATGTTAATATTTGCTTGAAATGAATTAATAATCATATCGCAAATCCATATTTATATACAATTATTCATAAAAAAATCAAATTTGCGTTTTTGTGTTTAAAACAATCTTAAAATTTTTGAGGTATTTCAAAGTCTATTCATTAATATGTATATAATCATTTAGTAGAGATGACTATATAATTAGAATTTAAATGTGGGTGTTCCTACAAATTTCAATTAATCAAGAATTAAGGTTCATTTATAATTTACAGGTATAATCGCTATACTTTCAAATCTTAAACTAGGTAAAGTAAGAATAAAAACTAATTACAATATTTTATAATTAATATATTATTTTAATACATGAATATTTATAGACTCAATTAGAAGCTAAGACACATTATGGAAGTGTTTGATATCATCTAGAGAGAGTATTTTGTATATTTTATTCTAGTCAATTGCAAACTTTAAATGGAGGTTATTTAGGGGTTCATCAAGATTATTTAATTCATTAAGTAATTAAGTTTCCTAATCTCTTTGATATTAATTATGATGAATTAAAGTTAAATGTTGTGAACTTTTTCTAAATGCTAAAAGAACATAATATCACGCCAATTGTTATTTTGTCATCGTAAATCCATTAGAAAATAAATTCAAAGATTATAATGAAATGCTAATCAGAAAAAAATAAGTAAATTAATGATACTATCAAATCTATATAGAGCACAGTTCAGAGAATTAATATATAATGATGCTGTTATTGATACTTTGTTACCCAAAAGAATGATCATTGATTGGCTAAGAGAATTGCAAATCCAATTTTTAGTTGTTCCAGATGCGGGAAGTTAAATTCGCTATCTCTTTACCAACAATTTAATAAGTGGGTAAATTACTCTTATTAATCGTTTAGAATATTAGCAGAGATATCCTTATTGGAGAAGTGTTTTAGTTTCAAGGAATTAAATTATTTGATTTTAAACATTTTCGAAAACTCTTTCGAATGGATTGACATAAAACTATTAACTGCTAAATCCTAATTAAGTTTAGATTCTCTAGCAGAATTATATTAATTACATGACTATTGCACTCGTAATGAATGCATAGGCTATAATGAACAAATTCTAAATTAATTTAGCCAAACAAAGTTTACAAAGCCTTTTTCAGAATTACCAAGGTCTGATTAATTTAATGTTCTCTACAATATTGGATAATAATTCTTTGCTGGAAAGCTCACCCTATAATAGAGAGTTTAAAAATTTGCTAACTTTCTGGTTGATCCAGTTAAGATCACTTAGTTTATGCAACAAATCAAAGATTCTCCATACATTGATATAAATTTTGATGAACTGAGGTTATAGACTGCATCTGCCAGTGCTATCTAATTACCAACTGAAATTTTGGTGTTTTAAAGTAATGGAATAGGGTTGTTCTACAAAGAGCAGTCTCTCCTTTAACCTTTAGAATTCTAAGAATATGAATTTATTGAACCTTCTTAGATGGCCTTTGAAAAATTGAATATTGGATATTTCCAAGGAAAGAATTAAATCAAGTTGAATACTTCTTTTAATTTGTTTAAAGAGACAATTAAAAACCCAACCTTATTGCGTTCAATTCATTTTTATTATAAGACATTAAAATTGACATCCAGAAAATCTTCATTTGAACTTGGTGAGCAATCATAATAAATAAATTCAGATCTGATTTAATTAAATTTAAATTTGAGATTTCTGCATTTATAAGGCTTAATTGATTTGGATAATTAAAAAGGTTCTTTATATGCATCTGCTTTGTCATATGCTAAACCTCAATATTTTATTCCCTTCTTCATTTATCTAAAATTATTGGAAACACCCTATAAACCTATTTTATTTGGGCACTTTTATAATCCATAAAATGAGAAGGATGATGAGATAATAGCACCATTTGCAGATAAAAAGGAAAATTTGATAACAAAACAATTAATTAATTTGTCTGAACATTATTAAGAGGAAGATGAAAAGATTTTGTTACTTTTGAGATTTTTTGTGATTAATAGTGTTTCTAAATTAGGTTAATTAGATTATTTTGGAGATTTTATCAGTTGTATAAGTAAAAATTACGGTTAACAGTATGATGCAATATTAATAGGATTATATTTTGAGCTTAATTAACGTGGCCTTATTGAGCAATTTATAAATATTGGTCAATAAAATCCTTTTTATAAAAAATATAATTATAATGAAGAATTTTATTAATTTTTGAAAAAAAAGAAATCCAAATAAGAATTTATGGCAAATCATAATTTATAACATTACATAGATTGTTGGACAGAATTTATCAAATTATTTGATTATATCCACTAGAAAAAGGGAATGAGATTTGATATTTTGTTAAAGACCAATGAGTATTTTTAGTCGTTGATTAAGTGAAACAATTTGTTAATTATGTAATATATATATATATTTATATAACATAAATTTTATGATATTATAATTAATTAATATAAAGTTTTTTTTATTGATTTTAAAAATTCCTCAAGAAAATGAAGACTGAACTGTGTATAAAGGTTAAGGAATGAGTTCAACTTAAGTTTTGAAAAAGTTAACTGTTTGCAATTTTTAAATTTTATAATCAAATGTTAAATTATCATTTTTTTTAAGAAATTACTCGTTTTTTAATTTTTGTTTAAAAGCTTGATTAAATGAAAAAAATTAGAAGCGGGATCCGAATTATCTTTCTAGTAAAATTGTTATATATTTAAAATCACAGAGATTATTCAAAAGAGAATTCGATTTCTTATCTGTAATTAATTTATAAGTTTTTTTTATAAATATTAGAAAAAATCGCTGATTCTTAAGGATCATTTTTTCGATTTAAATATTAAAAATAATACATCAATATTTCTCGAAAAACTCAGTTTTATGGCAATTAAATTGAATTTTAAAGTTAGATGTGAAACTACTCTATGTGAGTCTGTTTGCATTGTGGGAAGTGTCAAGGAGTTAGGGTTATGGAACCCTTCAAATAGCCTTCAATTATCTACAAACCCAGATATTTATCCATTTTGGGTTGGTAGCATATCTGTTGATGTGAATGAAAGTATATTATAGTGCTAATATAGACTAACTTATCGAGTTCAAAGCAATAATCAGAAATGGCAATTAAGTGAGTTGGGAGGACAGTGACAATAGAGTAATATAAATTCGGTACCAATCCCAGAGTATTATATTTTCTTACAACTCCCAATTATTGTAAGTTATTCGAATATAATCATTATATGACCTTTCTGATGATGAATCAATCAATTTAGGTATATTTTTATAACGATTTATTAGATAAGATAAAAAAGATAAAACTTCAAAATGTTCTGAATCCATTCGATTAAGAGGGATTTACATCTGTAAAATTTATTACATATTTTAGGAATCTGATTTAGAGAGTGACAATCTTTCAAACTTGGATTCAGTTGGATTTTCACCAATTGTGAAATCTCTTTCTATTTAATTCCAGGAAGAATCATTTGAGCTTCTTGTCCAATAATGAATACATAATTAAACAGACTTGTTAATTATTGAATCTTATTTATTTAATATTCATTTGAGAAACTAGACTGTTCTCTTCCATTCAATTAAACATATAAAAATATTTATCTATAATCTCTTTCTACATTTTCAGTCTCCAATTACAATTAGAGGAAACAAGATGTAATTTAAAAATCATGATAAATGAATTTATGATAAAGAATAAATTTTATTTTATGATAAATTGTCTTTTTAAATTCTGAAAAGAGAACCAATTGGTAATAAATATTGATAGCATCCATTTTCTAAAAATAGTCAATATTATACAATAGAACAAAAATGTGAGTAAGTCCATCCAAATTTTGAAGTATTTGAAAAGATAAAAATATAATTTATTATCAAAATCCTGCATAAGCCTTTGGTTGTCTTTATAATCTCATAATTTATTCGAGTAAGTCCCTTTCCCTTGCTTATAAAAATTCTACACGTTATTATAACTAATTATTTGTTTGTTTCAATTAAACTATTTCATGTAAATCATTCGGGTCACTACTCTTTCCATTAAGATTTTTCCTAGCTATCTAAACTTTTAATTGAATTTCATACTTAAGCCAACTCCATATTTTTTTCTTCCAAAGATGCCACTTTTTTTTTTAAATCGCTATTTTCTATCAACAATGCACTAGACATATATTCTTCTTAAATCTTTGATTTATCCTGATCGCCCTTTGTGATTGGATTGCCAATAAAAATCTATTCTAAATTCTCCAACTTGAGTTACAAGGCATTATTTTCATTCATAACAATATGATAATTCTTAACAGAAACATCACGAGCATTTCTCAATTCATCATTTTCTTATTTTAATTTATTGATTTCCATTTAATACTCATGTAAAATTTTGTTGACTGGCAAATCAATCTTGCTATTATTGGAATTCACCTATTGATCAAATCCATTTTGTTAACTATTGAGAATTTAATTATGACTAATGGGTCTAGATTACAATGGAGGAAGTTATTTCTTTTATCCATTCTTATCATTGAAATTGGGAATTTCTATAGGTAATCCATTTGTATATCTAAATAACAATCAACATTACCTCTATAATTGTTCCCTCAGATACTGATTTTCCATCTTCAACAAATCTCGCTCTCTGGTGAGATTGTATATAATTTAATCCTTTTCGCCCATAGAGATTACTGGTTTGTTTTGGATATTCATAGTTGAAGTGGCATAATTTATAGTACTCAACGTCTCCTCATAATAAGCAGCAGAAGGAGATACACAGGCAATCATCAACGCCTTAGCAGTTCCTCTGTTAATATTAAATCACTTATATTACCCCAATGAATCCATCAAGAGCATTGTTAATTTACTATCTCTATAGGGGATGTAAGGGAGTTTGTTCTTTTTGTCACTCAAAGACTTGATGACCTTACCCAAAGTGAATAGAGACTTGTTGATGTTACCAGTTTCTTTGATCATATCCCCTTAGGATTTGGATTCCTTCAATCTTTCTGAACCAGCTAAATCAACAAATGAAAACTTTCCATATCTCTATAATAAATATTAAATAATATTATACTTTAACGATTTATCCATCTATATTCTATTCTCCAATTAAATAAGCAGTCAATATTGAGTGAGATCTGCTTGAATCTTTGTTTAATTCATGAGATCCTTACTTTCTATTTCTCATTCCTTCATGCAATACTGCTTGGATATCAGAGAATGATGTGCATTCAACAATCATCAAATCTTCAACAAAGAATCCATTTTATAGATTCCATCTGCAATGCAAGATCCCAGAAGCAGGATTTAGCAGATCTCTCAACTATTCGTTGTATATTTCTGTAAACGAGGCTTTCACATAGAATTGTTCTGCTCTTTGTGCCATTATCTACCATAAGTATCTAGTAGCTCTGGGAATGATGCCTTCAGACTCATCAGAAATATACTTTTCTCTAGCCAAACGTTCTTCAACTCCAGAAATGCTTGAATATTAAAATTGAAAATTTACGTATAAGTTTTACCTGATCCAGTTTAACCATATGCAAATATTGTGGCTGAATATCCATCCAGAGCAGCATCTAGCAATTCTTAAATATTGCATTTCAAAAACACTTCTTATTAAGTGCACCTCTCATCCAAAACTGAATTGAATCTAAATTATTTTGCTACTCCTCTTTGCTAATTAAGATCGCGAATTACTTATAATAGAGTTAACAATTTGAATCTGATATTGCTTTTATGCATTATTCATCCCCTCTTCCTTACTCTAATTAGTTCATTGGTCTAATTCGCAATGCAACTTTTACACTCTCTCCACCAGATTCATCTAATACTGAAGTATCCGGTTAAGATGGAGATGGTCCTGATTGCAAAGACATCGGCTGCATCAAAGGAGAAGGTAGGTTTATTTGTTGATTTTAAGGTTAAGATTATTGTTAAGGAGTTTTACTCTTTTTATTCATTATAATAATTTAATGATTTATTTTCTCATTGTAATCATCCTTAGAAATTTAAAATAATAATAATATATATAATTTCCTATATTAGAACATCACTTAAATGCAGCTAAACCTGTGATTTCCCTACCAGCAATCAAACTATTAATATCATAAGATCCCTAAGAAATTACTAAATTTAATAATTTACTTCATATGTGTAAACCACTTCAGCATCAGTTAAAGCCTTAATACAGTAATTTTCAACTAAGATTCCGTCTCCTCCCATCATCTCTCTTCCCAATCTAGCCACTTCTCTAGTTTTATCAGTAACCCATGCTTTCACAGCTGCAATCTATCCCAAAGTTGCTTTCTTCTCCTATGCCAATCTAGAAACCTGTATAACCATCAGAAAACTGGCTTAGAATGTTGTCAATATCCTTGTCAATCTCTCCTATTATAATTAAAATCCAGCAATATGTTTTCCAAATTATTTTCTTCTCGTTATAAATTTAACTACATTCTCATAAACTCCAGCTTATATTCCCAAAGCTATCCAAGGTACTCCTACTCTTGAATGCTACAAAGCCTAAGTTACACCATTCTAAAAGTCTTTAGCTTTTGGCATCCTATTTTCATCAGGTATAAACACATCTTTAAATGTGATTTAACAATTTTAAACTATTCTCAATGCTAACTTATGTTTGATTGGTTCGGCATGAACTCCAGCCCATTTGTTTTCCACTATAAATCCTTCTATGTTATTATTCTCAGCATTTCTGGCCCAAACAACTAAAATATCCTTATTTCCATTTCCAATCCATCTCTTGTTGCCATTCAATAAGTATCCTCCCTATACCTTCTTGACAGTGGTTTATAGACTTGATGCATCAGATCCATACTCCCTTTCAGTTAGTGCCCATCCTCCCAAAATATCCATATCCTTGATCCTAGTTAAGTATTTCTATTTTTAATCCTCTGAACCAAATGTTTCAATACTATGAGGTACCAATGATGAACTAATCAATCGTTTTCGATTCTTACATTAATAAATAGAATGTTGACAGACCAGCATCAACTTTGGCTAATTCTAAATAAGCTAAACCAGTTTTGACGTATGTGTTGGTTTTATGAATCAATTTCAATGGTTTTAAAGCTTCGACAATCTCTGTGGGAAATTCCGCTGCCTCAACATACTTATTGATTGTTGGTGCCGCCTAATTAATTGATTCCTCATACTTTTTCCTATGCAAATTTACGAACAGCAAAACAAATATCCTTTTCGTCATTTTCAAGCATGTCATACAATCGAAGATATTCAAGTGGATCTGCTAGGAACTTGACTTCCTTAAATTGTCCAGCCAACTAATTCAATCTAAACATAAAATTATAATTAATAATGTCGTCATTTTGTATTATAATATGTAATTGTAATAATTGTGACTTTATAATTTATAAAATTTCTTTGTACTCCATGAAATTCTATTTTATCATGACGTATTCAACTTGCAACGAGAACAATTCCCTACCTCTCCAGGTTTTGTTATTTATGCTCGATTTGAATGTTAGAAATGTTACTGATAATTATTCTCGTTTCTGATGACATTATAACAGAAGATATATATTTATTAAGTTAGTTTGATAAAAATTAAGATAGTATTTAAATAAATTATTGGAAAACTTATGAAATTTTGTAGCCTGTTTCTGAAGAATTTAAGAAAATTACTATTAAATATCGATATGTTTGGATCTCAAATTAACTTATAAATCAAAAAAGAAAATGAATATCATACAATTTTTGGAATGCTAATGAGTCTTGGGATTTTAACACTTATCTACTATTCCTTCTTATCTTTAGTAATTGAAATGATAGAGCGTAAGAGTCCTAATGTTCTTTAGAATATTCAATATTAAGCTTTTCCTGATGTAATTTAAATTTATTTTATTTCAACATAGGAATACAAACTGGAATAAGACTCTTTCATCTTTTACATAGTTTTGTCCGATAGTTACGGAATACCCATCGTTTAGAAACCTGACTAGCTAGTTTATACAGCTACAATGTAAGCTTGTTCAAGAATCACTGATTCAGACAACCAAATTCACAATAGTTGTAATAATTTTACGTTAAAATCTTGTGCAACAGTGCAAATAAATACCTAAATATAGGAATAATTAAACATTTCAAAAGCTTTATTAGGTTCAAGTGTTTGTCTTGATCCTCAAGATCTGAATTCAATTTCATTATCACTCTAGGGCACTCCACAAAGCCCAATTTTTAAAAGCCTCTAATTTAAAATTGAGAAATGTAACAATGTAACATCTGGAGGAAGTAATTTTTTTTTAATTCTATGTAGAATGTGCTTCCCCAGAATATATTGATAAAAAATTAACTCAAGGATACTTGGGGTTTTTTGTTTCAGATTCAGTTTTGAATCAGTAGAAAGCCAATAATCCTTTTTCTTTAGTATCAAAACTAATAAGTAGTTCTATATCTTCCTATCAATACAAGTCAATGACTGTGTGGATGAGAAAATCAACACTTTATAATAAGGAGAACTTTTTTTATTATTTTGAGAATAATAAAGAATATAAAACTTTATTATTTGAAAGGCAGTCTGAGTAAGTGTTTAATATCCAGTAACCTCAATTTATTGACATTACCTTGTATCTTGATGATAGAGAAGCCGAATATTACAGAACCTATAATAATATATTAGATATTCTTGGCTAAATGGGTGGGCTATTAGAATTAATGTTATTTTTGGTAGGAACAATTGTCAAACCATTTAACAAACTTTCTTGTGACTTATTTTTAGCATCAGAAATATTTTACTTTGAAAAATCTCATGGTTAATAAAAGATCGTTCCTTAAGTGCAAGGTTTAGGGTAATCTGAAGGACTTGTAAATTCAAGTTAATTGGCTTAGTTAAAAAAATACTTTAAATTAAAAGCCTAATAAATTAAGTTATATATTTATCAATATTTATTTACGTGTGGGCCTGATAGACAATTAATTTAATAAAGTATTGAGTCAATCTACAACTAAATCGATATTATCTATATTATTAATAAATTAATCGAAATTGACAAATTGAAGAAAATATTGTTAAATGAGGATTAGCAAATATTGTTTAATTTTATACACAAGCCAAAAATCTAATTAGGAGCCAGAGAAAAAATGAAAGAGAGTATTAATCAAAATTAATACGATTTGAATAAACTTTCCTTTGAAGAGGAGATAATTTAGGCCTTCAATTCTTATACTATGATTAAAGAAAGCACTCATAAAAAATATTAAAAAATAAACCAAAGTATTTTAAGTCTTTTGGATAAGGATGTCAAAATGATTTTTGAAACAAATGACAATCAAAAAGCATAGAAGTAAACATCAATTCTTTAGATACAATAAGTTAGTTCATTTAACGATTTGAGTCTTTAAGAAAATAGAGTTGATATCTGAATTTACAACCAGAAGCTTTAATTCATATATTTATCAATTATATCACATACTCAAAATTTTTATATACTGATTCAATATAAAATTAACTTTAATTAAAATCATTTTTTTTGATGTTTATAAAATTAAGCATTCTGAAATATGGATTTCTCATGTATTGAATTCTAACTATAATAACTCATACAAACAGTAACCTAAAAGCATATGTGTAATTAATTAATGATTACAGAATAATGAATTATTCGAATTACTTATATAGCCTGAAACAATAATGATGGTTAGACATATTAAAATGCACTGCTCTGTTTGATTGATTATATAGAAACCAGTAATTTCTCAAAATACCTTCTTTGTAAATCAATTTATAAAATTTGAACAATATTTATATATAAATTTAATTATAAAATTTTATCTAATTCTTGTAGCTGTGATTGAACTTCATCTAAGAATAAAACCTAAGCAATGCTTAAATTTTACATAGACTTATGAGTATTCAGTTTAATAATGTGGGATTAACATTAATAATGCATTACATTTTATTTTTATAATTAAAGAGAAAAATTAATAAATCTCATCGTAACAAAGTTTTAGCACAAGAGATTTGTTTATAGGAAAACTTCATATATTATTAAGCACATCTTAAATATTATGTGTTAAATTATGATTTTGTTATTGAGAAAACGATATCTTTGAAGTTGAGGAATGTGTAAAAATGTGGAATAGATATAAGGAATCTGTGAAAGGGTAATTTGAATGCAATATGAAATTGATTTAATAATGTTCATTATTCAATTCAATACTAATTTACGCATTTCTGCTTCTTCTACTTCAGATGGGTCATTAGCTTAGATTTCTTTTGATAAACCATTCAATTTCTTCTTTAAAGCCTCTTTTCCTGCAGCATATGACATCTTTTATTTAACAGGCTAATTAGCATCTGGAGACCAAAATATGAAGACTAATTTCTCAACTTATCTTGGAGGAACGTCATCAGTTACAGCTTGATAATCATAAACTGCATATCTTGACTAATATTAATAGTGAATAATAAATACTTCGTTTTAGAGATGACCAACAAATTCAGCATAGGTACTATCCCTTTGTCCAATTTGATCAACAACAATCTAATGATAATATTGTAATAATCACTTAATTGGTCTCAGTGTTTAATTTGAAGGTCAAATATCTATATTATTTACCCAATTTGAGCTTGTTGAATTCTGTTACGCAATCATCACTAACATGTGTACCGACGTTCATAATTAAATCTTATAATTTTTATTTAAATTTTTCTTAATTAAATCACATTTTCCTCTCATTTCTTCCCAGGTATTCTCGCTACATTCGGAGATTTAGAATTGCCTCTCTATACTTTGAGTAACTACGGTTTTTTTTAGAGGCATTCTTTGAAATTTGAATTGGCTTTGGTTTGGTTGATTTGAAGTTTTTTATTGGAAATATCTTTCAAAGTTGAGGTTTGCCTTTAACTTTTTGGAGAAACAAGATCAAACAATTCTTGTTACCTTGAGGAATCTAAAAAATTGGATCCAGGATTGTATGGTACATGAATTTGCTCATGCAAAAACGCATATTCACTTGGTTCAAGAGATTAGTGTTTGATTGCTGAGGATTGATGAGATTTTTTATATGAATACCTGTTGTTGGGTGACTATGAAGGAGTTAAATATTATAGAGAGTTTGGAAACATTGATTGATTTTAAGGGGATAATAAATTAGAATCCTAATTCTCTTAAACTTGTAGTAATTCTAGGTTAGCAAAATTATTCGATTTCTATTTTGAATTCAATTTCAAATGATGACTAGGACTTTTTTCTTAAATAGGTGGAGGAATCTTTTTTACTTAATTTTTTTAAGTTTATTTTGGTTAAGCTTTCAATTATTTTGTTCTATCTTCAGTAATTATTTAAACAGATCTTTAAGTTGGATTAGTTTTCTTTAAAGTATTAGTTGATTAGATGATTTAAGTTTTGATATGTAAGCTTTTGGATTATTTTATGGGTAATATTTCCTTTGCTTATTGAATTGGTATTTCAATGAAGCCACTTGGTTGCTAATTTTCTATTTTGATAGCTGACTACTACATCATTTCAACTAGACTCTCCTCATAAATTGATAAATAATTAGGTCTATTTTCAGGTTGTAATTCTAACATTTTAGTAATTAATTTATTATCTGCTCTTGATAATAGATCATTCAAAATATCTAAAATAGTCTTTACAATTTACCTCTGTTGATTGTGTAGGTTTCAAAATTATATATTTTCTGAATTGACTCTTGCAAGATCAATTCTAAAGTGATAAGACCAATAGAAAAGATTTCACTCTTCTCTTTATTATGTTCAGGTCTATAGGAGTTTCGGCCCAAGTATTCTAATAACTCTGGTGACAAATAGCAATCTTCCGATGATCCATTCAATAGACGACTATAGTGATTGATATTGGGGAGAAAAAGCTTGACTTAATTTTTAAAGAGAAAGGATGATGGTATTAGATCACCGTGATATTTGTCTCTATTTTGCAGTTCAATCAAGGTGTGCATGACTTACTAGATAAATTAATAATAGGGGAGTTGAGAGGTAAATGGAGTACCGTATTCAAAGATTGCATCTATTTTGTAAAAGTTGCTACAGAGATATTATTCTTCTTATTTATGAATTTCCAACAATTTGATCAATCCAGGTATGTTTGATAATTGTTAATATTGTTGCAATTTGTGTAACTCAATTTGATATTAGTCATCATTTTAATATAGCTTACGTATGACTGCAACTTATTCCTATTAATTTGAATAGACTTCAATTAGACTCTCAAAACTAAATTGAAACTCACAATTACATTTTGCTTTGATGTTGGTCCAATTTTTACTAATTTTTTAAAAAGTGTTATTTGGACTGTTAAACTTAACCCATAATTAAAGAAAATAGTGAATGAATAAATATATATTATTATTGTACTTTGATAAATTATTTTGTGAGCTCAAATAATTCCGATCTTGTTGGCCAAGTTGAGAGCATCATTCTCTCCACCCAATCTGATGTAGGCCTTCTTCTTGCCACCGAAAGTGTTAAGGATCTTTAAAATATTGAGCATTATTATTACATTAACTTTTCTGACCTTAACTTCATAGATTTTCTAAAATGCTCTTTTAATTTATGGCTTAGTTGATTTTTAATTCACATAGAACACCATGGTGTTTTCATCTTCCATCTTTTTCATGTCCTTTTCTGTAATAAGTGGGTGTCTAAGCACATTTTAGAAATCTAACCCCTTGGAAACGGGAGTAAGTTATCTTGTTAATCTATGATTATTTCGATAATTGCCCTAACCTTGTGAATTTGGGTTTTCTAGATAAAGCTAATGGCTTTTCTGTGTGGAATCTATTTTGGAAATGCTTTCTAGCTCTCACAACCTTCTTGGCAACTCTTGCATTTTTAGCTGCCTTCTATGCTTTTTATGTATTTGTTGTTTATCCCTTTGGCATTTTTAAAATTATTTTTAAAAAACAATCTTTTTTTTTAATTATTTCATAAATAACACCAAATAAATGGACTGCCTCCATTCCTCAAAGGCTCAGTTCTCAAATCAATACCACTCTGTATATCCATCTAAATTGCAACATCTCCAAAATAAATAAATATATAAATATTATAATAAAAACAATATGAATTTTTCATAATGTCCAGACGAATTCCAAATTGAAGAACAACAATTCATTAGAGTGCCACAAAGATCATCTTTGGGTAGTTTCAATTTTGAGGTATCTAAAGGAGTATTTTAAGGATTTAGATACCAAATACAAGTTTACCTATCCCACGAATGAAAAATAGAATGAGACCAAAAGAAATCAACTCAATCAAACTCCTCCTCCCTCAATCAAACAGAATTTACAATACGATATAGAGAGAAATTATAAGCAGCAGATTGAACTACCTCCTCAACTCTCCAAATCTCCAAAGCAATCCCTTACATTTAGAGACCAAGGCAAAATATAGGTGGGCAACCAATAGCAAATAGAGAAACCTCAAAAGGAAATTAAATCAATCCTGAACTTCTAAGTAGATACCAAATTCATCAACATGAAACCAAGCAAGAAGAGAAATCAAAAACCTATTCTACCTCAATTTCAATAATAATAATAATGCAAACGACCTTTGATGATACAGAGCAATCCGAAATACTAGAGAGTTTCTCCATAGAATCAAAACAAGAGGGTTTCTCCTTAAAATTACAATAGGAGTCCAATTCAGAATAATATCAATAAGAATTACTCTGAAATAACTTTCCAATAGGAGCCGAAAGTCAATAAGTTTTAATAATTATTAAATAAAGCTCCTCATTCAATTGAAATTGATCTCCAAAGATCAATAAAGTGGTTTGGTAACAAAGAACTTTGCGAAGGAGAAGTAAGTAGAAAGATTGTGTAATTTATAAAGACTTCATAATCGAATGTGATATTATGATATGGATCTTAATATTTTACTCAAGTTTTGCATCCTTTGGCAACATCTGGGGTGAATTTGGTTGTTGCAGCCATGTTTCCCTTGATTTTCATCTAACCTTGCATAAAAGCCTATTGAGGATTCAACTTCCCTTAAGCCATAGCAATCATATCGTCATCTACCATGGTGAAGGTGGCATCAGCTGTTCCAACGTTTCCCTTGGAAATTGACTATCATAGTAATATCAACAGTCCAAAATTCTGGAGTTTCTCCTTTTGCCTTTGACACCTCAAAGTAATACACAGCATTGTTTTTCTTTAACTAATCCTATTTCCTTGGCTTTTGATGAATGGACCCATCTTTTCAAATAAAGCAGCAGATTTCAAAGGCAACTAATTAAATTTCTTAATAATATTTTATTTTCTCAATTCTTATAATAACTTAAACACACTATTAATAAGAAAAATAATTATAGTTATATAAAAGATCACTTCTTTCCCTTCTTCTTTTTCTTCTTCTTTCCCCCTGCAAAAGGGTCTTAAGCATATTCAACCCATAATTTAGGAAACTCTGGCTTGTTTTCAAACCAACAATTTTTAGATTTATTGATATTCCTAGCTGCAGTCAATGTTCTTGGATGAAATTGACCCAACTAAGATTCTAAAATGGCATGAGCCAATTTGAAATATCCATAAGACTATGGATATAATATTAAATCGATTACCTCCTTATTGCGTTCTAACATATACATACAGCATCCTAAATTATTGTACACAGTAGCAGTGTCAACCGTTTCTATACCAATACTATTTTCTCTGTATTCTCTAGCCTAATGCAAGTTACTATATTCAATACCTTCAAAAATGCTCTAAGTGCCCAATCATATTCCTCTGTATTATAGAACACTGATCCAAGTCCGCAATAGGCCAAAGCCTTATCAGGGTTATTTGTGGGTAATTTGGTTGAAAATTGCCTGGCATTCAAATAAGCCACTAAAGCTAAATCATCTCTTCCAGCAGATTCATACACAGTAGCCTTGCTGAACTCAAAGTACAGTTCTAATCCATCAGTTAAATCTCTTCCTGTAGAAGTAATCCATTTTTTCTATGATATCAATTGAATCTTACTCTTGCATCATCATAATTCTAGATAGCAAACACAAAATTAGCTTCATTGTGAGAATTGATTGCAGCTTCTACTAGAAATTATACATCCAAAGGAGGATTTGGAGGATATAACACTTCTGGTATAAGCACAGGGGCAACCTAGACATCTGAGAGAGAACCGCGTTCAACATCGGAGATAAGTTTTTATTCGAATTTCAATTTATCAGCTAGTTCCTGAATATAAAATTCTGATTATTTAGGTTCTGTTTTTTATTCAAAAATGACTTTCCTAGGTTCAGGTTCTCCAGCTTTTCTTCTCTACTACTGTTTTTTGGTTGGTTTAGGTTTGGCATTCTTATTTTTAGGAGACTCTGGTTTTGGATTTCCTATAACTACTCTCTTCTCTGGATCCCATTTAGGCATTTGCTTTTCTTATTAAGGCAAAGGAGGAATCAGAGGTAATTCCTTATCTAGCATTTTAATCACTTAATCTACAGGGATGTTGAGTGACACTTACAATGATTATGTATATATACCTTATTCGAATAATAGAGATCCTTACAATGCTGCTATCCTTTGTAACTCATCTGTTCCATCTGGTTCATCATCTGAAGAATCCTTATCTTCAAAATCGCTTAAATCATTCAGCAGTTTTTGAGCGAATTTCTCCAAGTTTTTAATAAGTTTTCTATTTAAATTGGGGAGTGGACCTTCTATACTCTCATTCTTTCTAAATAGCATTAATTCGCCAAAGAACTTCCTGATATATTTTTCGACATCGAGCTTTCTATTATTTTGATTTCCTCCTCCTTCTTCTTTGAGTCCTAATTCGAATGAGATTCTGGCGAGAAGCAATTGAAGCTCATGAATTAAGATTTAGGGATCAGTATCATTGCAGTTTGTTAGATTTTTTTCATAAATTTAAATGAAATGACCCTTTTAAAAAAAGTCGTATTCCTTGTTATTGATGGGTGGAATAATCTTCATTAGAATTTCCTCCAATTATTCGATAGAGAGAATATGAGGTACGATTTCTGCATCTCTTAAAAATTTAACTAATGATACCATATTCATCTTTTTATTCTAAACCCAAATTTCCTTCCATCTCAACATGATTATGCCATGTGTCAAGTTCTCTTGCATGTAGATTGTGAATATGTTCTTTAATTCCCTTTCGTAGAGTGAGATAGCCTAGATGGAGGATTCAGCCAATAATCTTTTATTAGTTTCATCAAGCACAATTATTCGATTGGGCTCCACATTGTGATCTCTAACTGCACTTTTCTCAGATAAGATCTCGTTTAACATCTTCTCCAGATGAAGAGGGTCATTGTGAAAGATCTTCTTTGCCAGTTACTTGAGAAAGAAATAAAATTAAGGCTTATTGAGTGCTCTTTCCCCTTTTACATCTCCCAATGCATCGTCGAAATGAGTCAAGAACATGCTGAAATTGTTGCCATTGGTAACCAGACTGCGATCGAGTGCAAACATGAGGATGTCGGCAAAATTCAATGAAGTGCCATTCCTGGAAAATTTATTAAAAAACTCTTCAAATCGTCTTTCTTCTCTTTCTTTGAGCACTACCGTATCTTATCTCTATTATTATTGTGTCGATTGTTATTGCATATTAAATATAATAAAATATAATGGGAACCAACAAACAATTAAATCGCAGCTTTAAACACACATCGACCATATTTGATCAATTATTCCAATAATACTCCTAGATTGGGTTCAAAAAGACTCACATCTTAAAAGCATGGCAACAATGTGGAAACAATCAATAAACATTCCATGAAGAACTCATTAAAATTAGGTAAGCAACTGTATTCCTAATGTAGTGAGCAAGAGAATGCCCAAATTATGAATGAGGAGGATTTATTCAATTCTCAGATGCAACTGAAATTGCAACTCTAATAAATAGAATAGTAAGATTTAAAAATCGCCATCCAACTTTCCTTGGATTAAAATGCCCAGTACTATTTATTCACAAATATTCATAGATCCAAACCAATTATTTCGGAAGACAGAACCAATAAATCCACCCCTATAGGCCTCAAGAATTTAGGCAACAGTATAAATCTTTTAAATTTATAACCTTTTAGCTTGTTACATGAATGCCATGTTGCAGAGTCTATTCAATGTCCTGCCATTCAGAAAATTCATCCTTGAACTCGAACTAAAAGACAACCAATCCCTAGCCTCCAATTTTCTATTATAATTATAATAGCTTTTCCTGATGCTCCAGGAATCCAATCAATCCTACACAAGTCCTTACAACTTGTTCGAGGCCCTCCAAAAATTCAAACCTAGCGCCATGTTCATTAGAGGAATCCAAAACGATTTTAATGAGTTATAAAACTCCTTCTTGGATGCCATCGAATAGGCTTTAAAGGAAGAAGAATTTGAATAAAAAAAGAAACAATTTTGTGAGATGTTCTACGGGGAAGCCAAAGAAATCCTGAGCTACAAGGAGAACGACAAGGAGATCATCAAGTTTAATGACACCACATTCGGATCAATCAGCATTGAAGCTGCAGATAAGGATCTAGAAAAAGGGTTCTTAAACACAAGAGTTCTAATTATTGATGAATATGAAACTGATAACAAGGAGAAAACCAAAGCTAAGATCGATTAAAATATAGTGCAAGCCCCATTTCTAATCTCCTTCTACGTCAATAGAGTTTATTATGATCCAAAGTAAAAGTCGGTATGCAAGAACAATTCCTAATTTAACTTCAATTCCTCCCTAAACATCAATCAATTTAAAACTATTAATTAGGGTTAGAAGAATTTCGAACTCTAAAAGTTAGACGAAGAGGAGCAAAGAATTCTAGATCAACTTAAAAGTCTCGGAGACTCAAAGGATGAGATCGAAGAAAACTTTAATAGAGTTATCAAGTTATTCAAAAGAAACGAAGGATAAATTGACAATTTGGTTACTATTGATGGGTTTTGCATATGTGATGAAAAAACAGCAAATCCAAACATTATCCCAAGTGACTAAATGCTATTCCAATTAGAATCATATAAGGAGAAAATGATGATAACTGTTTAGTTATTAACAGATTAATTGGAAAGAATTTAAGAACAAAAGAAAAAACTATTAAAGTCTGATTAAAACATGTATCTATTGACATCTGTATTAATGCATGATGGATCAGCTAATAGTGGACATTATTATTGTTACATATTAGACAAGAAGGACTTAACAACTTGGTGGAAATGCAACGACAGCACAGTCACTAAGGTAGATTTTGCCTAGGTCTACAAAGATGCCTCTGGGTCAAATAGAGTAAATTCTAATGTCTCTGGGTTGATTTATGAATAGGAACAATGGTTAAAAGTAGATAAGATTCAAATCAATTAGAAATTATTGTCTGTCCTTTAGGAAGACAAAGATAAATAGTTAATTGCCTAGGATGAATAGAAGGTGTTAAATAGAAAACCCATAATTCTACAATAAATCTAATAATAGAAAAATAGATTGGTGAAGTATAGGGATCAATTGGAGAGAGAATTCGAGAGATTCAGCAATTTCGATTAGTTTTTGAATTCAGTCAATCAAAATGTGTACTTGTATTATTTGACATTGACAACAGTGCAATAAGATATATCGTTGATTAAAGATCAACTGAATAAACCTCAAGAAGTGAATAATTACATTAAATACTTCCTTACTCAAACCAATCTGATAACCACAAACTATGAAAATGATTTGAAGAAACTTAAGGATGAGTATCTGATGATCAATTCATTATTATAGTAATTACCCTTAAGAAATATTACCAACACCAATTACCCAGAGATAATAAGATAGTACTATACCATATTGAAATCAACATCGGAAATTAAATCATGTTCAGCATTGGCTAGCCATTTGAGAAGAATGTACGAAGTTCTCTTGCTTAAAGGATGCTTCTTTGTTGATCTATCTCTTCAAACCAACAACATCTAGGCCTGCACTGAAATCAGCCAGTGTCTTTTGATTCAGATCAATCAAAATTAGTTTATTGATAAGTTGATATTCCAGTAGGTGCTTACTAATCTGAAAGTGTCAAGTGAGCAAGCCAAGTTAATTACTAAGACAACAGAGGTGGCAGATCAGATCATCAAAATCCAAAGTAAGGGGGAGCAGTAGATTGGGTTGAAACAATTAGAATTCAAGTCTTTGGAGTCTGAAATACCATAATTATAGAGATTGAGGAATGATGGACTTAAGGTAGCATGTTGATCTTATAATATAGCTTTGGGTCAATCAATATGAGAAGATTAAGAGCGAATAGAAGCTGTTGGATTAGAATGACAGATAAAATGATGAGGTTCTACTTTATTTTGGGTGATCATTAATTTGCATTTGACATATTACATAGTTGATTATTCATTTATCAATTTATTTTTCTTTTCTAAACAAGTCTGCCATCAATTGGTTCAAATAGAAAAACACGCCGAGTAAATCAACATACACTCTAACACTGCCATTGACAGCGCCAGACTTGATTTGACTTAAATTGCTTTAGGTGCTGTAAATGAGGAGGAACCTAGCATAGCGTATTAATTAATTACTCACCCAAAAACGACTCCTGAAACTAGAGTGATGATCATTTCAAAGAAGGGGATGATAGAATAAATGATGAACAATTGGAAAATGATGAGTCCGCCTGCTAATACGTAGAGAGATTATTGATGGTAATACATCTCGATTCTGCTCTGCATCACTGATAGGAATTGTGAAAATATCTTGACAAATATAAAATGCCATAAATTACTTATCCAAAAATCATGAAGGCCACCATCATGGATTGTTCAATGTTTGTAATTGCAGTTAGTGATATAAAAAAGAAATATAAGACTATTGTAAATAGCACGTACAGTACTACATTTACAGCAGTGTTCTCCGGATTAGTAAAATAAGCAGCCAATGACAGCAAGAAACATCCGAGTGAAAGAATAATTATCCAGTAGGAATTCTATTCAAAGTAATCCTCCAAAGAGTCCAGTCGCAACTATGTGGGATTTAATAATGGGCTTACGTAACTAAACACAATCACTAGGAAGAATTGAAGCAGCATGAGGAAGTACAGTTTTCTTAATTTGGCTGTTTCAGCTACAATCTCTCCTTCCTCTTGAATTTCGTTTCTGTAATTTTGATAACTCAAAAACTGAGGATCTTGAGCCATTGAATTTTGTAAGTATTGCGATTAGGCAGGGTCACCAATCATTCTCGACTGGGGCATGTTAACCTATTATTAACTGTTTTGCATATATATTTTATAAATATAAATTATGCATATAGGGTTGTCAAATAAATTTTCAATTTACAATTCGAAGCGCAAGATCACAAGTTTACATTCCAATGAAACAGAAGAGTTGAGGAGAGCCTTGTCGATTGCCAACTCCCCCGATCTACATAGTATTTGTAATATATAGGGAAAGACACTCCTTTGCCATAATTGTACAGTCCAGCTGCCAAGAAACCAATGTTTTAGCGAGTTCCGCGTTCGAGTGTTTTGTAACCATTGATAAAAGAGGATGATAAAGCGAATGACAAAGATATAATAAAATAGTTACAGGAATCTCCGGAACAAAAATTAGAGGATCAAATTCAGAAACCTCTTGTGGGATCTCAATCAGCAAGAAGCTATTTTTAACACTACAAAGTACTCAACAAAGTTAAACAACAAAATGAGTATCATAAAATTAATGAGTCTATCCAAACGCAGATGCTCAAATAGGCTGAATCCTCTGATGCACTGCCTTGTAAATTAGGAATGGTCAAAATGAATGGGAATGAATCACAAGTCACCATCAACAACCATCATTATGGTGACAAATATATAAAAATGCTATCCGAAGGTTTACGACAAAACCAAGGAGTCAAAGAATTCTTTTTGAGCAATAACAGAATCAAATAGAATGGAGCTGTCTCCATTTTGAGTTAAATTGGAAAATAGGCCATAGTGTTGGATTTATCAAAAAATGAAATTGGACAATTGGGAGTTGATTGCTTGTGCTAATAATTACAATTAAGAGAGAATAAGTAACATTGCATGTTTAAAATAGAATAGAAATTCTCAGTTTGGAAGATAACAAATTGGGTGACAAATTTGTCATCAAAATTCTAAAGTGTTTATTGAGTACTACAAATAAAGTGAAATCCCTTAATATCTCCAAGAACTATTTAACCAATGAAGTGGCAGATACACTTAAGGATACAATATTATAGTTGGACCTACTTGAAGAATTATATCTGCATTGGGTAATTTTACATCAATAACGTTTCTAGAATCAAATCAAGGGTTCTGGAGGTCAGAAGATTTTCGAGGCCCTCATTGAAAATAAAACCATGGTCGTTTTCGATGGCAGTTGGAATTGCTTTGGAATCATCGAAAAATCAAATTGCACCTAAAAGATATGTGAATTTCTCATTGGTAATAAAATCATGTTACATTGTGATTTATCGGCTAATCAATTCACATTACAAGATTGTAAATTGATAGCAACAAGTCTAAAGCAGAACAGAACCATATATGGCTTTCATTTCAATGGAAACTGGGGTGTTATAGATCCCAGGGGATTTCTAATTATTGATGAAAATTCCCAATAAAAACCGCTAGGTGAAACTCCAAGAATTAAGGGATTGGATTAAATCACAACCCTCAGATATGAGAGTGTCTGTTGGATTTGTTAAGGTTGGTAAGAGCAAATGTTTGAATGGACACCTGAAGGGGAATGTGATCCCTTGTTTCTACACATGGATTTTGAAGATTACAAGCAAGTTTACATTCCAAAGAAACTAGACAACTTATATAAAGCTTCCATTAATGGTGCCTTCAGGACAGACGTAATTTCTATTTACTATTATTGATAATCAAATGGTGAGCAATAATTTTAATTAAAATGCTTTTGGACACATTTTGAAACTTAAAGTTAATGGCAATACTGTAATTTGCCAATTAGACAACATTAATGTAATACAAAAACTAAGACATTATCAATTGATGGATAAGAAAGAATTAAAAGCCTTAACATCAATATTGCCAAGGACTCCAGATCCTTTGTATATTCCTCCCAAACTCAAAAAATAAAAAAGAATTTGGAGTTTCCCAATTTCAATTTGGTTCAAAGATTTTCGATTTGAAAACGAAGAATTCCTAAGAAAATGTTTTGAAAAGGATTGGAGTTGTAGCAAGATCATGAAGGTGATTAAGAATCCAGATGAACTCAATGAAGCCAAAAACCTCTTATGGAAGGATTATAAGATGATCAAAGAAACCTACAGATGGTATTCCTCCTACAATCCTACTGGAGATGTTTGGTCAATTTCATCGAATGTCATTACTGAATTTTCATCAGCCACTGAATTAGTCGACAATAAGACGTTCAAGCTTTCAGACTTAGATCTAAAATTCATTGCAACCTGTGCAGCCTCCATTGAATATAAAGGAAATTACCGTAATCCTGAAAGAGCTTTGTGTAGATATTAATTTATGGAATTTCTGGTTAGAGTTTCTGATGACAAATACTTGAAACAAAAATAGGCTAGCTCTATGTTAGAATCTGTTTAGATGATACTCCAACAATGTAGACCCATTATGGAGTAATATAATGCTTAAAAGTGGAGAGACGAGCGTTATTTTAACGAGTAATGCGATGACTGTCTCAAATACTTTAAGCCAATGTTGAATTAGGTGTATAATCGATTTAGTAGTAAGAAAGTGAAGCCAGGACAGAAGAAGTTTATGTGTTTGGATGAACTACACGATATATGCGGTATAGCAGGTTTATTTGATGAGAGATTCGTGGATAGAGATGCTGATTTGGTATTTATTCCTATTTATTTTATTAGGCTTTTAATCTATCAATGATGATGTAAATAGATGAATTGGAAAGTGATAGGATTTTTTAGATGTCATTTATCGAATTCATGGAAGCAGTAGCAAGAATTTCAGAAAAGGTCTCCTTACCAGCTGCTCCTGATATGAGTTGGGAATAACGCTAATAATAACCATTGCATATCAAATTAGAAAGGCTTCTTATTTTAATAGCCTAAACTTGTGCTTCTGAGGAATATAAACAATAATTTGGAAATCCTCAAAAGAGTATATTTGATATCCAACCTGAAGATGATTGATAATATATCTGCTTAACAGTTAATTAAATAAATGCATTATAATGAACATCTTATTCAGAGTGTTTACTGAAGATGTCTCACTTACATTAATATACAAATGTAAATTACATCAGAAATAGATTAACAAACAACTATTAAGTAATAGGTTTTAATTTATTTTACTTAATAATTTTTTGTTTTTAAATAATTAATCTATATGATATATTGTTTCAATTCATTGAATGTCGTTGAAATTAATTATTTTCAATCTTTTATTTGTGATTTTCTTTACATAGTATTAATAATATGTAATAATCAATCTCACAAGAAGATTTTAAGACCTATTTGAAAGGTATTGGACTTCCAGCTGATATAAAATTATCAGTCTCAGTTGAAACACTATATCTCCTCACTAATAAGCAACTCATATATACCTTCTATCACAATACAGATGCCCATTTAAAAGAATCAAAACCCATTTCACTTGAATTTGTTGATATCTTACAGAGACTATGTGTTCAAAAGAGAGGGGGCCTCTGTTATGAACATGAGTTATTACTTTATTATGTTCTTAAACACATAGGATTCAATGTGGAATTGATTAGATGCTTCGTTTAGGAAGCTGGACCATATAATCCCGATTACCCAACTACTCATGGCTTCATGCATGTTAAGTTATAGGATGAAATCTTTCTGATAGATATTGGATTTTGGGGTTAGATCCTTGAGATATCCTCTAAAAGTTGATTTCCAAAATCTTAATAATTCTCATGATTTCTTTCCCTTTGAGCATTTCAGGATTACAGAGAATGAAACCCTCTACTAATTATAGCATCTAATTGATGGAAAATGGGTAACTTGCTATCACTTTTATAAACCAATCAGATTCTAAACCTTAGAGGAGATTAAGTAGGACTATTATAACTTTCTAACAACCAAACAATTTTTGGTTGGAAGGGATAATAGGTTTCAAATCTGTAAGAATACAGAATCTGGAAAAATTCAATTCTTTTGGTTTCGACTTGAACAAAAATTCACAGCTTTCAAGAAAATTCACAATTTTGATAAAGTAACAAAAATTGAATTTGCTAATTATGAAGAGCTCAAAGAAGATGTCAGATAAGAAATCGGATTTATCTTACCAGACAGGAATTTAATCAGATGATATATTTTAGTTCATTTAATTTTACAATTTATCTACAATTTCAATAATAATGAAAACCTGAGTATCTTCTAATATGGATTAATTTATTATTTGTACATTTGAGGATAAATATTAATTGAATTTATTTATAATTGATAATTTTTGAATTAATAATACACAACAACTTTACGTAATCCATATCATTAATAATTTATTTATTATGTAGTAAGAAAGCAAAATTTCGTAAGAAGATATTAATACTTATCTAAAAAGCATTGGACTTCCAACTGATATTAAATTATCAGTTTCAGTTGAAACATTATACCTATTAGCAAATAAGCAACTCATTTACTCATTCTATTAAAATACTATTTTGCATAGAAAAGATTCAAAACCTATTTCCCTTGAATTCTCTGAGATCCTACAAAGGTTGTGTGTGTAAAAAATAGGTGGATTATGCTACGAGCATGAACTATTATTTTATTATATACTTAAACATATAGGATTCAACGTGGAATTGATTAGATGCTTTGTTTAAGAAGCTGGGTGCCCTTATGATCCTGAGTTTCCTAGCACTCATGCCTTTTTATATGTAACTATAGGAGAGGACACATACTTGACAGACCCTGGATTTGGAACAAGATCTTTAAGATTTCCAATCAAAGTTAATTTTCAAAATCTAGACGCGACTCATGATTTATTCCCATTAGAGCATTATAGATTCATATAGGATGAAACTCATTATCAATTTTAGCATTTAATTGATGAAAAATGGGTTACATATTACTATTTTTTCAAGCCACTTCAATTTGCAACTATTGAAGAAATAACCAAAGATTATCATTATTTATTTACATACGAAAAATTTTCTGGTGTCAGAGACAATAGATTCTAGCTCTGCAAATACACAGAAGTTGGAAGAATCTAATTCTTTTGGTTTAGGATAGAAAAATAATTCACATCAATCAAAAAAGTATTTAAAAATAATGAAATAACCAAATCAGAATATAAATCTTATGAAGAATTGAAGGATGATGTAAAGAAAGAATTAGGATTTGATTTACCTGAATAGCATGAAGTTAAATGAATTGAAAGTTTAAATGTATATGTATATGAATAATTATTATGAATGAATGTTCCTATGATTATACTAAATTATTTTAGAGATGATTATGCTTTTTATTTATTCATTTATTTTTAAGTGTGAGCAAAAGGTGATTAGTTTTTTTGTTTAAGAAATAATTCTAAATTAATTGGTATTATTTTTTTAAGTTAATATGCTGTTTACTAACCATTGATTACAATTAAATCAAATGAATAAGCAATTTTGTAAATATTTTAAGGATTTTAATAAAATACTCTAATTAAATATTAATTGAATTATTATGCAATAATTAATCTCAAAAGAAGATTATTAGACTTATCTAAAGGGGGTTGGACTTCCAGCAGATATTAAATTATCTGTGTCAGTTGAGACTTTATATTTCATAGCCAATAGACAAATAATTTACAATTTTTACTAAAATTCAGAGTTACACTTGAAAGAATTGAAACCAATTTCACTTGAATTTGGCGATATATTGCAGAGACTGTGTGTTCAAAAGATAGGGGGTCTTTGCTATGAGCACGAACTTCTTCTTTACTATATTTTAAAATATTTAGGATTCTAAGTGGAATTGATTAGATGTTAAGTTCGAGAGCCAAATAGTCCATACAACCCAGATCTTCCTAGTACACATGCATTTTTGTGTGTTTAAATAAAAGATGAAACATATTTAGTGGATCCAGGTTTTGGAACAAGATCCTATAGATTCCCCATTAAAGTAAACTTTTAAGATTTGACTCAAACTCATGACTTATTTGCATAAGAACACTACAGAATTCAAGAAAACGAGACTCATTATTAATTTTAACATCATATCGATGATAATTGGGTCACCTATTACGATTTTGAGAAGCCCTTGAAATTCGCCTCTGTTGAGGACATTCATAATGATTACTTGAATTTGTTTACATGCAAATAATTTTTAGGAGTCAGAGACAGTAGATTTGTGGTTTGCAGAAATACAGAATATGGAAGAATTTAATATTTGTGGTTTAGATTGGAAAAGGAGTTTACAGCCTTTAAGAAAATCTTGAAATATAATGAAGTAATTAAGATCGAATTTTAATCATATGATCATCTAAAAGAGGATGTGAAGAAGGAAGTAGGATTTGAATTGCCTGAACATGGATTGCTCAGATGAATTGATTTATCAGAGATATAATATAACAAATTATAATATTTTCTTTTTAATCAGAATTAAAATTAATACAATGGAATTGAATGAGAACTAAGAAAAAGCGTATATCTAAATCTAGGATATATGATGTTTTATGCAAAATAGATAATTTCATTTAAAATTTTCAGCGTACCACTTTTTAGTGAATTCATCGCAATCAAGCAACTGAAATCTCCAACCATTGATAACAACTTCGTTTCCTACAATTAAATCTCGAGGAATAAAGTATTCATTATTATTGTGAACATTTTTGTATTTTCTTTTCTCTAAAAACTTACCATCTGGGATTCCTGAGTTTCTTACAGTTGGCTCATAAACCAAAAGACTATCATCATTCAAGAAGTATGTTATAACAAATACTCTATATTGATATCTTAAGCATTTCGTACCTGTCTTTATCCTCTGGTTTGGTTGTATTGAACATAGCCAGAAATCTTAAATTCACTTGATTGTCAACCCATTTGAAGAAATCCTTTTTTGGAGGTTTTGGTTAAAGTCTATAAATGTATCCCAATGAATCCTATTCATCTCCTATGCCATTGTGTGGTGGTATGATGATATCTGAAATAGAGTGGATAATTACTTGATTTCTGCTCTTATTGATATTCTTCCTGGCCACCCAATGGAAAATCAACATTAAACTTTTCTTGATAGTAATATCTTGTAAATGGATCACATCCCTTAATGAAAAACTTTCTGTTGTAAATTATTAATGGTTATCCAAATTGAATATCCTGTGGTCTGATAAAGTCTTCTGCATAAGTTTATCCCGGTTGATTGAGTGAGAATTTGCGAGGCAATTTTTGTCTTCTCAACATCATTGGGAATGGAACTCTACCAGAATTGGCTGAATTGATTTCTTTAATTTCGATGGTATCATCAGCCAAATAATAATGCAAAACATAATCTATATCTGAGAAGACATAGAATTTAAGCACCTACATATAGATCATCAATTTACTTTTCGGTCATTTTCTAAAAATTGCTTTTATGATGTTACTTTGCCACCACCCAATTTATGTTCAAGATAATCCTTCATGACTGTGTCTTTCTGAGGTACATACTTAGTCATTGTTTTAGTCTCAAAGGAATCACATCCTGGATTAAATGATGGTGCTTATTATTGACCAATTCCCTAATAACATTAAGTGAATTGAAACCTCGTAAAATTCTCTAGTGTATTGATCGCAATCGAAGAGTCTGATCGTTTTACCAAATATTTCAATATCTTGGTTGATTCTAAAATCTTCTGGTGTAATAAATGTCTTCGAACCATCAGCCCTTAACACCTTTAGAATATTGATGTACTGCTACTTTTTGTCTTTTCAAGAAAGCTCCCTGAGGAACTCCACTGTTTTCTTATTTTGGCTCTGTGATACTCAAGGAGTGATCTTCTAAATAGTAAAAGATTGTTAATTTGCGAATCCTGTAATTCTCTAAGGCTGATTCCACGACTGCCTCCTTAAAATAACCGCTGAATCTCAGAACGTGTCTGTCCATCTTAACCCAACTTGGTTAATAGAGCTCTTCGGAATCATTTGCCACATTCTCATAATACTGTTTTAATTTAAGTACCTTTGGCATATGCATTGCATGTGTTGTGCTTAAGTAATCTGGATTAAACATTCCTGATTAAGGAGGAATTTAAACAGGCTATTTTCTGGGGACAGGGTATTCTTTATTTGGCAGTTGCTTCTATATATTGTAAAACTTCAATTGTTACTATTTCTCGGTTTTGTTCCTATTTCACAGAAGACACCTTTCTAAAGTTGGGTTTCTTGGATTAATGTTAAATATACATCCAATTCTTATGTTGGCACAAAACCTGGTAATTTTGGAAATGCCGACGCCATTTTATTAAATAATTATTTAAGATTTGCTTTTAGAAATAGTAAAGCAAATATAATCAAAGTATCACTTTTTTAATTTGAACTTAAATACTTAGACTGAACTAAAAATAAGTCAGATCAATTATTCATAATTTATATATATTATTGGAGTTGAAATTACATATCCAATAACTTTGATATAGTAGAATCATTCAAATTAATTCAATTTTATTAGTATATTAATTCTTCAATATGGTTAATCTAAGTTTATTATACTTTTTCAACTATTCTAACATGAGATTTAGGGATTACGAAGTTACATCTTGATTTTTGATTATTCTTTTACCTTGACAAAACATTTGGTGTAGACCTAATCCCCAAGATATTGAGAGAAAATCAGTAACAAAGTATAAAAGCACGTTAACTCTGAAAAACGAGATTGCTAAGAAATATTTAAAAATAAAGAATGGGTTGGTTATTCTAGCAAAATGAATATACATAGATATAATAAAATGTATTTTCGAGAATTATCAATTAGATTGAATGGATTTCTTGTTATTTAGTTTTCAATATAAAGTGGGTTATGCAGTTTAATTATAATAAAAAACAGATGTGCTCTTGTTTTAGATTAATTAATTGTATATATATAATATAGTTATAATGAAGAATAAGTAGCAGTAGAGGCAAGAGTATTTGGTTTAGGTGTAAGTAATAGAAGTGAGAGATCTTAAGGGCGGAGATAAGACTGGGGCTTGTGATCCTTTTGTCAAGATATCTGTGGGTAATTTGCCTCCATAAGTAACCACGACTAGAAAGGCTGCAAATACTGCTGTGTTTAACTAATCATTTACATTCACGGGGTTGTTAATGAACTCGATAGAATTCGAGAGTTTTGAGATTAAAATAGAAGTGTACGATTTAAAACAATTTGGATAAAATCAACTTGTTGGTATTTACTCAGTCGGAATTTCAACGCTCTACAGGAATCCTGCTCACGAGATCTTTAATACTTGGTTACCTTTGGTTCATCCTAAACAAGGATTAGAGCCGTAAGGGTTTTTATTGTCATCCGCGTATGTTATATCCCCAACTGATCGTCCGCCTGTCCACGATATGAACGAGAATAATGTGGAGGAAGAACCTGATGAATTTGGAGGTGTTCCAGATGACCAATTGAATCCAGAATAATTGTAAGCGAGAATAGAGAGAAAGAATAGAATTGCTGTCGTTTCTAAACCTGAAATTCGGGGAAAATCCTATCAATTGATGGTTAACATTGCAAAAGCAGAAGACTTAGCATTGATGGGTTATCCCACCCTCGATAGTTTTATATCTGTAAGAGCAGGAGGTACAGCCCAAATAACATCCGTAATGAAGAACCAATAGAAACCCTAATACTTGTCTCGATTGATGTTCCCTTTGCATTTTCCATTTTTCAACGATAAAATAGTGGTAAGAGTTTGGGATAGAAGAACTATGGCAACAGATACTTTTATTGCGATGATCCCAGAAGTCCCAACAGAAAACGATTATTTTAATATCAATTTTTTGTAGAGTAAAGGTGGAGTAATGCCATTCAGATGGTTCAATCTCTATGGAATACCATAAGATGAAAGACCAGGTGGGTTTCAATAGGCATTTCTTGGTTACAAAAAGAGTATCATCGGAACAGACTTCATGGGCAGAGTCTTGATGTCGATAAATCTTACTCAAAGTGAAAAACCTGAATTAATGGTTGTTCCACTAACAACTCAGAGAGAACCACTAATTGAAAAATATTTATTGAGATTCGACACATATGAGATCTAGGAAGCTAAAGATTGTGGAGAAAAGATTACAGTGAAATTCAAAGTTGGTGGAATAGTCTTTAAATCAAACGAAGCCTATATTAAGACAGAGAAGAAAAGCAAATATAAACAGAAGGCTTAGACTGAAAACAAAGAGATTTAAGGGATTAGTTATACATGGGGCAAATAGATTTAAACCAAAGATGAGAAATTGGATTTACCACAGGATACTTAATAAATTCCTGATTTGATTGTATCCTTACATAATGAGAAGGGCAAGAGAGTGGCCTATTTAAGAATTCCGTATTCAGACAAAGACTTAGAAACTAATAGACCCAAATGGTACACATTCAAGAGTGTCAAATAAACAGATAACAATGATATTCCTCATAGCTTTTTTTTAGTTAACATAATATTTCGAACTGAAAGCGCTGTGTTTAAGATACCTAAAATTATAGTCAAGAGAGATCAATAGGTATATTATCACTTGTATGCCTAATTTTACGCAGGGTATGATTTGTGTCCTGATCTATATTCAGAGGAAGTCCAGGCAAGTTTTGTGATGAAAATAGGGGGTCAATATTTAGAGTTAGACAAGCCACAATCAGGCAAGAATCCAATTTGGAATAAGGCATTCGAGAAAATTGTGAAAATAGATTAAAATCTTGAATTTGCAAGCAACATCATTATAACTTTTACAAATCAAAAGAAATCCAATTCATGGTTCAGTAATAATCACATTGGAGATATATGCATACCTGCTCTTGTTTGTAAGTATGAAGGTGATCCCATCTTTGGATTCCATCATATAATCAATTAAGGTTAATCAGCTGGCAGAATTTTGGCAGCATTTAAATTAAGAGAATTGGGTAAGAATAAAGAAGCTTTTTCAGAAGACCCAACTCCCATAATTCCCTAAGAAGGATTCACTTAAAAATGGGCTCAATTCCCAGTGTTTGGAGTGAGAAATCTAAAATAGAAAATGAAAGATCCAAAATTAATGGTTTAAGTGCCAGTTCCATTTAATATGGTTGATTCAAGTGTTGAAAATCCAAGTTATTACAATAGTGAGCCTTGTGAAATTATTTAGGCTTAAAAAGATTTATTAGAAAATGATAAGAGTTGGTTTGGAGGAGGAATTCAAGATCCAGTCTTCTTAAAATTGGTTAATTTAAAGGTTTTTTTACCAGAGGACATCAAATTCTATCCTTAATTGGAAATTCAATTATCTGATACATTCAATAAAAGTGAAAGATACATTTGTTCAATTCCATTGATTGATGTAGCTTAAACAAAGGATTAAATTTTAATTGATGAAGCAAGGAATTTTTTTGAATAAGGGAAAAATTTTGATGATATTTAGTTAAATGTAGGCAAAAATGAGGACCTTTAGGAAGATAATGAGAATGTGATTGTAAACCATGATGCAGAATCATAAAAATAATAAGATCAAAAAGACACTGTTATGCCAAAGGAAACACAACCTAAAGAAACTGTGAAGTAGAGTGTTGCACCTGAAAAGATGAGTTAATAAAAGTAGAGTAATTAATCAGGCAAATCCCAAAAGTATTCAACAATGTCCAAGTTAAGTGTGATGGCAGAGAGACCTGATTTGAAGATAAAATCTACATTAAAGAATAAGGGAGTTCAGAATGTCGAAGTTACTGAGATGACACATCTTACATTTGAATTGGAGGATATTATAGACAAGAAGAAGGAGAATAAGGAAAAGGAGAAGAAATTGTTGGGAATGATAAAGACTTATAAGACAAAATATAAGAAGTTCGATCAATTGAAATTACTCATTAAGAGAGAGGTAGAAAAATTGAAAGGAGTAGAGATTAAAGAAACAAACTATTTTAAAGGAACCAATGAAGTAGATGAGGATGAAGGGTATGATTATGGTAGAGAAGTGTTAAAGGGTCCATATGAAGAGAAATTAGCTCCCAAGATTCCGTTTAGAAGATTTGCTCTATATAGATTGTCTTCAACTAAATATGGATTAATTGGGAATCCAACTGATGCGGTTATTAAAGGAGATATTAGAATATCAGATTATGGGGGAACTGTGATTGATAACCAGAAATAATCTAAAAAATCAAAGGTGTCGAAAACTTCAAAAAAGAAATCCTCAGTAAAGGATGTACCAGATAAGCCAGATGATTATTCCTTTAATCTATTTGATGAGGGCTTTCTATAATTCTTCAATCAGCCTTACAGGTTAAAAGTGAGATTATACATTTTGAGATGTCTCAATTTAGCAGCATAAAAGTAAGATATAGACGCTTATCATAAAATGGCTGGACTTTAAGCTGTTTGCTCAGCAGATTCCTATCCAGAAATCTTCATAGGGGAAAGCGGACATGATAATCAAGATTTGATCAAACACATCACTGATCAGGATAGACCAATTGAAAATACATTAAGTCCTAATTTTTTCAGGATGTATGAGTTGGATGCAGAATTACCCACTGATTGGAAAATGAAATTACATATTAAAAGTAAAGGGATGTTCGATTCTGTTATTGGTAGCATTCAAATTGACATTGAAGATAGAGTTGTTGGTGAAGAAAAGTTAAAGTAGAGAATAGCTTACACTGTCTTTAAAGAAAGGTTTGAAACTGAAAAAGAAGCCTTAAAATATGATGATAGTCAAAATGCTGAAAGACGTAAAGGATATCTTTCAGGACAAATTACAGATTTGTAATAAAGAATTGAAAACTTTGATAAGAAGTTCAAGGTTCCTGTTGAGTATAAGGATTTAAAAATAGATGGAAGACAACAAGCCTCTTAAGGAACTGTTGAGATGTTTCTGGAAGTCTTGCCTATTGATATAGCAAGAGAGATTGAACCTGCTCCATTGTAGGCTCCATTACCCTAGGAATACGAGGTAAGACTGATCATTTGGGAAACTTTTGAAATACCAAAGGTAGCAACTAAGAAAGTTGTCGACATTATGGTAACCGTAGCTATGGATGCCTCTGCTACAGGCAAAGATGCTGAAGTAGCCAAAGAGACAGATGTACACAATGGTAGTGACAATGGTGATGGATCCTTCTCTTATCGTATGAGATTTCCACTGGTTATTCCATGCCCATTCCCAAGGTTAAAGATGACAGTCTATGACTTTTCACCCTTTGGTTCTAATGAATCCCTTGGAGAAGCTACTATGTCATTAAAACCGTAAGTATATATGTTTAACCCATAGAATTATCAAAAGATTATCAAGGGATGGAAAATATGAGATGCCTCCCACCAAAATAAAGCTGTCTCATCCAAATTATCCTGGGTAAAACAGAGGTTAAGTACTCATTCAAATGAAGATACTTACGAAACAATAAGCTGATGGATAACCTGTTGGAGATGGATAGGATGAGCCAAATGAAGATCCTTATTTAGTTAAACCAACTGAGGGAAGAGGGTTGGCTGACTTTTTCAAGGGAGCAGGTTTTGGTATGGGCAATTTTATGCTTTATGTCAAAATCTTCGCTGGACTTTTTATCACTGTAGTGGTTGTGATGATTTTATTCATTAAGCCAGGCATTTTGGTTAATTGATCAATTATTTAGTATGTATAAGAATTTACTTTTAAATAATAATAATAACATTTAATTCTGTTAAACTGTCAATTTGAATTTCCTGGCTCGATTTGAATTAAGCTGATTATTCGAGTGTAAACAATGATGTAAAACCATTTAATTGTTGAAACATTTACAAAAGATCTAAATGGATGCGATAGAACACTCTGCAATCTGTATACAAATGGATATTTAACTTCTTATATTTTAATCTATAAAGAATGATCGAAATAATGTGATATGAATATTATAATGCTTTCACTATCTAGACCTCAAATTTTATCCTCTCAACTAATTTCCAGAATTGGCTAATTGGGCAAATGATAATGGGGTTTTCAAACATTCCTAAGAGGATTTGAATTTATGTAGGTTACCAGTAAAGTTCTCGCCATCATAAACTGTCAATCCCAATCCATCTGGGATATATATTGATCTAATTTAAGCTTTGAATTCCCTAGGATAATTAATAAATTTACTCAATTTCGCTTAAACTATTGCATGCTTCTAAGGATTCTCCCTTGAAGTTACATTAAGAATAAATGATAATACAATTTCCTTAAACTAATGATTTACTAGTGGTTGAATCTACTGCCTTAAGTTCTCCCTTAACTCCATTTTAGTTATCTTCACCTTATCCTTAATCTCCATCTCCTTATCCTTAATCACCGTCACCTTATCCTTAATCACCGTCACCTTATCCTTAGTCTCCATCACCTTACCCTTAATCTCCATCACCTTACCCTTAATCTCCATCACCTTATCCTTAATCTCCACCTTCTTATCCTTAGTCTCCATCTCCTTATCCTTAGTCTCCATCACCTTATCCTTAGTCTCCTTATCCTTAATCACCGTCACCTTGTCCTTAATCACCATCACCTTATCCTTAATCTCCATTTCCTTATCCTTGGTTTTCCTCACCTTATCCTTAATCGCCGTCACCGTGTCCTTAATCTCCATCACCATGTCCTTAATCACCATCACCATGTCCTTAATCACCATCGCCATGTCCTTAATCTCCATCGCCATGTCCTTAATCTCCATCACCATGTCCTTAATCACCATCGCCATGTCCTTAATCTCCATCACCATGTCCTTAATCTCCATCTCCATGTCCTTGATCACCATGTCCTTAATCGCCATGTCCTTAATCACCATGACCTTAATCTCCATGTCCTTAATCACCATGTCCTTAATCACCATCTCCTTATCCTTAATCACCATCTCCTTAATCTGTATGATGACCAGATCCTAATCCTGGAGTATTGGAATTATCTTATCCCTAGGAATGTCCGTGGTTGGATTATTAAGTACCATTTTAATGTTCTTCAGATTCCTCTTCTGATTTTTCTTCCCCTTAACCTGAACCATGCTCCTCATCGTTTTTTGGTTCAGGAATTTCTTTCACTTTATTTTTTTCCATAGTAACTTCACTTTAAGCAAATCCATTTTCCAATTCCGAAGATGATTATAAATTATCTGTATTTGTAAGAACTTCAAATGCCATATTTGGATCAACTTCATTTTAGCTTAAATTGTTTGGATCGTTAGTCTCAGTAGTAAATCCAACATTTGATTCTAAAATATTTTAAACATCAATTTGATTATCCTAAGGTATTCCAAGATTATTTGGATCAACAATATTGATTTCATTGGGATCTGCAATCAAATTAGTGTTCTGTATTTCATTGCTAACCTCTGAGTTAGCATCAGCCAAATTAGAAACCTCAGTGTTTTGTGTGGGTAATGCTTCTTCCACTGAGTTAGGTTCAACAGCATTAATATTATTTGGATCATTGGTGCTGTACATGGAATCTTATTCAGGCATAGAGTTTTCCAAACTGCCATTCATTGTCATAGAATCTAAGGCTGACATGGAATTGGGGTCAACATTCATACTGTCATTCTCAGTTTATTCTAAATTCATTGGAGCTTCAAGATTGCTACTTTCAACAGATTCTTATTCTGGTGATTAATAATCCATGCTATCAGTTCCGATTGAGTCCATGTCATTTGAGTATACATCTTTTTAATTCATGGTCATTGAATTCATACTGTCAATGTCATCAGATACTTGTAAGGAATTGTCTTCCTAAATCAAATTGCCCTCCAAATCATAATGAGTTACAACTGCCTCAGATGTTTGGGCAAAAGGTGTTGTGATCAAACATACAAAAAGTAAGTACTTAATCATCAAAACGGATTAAAATTATTATATTATTCAAGATCAAAATCGAATAAATATTATTTCTTATATGTAAATCATTTACAGCCAATCGTTTCTTCAAGCTCAACGTAAGTGTTCCTCAAAGAAATTTTAAGCTGAATATTTAAACTCCACAATAAGCTGTGTCATAAATTGCAGCATAAATCCCTTCGTTTTGACATTTTTTCACAAATATTTTGATGTTAAACCCAACACAATTTTGATACTCAAATTTATAAGGTGCATATCCTTAAAAATAAACCAATTTCATTTTTCAGGATCTATTTGTTTAAATAAACCACACACATAATTAATAATATAAAAAACCTAACTGTTTTATTACAAACTCTTATATCTAAAGTATATATATAAACACATTCTTCTTGTACTTTAAATTATTACATTTCAATTTATTCATTTTTAAAAAAGGGAATTATAAATTTTCATACAAATGGAATCTTTTTTTAAAGAATATGTTCCAAAATTACAGATAAGATTATAGACAATAATAAATATCAATAATTTTGATGGATTTAGAGATCTTGACAAAATTTATGAGTATACTTTTACAGACAGAGTTTTCATAGGAATTATGTAAATTAGGATAATTAATTGATTCAAAGTTAAATTTGATAATACTTAATGAGAAAAATAATGATTGCTTTTAATAGCTGATTATTCATTATCATATGAAAGCCCGTTTGTCCCCTCCTCTTACCCTAAGTTTTTTCGAGAACGCGGATGGTAATTCATACTTACCTGGGCCTGGGGTTGTACTGGTTGATCGAAAGGGATCTTTTTTTTCACCTATCCCTTAAGTGATTTCCTAATTAATCAAAATTGCTCTTTACTTTAAATCGAGATGGCGAGGTAAGTTTGGTGGTAGGAGAATAAGCCTCAGGGCCTGGAACTCCATTTTCAGGATTATCATTCAACATCTTGCCCTTCCCTTTCAATAAAAATTTATATCTATGCTAACCCAAATCCTTTCTAACTTTATATTCTCCAGGGCCTCAAATTAAGCGTGAATAATTACCAGGCAGAAATTTGGCAAATTCTGGGGCTTAGTTCTTATTATAGGGCAGATATGTTTTAGAGTACAATTCCCAAGGTCCTCCGAAAGACCTTTTGAGTTTATCCTTCCCAGGGATTTCTCTTACCTCATATCTGTCTGGACTTGGCATTTCCTTAGCATTTGATTCTTACCACATCCATTAAAAGTTTTCTATTCTGCCCCCAAATCCTTAGGAAGTTGTTTTGCTTCCTAATTAACTTGGGAGTTCTAAAGCTTAAATATTAGTTTCTGATTATGAATTAAATCTATGGGCTCTTGGAAAGGAAAATTGGAGAGCAGTATGTCTTAAAGTAGATGAGGAAATGTTGGAACTTAATCCTTATTAATTTACGAATAGTTTATTGGTGCTAAAAAACCCTTAAGAACTGGACATTGTATCCCTCATATCGAGTGAACCACTACTTCTGAACCTCCTTTTTAAATAGTTTGTATTCTCCATATCCCCTTGATATTAGTTTATTAATAAAATAAAAAAATTATTTTTGCAATATAAATAAGATTATACAAATCATCAAACTTTTCCACTTACTAAACTTAAGATATGTAACCAAAATACTATCTGTGACCATCTAATTGAGCATTTATTGACTGTAGAGTGACAAATTGAACTTCAACATTTTTATAAAGAATTTATCAATTTTCTATTTTATATAATTTCATTAATATGCTAGATACAATTTAATATCAGTTTCTTAAGCGAGTGTTTATGGAGGTAAAGATTCATTAAATTACTCTGCGAAAACTATTAGAATAATTCAACAACATTTATTGATTGTAATGTTGAATAAATAGCTAAACTTGCATCGATTTATTGGAAGTTTCTCATGTAGATAATAAACCTTATTTGTAGTTGGATAATCTAAATTCCCAAATGAAACTCTAAAATAATAATTTTACTCTTTCAAGTTAATCAGTAATCTTGCAAATGAATTTTAATGATTTAATAATTAATTTTTTTAAAGCATATGAATGCATTTTCATTATTATTGTGTTTATAAAAATGTAGCTTAACAACATACATTAAGTTTTTAATATTTCAATAATGTAAAATCGATAAAAAATATCTTCAATTTTTATATCTTTTTACATCTCTTAAACGTGATATTAATTTAAAATGCCAAATATAATGGAAAAGTTTTCCAAGGGGTTGTTAAATTTGAAAAATGAATTTATGTATCAATTAGACATATTTGGCCAACTTCCAAGCTTCACAGTTCTCAATAGGAATAAATACACCTCTTAATTAGGCTTTGTGATGTCACTTTTAATAGGAACACTATCCATATACTATTTGATTAATGAAGTGCAATAAATGCTTTCGAAATCAAAGCCCTCGATATATTCCTCAGAAATACAAGTCATAGAGACAGATGTAACATCAATTCATTTGAGCTTAGTCATTTTATCTCAACAATGAAAATTTTACGCTAGCAATAACAATAGCCGATCGCTTTTCGGAACCAGTGATTGGAATAAATAGGTATTTCAATATAAGCGTGAGTCAGTGTGACAGAGTGAGGATAAGAGACCAATCGACAGGAAATATAACAGTTCAATTAAAGTATCAATGAAACTAATTAAGTTGTAACGAAATGCCGCTTGAACCCTGCAACATGTCGCATTTTACTACTGACCTTTAGATAGAGTACTTCAAGACCATCCGATTTGGAGCAGTGTAATGTATTAATCGAGAGTATCAATAGAAAAATCCTCCAGTATGACATTCGAATAATTTATTAGGTCTTAAAGGGCTTATTCAATGCCTTGGAGTATAAATACTTGTACATCCAATTCACAGCTTGCTTGAATAGCAGTACTTACCAAGGGTGTGCTCCTTAGGAAGAGATAGAAGAAGTCTTATAGGCTGGACGTTATAATGTCTACAAAAGTGACTATATATCCCAGCTTGATCAGCCTGGGAAACCATATAAATAAATAATCACAAATGATTTCAGTGGATTTTCTTATAGCACATCAAAAACGATTGTCTAGTCATACAGAATAGTACAAACAATCACAGATCAAGGAATGATTTTGGAAGATGAAAATGTTGAGTAAAATATTCAACAAACGGAATGGAGAGAAATATCAGACTTTTATAACCACTAATATCTTGTTCTTCACGTTATTAAGTTAGACTTCAAACAGACTAATAATTTTAGAACATATATCAAATTGTAAACGATTCTAGGAAAACTGGGGGGTATATTGCAAATCTTTATGATGGTTGTTACCATCATATTTAAACCTGTCATAGACAATATGATGAAACTAGAATTAGCAAACTCCCTCTACAGATTCCAGGATTCATCAGAAAAACAAAATTAACGTTCAACTCAACTTTAAATCAATTAATCGGAGAGAGAATTCTCACCTCCTAACAGTCTTAAGAAGATTGAAGGCTAAAATAGTTAGAAGAATGAAAAGCTCAATAAGTCTATGTTTGAGACATTTCTAATCATTTTTGGGTTGTAGAAAGAAAAGCATTAGCAATTCCTGAAGGCGAGAAAAAAAATAATAAAGAATTTAGACATAGTAACAATCCTAAAAAGATTGTAAGAGATAGATATGTTGAAGCGGATCTTATTTTCAAAAGAGTAGATGGAAATAATAAAGAATTTACCTAAGCCTCTGATCGATTAGAAACAATTCATTACTCAAAATCTGATAGAAAATGATATAGAATAAGACAAGGCGAATTAAATTAATTTATCACCACTCTAAAGTTAGTAATCAAGGCTCAATTACTTTCCAAAAATGAATACAGTTTTGTAAAAGTAGTAAATTGATACCCAATTATAACTATATTTAGATCATTGCAATGTAATATTTATTAAATAAATTAAAAGGATTCTTAAAAATTGAAAGTGAAGTTGTAAAACAGTTTGTTGAAGAGCCCTTCCTCACCTCTTTCTAACAGTCAAATAAAGTGTGATGACATAGATGAACCAGTTGCTTAGAAACCAAAAAAATGAATAAAAATTAATTTAAATAAAGATCTAGAAATAACACATTTAATTCTAAATTAACTTGAATAGATTAACAATCGTTCAGAGCAATTTGATGTTGGAAGGTCGTTTTTTGGGTTCCCTTTTGCGTCTAATCACAGGGACTTCCAAATAGAGTTCTTCATCAGGGACTGAAAGTTAACAATAGGATTCTTACTTTCATAATCATCATCAAATTCATTCTTGGCCACATATTGAATGAGTTTAGAGGGTTGTTGGGTGTAAATTAAAGTTCGTTTAGTATTAGAGGGAGTTGATTATAACTTAGAATTCATATGATTTAAAGCATTTAATCCACTTTATTGTTGTTAAATAATTGTCATTCTCACATCCATTTCACTCATTTCTCTTAATTCAATTATGGTTCTTAAACTTGGAAGTGGTTTTTTTCTTTTTCTTTCAACTTTCAAAGATTTAATTTTACTTTTCACATTCACAAACCAATGGTGTTTAGTAGCTTCTTTTATTGTCAATCTTTTATCTCATATTATAAAACACTTACTTGCATCAGTTTCTAGCATTTTTCTTAGAAGATCCAATTAAGACGAACTGACTTTGCTTTTCTATTGATTTTATTAGAAACCCACTTTTAATTGTTGTTCACTTTCATCAATTCTATTTTTTTGAATCTCAAAATTGTCCATAACATTATAAAAATCTTTATCTTCATTCTTGATCTAAAATACATATTGGTTTAAAGTACTTCATATTTTTTTGAATCATAATAGGTCATAAAATATAATACACAGCCTAATGCATAGATATCAGTCGATATGTTGGGTGCGATGCCTTCAAAGATCTCAGGAGCTAAGAAAGACTCGACTGCTCTATTCAAGATCCAATCTAATTTGTCATTGACTTTATATTCTTTGAAGGAGAGATTTATGAGTGTGATTTATAGCATTTGATGTTGAGTGTTGATTAAGACATTCTGAGGGTTGATGCTACCATGATAAAATTGATGCTAATTGAGAAATTTAACGACTTGGAGGATTTAATATATAATCTAGCATTAGTATTCAAATAATTACAGATGCAATTTATACTTCATGTAATTAGAGATTAGAATTTAGTAGATTGAAGAGGGTCTCACCTTTATAGTATTCATAGACAATAAAAAGATACTTATTATTCTCATATACTCTCTTTAATTCTAACAAGGATTGATGTTTGATACTCCTCAGTATCTAAATTTCATTATAAACAGCGTCTTCTAATTCTTAACATTGTTCGAAATCATCACTTTTGTAAATTTGGACTGTGTATTGGGTTTTCTTGGTTTTCTTAGTGCATGTGTAGAATCCAGGCAATAATTTGTCACCCAATTTGTATTTATCAAGAAAGCCTGTGAGTTTACAAAATTGTTTCATTTATTTGTACCAGGTTCTAAAGGTTACGAAATTGGAGAAGAATAAGTAAGTGGTGCCTATTGAATTGGTTAAGAGCATGCCAAAAGCTTATTGTGATCTATGTTGGATCATTTTCTAAGTGATCGTACACTCCGATAGGGATAAATAATAGGTAGCTCCACTTTGATTAAATTGAGATTGTGGTATTTGTAACAAGCCATTTTAGATGGTTACCTTGATTAGTAAATTTGGCATTAATATAAATTTACTATATTCCAATGTTCCATTCCAAAATGTATAGAGTTATGCATTCAAAATTTCATCTGATTCTTTTAATTACCCAAATTGTTCTTACTTAAGTACATGCATGTGTTGAGACTCAAAATCTTCTCGTGAAAACTCATTAGGATACTTGAGAATCCAATTCAAGTTTTCATCATTCATATTTTACCTTCGACTCATAAGAAAATTAATATAATTTAATTGTTGATGTTTTATAGTTTTCATTATTGTATTCAATCATCATCAGAATCTTAATTATCTTTCATGTATCTATCAATGAGTTTCTGATATTCTTCCTTCGGAATAGAAGACTCTGAAGAATACGATTCCTGTTGCTGTTCAATCATGGGATATTGCTCTTGCTGAAACACATTCGGTTTATTGAAGGATCTCCCATTCAAACTGGTGATGACGGAATCAATTTCTTCCTCCTATTAAGAAAATTGCAATTATTGAGAAAGCATCTCTCTCTGTTGAGGAGTCTGCATGACACTCGATCCAAATTATTCAGCAGATTTTTGAATGGATTGTTAAGGTGTGTATTCCTAATTGGTTAAATTGAAGCTTAGAGTATTGGTTTTGAAATAATTAGATTGAATCAGATTTTGTTGTTATGCTGATTGTGTTTATTGTTAAGAAGATGGATAATACGGTTATTAAACTTGTTACTGATAACTATTTTGGAATTACTATTATTTCTATAGACTAACATCAGAAACCTATTGGCCTCTTTGAGATCCCACTGACGACCTCTTTTGATATTACTATGATATTCTTTGGTTTTTTCGTTTCAGTAATTCTTAAGCTATAGTAAACTCCTCATCTGATGATTCATCATCTTGAAAATGTTGGTTCTATTGAAAACTGTCAGATTGGACTGAGGGATCCTTATTGCCATTGTAATATTGATTTTGGTTTTATTTTAACTTGTTTTCTAGATTCTTAAATTCTTCGCAGAATCTAATTGTCTATAAAGTATTTTAAGTTCCTGGAGTTTTAATGGGTTCTTGTGTTTGAATCAATTCTTCCTTTTTGAAAAAGTTGGATGTGTGTGAATTAATTGCAAAACTGTCCGTTTCTGTTTAGATCTGTTTGTCTGCTGAATTTTAATGTGGATTTGGATGATTTCCTGGATCAATGGTTTATACTTCAATGTGCTTCCTTTGGTCATGTTTGGGCACATTTACAGGTGTCTGATGTCTAGGAATCACTCTTTATTTGTCTTGTTTCGGTTCTGGTTTAATTACTTTCCTTAAAGGAGAAATCTCCTATCTTTCTTAACTGCTTGATTCAAACTATAACTGTTTCAAACTGTTTGTAAATTCCTCGATCTCCGCTTTCAATTGCAAAATCTCACTCTTCTACTATTTGGGAGGAGGTATAGGAGGTGGATTTGGAGCTTGGGAGACTTTTGAATTATTTTCTTTGTTCTCAATCTCATATTAAGTGAATGAGTCAAATTTGTTCACTCTCGTAAGTAGCATCTATTCTTGAATCAAATGTTCCTATTATTGCAACTTCTTGATGACTTCTAGGGATTCCTTGAATTTCTCTTCGGTCTATTTCTATTCTTTTTTGGCCGATTCAGAAAGTTGCTTGTATTTGGTTACTTACTTCTTGCATTCCTCTTCCTTCAGTCTTATCTGTTCCTAGAGCTTTTTGTTTTCTTCTTGCTCCTATGCCAGTCTCTTGATTAGATCTCCTATTTTTGCCTTGTCCTCCTAACACAGATCCTTTATGGTCACAGAGGGACTTGTAGTGCGATCTATGTTCTTGTCGTTTTCATCGTCGAATTGAAACTTGAGAGTGTTTTTGATGGAGGTCAATTTGTTTTAATTACCTTGCTGCTTAGTTTGAGCTATGCGAGTAGTTCTCATATTTAATTAATGTCAATTATTGTTAAAAAATTTCTAAAGACCAACCTCTTGGAAAAGCAACACTTTAACAAACACACTGAAAGAGAGAGAAGACGATTGGAGTACATTAATAAATCTATATCTGACCGCAAGGCTTACCTTTGTTTGTCTCCCACTGAACAATACATATTGAACGACAAAGTATTTTTGCATTCAATCCTATTTAAAGTCCTTACATCATTCAAGACAAGAGCAGCGAATGTATGATTTCAAGACTCCCTTCGACAATGACGCGTGTGTTGAAAGAAAGGAGAAGTCTAAGGAAATGACACTCACTATGGCACTTTCATCGATGAAAAATAGTAATTCAATTCAGCAAAGAACAAAGGCAAAAAAAAGACTAACCTTTTTAGAATCCATTGTATTTTCCCCAGATGGAACACTCAAAATCCTTTGGGATTTTTTGTGTATGTTTCTAATATTCTATGAAATTTTGTCGATCCCTTTTAGAATCAGTTTCGATTTCGAGATAAGCAATGAACTTAGTACATTCATCACTGCTATTTTCTTGATTGACATCGTAGTTACATTCAACACAGCAGTCTGGATCAAAGGAACAATCAACTATCAATATTCAACGATATTCAAACAGTATATGAAACTTTGGTTCTGGTTGGATCTCATTGCATCTTTCCCCTATGATATGGTATTAAACGAAACAATCATAATTAGATTATAGAATCTGTATTGTTATCTGATGCCGAAGAAACTGATTCAACTACCAAAAATGCTGGATCATCTAAAACCTTACAATAAAGCGCTTAAATTTTGAGACTATTAAAATTCTTTCGATTTATTAAGATCATTAGATTACTTCGGTTAGCAAAACTAAAAGTGATTTTCGATAAAATAGAGGAACAATTACAGACCTATACTACCATAAATACAATTGCTAGCTTCCTTAAGTTAAGTTTTTTTGTATTATTTTGGTCGCACTGGTTGGGGTGCATCTTTCACTTTGTAGGAATGCAGGAAGATCCGAATCACAATTGGTTAGTCGTTGCTGGGATTTACGATTAACCTGTAGAAGTAAGATATGTGACATCAATCTATTGGGCTGTCACCACCATGATTACTGTTGGCTATGGAGACATCTCCCCTTAAACAACCACCGAGAGATTTTGTGGAATATTCTTCTTATTGGTAGCTTGTGGGGTGTTGTCATTTACAATGAATTCCATAGGAAATACCATGTAATAAATGAGTTAAAAAAAAGATTAGTAAAAAAAGAATATTGCTGAAATCAACAATTACATGCAGAAAGTAAAGATACCCAAACACCTCTAGTAGAGAGTAAGAAAGTATTTATAATACATTTGGGATTCGAGTAGACTTATTAAACTGGATGCAATCACTGTTAATCTATCCTAAGAATTGAAATAGTTGTTAACTGTCCATGTTAATGGCAATATCTTAGCTACTTATACAAATTTCTGTAAGACCTTCTCTCGTGTCCTCCTCTTAGACATTACTCAAATCTTATTCGAGTAGACTGCACAACCAGATGAATATATCATCATTGAAGATAACCCCAAAAATTCACATCATCTCTATTTCATTCAAGACGGATTGATCAACATTGTGTTGCCTAAGACTCGACAGGTTGTAGCCAAATTAACTAATAAGTAAATCTTTGGGGAGATCAACTTCTTTGGAAATGTAGGTCGAACTGCCTCAGCCAAGAGTGAAGGGTTTAGCGATTTGTTTGTTCTCAAAAGGGAGGACTTCTTGCAGATATTGCAAAAATACCCTAAGGATTTTGAGAAGTTCTATTTAATCTAAGAGGAAGTCAATAAACATCAATTTTAAGTTCTTTAGATACATTGCTTTGCTTGTGAATTGCCAGGACATGTTGTTAGGGATTGTCCACAATTGCATTTCCTTGTGGATCTATATGTGTATAATAAAACAAAGAATAGATGCATCAGATAAATCATGAAGGAGTATGTGAGAAAGGATAGAGTACATTTTAATGCCATCAAGCATTAATAGCTTATCAAGAAAGAGGCATTAAGTATCTAAACTGTAATCCCAATGACAGGATTTATTGTAGAAGAGTGTAATTTGGATGATGGCCAATTTAAAACTATTCAATTTAAAAGTGTTCCCTAACCTTTTAAAATCAAATCAAAATTCAAAGAAGATCGAAGCAGAAGAAGAGAAATATAAAAGGTCATGCGTGCATAATAGAACTAAGTCTAAATGATCAATCAAAAACAAAATGATCTCTATAATCTTACTAAATCTCTCTCTTAATTAATTTAATCCTCAACACCCTCATTAAACATGCAGAGCAGCAGTATAAGTCATAGTAAAATTAATGAAAATGAAAGTTCAGAGGAAGAAAGTGATTCAGAGACAATCTAATAGAAATTGGATGAAATCATATTAGAATATTAAGTTTAAAAAGAAAATTAAATTTAAGAGAATCTATTCACTTAAAATAAAGGTTAATAAACTTATTCTTTGATTGATCATTTTGAAGTTGGATTTGATTTTGAAATTTATAACACTCACAATAATTTATCAGTTGTTTTGAAAGAAGTTTAAAAGTATTACAATGGTGCACAAATAAAACCAAAAATAGACACTGAATACGAGTAAGAATTTTAAATATTAAAATAGTGTCAATGTGTTTGAAGAATACTTGGATTATTATGCAATCAATATTGAGGATATCAATAGATTTAGACTTGAAGTCAAACCAGAAAGATTAAAGCAATTTTTACCATTTACTACTTTAGTTGAAATAAAATAATCAAGACAAGTTTTTATTTTAATTTCCTATTTTTAGTTTAAATTAAATTAAGGACGCATGAAAAATCCATAACGATAATCTGAAGTAAGTTCCTCTGAACACTATTCAAAAAAGATGTGGATAAGTTGAAAATAGATACATCTATATTCTATTTTAGTTTATAATAAAGTTATAGTATAATAGATCTTAAATTGTAATGCTTGTCTCCAAGTAGATAAATAACCTAAGAAAACTTAAATTTATTGTAATTGTATTTATATAAAAAGTGGAAATAGTTTGATCAATATAATTTCTCATTTTGATTCTTTCGTTACTTATGAATATCTTGATAAGATTTATTCTAACAACATGAGGATGGCCTCTCGATGCTGATTGGATTATAGAAATGAGGAGAGAATGTACATTTGCTGAGCTCCTATTCATCTTTATCGACTCTCATCTTCTGTAATTTTTGTTACTTCTTCTTAAGAAATAGTTCATTTCTTTCTATTACTGATAAGCCCACCCAATTCTTATAACTTGCCTTAACATCCGTCCTTTCACTCATTATATTACTGGCAGATATTTCTTGTCTCCTGAAACAAGGTTCTAGTTAGGCTAATGACTACTGTCTTATGAACTATTGTCTATAAGTGGGTGTTTTTGGAGTCTGCGTCTAAGTAGTAATTGTTTATGAAGGAATTTTGTGTTCTTTATACTAGTTCTAAGATGGAGGAGAGGGAGGTTGTGGTTGCTTGACAAAAGCTCTCAAATTAACGAATATTTTCTTAGAGTTTGTTTGAGTTTTGAATTGATCTCTGAAGTCAGGTTTCTTCTCCTTCTTCTGGGCCATCAAATAACTTAGTCGTTCTAAATTGGCTTACAACGTTGAATCAATTGATACCAATTAATTCATTTTTTATATTAATATAAAATGAATAGTTTTATATCTCATTTATTCTTAAAATCTAATCACAAAATGAAATATATTTATTCATATACTTTCTAGAATATATTTCATATAAAGTTCACTAACTAAGTTCTTTTTCATAAAAGAATTGAATCTAGGCCCTCCTTCCTTGACTCAATTAAGTGGCACCAGCTTTAAGCTCTTAATTAATACCCTGTGCTGTACCATTTTTATGCAGAGTTCTTTATAGAAAAAATTTTATGTTGGCATTTTTAAATCATTTTCTTTTTGAATGAATGTTGTCTGTCAATTCTATTTGCCAATTAAGAATACAGACTACATTTCTTCAATGTTAAAATCAAAATTAGTAAGAAGAATTGATCAAATTTGTAATTTATATAATATAACTACTTAGGATTTCTTAAGCAACGACAACTAAGATATTACATAATTGAAGTGTTAAGGGAAAATCCAAGCATTTTGATATAAATCCAAAGTTTTTCTTGATATAAATCTAAAGTTGTCTTTAGATTACTCAATGCATTCTTTCTAATTACAATTCAATTAGTTTTTGTACACTAATTTTGCCCAAACTTTACAGAATCTTTACTTAGGATTTAAGGAAACTTCATTGAAATTCAAAAGAAGAAAATACTAGAAAAAAGATAAGAATTTAGATATTATTATCAATAATCATACTTAAATGCTTAGTCGCTTCTCAGATCTGCTCTCAGATTTGTTGGAATAAGATGAACCCTTCTAACCAATTTACCATTAAGAATATCCAAAACATTTTTGCTAAGCAGATTAGTATTAGTTTTTGGAGATGAATAAATTTATGACAAAAAGGGTTGGGCTCTTGGATAAATCTAGTAAATATTCAAGAGTTAATGAGCTTTTCTTCAGATATTTTCATTTCAAATCAGTTTAATGAAAATCAAATTCTTAAATTATGTTTTTAGAGAAAATGAATTAAGTTATTAACAAGAATTTCAAAACCATTAAGTATGAATTATATTAATTTTATCAATAAATTAATAAATTAATATAACAAGATATTTCATTATTTAAAAACTTATGAGAAGTATAAAGGAAATAAGAGATGATATAGAAAAGGCAATAAGATAAATTGAAAAAAAAATAAGGTTGAACAAAAAAATAGCAATCAAAAACTATGTTAAAAAATATAAAAGACTATTAGATGAATTTAGAGAAATCGAGAGAGTAAGTGACTCCAATTTTAAGTGGAATGATTGAAATAATATATATTCCTATAATATACTATCATTATTAGTCATGATTTTTTATGATTTACAAAAATAATCTTAGGTAGTCTTCAAATTTTGACTTAAAAACAAGAAATCAGTTTTGTTGATTCTCATTTTTCGAATAAAAATATAGTAATAATAATGCTATGCATTGAATTTGATTAAACATTGTTATTATTATGGATATTAATAGCAAAAGAAGAATTTTGAAATCGTGGTTTATACATAGAGTAATTTATCAATAAAAATTAAATATTTAATATTCATAATTTATATAAGATCACGCTCAGTAATTTACAAAGAAGTATTCGTTTTCAAAAGTAAAGACAAAAATTTATACTCATAAGTAAAATTTAATCCTAACTTAAAATATAGCTTTGTGATTGTGATGATGATTGTACATTTTAACATAAGTTAATGAATATATTTTCAAAAGAAAAAAAAAATTATGTGCCTATTCTAGGGCAAAGCAAATACCCTTAAAGCAGGAGAAGATAAGGCGGAGAATGAATAAATGATTATTTATTGGATACTATAATAAGATTCTAAAGCGATTTAAAAGAAAACAAATGAAATTAAATTTTCGCTTGGAATATATGAAAAACCTTATTCAGCATTTAATTTGGATTATTTAAAATGGTAATATTATGAAATATTGGTGTACAAATTTAACTGATTATAAGAGAAATCAATAGAAAATTTGATTAGAAGGAACTATCCTTATCATCACTTCAATATAGGAACTCGAATTATGATTAGAATAATTGACATCACAGAATAGTATGAATAATGATAATTAAGTTCAATCCTTATATTTTCAGGAAATAGTAAATTAAGAATAAGTGGTACATCATCAATACTTATTGAATATTAAATGGCCATTAATTGGCAGACTGGAGAGTTACTTAATAGAAAATGGATGGTTAACTTCATCCATTTTTTCATTATATCCAAATTTCACAGGAAGAGTTCATTAATATGAACAGAAGAGTTAAGGAAGTTAACTCTTACTTTTTTGAAGGTAGAGTAATTGGAAATTGTTTTCCCTAGGAATTAAGTCCATTAGAATCATCTACCTGGTCAAACGAGGATATTTGATATGGAAAATTTGATTTGCATTAATATTATAATTTATAGAAGAAAATATAAATTATAGGATTCACAAATAGGAGGGGGATGTGCATATAAGTTTGGAAGATTAGAGTAAACAAGTAGAGAATGCTTAAAATTATGATTAATTGTTGTTTAAATGAAGGAGTTATAAAATTTCGAGATTTAATATTAGCCACCTTCATTATTACTAGAATGAGAATAATAGAGGGATGAATTTCTAAATAATTGAATAGCATTAGCAATACTAAAATGAAATCTTTAAGTAATTAATTAGCTAACATTCTTATCCTATTGATATTTATTTTCAATTTAATAATATTTAAAATTTTCATGTTTTTCCCTGAATAAGAATACAAGACAAGTACTAAAGTATGAGACTCCGTTCTATATTAGAGTGAAGATGAACTCAAGAAATTGACGTTGGAGGAGGATTTGAGTGAATGCCAGAGGTCGTATCAGATATTGATAAAGGGGCAATAATTGCAAAAGAAGGCAGTAACACCTATGGTTTATATTTAGATATATTAAAACTTGCATAGAATTTTAAAAGAACCAAATGCATTCGAGATTTTATTCAAAGTCATAGTGTATGATATATTGATTATTTAAGAGAGGAAATTCAGCAACAAGAGGAGGACAATCAAATAATTGCAGCCAAGTCACTTCATAAATTGATTAAGGAGAACTCACTTTAAATAACGGAGTTATTATAAATTTATGATTTGACTGCTCAGATTCTAAAAATTTGGTCATTGCCAGTTTTGGATGAATGGATACACACTATGGATGCATTGCTTAGAGTTATCAGTCTCAACATCATTCTAAACCCAGTGTAATAACTGATACTACTGCTGACTGATGCTTCATAGCCAACAATTTCTAGATAAAGTGCTGCCAAACTCATAGGCACATTGGCATAAGTAATTTGGTTCATGAAGATTAGCTTTTAGGAAATGAGATCAAAGGGCCGTTGTTGGATAGAGCTAGAAATTTGTGTTCAGATCATGATAAGGAAGTAAGATTGGTGATGGCTGAAGATGTGATAGTGAAAGTGTGTTAATAACTATCTAGTGATTTGATAGAGTGTTATTTGCTTGAAAAGATCATGGAACTGTATTATGATACAGATATCATTGTAAAGAGTTCAGGCATGAGATTATTCTTCACCATCGCCAATTTATTATCAGTTGATGAAATCAAAAACAGATGCACTAAACTATTCATTGATCAAATACAAAGTTTAAATGAAGATAGTAAAGTTGTCATGTCTAAGATGTGTGGTAGAGTTTATATGTTGGTAATCAATATTTTAAAAATTTAGGTTAAAGATTATTTAAATGTAAATTAGACATCTCTATTTCTCAACATCTATGTTTCATATGCCAAGAGTAAGAACTTGGATGTGAGAATCAATTATATTTCTAATTTCCCAGCCATACTCTCATTGAGTCTCAAAAAGTTCGAATTCTTTCAAGAGTAATATATGTTGTGTTGCAATGATCCCAATGAATCTCTTTAGAGGTCTATCTTAAGTAGTCTTCATGAGGTTGTACTTCTGAGTGAGAATACAGACATTTTAGTTCAAGTTTTCATTAACTTTATGAAATCGAAATGTGTTGCAGTCTTACAATTGTTAATAGCGAGATTTACATAAATTGTCAATTCGTTTCAAAAACAAGTAGTTTGTTAATCTTATGCGTAGTCAGTAACAACCACTATTTGGTCAACATGCCCTTGAATTGCTTAATAGTCTAATTGCGAAGAATCAATGGGATCTGCAAATAGATCTACTATCCAAATTTTCGGAATGCCAATAAATATTCCCTGAAATCACTACGTTTCTAAATACTATGATTACAACCATAAGTAAGGGAATTCCGAAAACCAAACAATTGTGTTGTCTGAACATTGCCAAATACTTAAGTAACTTAGGAGATCTAAGGAAGAGAAAGGATTGGATCATCTAACTATTTGAACTCTACTTTAAATCAGATAGCTACTTTAATAGAATCACCTTCATTGATATAGTCCAAGAATTCACTTAATTCATCTCTAGAAAACTATTCAAACAATATTAATTTTACGATATACTTATCTTCTCCAAGGACCCGATCCTTAATGTGAGGGTGAGATTGATCAAGGTATTTTTCAATTAGAATCCATTAGATCTTGCCAATCCTCTATAAGAAGATAGATTCCGAAGATGCATCCACTTTGAATATGTTCAATGATGCTGTTCAAGACTGTATCCTCAGTGGGTCTCGTTCCTTTCAGTACATGATCCAACAGACTAAGGAAGAACTACTAAAGCCAAGTGATGAAAACGAATTGAATCAGAAGGATCAGGAGATGCTTGAACACGAGGAGCAGATCTTTAAGAACGATTAAAAACAGCGATAATTGCTATTGGATTAAGAAAGAGATGATTTGGAAATCAATAAAATAGATTTAAATGATTACTTGACCAAATACAAAAAGAAGTACCCTCTTTCCAAAATAAAAACCACCAATTCAACTTTGCACAGTCAAACCATGTTGATCAAGAAACCTCAATTGTAAAACAATGCCACTTAAGCATTCCTGGTAAAGAAGTCAGTTGACTTTGATTCCAATAAGAGTCCCCTCTTGGATGCTGCTTCCTCTTTGAAAAAGCCTGTACTTAAATCCAAAACCCCTACGACTAAGAGTATTTGTGATATTAGGAAGTAATTTAAACTTCCTAGCATCAAGAAATGAAAGAAGATAATATTATAGATTATTATTGTAAATTCCTAATTACATGAGTTTTTCTCATGATTCCATCTTCTTCTCATTCTCGATCTCAGGAGCTGCCTCAAATTGATTGGCTGGCAAATTGCTATATTACTATAAGATCTCCAATTTATGCTTCTCAGCCCTTCTTCTCCCCCAAATTATGAACCCAATAGTCAGGGCCAAATACACACAAGCTGATACAATGGCAGTAGTCTCCGAATTGGTTTGATTCTTAACAGGATACCTGTAAAATTCGATCTAGTATTTGAGTATTAGGAACAAGGACAACTACGATTAAATGATGCTCCATTACAAATAGGATGAATCCACAAGCAAAAATGATAGTCCAGAAACGAATGCAATCCATATTTATTATTAATATTAATGAACTGTTAAGAATAGATTCGCTATTCTGACATCTTGGATGGGAAGTACGAGATCGATCAATTGGAATCCATCCACAGAACAGAGAAGTACCGATCCACAAGTTCAGTTCAAACCAATCACTACAAAGATCTAATCTAAGACTTAATCCAAGTCTCATATTATCTCATATAATAGGCTCAAAGTAGATGTGCTGATAATATCAACCAACTGGGTTACATGCTCAATCAACAATCGAGCAAGAGATACACTTAATCTGACTTTTCGACTCCCAAACTCAATATGTCCTAAGTCTCCCAGATTTCACAAATCTAAACACCGAATAAACCGATCCAAAGCACCCCTGGTTCTCCTTCACTTTTAAATCAATTGAACAATGAGTAAATCATTATTACTAAGTCATAAGCAATCTGTTGGATCAAATTGATAAATTAATTAAGATTAGAAAATTGGATCAATCTATCCTCTTAAGAATCATCAGAAAACACATGAATAATTGTCCCTATTTTGTGTAATTAGTCAAGCAAGAGTTTCGCAATAGTATTAATAGTTTATAATGATTGATTATTAATGTACTTTGGGATCATTCATTTTATATTATATTCTAATCCTTTTTAGGGTTCCCAATCATATGAATAATTTATAATATCTAAGCATTTTATTTAATAGTTGATATTTACAAAAGCATGAAGAGTGATTTTATCTGAGAATATTTGTTATGAAATTAAAATTCTAATTGTTTAGACATTCATCTAAGTAAGTAATTTGATTTCACATAAATCTCAATTATTTAAGTGGTGAAGATAATAGGAAATGATGAAAAAAATAATGAGAATAATATAATTGATTTAATACATTTATGTTAGTATAATTGATGTATATATTATATAGGCAGTTAATTATATTTTGAAATCAAAAATGGGAGCAACAGATTCGAAACCAATCACTAAGCTTTATGATCACTTCAGATAGATTAATGTTTATAACAATGGTATGTCGTAAAGTAGATGATCATAGACTTTCCTGAGTGTCTAATCCTATAGCATAAGAGAGATCCTCATCAGAAGTTGATTCTTCGTACTTTGAACATAACAGATGAGATTCACTTCAAGAAGGCTGTCCAACAATACCAAGTAAGACATAAAATCAATCATTAAAATGTGCTTAATCTGAGCAATTACTTTTACCAATTCGAGTAATAACTCTGTGGACAATTCTACAAAGTCTACTTACTTTTTGAGTATCCGACTGGCAATTTGGAGTTAGTTCCAGCACTAAATGAAACCCAATTAGTATCCTATTTGAAACAAGCGATTGTAGGATTAGCATGCATGCAAAAAAATGAGATTCCGCACAATTCACTGTAACTCAAATACCTGTACCTGGTTGATGACACAATCAAAGTGACAGACCCAATGTACTTTCAACATAACACAAACTTTATGTAAGTGCTCTAAAATCCGAATTGTTTGGAATGCATTTATCTATCCCCAATTTTGGTGAAGTCAATTCAATTAAACAATTGGTAACCAAAACACAATGAACACAAGAGTGACCTATTCACATTGGGCATGCTCTTCCTCCACTTGGCCTTAAATTAACCAAGTTCCGATTGTTACTCCTACGAACAAGGCCTACTAATTGAGGATGTTTTGAATAGTAAACTATAAAAATTGAGGCAGAGATATGGACAGCAATTCTGCGATTGGATAACAACAATGTTAACAATCAAAGAAGATCAAAGGCCAGATTTCTTATAGATGGAACAATACATCACTAATTAATAAGTTCAGAATAAACAATAATATATCCCCAATGTAATTTAAAGGTAGATCATTATAGATCCTACATATTAATCTAATACTCTATAAACAATACAACAACAACATCCAACTATTGCCAATACTACAATTCAACCAAGCCTAACTTAAGTGAATAGTCTCTAATAGATTCAATCGAGAAGAGTTCAATAAGTGTAGAACATCGCACCACTAGAATATGTTCATTAATATTCAATTAAAACTGACACTTCATAAAGAAGTCTCACTCCCTTAGGCAAAATATTAGTACCTCAATAGTAACTGATAGTAAGAGATAATAGAGATAGTTCAGTCCCAAGACTCAGAGGATCGAGACATAGCAGCAAGGATGTGAATTAGACATACACATATGCTATACCAACAATTCCCACAGATTTGTCTATACTTAGTAATAAAAGTGGATAGCACTAATAAATATATTTTCCTCCAAAACCTTTATCTAATAAAATGTCAAATACAAGAACAGCAACTTAGTAATAATCTAGAATGAATTATACCACTTAATAAGCACAGGAATATCAATTCAGTAGTTAAAAGGGCAGCAATATATAAAAGTAGCCTGCTCCAATCCAGGCTCTGCAACCTGATCAATGTGACACTCTACACTTCAAATAACCTAGTGAAACCATAAGCAAATAGTCGTAATTTGATGAAAATATAGACCCTCAACCTGATGAAGATATCGAATAAACCACCTAAAGATAAGAATATTTCAAATTTTCTAAAATTCTTAGTGATTCCACCAATCTTCCTTAATAAATAACAGCCACTTAAACCAAGGAGTTTTCATTACCATATGACATCCCTTAATTTAAGGCTGACAGTGTCAGTAGACCAGAGTTTGTAGTTGAGCATTATTCAAATGGATCTCGTTATGAGGGAATGAAAGCCAATGGCATGAGACATGGATAAGGAAAGTTTTACTATCAAGATGGTGGATTGTATGATGGTGGGTGGAAAGAGAACAAGATGCACGGAGATGGTAATGAATCAATTACATTCTTTTTTAGGCACACTCTATTATGCAACAGGACAACCTGCCTATTAGGGACAATGGAGTGAAGATTAGTTTTAAGGTCATGGAACTCTATACAATGAGCATCCTTAACCATTGCAAGAATCATTTGATTACAGAGATTTCGACAATGTTGAAGAGTATTATATAATATCCTATATGTCCTTAGTTACTGGATTAAGTATAGTGGAAATTTTGATTAGGATAACAAGGAAGGGTAGGGTACCCTCTACTTAACCAATGGGGAACGATTTGTGGGCACTTTCTAAAAAGATTTTATAAATGGTCCTGGCATATTCTATTGTATGAATGGAAAAATCATGGATGGCAGATGGATAAACAACAAACTAGTTTATTGAATTATCTCATTAATTTTTGCATCAACAGGATTTGATTAATTATGTTCTGATTTCGGTTCTCAAATACTCATCAATCATATATTTCAAAATTAAGGGAAATATAAAATTAAGTTCTGCCTTCATAATCATTAAATATTGATTTATTTAATTTAATGCAAGACCCAGAACTCTATGTTCGAAGCTTCCAAGAAGAAATTAGCCAAAGAAACAAACGCAAATAGCCTTAGTAATATCCTGATGATCTTCGATTACATGAACGACCCAGAGTCAGAAAGATCGAGCCTCCCTCTTAGATCATCGGTCAGTCATTACTAAAGAATCAGAGCTATGTGTATCACAATCTATATAATCTAGACCTGATCCTATCAAAAATTTTACGAAACCGCTTATCAATTATTAAATCACCAGTCCTTCTGGAAGAGATCCATAGCGATACAATCACAATTTTTCGTACCTAGGGCAAGATAATATCTTTCGCAAAGAACCCTACAATCAAAACCAGAAGGATTATGCACCTCAAAGATATTCACAGCAATCTAATGAATAAAGAATAAATTACTAAAACGTAGGCAATATGCTTATTGGCTATGATAGTTAATAATAGTTAAAAACACAAACACAATTATAAAATTAATAAATGACTTAGTCACAATTGTAGAATTAATAAGCAGAAAATGTATATCCTTAATAGCATCAAAATTATTAATACCAATAGGAATAATAATTGTAAAATTAGTAATTACAACAATAATAAATGCATTCATAATAATTACAATAGTCATAACAACAACTTTCATAATCATAATTACCACAATAATAATATTAATTATAACCAAGTCAAGCAACATAATAATAATATTAATTGTAACCAAGCCAATCAACGCAATAATATTAAACGTATTAATTACCATCATAAAATATTTAACAAAACTAGTATTTCTCTTAATAATATAATAATTATTAGGCAGGAGCACCAAACACTTTCAAATTAAAAAGTGATAGTAACCATCAGCCTTTCAATTATTATGGGTATATATCTAATTCTAATTATATATAGTTCAAGAGCATTAAAAAACTTAGATAGTACATAAATTTATTGAATAATTTAAATTTATTATTAAAAATATCTTAGAAAAATATTAATTAATAAATACCAAAGTTTGAGTAATCAAATCTAATTTTTCTTTATTTTTAATTTAAATTCAAAGTCTGTTGATTGGATTTTAAGATGATGATTTATCGTAAAAGTATACATAACATTATTATCAATCGAATTTCAAAGACATAATCTAGAATATAATTTATTTATTTAATGGTTTATTTACTTAATACGATATGATATTAATTGAGAATATCTTTATTACTTGATTATATAGTATAAGAATATAGAGTCATAATTATAAATAAATACTTCTATAATAAAGAAACTTTATTTAAGATTAACTTAAAACAATAATAAAATTTAATTAAATATTAGGAATAGTTTCATCTTGTTACAAATTTATAAAACGAGAAATACTATTTTCCAGTTTGATTTTGAGTAGTTACCATAAGCTTGCAGTTTTTATAATTTAGAATTAAAAAAACTTATTTAAATAATTTATGAATTACTTTTAGATAGTGTTATTTAACATATGCTAAATTTATTGACGTAGCTGTTAAATAAGAATTTAATCGACTAATATATATATTGATAAGTTAAATTGTTAAAATTTTGTTTTTAATTTGTTAATTTTAGACTTTATAATTAAAATATTATGATGGATAATCAGTTCTTAGACTAAAATGTAAAACTAATAGAAATAATCTTTAAAAGAGCCAAATTTACTTTATGACTGAATTTAATTCAACAAATGTGAGGGCTGTCAGAAATTTGAGACAATTATTTTTATAAAGTTAGTTTTATATAAGCAATATTTATTATTTTTAAATAATAATGCATAATCTTTCAACTTCACCGAGATGCCCAATAAAATTTCCCACTGAGCATATGAAATAAGATAGTAAAAGCATGGCTTTTAGAGACTTCATTCAAATGTAGCAAACCAAGGATGATATGAGATTCTAAAATACAAGACGACTGTCACCATTATAAGGCTCTCCTATTAACTCTAAAAAGGAAAGGTGGGAAAAATAGTTAAATACACTTTTACGATCTGACTAATAAAATGAGTTAGTCATTAAGCATTCATCTTAATGTCAAATAGCACTGAAGGACTTTGTAAATAAGGCCAAGAATTTTCGAAGCCAATAACAATCTCCTGCAAAGACTGCCTATCAACTACCGTTGATAGGGGATTCACAAGACATCATACTCCCTAATTCTCCTGTTCATTTTAAATTCACTCCCATCTCAACAAAAACTAAGGTATCAAGTTTTGCTGGATTAAGAAATGTACAAGATCAACTTGAACAACTAAGAAAGCCTAAAATACATTCCCATCATAGAGAGTTAAAGTAATAACCAATGACCTAGACTGAAATTATAAGCAAATTCTTTGAGACTAAATTTTAGAGAATCATAAAAACTTAGATAAAACAATATGGTTGTAATGAACTACTTGATTAACATTCAGAGACTCTTTATTCACGTATTATTCAAGATCGATAGTTAAAGGTCAAATTCTAGGGAAAATCATTAAAGTACTTGAAGGATATTTATAAGAGCATCTTAGGAATTGGGTACACATAGGAAATCTTGCTTGATCCATTTCGGATGAGAAGTATACATGCACCTTTGTTTATAAAGAAGGAGTAATTTATTAGATTTAAGTATTTCTTTATAAACCAATTTATGGATATGGAGACTCCAGTTGAGTTGTTGTTTAAAGGATGCTATAAATTAGAAAATTTTAAACCATTAATATTAAATGAGAAGAGTGATTTTGAGATATTCGGGGGAGAATTCGGAATTAATGAAATTGCTAAAAATACTTATGAAAAGATCTTTAAAGATTACACATTAAGTCCATACTTTAAGGCAATAGAATTAGAGGAACAAGCAGTTAAGTTTGCGAAATTATTTGCCCAATTGATTGATCATACTGAATCACCAAATTATACCCTAGAAGTCTTGAGAGAAAGACATGTAAAATACAAGCTTACACATGTTTAATTGGCCAATTTTAAGTTTTATTTATCCACCACGCTGTAAAAATTAGGAATCAGATTTAAGCATATTAGAATGTTGTTAAGGAAAATGGATACTTACAAATTTGCCATATTAAACAAATAATCATTGTAGGAAAGCATATTCAGTTCTCCTGGAGGTTATCGGGAGTTCATTGATAGTTTTGTTCGTTTATGTACAAGCGAACCAATCCTCTTTGATTTAGTTTAAAAAAGGGGGAAGTAGAGATTTACTGCTCATTGTGAAAATGTTTTCCATTATTTTTTTAGAGATAATGTCAAGTCAATTACAGATAGTGATATTGAATCGATTCATAAGAATAAAACTATAATTTCAGAAAAGGTCTTTAAGAAATTCAAAGAGAAAGCCATGCAAGCAGTAAGCAAAGTAACTAATGATCCCATTTTATTAAGCGATTTTGAAGAGGATTGGGAAGAAATAACTCCTATTCTTTTGAATAGACCAAGGAAGACTATAATAAAATAGCTTGGAGGATAACATGTGATCAATAGAATAGCATCTAAACTTGAAAATGAGATCATGCAGCGACCTTTATTATACAAAGTATTTGAAGTAAATAGTAAAATTAACTAAGGATAATGAATCATCTGTGGGTTAAAACTTAAGATGCAAACTCAATTTAATTCTATATGGACTCCATTTTTACAAAAGAACAGATATTGAGGTTCTTCATAAACGATTAAGAATAAGAGAGTAACCATATTTCGAATTTTAATAAGTACTTAATTATATCTACCAATTTATTTAGGCTATGAAAATAGTTATGCAAGATGAACCACAAAAATTATACTTTATTCTTGATGTAATAGATGACTACAAAAAACATATAGTTTTCGATTGATATAAATTTTATTATTTATGATATCTGACTCTTAATAATCATTTAAGGATTTCGTATTAAATTATGCAGTTAAATAATACAGAACGAGCAAAAAGAAATCCCAAAATAATTATCACGAATCCCAAAGGACTCTCTTTGAATCATAAATACAGGGACTTTAAATCGAATAAAACTTGAGTTATGCTCTCAGCAACAGACGAGCATCCAATGGAGATCCTTAAACACATTTAAGATTCAAAGAATTATCATGCTCCAAAACAAGTAGGTCAGAATTGCCACTCTTTACTATTAAATAATGGAGTTAGAAAAAAAAACCTTCTTATATAATTCGAAATTCATAAATATTTAATGATGTTATTCGAAAAGCTAGTCATTAGAACTCATAGTAATAATTGGTGCCTATAAAATCTTAAGATTAAATAATTAAAAGTTATCTTCAAAAGTTATCAGTGAAGCGTAAGGTGGCTCCTAAACCTCAAGGCACTGAAGATCTTCTCAATTTTGAGGTAGATCAAATATATTTTGATATTACTCGTAAAGATACTATGCTCGCTCCAAAATTTCCTAATAAAAATCAAAATGGAGTTAAACAAATTTTTAGGAATTTGTTGGCAACAGCTTATGATTAATAAATGTTTTTGGATTTAGCTCGTTTAAGAGTGATTCATAATGGCATGCAGTTGACTCATGCTCATTTTTTTAAGTTTAAGTATCACTTTCTGAATAGGTTTATGCTTTTAAATATACCAACAGAGAAAATGTTCAATTCCTGTGAAAAAATTGAAAACATGAGACCTTATATACTGAATGAAGTCTTGGAATATGAGATTTATGGAGGAGAATAAGGTATCTAAGCAATAACCAAATCCATGTATAAAAAAATCTTGTCTGATGTCACACTTGCTCCTTATTTTGAAAAAATTGATGTGGCTACTTAAGAAATCAAATTTGCAAGATTGTTCTTTCAGCTCATTTATCATTTAGATTCGCCAAACTATTCTTGTGAAACTTTAAGAGAGAGACATGTTAAATATGCATTAACAAATGTTTAGCTTACAAATTTTAAATACTATCTTTCTTTAACTCTTTAAGAATCAAATATTCCTTGGAAAAATATCAGATTATTATTACGCAGAATGGATATCTACAAATATGCTATAATCAACAAGAAGGATCTCTAATATTATGTGAACTAAATTGGCTTTCATTAGTTCATTGACAACTTCGTGAACAGCTGCTAGTAAGATACCATGCTATCGGAATTAATAATTCGTAGAGGAAAGCAAAGATTCACTGCTCACTGTTGCAATATTTTCCATTATTTCTTCAGATATAACATAAAAGCTATTACTAGAGATGATCTACATTTAATACATTGCAAAAAAGCCATAATAAATGAAAAGATTTTTGAGAAACTCAAACAAAAAGCCATCCAAGAAGTCAAACTATTAACCAATGACAACTTGATTATAGAGGATTTCAAAGAAGATTGGGATGAAATTAGGCCTATCATTCTTGGGGAAGCGAGAGGTCAATTAATAGTCAATCTTGGAGAGGATTACTTGATTTCAAAGGCTCATTCGATTCTAGAGTACGAGTTTGCTCAAAGAAATCTTAATTAAGTATATGAGACTGAAGAGGCCAACATGAGTCAAAGTATTTTGTGTAAACTTAATTTGTTACTTTACGGAGTTAGATTCTTTAAGAAGTAGGATTTACAAATAATCCATAAAAGATTCAAAATCACTTACTCTTAATATTATGATTTTCAATAAAGCTTTAAAGTTGCTTTGGAGGATTATAAAGTATTAGATTTTGTACATTAATTAATCGAAGAATATGAGTAATTCATTGTCTCTGACTGAACTGTTTATTATAAATTATTCATCATTTTAAATTTTCATGTAAGAACTTTGCTGCCAAATCTAGGGCTTACTTAGCTACTACTTAGTTATATACTTCTGGTCTATCTTGATTACAAAATGCATGTCCTACTCCTGGCCATATTTTCACTTACAAACTCTTATTACCTTACGATTATGCAGTTTATTCTAATCTTTTAGCGTCTTAAACTGATGAGAAACCTACCATCTCATCATTTTAACCAAATTAAGCTAAAATTGGTCCATTTGCATTTGATAATTTGAATGCACTTAAGTCACATACACCATAAAATGGTGCAGCAGCAGATATTATTTTAGATGTTGTAATCGCTGCTATGCTAAGTGCTCCTCCCATACAAAATCCCAAAATTCCAACTTTTTAGCAATGCAATTCTTCCTTCAAATAACGTGCTGATTCTTCTATATCAATTAAAGCTTATTTCCAATCTAATCCAGAAAGAAGATGTCCTGCCTCTTCTGTATCCTTAGCTATCTTCCCTCTATACAAATCAGGCACAACACACTTGAATCCATAAGAACTCATGATATCTGCTGTTTTACAAATGGATGAATTGAGACCCCACCATTCCTAGATTACAACCAAACCATAAGGTGCAGGTGTAACATAGACTGGTAGTTTTCCACCAATTGTTCTAGTAGGAGTTGCCTTTTGGTAAACTAGAGAGTATAAGAATTAAGGCCTTAAAATCTATTTTTGCATATAAATTATTTTTATAATAATTCATAATTATTCTGAAATATTTTTTTTAATTATACTTCTCTGTTATCTATCCATAACTGATTTATGTGTTTCTTAAAATAAATTAAACATTTTTAACTCCAGGCCAAATTCCAAATATTTCTCACTTGGCTCTCATATTTACAAAATAATTTCTTTTTTTGTACATTTTTTTATACATCATCAAGGAAAGGAATATCTTTTGATTTCATTTTTCATTCTAAAATAGTTCACTTTATATTTTATCCAATATCAATTTATTAGAACCACTACATTAATGATGTAATCTTTAAATGATAGAGCTGTAATTAATAAGGAAACTCCCATTAACTACCCTATGTCTTAAACCCTTGAATATTCCATTCCTTTCAGATGTTTTGTTGTCCCCATTTATGACTTCTCAAACAAGTTTTTCCTTATATGAGAGATGGATTTGGTTACATTTAATAAGTATTAATTTATATTGAATTTGCATAACTTAATATTGATTAGTATCATAGCATTCAGTACTTCTTTATTCCTTATTTCAAAATCTGATATCCACCATTGTTTAAAGGCTCTAATTTTTATGATTAAGTTGATAGAGGTGTAGAGAAACCCTAAGATTAGGACACCATAAATTATGCATCCTATTAAGCTATCTTTTATCTGTAATTTGCTAATTCCTTTGCGTGTTAACTAATCATATCTTTGATTCTCTATTCTAATTCACTGTTCTTCTTTCTTAAATCATAAAGTTCTTTTATTGTTGAATCGTCGACCTGGGTTTAAGAATATGGTTATGATTTATCCTAGAAAAGTATCTTCTCGTATTTCTATTTATACTAGTCATTATCCTTTTCTAATTAATTAATTCGATTTCTCTGCATCTCCAATACTTATCTCAAGGCATCCTCATTTTAAAAGCGTCTAAGTTATTTCATAATGAAATATACTCAGAAACTGAATTGCTTCTTCCATCTGCTGTCTTTAATCTTTTAGTTGATATGATATTTGTAAATGTATTTTTCATTTGAGAAAGTTGTTATCTTTACAATTAATTTTCCTTCCTCAGCAATTCATTTTCTTGTTGAGTCAATTTCACTCTTTTCTAAAGAAACTATATATCCTTATCCTTCTCCTTATTACTATTAGAATCCATGTTATTTTAATTAATATTTATTATTTAAATAACTCAACAAGAAATATAACATAAATGCGAAAATATCACTTTGAAATCATATCATATATGAGTGAAACAAAAACAATTATATAAAGAATTTTGAATTCATTAAAATATTTTCATTTAACTATATTTTGCTAATTTGGTTCTATTTTCTGTTGAAAAGAAACGAGGAGATGCTTAAATTGATTTGCTCCGTTGATCGAACTACCGAATTTATCTTTGTTTTATTGGACGCAAATCCCTATTTTTCTTCTCGCAAGTTTGGACTATATTTAAGCATTACTGAATTATTTCAGTCCTTTTAAAATAGATACCGTCTACTTCAACATCAGAGGGGTTGTAACCTAAACAGGCAACTTTGAAGAATTAGAATAGTTATATTGGCGATCCTGAACATGAGATGCAATCAGTATTTAATATTATCGAGTTCTTCTTATTTCCCAAATTTATTTAACTCTAATAATTTTATTAAATAAATTACGTTCATTATCGAGAGCGCACTGTCAATTTAAATATCTTTTGCACCTAACAATTTTAGACCTTCCTTATCTTATTCATCCTATTTCAACAAGCATAACATATTGGAAGATAATTTTATCATATTTTGTTGAAATTTTTTCAGAAGATTTATTTCTTCATTCAACTTCTTATAATCACTCCTTTAGAATTCGTTCTATACCTCATATAATGACTCCTGTAAATTAGTTATAGATAACTTCTAATTTATCGACTATTTTTCTATATTTTGTTCTAAGCTAGCTTAAAATTATATTTAAGACAAATAGAGCTCATCGCTAAGTTATTTGATCTTTTATTTTAAGGAATCAATTTAATTTGATTTTTCCTCCATTTAAAGATCGAAATATTCCCTTAATTAACGCAACTATTCTTCAAAATAAACTAAATTTGCTGATTATTTCCTTTTTTTTATCTATTAATTTTAAATTTCTTTATGGTTTACTATTTTTTGATCTTCTCCTTTTTAATCCTCTAAGTTAGAATCTTGATCATTATTTTCCATATTTTTGACAGTTTCTGAAACCTTCTAAAATCTTTTAGTAGCATTCTTCACTATATCTTTTTGCTAATTCATTAGTTCTTAGATACTGATATCATTATTCATATTTAAAATATATTTATCAAACTCATCCAATTTTTACTTTTCAAATGATGCATATTTATAAAAAAATTACACAGGTTAACAAATAAAAAGTGCATCATTTATCTACCTTTATACATGATATTGTTGATAATATAATAAATATATTTCTATTGAATTCATCCTATTACATATTTTATCCTAATCTTATAATTTTATTTTAATATTTTTAATTTCTTCTTATTGCAGTTGACTCTTTAAAGTCATTTTATCTAAAGTGAAATCCTGTTTTATTTTTAGGGAAATTTTTGATAATTCCTCCTTGATTTCATTAATTTTCATTGATTCTACCAATAACTTGTTTTCTTAATTAGAAATTTAACTTATCAATTTTCTCTAGCTTTAATCAATGTCCATTTGCGATTTTTTTAATTCCTGTAATTATAAATTATTATTTTCGTTCAATTTATTGACCACTTATTCTATAGAAGATTTAAACAATGTATTGTTTGCCTTAACATCCTCTAGTTCTCTTTTTGATTCTATATATTGCTTCTCTGCTTGTTTATTCAATATACTATATTCTTAAATTTGGTTTTTAATCTAGGAAATTTGCTATTGTTTTTCTTAAGCTTATGTGATACAAAGTTTAAAATTATCTTGTAATTTATCCTCTAAAAATTACAACTTTTATTTTAATTCGTTATATTTAGGTTCCAAATTTTCTTTTAAAGTTGAAACTTCATTAACTTAAGCTTTATATTTTTGAGACATTTCCGTTATCAGTGTCTAATTTTTATAAAAATTATGAATGTGAGGTTCCATTAATCTTTATATGAGAGAAGTAAGCTTGTTTTCCAATTCAAAGTTTTCAAATTTATTCTAAACGTTTAACATCAGTATAAATGATATGAAAATTATATAAATTTTTTTTATAAAATAGTTTGAACTCTCACTTACTCATCTTAAAATATATTATTATGATATCATATATAGTATCATAGACCTTTCAACTCAGCCTCATTTAATTATCCACTTATCTGAAGCAGCGACGTTCTTATACTAAGTAAAAATCATTGAATTCAATTTTCAAGCCTTGTTTGATCTAATGTATAAATTACTCTTCCCTTTGAAATGTTCCTTTTAAATTACACCAAACTTCCCCAAAAAGGAATTCTCTTCGATTTGCACAAGAAAAGAGATCGATCTTTTCAGATATTTGAGAATTCCGATTAAACTCCAGATTTTTCCTTTCAAAAAGATATTAGAGTTTAAATCCAAAATGTATTAATTATTTTTATACCGCATGAAGCATCATAATATAAAAATGATGAAAATCCATCTTCAGCTTTACTTTGTAGTTTAATGATTAAAAATTTAATCTACTTAAATAGTACCATAAAAAAATCCTTTTGCATAATAACGATGCCTCTTCAATTTAAAGATTATCAGAAGGGTTTCCGAATTTCTTATTAATCAACCATAATATTGGTTTTAGTACTTTGGAATCAAAAATTTTAATTCATACACATAAGCAAATTTTAAGTGAATAGAAAATAATACAGTCTTTAGAACAAACTTATTGATTGTTAGCAGCTAGCTTTAGTTTCTTCCCAAAACTAACTTTTGACTAACTCTAATTTAAACAACATCATTCTTACTAAGAGTCAATTTCTTCTCAATAACGCTTTAATTATTTATAAGTGATGATGTTTAGTTTTAAGACATTAGTAATTGCTACTCTAGCACTCGTCTTATGAAAATCGCAAAACGAAATGACATTTTTTGATTATTCTAAATGCACCTTCAAAATCAGCAGCTGAATTCAGCCTATTTGCAATATTCCAACCTATATATTGAATATTTAGATTAAGATTAAGAGTCATTCTTCCAATTCCTACCTTATCCATCCTTTTATATATCACCTTCATTATATTAGAATTTTCTTGATCATCCGCAAAGATGTAAACCGCTTCATTTTCCCATGAGTCAATTCCAATTAATTATCATATATCTTACTTCTAAAACTAAACTTTTCAAGTTTATTGAAGAATTTGGTGGCAACTCAAATAATTTGCTTGCAATTTACATGGTTCTAGGATCTCCAAAGTTAAAAAATAAATGTGATTGGACCTTCTGTAATTTAATCATACATCAAGCACCCTATCAGCCTTATAGATCATTCATTTCATATATAACGATCTATGTCTTAATTTCCTTTTAATGATTGAGATACAACTTAAGGGGCTCTAATCACTATACTTTAGTAATATTAAGATCACTGTTTTGAAACTCATAAATAAATAACATCTCCTATTTCATACATTAAAAATGAATTTTAAAAAATTTATTTTTTAAACTTAATTAAGAAGTATTTCATGCTTTATTATTAATACTTTAATAATTTCAATTTTCACAAAATATATGGTTAAAGCGAGAATTTTGTTTTTGCAATAATTTTGTTAATCTAGTTACAAATGAGTTCAGGCCTGCCTCAATATAGGTTTTTGATTTTAGTTTTCATAAACCAAATGATAACTGATTGCTCTCTATCAAAATCAGTAAAAAGCTTGAATCTGTGAAGAACAGTCACAAATATCATGGTGTGAATTATATTATTGATTCTTTGTGAGAAAGAACAAAATTTTTTCCCATGTTTTTATTTCGAATCCCTATATTTTCACATTTAATAGTATTGACACTTTTAATTTTATTGTTTTTATTCAAGAAAAATGATAATCTGATAAATATTAATAATTATGAGAAAAATCATACTTCAGCTCCTAGAGTCTTTCTGTCAAGTTTTTTATATTTTTATATACATTAAATGGCTAATGTCTTTGCCTATTCTTAATTTTTAATGTACTTATTATCATTAGTTCAGTATCCTTGATTTTCTCCAATAAATTTTGTGAAATTTAATATTATTCAATAATTAGATTGGTGCTGGTGAATTTTTGAGGTTTTGAAATATACTTTTAATATATTTTTTCTTAAAAATTTATGAGCTAAGTAAGATTTATCTGCGTGTAGATAGCACAGCTTATTTATTCAATATAATTTTGTTTGAATAATATTCATCAATGATTAAGTTTACAATGAGGATCTATGATATATTCGCGAGGTGCAGCTATTAGAGTGTTAAATAAACTAAAAAATATATATAAGAAATAAATGTAGTGATTGAATTAAAGTTTTATGAAAATCTTAAATGTTACTCTTGTGCAATAATTTCTCCTTTTAGTAGATAAATATACATTATAATTTCAACTTAAGATTTTGACTATTGGATTTCAAAAAAAGTTCTTAGTATAATTTTAGCATCATACATATAAACAGGCTTTAATGTAATATATTATTAATGGATATTTTATATTTTTGTTCTATGTATATGTATATGAATCATTGTTCGACTTCAATCCAGCCTCCTTCAACGTTTGCACTCATTTAAATCAATGAAAACTATATAAATAATGTTAAGATCTTACATCAAAGTTTTGAATGCAAGGTTGATCCTAGGTGTAAGTAACCTTCTTTCCATTGTAATCAGTGCTTTCATATAAGGTCACTCTTCCTTATGGTGGTACTCTGATGGATCTAATTTATGGTGGAATGTTGTCCTTTTAGAAATCAGGAGATTTAGAGCAGAATTCGAATGAGGCTCCCTTGTAATCGCATTCACTATAGAAAACTGCACAGGCTTCTTTTGGTTCATACCATAACTTGAAATCTCTGAAACCCCAAGATTCTAAAGGATATAAAATTATAAATACCATCAGCAGCATCTTAATCCAAAGTGGATGTGAATACAATTTCAGCTTTTGGAGCTTAGTGATTAAAGATTTAATCTACTCCTGTAATACCATCAAACCAAACTCCTTATCCACAGAAGTTAGCACCTCCGGTTTAGAGATTCCATGAAGTCTTCCATACCTCAGTTCCATCAACCTTGATAATCATGAATTCTCCATCCCAAGAGTCGATTTTGTAGATTGTGGATTAGAGTCTAAGTCTTTTGTGTGGTGGGACATCAAAAGTCTTGGTTGCACTAGCACCAACACCCATAATATCAAAACCTCCGACCATTGATTTGCCACTGCATTCGTTAATTTATCTTCCTCCTTTGTTTTTATTAAGAACCCATCCGTTAATTCCTGTGAATTTATCTTCCAAAAAGGATTGTTCCAAGAGAATGAAGTTTGGTAAAGCTTAGCATTTTCCTCCAACCAAAGCCCAATTATTGGCACATTCTAATAATAATAACTAATTATTATACTTTTGCAATCAGAATCTTTAGGTCCTGTGCATTCATCACAATTTTCAGAGCAGGATGCATAGAAAATGTATAAATCTCTCAAACCAAATGATTCATTGTTTGCAGCTTCATCTAAAGTTGTGGTGAATTCAACTTTAGCTTATTCACCGGTATGATCAATGTCAACTTCGGTTCTAGCAAACATTGATTTCCATTCAAAGACAGGGCATCCACAGATCTTGCCAAAGTAACCCTCATGCCATTAGAATCTTCTTTCCCAAACTAACTTTCCATCAATTTTGATTTAAGCAGCTTCATTGTCCCAAGAGTCAATTTTAGCCCAAAGCACTTTAATCTTCAACTTGTAATGAGGTTTAATTTTTAAGACCTTACTAATTACAGCTTTAGAACCAGTCTTATCAAAACCACCAAATAAGGCAACACCTATGAATTGATAATTATTTTTATATACCTCCACAATTAGTAGCAGCATTTTATCCACCAGCAACATCCCAGCCATCAGCACCTAATTAGTTTGAATCTAAAGATCCCCAACTATTGGCGAATGACTACCAGAATTAGCAATTTTCGGCTTTATCATCAACCTAACAAGCAGAGCAACCCTCTGGACATCTTTCAACAGCCAAAACAAAATCTCTGATGGCCCAAGATTCCTATTTTATAAGATTTATAAAATTACATTATCTGCGGCTTCATTCAAATTTGATGTAAACACAACAACTGCAGTTGCACCTGTGTGTTTGATATTTAGGTTAAGATTAAGAGTCATTTCTTTCCAGTCTCCACCTTATCCACACTTTTATCCATCACCTTCATTGTATTAGAACTTTCTGGACCACACAAGTTAATCATCAACAAAGATGTATCCTTCTTCATTATCCCATGAGTCAATTCTAAGTATTTATCAGTACATATATCTTACTTCCAAAATTAAACCTTCAAGTTTATTGAAGAATGTGGTGGCAACTCAAATAATTTGCTTGCAACTGCTCTGGCACCAAATTTTCCGAAACCTCCAAACATTTTTGTGCCACTGCATTCAGTAACATGAGCTGGTCCACCAGCAACGACCCAACCTATTAAATTGTTTGTTTTATTACCATCAGCATCATTGAAGGCATTTCCGGTGAATGATTATGACACTACGACTGGCTCTCCTAACACTGTAACTGCACTACAGATTAGTACCAATAGAATGACTGTTCTGTTTTTCATAAAATAAATATTACATATCTCAGTTCTCAAAAATACTTAAAAAACGAATTTTTCATAGTTAATTAAATTTTATTCTTAAAATCAAATATTGACAAAAAACTAAATATTACTATGCCGATTTAGTTACTATCCTTTAATTTACAAACATTCTCAATCCTTCTTAATTTGATTTATTTATTATAGTGAATTGTAAAAAAAAGTTTCATCATAGTTGCAACTCTTTTTTTCTCAAAATTACTTGATCCTTCTTCATTAAATTACAAAAAAGTTCATCCATTTCATATTTAAATTATCAAAATTTGCATAAAAATTAAATAACTCTTATTTTAAACCAATCTTGCTAATTTAGCGATTAAAACCATTTATTAAAATATTAGTTTAAGTGTTGCAAAGTTTAAAGTAACTAGTAGAATAACCTCAATTAATCCTAAACTTATTATACTTTACTATCAACTATTTTAATTACTTGTTAAATGAAGCACATAATATTCAATCAATTAAAAACTTTATTTCTATATCATTATCAATAATCCAGTTGTTCCAATTGATCTTTAAAAATTACTATATTTGAGGTTTTAGTTGATTTCTACATCAATTTCTGAAATATTAGACTCTTCTAAAAGCTCAATAATTTACATAGAGTATTAGCTATATTATGATTTCATATTTTTCCTTTGCCTTGATTTTGAGTTTAAAATTTAGAATAAAGCCTCTGTAAGCCTCTGTAATGATGAATTATTTCATTTTACAGGTTTTAAACAAATGTTAGGTCAAGGAGTGAGAATGTATTATTGATATGTTGATTAGAGGCTTGAAGTTTTAACTTAAGTAAAAAATTAAGAAATTATAACCTACATTTATTCCCAGCATGAATTCAATTTGACAATTAAACATTATTTTAATAAAATAAGGATGAAGTTTAAGGAAAGTAGATAAAATTAATTATCTGAACTGATAAATCATACATTAAATATTCAGACTTTCGAATTTTTTATACTAGTTAAAAGGAATAGTTGCAGATGTAATGAAAAATATATAATTATAATAAATTAAGAGATAATAACGTGAAAGATTTATCTTTTATTTTTACAAATATCCAAGGCAAGAAGATAATTTTCGTTAAATACAAAAGGCAATTATCAGTCTAAAATGAGGGATCTAAGTGTCCCAATTTTCACTTTCATTATAAAGATTTGCTAACGATTTTTACTTTTGAATTAAATTTTCTTTTAGTAGTTTCGTTAAATCTTTAGGAAACAAGTTGAAACAAACTAAATTCTTAAACCTAAAAATTTAGAAAATCAAATGTTATTACTAAAATACAATACAAGCAGACCCTATAATCAATATTTATTGAAGTTTAATTAACAATTAAATAAATTTTAATAATTATAATTTTCATGAAAAATTTCGTTAAAACAAAATCTTTCACTTTTGACTTAAAACATTTGTGTCAGTCATATAGGTTTGTAATTGTACAATTGAATTTATCATGTTAATTATTTACATGAATTCTTCGTTTATTAATTTATAAACTCTAATTTGATAGCCCCTATCAGGTATTAATTAAATCAATCTTATCTTTGAAGTTAACAATCAAGCTAAAATCACTTCCATTTTGAAATATCAGATTTTAATTGTTCTTCAAAATTTGATATTTAATTTAAAAATGCCAAAGATATTAGAAAGCATTTCTCTAACATTGTTAAAATTAAAAAATGAATTAGTGTATCAAATAGACATATTTGGTCAACTTCCAAGTTTTACAGTTCTCAATAGAAGTAAATACACGTCCAAATTTGGATTTGTAATGTCAATTTTGATTGGAACACTAAGTGCATACTATTTGATTACTGAAATCAATTCTATGATTTCAAAATCGAAGCCTTCGATATATTAAACAGAAATTCAAGTTTTAGAGACAGATGTAAATTGATTCTTATAACTTAGTCCTATTATCTTCATAATGAAAATTTCACCTTAGCAATATCAATCGCCAACCGCTTTTCCGAGCCGTTGATTGGAATCAATAAATACTTTAATTTGAATGTGAGTCAGTGCAGTAGAGAAAGGATAAGAAATCCATCAACAGGAAATATAACAGTCTCATTGAAGTATAAAATAATTTAAGTTAGGTGCATTGAAATGCCAATAGAGCCTTGCAATATGTCGCATTTTACAACTGACCTTTAAAAAGAATACTTTAAGACGATAAGATTTGGCGGAGTTCAATGTATTAATAGAGATTATATAAAAACAAATCCCCCAGTAAGAAATAATTTTAATTAATTAGGTTTTAAAAGGCTAATTCAATGCCTTGGAATATAAATATTTATATATATAATTCACAGCTTGCCAGAATACTAGTACTTTTCAGGACTGTGCTCCTTAAGAAGAAATCTAAGATATTTTGTAAGCAGGCCATTATAATGTCTATAAAAGTGATTATTTAGCCTAGCTTGATAATCCTGGAGAACCATATAAATAAATTATTACAAATGAGTTCAGCGGTTTTTCTTATAGCACATCAAAAACGATTGTGTAGTCATATAGAGTTGTTCAGACTACCACAGATGAAGGGTTAATTTGGGATGTTGAAAATGGTTAGTAAAATATTCAACAAACAGATTGGAGAGAAATATCAGACTTTTATAACTAGTAATATCTAATTCTGCACTTTATCAGGTTAGACTTCAAATAGACTAATAATATCAGAACATATATCAAATTGTAAACTATTTTAGGAAAACTTGGAGGTATTTTGCAAATCTTTATAATAATTGTTGCTTTAATATCTAAACCTATTATAGACAATTTGATGAAGCTTGAAATAGCAAATTCTCTCTACAGATTTTAAGGCGTATAGGAAAAACAAATCTAACCTCCAACTCAAGCCTAAATTATTTAGACGGATAGGGAGTTCTCATCACCAATCAATTTGAATAATCATCCTATTGAAAATTTAAGTATAGACTGTAATTAAAAGCTAAATCAATCTATGTGGGAGACATTTCTTATCATTTTTGGGTTTTAGAAAGATAAGCATTAACAATTTGTTAAAGCCAGAACAAAAATCATAAAGAATTTAGATATTGTGACAATACTAAAAAAGTTATAAGAGATAGATCTGCTGAAGAAGATCTTATTTACTAAGGAATAGATAGAAATTCTGAAGAATTTACCACCTCCTCTAATTAATACGAAATTACCAATTCCTTAAAAATTGATAGCGCATGATTTAGAAAAAGAGAAAGATAATCAATTAAACATATCACCATCACAATGCAAACACTTATAGTCCAGTTAATCTCAATTCGTTCCAAAATTGAACCCAATTTTGTCGAAATCTTACATCAATAACTAATTAAAACTATATTTAGATCATTGCAATGTATTTAAAAAAAAAAATTAATAGGATTCTTAAAAACAGAAAGGGAAACTATCAACTAGTTTTATTAAAAGCCCTTGCTCTCCTCTATCAGACATTCAATTAATACCATGTGATGAAATAGAAGAGCCAACTCCTTAGAAACCAAAAAAATGATTTAAAAAAACTAACTTAAATAGATATTTAATAGAATAAAAATTTATATCCCTACTCACTTGTATACTATGAGAATCCATTAGAAAATTTGTTATTTAATGGTATTTTTGTAATCCTTCTATTTTAATACCAGATTGTTTTTTATTCATTCTTGTGCATTGATCATCATTTTCAATTCATATTATATAAGGATTTTAATGCTCTTTATTGTTATGAATTGGTTATCATTCTAACTTTTTTTCTTAATTCAATAATTTTCTTAAACTTGGAGTATGGTTTTTCTTTTTCTCCAGCTCTCAGAGATTTTATTTTAGCTTTCAAATTCGCAGACCAAGGGTATTTAGATTCTTTTTATTTAAAATCCTTTATCTAATATTATAAAACACATACATTAATCAACAACTACATTTTCCTTAGAAGTTCCAATTAAGTCTATCGATTTTATTTTAAGCCTACTTTTAATTGTTGCTTACTTTTATCAATTCGATTTTTTGAATCTAAAATTATCCATTACTTCTCCATCTGTTTTACGTATTGATAATATTTTTTATTTTAAATGCTTTCCTCTAAATTTAATTAGTTTTATACTTTTTCTATTTATTATAAATATTAAATAAATTATCTATCATGAGATTAAGATTAATTATGATTCAAAAACTTAATAATTAGCTTCTCTACAAATATATTAACCAAAAGTTAAAGGATGATAAAACTTGAAGAGATTAAAATAATCTATATAGATGTTAATCTTTATATATTATTGTTTGCTCATTTTGGTTCAGTGTGTCCAACGCTTTTGCTGGCCTCATAATAGCCAAACTCAGATGGCAATCTATAATTTCCAGGTGCAGGTGTTTAATCTAATTTAAATCAATTATTTACATTTTTCATTTGAACCTGTTCTTCTTGCTTCTTTTGGAAAACTTCTTACATTTGAATCATGGAATTTAGATAAAAAATATCTGCCATCCTATATATTCTTTAATCGATAATACTTATTAGATTCCTGTCTTATCAAGTCCATATTGTCCTGGACCAGGTACTTTAGTGGCTATAAAAATAAGAGAGGTACTCATTCTTACAATAATCAGTTGTAAATCTCTTTGAGGATTTTGGATTGAATAAAGTGGCACATGAATTGTTGTATTTTGATATTGGATATCTCCCTTTCTCGTTGATAGCTGGTAATGATTCATATTATCCTGGTCCTGGAACCTTAGCATTGGAAATTAAAGAGCTTTTCTATGGTTTTGGCCTCATTGTGTATCTTATATCACTTAAGGTATTTCCTAGATCATAGGTTCCAGGAGCTAAAGGGGTAAATTAAAGAGTTGTAACCTGGAGTCTTGAGATTTAAGGTTCCTAAAATGCCTGTACTGGCCATTTTATCTCTGCTCACTCCAAATTTAAATCCTTTATTCTTTTTCTAATTATTTTAGACATCACTGCCTAAATCATATTGTTGGGGAGATGGGCTTGGAACAACTACTTTGGTGAAGTCAACCCTGTATTTTAATATTCATTTGTACTTATTGCCTTTGCCGATGCCAGCTGATCTTTTTTCAATCATTGAAGGAAGATTGTAAAAGGCTTATTAGCAACTAAAATTGAGATCAGAATCAATTACAATACTGGATTAGCTAATTTGCCAAATCTCTCTGATTTGGAGAATGTCCATAGATTCTTAGATGGACTAAGGTTTAAAGGTGATTGGCAAATCTGTTGACAGGTCGAAACAGTTATTGACATTATAAAATAATTATTGTAAATCTATAAAAACGTAATATTCTAATTTGTATTCACATTATTCAAGATTATAATGCAGACTGACATCATTAGTAGTAACTTAAATGGAACTGGTAGAATGAAGGATAAAATTTCACAATTGAGTGAAGATATTTAAGTAATTAAATTTTATAATACATTTTTGATTACATAAATATAGGAGAATTAAGCAGAATTGCATATAGATAATTTGAAGTTAGGATGCAGAGGTTCAGTAGATATGAATCTTTGATGAATTCAAGTGATTAAGATTAATATTTATAATTATAAAATTGAATAATTTTATGATTTATGGTGTGAAATTCAAACAACCTAAGTGGTATAAATTCTATATATGTCATCAAAGGTTGCAAGTTCTTCCTCCTTTTGCTTTCTAAGTTCCAAGTAATGTTAATATGAATCATTGTAATCCTAAGAATAAGTATTTGATTAGTACATCTTAGCTAACTTAATAAGCGATATCGATTTGCTTAAGTCTTGCATTACATTGTCTAGCAATTCCAACTCTACTAGTTAATTGATTTGTGAGTTTGATCTATAATATGATATATAATAGTACTAGGTTTTCTTTTTCTCCAGCAACTTATTTATCAAAGTATTGATTTTCTAATTCAATGTGCAATTTAAAGTCAATGTAGATCATGGAACTTCTGACTTCATCCTCTTATTCTAAATCTAATGACTTTTTGGAATGCTTTTCAATTGCATCTAAGACCTTTCTGATATCCTAGAGTATATTAAAATTATGATTATACACTTAAATCCTCCTCTTCTTCACCCTATTTTTCACCACCATTGTCTTTATTGGGTTATTTTTTATCTTCACTCTTATTATCATTACCTTCTCCATTAGTATCTCCATTGTCATCTCCATTGCCATCATTTCCATCATCATGGGAATCTTCTTCACCTGTTGGATTAGTGGGTTGATCATCTGTTTTATTATCATCATTAGATTCTTCCTCTCCTGCAGGTTCATCTGTATGTTATCCATCATCCTCTTAGGATGCTTCCTCGTCTTCAGCCTCTTCTTCTGGCTTCTCTTCTTCTTTTTTTGGTTCTGGTTTTGGTTCTGGTTTTGGCTATGGCTTGGGTTTTGAGGATCCTCCTTGAGTTCCTGAGCCTCCTCCATTAGTGAATTTAATGTGTAAATCATCATCACCACCTGTGCCATCATCATTTTAGACAACGATAACAGTGTTAATAGAATCATCACATTGACTAGGAATAAGGACAACTGCACTATCAGCCTTATCATCACCATCACTTGAGGAAATGACAGTAGTCTATTATTATTGAAGGAGCACTTTGTTGGCATTTCTTTTTCCTCTAGTTTGAGTAAGTGCGGATTCAGTGAGATCTTATTCTTCACCTTCGATGTTGGGTAAGACATAGGAACCATCATCATTCATTTGAATTTATTCAACCATGGTTAAGAGCTTGCCTGTTTGATAGATTTACACGAATTTGTGTACTTTTTATAAAAATTCTTGTTTTTAGGCAGGTGTTGCATTAGAATCAAGTTTGTCTAATTATTCTCTCAAGAATTTGACTAATGCCAAGGCAATTTTGTAATTCTTGATGTCATGTACGTAATTGTTGCTTGCTTAACATCTATTGATAGATGATGTACATACCTATTAACTTCCAAAACACCTAATCTTTGAGAATTCAATCCCTATCTTTTTTACATCCAAGCTACGAAATCATTAGTTATTTTGATATCCCTCTATTTGCTTTAAACATCTTCGTCTTTTTTTGCGCATTCACTTCTTTACTCTGATGCTGAGAAACCTAAGGCATCGATTATTGATTGCTTGTTTTTCTTATGTAATTCCCAGGCTGCATCCAAGGCCTCTATATCTAATTATACATTGGTTTTCAAATCTGTCAACAGTTGTTTGACAGTATCAAGATCTGAACTTTGCATGCAATGTATACATGCAAAGAGCCACTATAATCAGTGTCCACTTCATTTTATTATTAATAACACAAAAACGGATTTCGAAATCATAATTGCTTTAAAAGTTCATAATATAATTGTTTTGTTCTCTCATTCACTTGCTACGGAATCTCCAAGTTCAGAATCACAATATGATCTCCCTTCTTCCATTGGGATTACCCATATTGAATTCCATACTGCGGTATTTACAACTTAGTCCTAGGCTATTGAGCTCCTGGAATCGAAATCTAAACTCCATATGAATTCCATACCTCTAATGCACCCCAAATAGTTTGAATCTGTTTCTTACATCCCAACACCATCTCACTCACACTCAACTCTAATTCACTTATGATGTTATTTCCATCTCTCCTCAAAGTATTATCCTCTTCCACTTCTACTTCTATCAACAAATCCCCTGGTTCTCCCTAGTATTAACTCTACTATCAAAGAATGTAAATACTGCGTGACCATATCTTGACTATCTAATTATCGTCCCATTTTGAATTCCCTTTGGTAATTCTATTTCAATATCAAATTCTTTTTCAACTATTCCACTCCCCTCGCATGTGTGACAAGGATCTCTAACTACCTTTCCCCATCCATCACAATTGTTGCACTTTACTTCCATCGAACTCCCTCCATCTACATAAAACAACCATCCTGATCCACCACAAGAAAAACACTTTTGTGCTGTCTTCCCTGGAGCACATCTACTCCCCTTGCAAGTATCACAAGTCTTCTATCTATTATACGACAATTTATGCTTTCCACCAAACACTGAATCTTTGAAGCTCAAATTCAAATCCAACTTTATATCATCTCCCTTTTTCTTAGCATAGTAGGCTTTCTTTTTACCATGCTTTTACTAAAAAAATTGATCAAACTCGCTAAATATCGTCTCATATTCTGCTTAATGAAATTTTGAGTAATATTTGCCCTTTGATTATTTTCTCCTTGCTTTTTATTGATAACTATTTGCATTGCCTCTCAATTCATCCTCAAAATCTTATTCATCACTATTATCCTCTTAAACCCCACATGTGTCATACATCCTTCTTTTGCTCTATGCTATTAGATAACAATACTTCATCTGACAGAATCTCATAGGCATTATTAACTTGAGTGAACATTTTAGCAGCATCCTTAGCAGCGTTTTTATCTGGATGGTAAAGCTAAGCTAATTTGTAATATGCTTATTTTATTTCTTATGGTGAAGCCCCCTTGTTTATACCCAAAACTTTGTAAGGATTAGAAATAGTTGAAAATGTATAAAATAACTTTTTAATCATTGATAATTATTTAATAACATCATTTATTATTTAATCACATTATTAATGAATCCTAAGTAGACAGATTTTCCTCTTTCTTGACATGCTTAAACTCATTATTTAAATATGTTAATCTTAGGGATATTAATATGGATTAGATAATGGGCATCAATAATTATATGCTATATTTAACTGATTTTTGATAGACATTGCAAATTGATCATTAGGTTGGTTCCATTCAGTCGGTGTGATATCAATAAATTATGTTCCAGATATAAGTGAGTATTTAGGAGGTAAAGTTGAGATTAAGGATAAAATTATTGTTTTCAGTTGTAATTCGCATATGTAAGGTTGAGTATTGTAAATAGAACTTAAATTATTTTGGATTGAACTATGAAACAAATTCTCAACCTTTCCATTCAATCATATATGTAACCATTACAACCATTTTAACTAACGATCAAAATCATTTCTTATTTATTAAATAGACATCCTTGTCAAATATTTATGCATTTATCAAAAGTATTAAATAATTCTTATTTGGGAACAACTTGAAAGTGTTTAAATCTAACCCATTTTGATAGTTTCTTCTAATCTGTATGATAAGTCTTAATCAATTTCAGAATATTTTTAATTTGCATAATTTTCCTTCATATTGTGATATCAGTTCTTTTGTAATACTACGTCTAAATTAGATTCTTATTTAGTAAATCCTTTATAGATTATCGCAATCATAATCTTTCTAGATTATATTAACTATAAATTTTATTCATTTCAAAATTTGAATTTTAGAAATGAAATATTATTATCAATTTAAAGCTATCATATCGGGAGCAAAAGCAGTTGGTAAAAAAACAATCCTTAAATCATTGGACTCTTCAACTGATCTTAAAACTGTTTAATTACATGATAAAATGCAAGAAACACTATTTATCTATGAATTCTAAAAAGATGAATCCTACATTCCAGATGCTCTTTGCTTTCTGATTGTGTGTGACTAATCATCATAATCAATCCAATATGCCAAATCAAAGTATATATTTTTATCTATTTTCATAGAATTCAAATAATACTTAAATAACTGAATCGTTCCTATTAATTTATTGTCCTCATCAACAACAAAGTAGATTCCCAATTATCACTTTAAGACGAATTAGAAAATTATTGCGCTTAAAACCAAATAAATTTCATAGCAACAAGCGCTAAATTTGGAACCAACGTTATTCTACTCTAAAATCTTCTTAGAATCAAGGCTTAATTGATAATGAAAAAATGTTAAATCCAACCATTTCCTCTAGAATCCAATAGAGAAAAGGAATTTGAAACCATCGATCACCAGATTAAATAAGTCACGCAGAATAGACCACTGCCATAAACACCCTAATCCTCTGGAGACAAAGAAAACTAATCAGATTATAAGAGCATCAAGAGTGAAACTGTAGAGAGTTTTAGAGCATTCGAATTAATCCAAGATAAATCAACATAGCATAATGATACCATAAATATTCTAACATAAAGCACTTCATACTAAAATTGCCAAATACAAAATTCATAAGTCCTACCAAGTACAAAAAGAGCATATCTTGATTTAAACACCAATTGTCGATTAAGATCATCTTCACCTATTTCGAAGATACTTATGTGTTTATAAATTGAATTGAATGAGTAATTGAAATAAAATTATAATAGTTAGATATTCAAAGTGGATGTCTATTTTGATGATTCCTATCCCCTGATTGTTGAGAGAATTTGTTCTGCAATGTAGAAGAAAGTTAAGCAAACTGCAAAAAAACAATTGATGTCCACTATTGAAACTCATGTCACCTCCTTTATACAAAAGCTCAATCAATAATTCTAAGAGAAAAGATGTAAAATATCAATATAATTAATTGAAGATTTGAGAGTTAAGGATTGCTATGAGAAGTTTATTTCTATACACAATCAATAAATATAGTAGAGGCCAGTTATTGGAATCATAGCCCTGTTAATTTAATCTTAGATAATAAAAATTTAAGTTCATGAAAGCGACGAACCCTATGATTTAGCATTCAATTCAATAGTCTAATACAAACTGAAAAAGAGTTGCATTAGTGCTTTAGTTTAAAAAATCAAATTCTTATAAACTCAAAAGAATGTCGCGATATTAGGCTTCTTTGATATTACTCCTCATGAATTCATTGTGTACAAAGGAGAAGACATTTAAAAGTAATAATATCAATTTAACTATTTAGAAAGTTATTTCAATTCTTCATGCAATTTAAATTGGACTATGAATATTATAGGCTTCTCTCATAAATATAATGACAAACATATTATAAAAATATTATCGTTAATGAATCATCGACATAAAACAGAACTCACCGAGAGGCATCTCAACTATGATATCAATTATGATAGCATCATCATTGTGAAGGATCAAGAATAAAAAAATAAAACTCCATAAGCCCTATTGAGTCTTGAATTATATGGCAAATAAACCCCAAATCAATCTACCAAAGCAGTCAACCATTTCAGACACACTTAGAGAATCACTCTTTCATCACTTAAAAAAGCTTAGGGAATTTACAGTCCCAACTTCAATTCAAAACAAAAGAACAGAATCCCAGAATCTCCTGCAAACTTTCGAATTAAGCAAAACAATTTGAAGTTCAATTCTCATAATCCTTCTAAACCAAGTCTCCATACACCAAGTACAAAGACTCAAGACAGTTAGTTAGAATGGCAAACTCCACTTGATATTAAGACTACAATATCAAAAATAAGGTAGATATTAAGTCCTAATAATCCTAAAAAGTATCAAGTCGACTTTACTAAATTTAAAAAATCTATATATTGATTATAGTTATAGTAAATTATCATTTTAAGCTACTACATTTATTGTTTTATTGATATCCATTATTTTCAATATTAATTTATGATATCCTTGTTACTCTAATTTAGTAATCACTTATATAGATTTCCCTTATCTTATAATTAGATTTGCCGATTTAACTCAATTTAAACATCAATGTTAATAATGATAATCCACAATATGAAAATCGAGAATCTATTTTTACAAACTATGTAATATTTGAATCTTCAATACTTCATCTCATTCAAATTAACTACCCTCTTCTGCCACTTATTTAGTTGCTAAATCAAAATCTAATTCCCATCTATAGAATAAAATAAAGTGGTTTTTTCTCAGTGAGAATCTTGATTTAAAAGCAACAGAAAACCACTATTATGATACTATCATTCCTTCAGCCATTCAGATAGCTTCTACTCTTAACTATCCAAATCTCATTCAATTTATTTATACAATTCAATGCATTAATAGTTTAACATGCTTTCTGTTGCTCTTAGATTTCAGACAAAACATAAGCAATGCATTCAAGATAGTTCGATTGATGTAAGGCAATCAAATTAGGTAAATGATTCATTAGTGATTAGCGTCTTAATTAATCAAATTTTAATTGATTAAAAATAAATTATACTAATTTATGGCAAAATTTCTTAAAAATTAAAAGATCAACCTTTTTCAATCAAGGTATATTTTAACGTTTTCTAATTTCTTAAAGTTTATTATAAAAAATTAAATAAATATATAGTTTTGAAAACCAATGGGTGTATGTTTATCAAAAAAAGAAAATGCTAACAAACAATAGAGCCCTGTTAATAAGAATTTGGAAAAAACCTTTTAAAAAACAAAGTTTTATCAAGAAAAGTACATGAAAGAGGTTTTTGATTCTGAAAAATAAGGTGAAACAAGAATGATAAATGTAAAAACCTCACAAGTAAATGTTTTACATATCTGATAAGTCCACTGATGCTGCGCTTAATAATTCCTTTTAAAGAAGGAAGGCCCTCTCAAAAAGTAGAATCGGTTTATCAACAAAGAGAAAAGGGGCGATTCCCATTCTCAATACTAAGCAAGTTAGTCATAAAGATTCATTTAAATAAAAATATCATAAAGTGATAGGACTTTTATTGTGTAATTTAGAATGTTATTGTAGCCAATTCAAATTTGAGTGTAGTATAGAATAATTAGAACCAGTAATTAGCTATTTGTTAATAGTTGAGAAAGAATGACGAGAAAGACCAAAGCTTTATAAAGTGGTTGAAGGAAAAAAACATTGTATTTATCCTGATTTACTGTTTAGGAGCACGATAACGTCGTTGGTGTGTAAGAGATCTAGGTTGATGATCAAGATTATTATGTAATTTATGAATACTGGGTTGATCATTAATTAAAAAATAAAACTGAATTAGAAAAAGCAATTCTTATTCATTAAATGATTGAATCGATTCAGTATTTACACGAAAATGACATGAGACATAGTGCTCTGACATTGAATAGTTTTAAGATGATCAACTCGACTCCATTTGGAGTGTTAAAATTAATAGAATTGAATCAAGTGCATGAAGTCTCAGAACTAACACTTGAAAATTGGATGTATTTGTCACCTGAGAGTCTTTCTGCTCTTGGGAATAGATCCAAAGCAAGAGATGTATGGGCTCTGGGAGTTATTGCATTGGAATTGTTAATGAATGAACATCCATTTATTGATAGTTCTAAAGATAATTCAACTCGGAAAATATCAAATAAGATCAAGAGTTTAAGCAGATAGCAAATCGAATAAATGTTAAACAATTATCATAAAGATTTGAAGCAATTGCTTTCTGGGATGATTTGCATTGACCCTCTGCTTAGATACACAATAAGTGATTGCAAAACCAATCTTTGGCTGAATACATACGTAAATGATTATATACAGTCTTTGCAACAGCCATTATACAATTTTGATAAGCACCAAAATAATAGCTTCAACAAAATCATGGCCAGATACTACTTGTTAAGAATTTTAGATTAAAAACAATTTAACATTCTTTTCATATTATTTCAACAAATAGATTTAAACAGAAACCGTATCATCACTCCGAAGGAAATAAAGAATTATTACAACTCTATATACTTGCCATCATCATGCAAAGATGATTTAATCAATTGTTTATATTCGTTACCCAAAACAATGGAAATTGAAGTTACAGAGTTTATTGGTTTAACAAGTGACATAGGCGTATCCAAACTAAAACAATACTATACGATTCATAATCTTGGAGATTTAAGATTGAATTGTTATCTCAATTAACTAAATATTCCTAAAAGAGTAATAAATTTAATTACTTCTGATTTCACTTTATCAGAATTGGAGTAGATTGTAACTCTTGATTAATTTATTTAATATATTATTTGATATAATTAGATAACTTCAGTTTCTCACCTTATTTAAATCAAAATTTGATGTTTGATCGAAACTCTAGAGTTTAGAGTGCTATCCCTTGGGACTTATGACACATTCCAAACTTTTAAAGAGTGGCACTTGTTTGACTTTGAATTTCTTGAGATTGGATTCCATTTCATTTATTAAGAGATTCTTTTACTTTAGAGTCAAGAATGTATATGATAAGATCAACATTAATAGGATTCCACTCAGAAGGAAACCCAAGACTATTTTCATTGTGTTGGATTTGTGAATGAATAATTCAACTGAAAATTCTATCCTTTTCTTATGAATGGTCTTGTTTATTTCATTGAAAGTTAATGAGTAATCCAATGGGTATGGAATCTCTTCATCTAGATGATAAAAACATTACACAGAATTAGGAACAGCCTCAAATTGATACTAAAATATGTCGAAAATGCTTATTCCCATAATCTTATTACCAATGATTTGAATGTCCTTGATTCCAAATTTTAGGATCTTATATATTTTATTCTCGTAAAGCAAATCTATTTTATTGCTTGTGAGAAATAACGTGTACTCTTTTAATGCTATGATTTTCTGGATGCTTTTCTTACTCTGCAATTTCCTAACGATCTGCAATTGCGAATCAATTATTTAATATTGAGCTATAATATATTTATATTATCTCCTATATGCTACGTAAATGTTGTTTTCATTAGAAATGCCCATAGTCACTCCATTCTGTATTAAATCCAACTGAGTTATGGTGTGAGTTGTGAGAATCCACTCAATCTTCTGCAATCCTGTTTACTTGTCCAATATATAGATATTATATCCATTTTTGTTGCTGTTATTTATTACAGCAAAATGGGTAATGTTGTCCGAGTTCTTCATTTTAATTTCGTAAACTTGATCGTTGTTGCTATAAATAGTAAGTAAACCCTAATTGAGTACAAATATATATTGATCACATATTTCTATTTGTTGAGGTTGGTAATTTAAGAACATTTCGAATTCTTAGAAATTTTTATCATAAGGATTGAATCTATATACTTGGTTCGATATGAAATAGACCAGATATGTCACTTAGCAATATCTCATTGTGGCATTTTGAATGTCTACACTTGAAGGAATCTCGTATTGCCAAAACAGGATTTGGTCTTGGAAATAATTGATCTGTCGATCATCGGTCAACACCAAAACGGAGTGCTAAGAAAGTGATAACATAGCCAAGTTGCTTTTATTGTTGCCATCGTATTAAGTATATTGTAATTTTAATTAATGCTCCTACAATTGACATACATTCCATTCATCATTGTTTGTTTGCAGTTCGAAATCCTATCCATTAATAGGCAACGCGAATAAGGTCTTTAACTCTTCTTTTTTTATTGTAAATAATTCTGCTAATGCCAATTAAAATATTAAAACAATATACATTTATATAGACATTTTTTATAAATTTATTACAAATCAATTTAAAACTCTAGTTTTTGGTTTTATTTAATGAATAAAATAAACATTCTGGACCAACTCTCCCAACTAGATTTGTCAATTGCTTCCTCTTTGCATTAGAATTTTTGTTGAAAAAATATTAGCCATATTTTTTTAATTAATCTCCTCTAAGTCTGATTTTAGTGTACCACCAAGATTCGGAGTCTCATGAATGCAATTATAGGAACACAGATTAACCAAAATGTTAGACCTGATTATTTTATAAATATTGTACTTTTTAATTATAAAAATATTATATAAGGAGACTAATGATAAGTAGTTATTAATATATTAGATTGTTAATTATTTAATTTTAATATTGAACTTTCAATGATTTGCCACAAAAAATATCTAATTTTTAAAGAATCCTTCACTGTCGAATTACGTTCCAATGAAGTTGTCTTATAAAATGTATAGTATTTTGAAATTTTAAGATTAAAAACCAGATTACGAATATTCTAAAATTACAAGAAAACTCTGTAGTGAACTGGAAACTAGATAAAAGGAATGGTAGAATTATTGGCTTCGGCATTCAGATTGAAAGTCAATGGGAATACTTCTACATGGATAAATAGAATTTAACTTTGCTTAAGTAATTTCTTGATGGAAAGGTGCGATATCACAATATTTTTAAATTATATCAAATAATCGGCTTTCTTGGTTCAGGAGCATTTGGAACTGTATAATTAAACATATAATTAAGGTTTTTAAGTGCTAATCCAAATATGATGGGAAGTTGGTGGCTTGCAAATCAATCAAGAAGTGTAGAAAGTACGATGATAAAGTAAGAGAATTTTCTATTATCGAGGACTTTTTGAATGAAGTGTTCTGTATGCAGAATCTCAAACATCCAAATATGGTGTAGCTTAAGGAATTCTATATCGAGTAGAAGCACTTTTACATTTTAATGGAACTTGTTGAAGGGGACACCTTGAGAAGACTGATAAAAAAGAATTAGTTAGATGAGAACGAGAAGCTGATTATTGTTTAAGTATAATTTCAAATGAGTTAGTAACTATTATCACTAGTTAATTATTTTCATTAAGAAGGATTTATTTATCGAGATTTTAAACCATAAAATGTAGTTTTCTTTTAAAATAACATTGGAAAGTTGAAGCTGATAGATTTTGGACTTACGATCTCGATAAATGAGGAGGTTTGCAATACAGATTAATTGTGTGGTACTCCAGGATATATGGCTCCAGAAGTATTTGAAAAGAACCATAATTACAATTTTAAATCAGATATGTTTAGTTTAGGAGTTATGATTTATGAATTGTAAACATTTATTTAGATAGATAGGTTTTCTGGAGAATATTTAATATAACATCCCGATTCCGAAGAATTGTTAAATACGAATAAGATATTCAAATTTAACAAGGAGATCTTATCAACAATTAAGAATTCAACAATCTAGAGACTATTGTAAGGGATGTTGCAAGAGGATCCTACTTTGAGAATCAACAGTAGGGAGGCAGTAGAGATATTTAAACAAATGAATTGCAGTTGTGATGAATTTTTGACTACTCAACACAGATTGATTTATTTATGTGTATCTAAATACTTAATTAACTATTTGAGACTTGATATTAATGTTTGAGGAGCTAATATTAATTATGATCGATAAATCTACGAAACGTGATTAATTATGTATTAATTTATGCAAATAAATTTTTGCACTCCTCAATACTTCTTCAACATCTCTCAAAAATATCCCTTTATCGTGTATGATTTAAGAGAACATTAACATGGTTTTTTGAAAAATAGTATTCATGTTACTAATATACACCAGGTGGAGACTGTTGAGGATGTGTAAAAACATTTTTAGTACCCTGATTAATAATCTGAGAAGAAGAAATTGGAAAAGTTGTTTCAAACCAGAAAGAGAAATTACAATTTCTTTGTTCCATTCGATACTTCTGATATGTTCAGTTTATTACTCAAGGATAGAATTAAGGGAGAAGGATCTGAAATTTCTGATTAGTTTTGTATCCCTTTGGAAAGTGTGGCAAAGTGGTGCCATGAGATTTCAAAGAAATTGCCATACAAATAGAAACACAAAATCAGAAGTAGAGCAAATACGATGATTATGTAAGATGATGATGATGAATTAGTTGATACAGATTCCTAATAAACTATACTCCATTTCAATAAACATCAGACTATAGCTTCTAGCAAGAAGGTCATAGAATTACAAGGTAAGATTATTTATTTAAATAATAAGAGATAACAATATCTAATGGTCCAAAAATTAAATAGAGATCTGTGAGTTAGCCAAAATGCATTGGACATGGAGAAGGAAGTTTATACATGAATTCAGAATTGTTTGGAGCAGCTTTAAAGATCTATGAAATTTATCACAAGGATAAAGTCAGACAGTTGTTTATAATGTTGGATCCGATTTAGATAGTTTTTGGGAGTCATTCGTTTTTGAATTACGAGATAAGTAAAAACAGAGGGTTCTTGGACAAGACATTTCCGAATGAAATAATAGAGAATAAGCTTTATTTGGGAGGAGGTGATCATGCACAAGATACAGAGATGTTGGTCGACATTTTGGGGATAACTCATGTTGTGAATGCGACTATTGAGATCAAGAATTATTGTGATCAATGTAAGAATAAGGGTGTTCTATATAGTAGTGAAATATTTGAACATTAAAATATACGATGAACCTCACATTGAAGTGAAACAGTACTTTGAAGATGTGTATCAGTTTATAGAAAATGCATTATAGATGGAGAATGGGAAGGTAATATGGAAATAATAATTAAATAGGTATTTGTGCATTGTGCATAGGGGAAGTCGAGATCAGCATGCTTTATAGTGATGTATTTGATGAGGAAGTTTAGTTGGGGATTTGAGAAGGCATATGAATTCGTAAGGGAATGCAGAGAGGTGGTTTGTATTAATGAGGGATTTATTAACTAGTTAATTGAATTGAATTGAATTGTATATTTTGTTGTTATTTATGATGTTTTGATTCGTCATTAAATAATTGACTTGACTTTAGCAATAATACCTGCAGCATCCAAATGATACAATGATAACATTTATGCTGGAGTACCACTCTTAGCCACTTTGTCTACATGGATGGAATGTATCTTGATTTGTTTGTCCAAACTCAAAGCAGAGGATACAGCCTCTAGTAAGATAACATATTAGATGCATACCAAAGAGTCCTCCTTCACTATAATGATCTTCGACTACAAGAATGGTCTTCAAAGCAGTTTTGTTGGCAGCATTAAGGATACCATCATGATCAAGGGGTTTAACTGAGAATAGATCCAAAACAGTGACGTGTACCTTGTCTTATTCACTCAATTATTTGGCTGCTTTGAATATTTCATGAGTAGTCACACCTCCACCAATCAACAAGATCTTGTCATCATCATTTTGCTTTAGGATTTTGGATCTATGGAGATAATCAAAATAGAATTTTACTTTCCAATTTCGAAGACTTCGTTGTTGGGATACAAAATGGGTAATGAGGGTCTGCTCATTCTGACGTAGCAAGCAGACTTGTGATTGGCAACTAGTTCAATGGCTCTTTCGGCAGAGACTCCATCAGAGGGATACAAGACAACGCAATTTGGGATGGTTCTGAATAAGGCAATGTCTTCTAAACCCATTTAGGAGGGTCCATCTTCTCCAATTGAAACACCAGCATGTGATCCAACATATTTGACTTGAGATTCACTGATTCCTCCCATTCTTATTTGATCAAAGGCTCTTGCGAAGAAAGCAGCAAATGTAGATGCGAATGCTACTTTGCCTCTGCAACTGAATCCTTAGGCCCAACCGACCATATTTTATTCAGCTATGAAACACTCTACAAAATTGGTTGGGACTGCCTCTTTGTATTTGATTGAGAATGTTGAATTTTTGGTGTCTCCATCTACTGCCACAATTTGTTAATTAGCATCTGATTTACTCAAACCCACCAAAGCTTTTCCGTATGCTTCTCTAGTTGATTACTTGCCATCAACTGCATAATTGACTTCCACTGTGAAATGACTTTATTAAGGTCTGTCTATTGAAGTGGGGACCTCTGGGGCGAGTGTGAACCCATCTTATTACTTCATTTGTTTTTTGACAAAGTCCACTTATGCTTATGGGACTGGTTTTCCATGCCAATCCTCTTTGTTCTCCATTTCCAAATGTTTGCCTTTGAATGTTTTGGCAATTATAACTTGTGGTTAATTCTTCACATTTCTACACTAGAAACAATATTCTGGAATCACTTACTTATTCAAAAGCATCAGTTAATGAATTCAAATTGTGTCCATCAACCACAATGGTCTTCCATCCAAATGCCTCCCATCTCTTCTTATAAACATTAGTATCATGTCCAATTGAGGTCTCTTCAGATTGTCCCAATCTATTTACATCTACGATTGCTGTAAGGTTGTCCAATTTGTAATGACTTGCTAAATGAGCTGCTTCCCACACTGATCCCTCGGCAGTCTCGCCATCTCCCATCAACACCCAGTATCTATTGTCGATTTTGTCCAAGAATTTTGATGAATAAGCCATACCGCCTGCAACTGACAATCCCTATCCCAAGGATCCTGTAGCTACATCGACAAAAGGCAATCTATTATATTTATACAAACATCATTTACTTTGGAACTGGATGACCTTCCAAAAGGGAATCGATCTTTCTCAAATTCAATAATTCTGCCTTATCAATATAACCAACCATCGACCAAGCAGCATACAGAATTGGAGCTGCATGACCTTTCGAAAGAACGAATCTATCATTTCCGAAATTCTAAAATTAGTGAAATATGAAGTACTCCTGGATCCTTTGGATTAAAATGCATTCCTGCCTTCGTGAAAAATAGCACTGCCATGATTTCCGCCATAGATGCACATGATGTTGGATGTCCAGAGTTAGATGCTATTGTCATCTCAATTGAATGTATCCTCAATTGATGAGCTAACATTTATCATTCATTCCCTTACCTATATCCTGCAATTGGACCACATCATAACTCTCCTTTTGCACCTTCTACTTCTTGGCTTGCTTTGGTTCCTCCTTCTGTGGTTAACTCTTTCCTTTTCTAGTCACTCTGTCTGACATATTAAAATAATTTAATTTATCTAAAATTCCGTATTTTAAATCAATTTTTATATATATATAAATGAGTGTCAATGTTATTCCAGTTGTGAATCCCCATCAAAAGATGGAAGGAATTCAAAATGTGAGACCTGAGGAAATCAAGAAAATTATTGAAAAAGCCAAGAATCTCCCCAGCAAATAAGAGGGTGACTTTGTTAAGTTACAAAATTATGAATTCCAAGTTGATGAATTCGAAGAAATGGAAGACCCTCAAAAGAATAATAAGAAGAACAAAAAGCAAGCCAAAAAAGATTCTAAAAATGATGTCTAAGAATCTAAGGACAAAGAATAACTTGATCAAAGCAGTGACATTGATTTAAAAAAATAATAAAAACCAAAAGCCAAAGAAATTAAGAAGTAAGAAAAACCAAAGGCAAAATAAAAGCAAAAAGAAGAAATCGAAGAGCAACAGGAGGAATAAGAAATCTAGGATAACAAGGAAGAAGAATAACCATAAGAGGAAGAATAATAATAGGATGAAGAATAACCATAAGATGAAGAGGTTTAACCTAAAGAAAGCGAGGTAGATCAGGATGACATGCAAAAGTAATTAGATGAGTATGATGAAGAAAATAATCAATTGTAGCAATCATAGGCATAAGAGAATTCCTAAATTCAATAGTCTTAAGTTTCTTAAAAATCATCAAATTAAAAAAAGAAAAAGTTTTAATCTGATTATGCTGCTATGATGGATGATCTATTGAATGAATCAGAGGTATCTATTAATGAAGAACAACCTAAAAAACAAAAAACTGAAGAAAAATAAATGGCCTCGTCCCAGATAGATGCCAAAAAAGAATAAGAATATCTAAAGATCATTAAATAGTACTAACAAAAGATTAAACAACTTAATGAGGCCATTGATTAATAGAAATAACCTGTTCTTAGTGAAATAATTGAAGATTAAATTGAAGAATTCCAAGAATAACTTGATAAAACAGAAGAATCCATTTCCAATAAGAAACACTTATACCCAGGTATTGCTGGAATTGGAATAAGTCTATATGATGAATTCAGGTTGCCATAAATAGTTGAGGAGCAAGTCTAACATCGACTCAAAGAGTTGGGTGTTCAGGAAAGATAAACTGAAGAAGCTGAACAAAAAATTAAAGATCTTGAAGAGTAACACTAAGCTGAATTAGATAGAATCAAACAAAATTATGAAGAACAATTGCAATAAATGAGATTAGAAATTGAACTTTAATAAGAGAGGATTAAAGATGCAGAGAGACTGAGATATGCTGAATCAGAGATTAGTAAGGTCTTAGATAAAGATGAAATTGAACGATTAAAAAATGATCCTCTATTTTCTGTTATGAGTTCCAACCTCGTACAATCAGTAGATTCAAATGTCTCTTAATTGATGAAAGATGAAAGCATGTATTTAAAATATAGGGATTTGTTGCAGAAATATAAACCTAAAGCTGATTAATTGGAGAATTGCATGGAGATTGTCAACTCCAAAATCCATGACTTAATAACACTTAAGGAGGCTTAAGAATTGAATCAACTTAATACTGATTCAAATATCTCTGTCAGTAAGGTTATGGATATTGATGGAGCTGTTAGACTTTTAGATTAAAATTAAAATGTCAATTCAGATATTGATTCTATCATTTCTCCATCTGAATAAATCAAATTTAAGAAGGATCCCAAGTATCAAGAACCTTCCCTTCCTAATTCGAGTATAGACTTCTCGATTCCAGATAATTACAAATTATAAAGAATGGTAGATAGCGATTACAGTAATTTCAATATGAATATTAACGAGGATGGCTCTTTGTTTATTGAATTACAAAAAGAACTTGAATAGAATTATCCAATTACTGAATCTAACAGAGAGATTATTTATTAATAAATTATTTAAGATTAAAAGTAAGAGTTTGACAAATAAGTGAAAAAACTATAAAAATTGAAACCTACCTACAAGTCTAAGTTATATTTTGGAGAATCAATAGATTCCTCTATAGGTTCATTGGCTAATGAATAGGTTTCAAAGAATATCAGCAGCAATATAAGTATGATCAGCAAATCTTAATCAAATGAGTCTATAATTGGATCTGTGGTTAGTAAAAAGGAGAAGGCTGAGTTGTAGGAGTAATGCCAATCTAAAGAGTCCTCTATTTCAAAATTATAAATATCTAAAAATGATTTTGAACAAATAGGCCAAATAAGTAGTGGGATCAGCTAATTGAATTCGATTGTTGATAGTTACAAATCGCATGATTAGACTGTCAGTAGTGGAATTAGTAAAGTATTGAATGATAAACAACTACAAAAAGAGAAGTATTCCAATATTGATAGTTCATTAAATATCAGTTAAGGAGGATCTTCTATAAAAAGTTTCCTTCTACTCAAAAAGTCAATGATCTCTAAAAAATATTGAGAATTTATTAATATTTATTTTATAATTCAGTTTACAAAAGATATAATTCATGTCGAATAGACTTAATAAATAATAATATGTTATTTATATTCATACATTAGTCTTTCCTTTAACTAATTTGCGATCAGAAAATTCTTCTTAGATGGGGAAATAATGTTAATGGTTGTTGATTTGTTCTTGTTTTTTAACTTTGGCTCTTTATGGAAAGGGACTTTCTCCGATTTCTAAGACAGGTTGACATAGTATAGATTGAATTGATTAGGGATTAATATTCTTTAATCCTGCAACAATAAATTCGGAAGGTTGTGTTTGATACTGTGTTTCTTGTGCTTAAACAGTCTATTGGAGTTGTTATTTTGGTTAAGCAGAAACGATGAGTCTTTCTTTTTTAGTGTCAACAGACTTTTGTCTTTGATTTGAAAGTTTCTCTTCATTTTTTATTTCTTCCTTCTTATGCTATTACACAATCTATTGACGAATGGCTTCAGTAGCAATAGGTTGATTATTAGATTTGATGGATTATCTTTGATTAATAAGTTTTTATTGTTCTTTTTGAAGTTCTATTTTTAGTTATTCTTGGAGCATTTTTTCTCTATCTCTTTGACTAGGTGCACTGCTTTGAATTCTGGTGCTGGGAGTGGAAGGTGGTTCTCCTTTCTTTCTGGGAGCAGAAGGATAGTTGCCTTGATTGTTATTCATGGGAGATAAATTCTTGTCTTTAATTTATCCAGGCACTAAAATAGATAATAAGGGGGAATATACGTGCACTATGGGCTCTCTAATTAATTCTTGGCTATTCAATAGTTTTTTTGGTGGGTTCCTCTTTGTAATTAGATTTGGGCAGCTATATTTATTGTAATTTGATGGTTTGGAGTAATTCAGCCTTTGAATTTTGTTTTTCGATTGGCGGGATTACTTTTAAATTGTTGATGAGAAGTGGGTTTTGTAGAATTTAATTGCATGATAATCTCTTCATAGGTTGAACTTAGATCATTTAAACTATGATTGATTATAAATCTCTGGAGTATTGTTTGGGTAAGCATTCAAAGAGACCTCTTTGGATTTTATTGCAAAGGGCTTGGAGATCAGGAGCTTTGAAGGGTAATTTGAGCGAAGCCATTTCATAGATTACGCATCCTAGACTCCAAATATCACTCATAGAATTGTATGCTTCATTTCTCCATACTTCTGGACTTGCATAATAGGGAGTTCCCGTTTATGTATAGGCAAAGCCTTTTTTAGTGACTTTGGAGACATTCAAATCTCCCAGTTTATAATTGCCATTGGAAATAAATATGTTGGCAGTTTTTAAATCTCTATGAACAATTTTATTGTCATGCAATTTCTTGAGACTAAATTAAATGATGTGCTATACCCTTTGGTAATTTAATATAATGCCTTCCATATTTCTGTTTCAGGGAATAATTGATTACCAGCTTGTTTGATTTTATTCTGCAAATCACCCTATGTAGCAAATTCCATAATTATGTATAGCATGTTATCATCAATAAAAGCATCCTTGTAATTAATAATATTGGGATCGTCGAATGAAGCCAATATTCTAACTTCGTTAAGAGCATTTTCTTTCTCCTTTTCCTTCAAATCGAACAGTTTAACTTTCTTCATGGCGTAAACTTGCTGATCTGATTTCCTGATCACTTTGTAAACTTAACTATAAGATCCTTCACCCAAACGATTGAGTATTTCAAAATCACTAATTCTAGACATATTACTATTATATATATTTTATTATTTATCATTCTGAACTATGCTCTATCTTTTTGAAATTCCATCCTTGTTCTCCATCAAACTAGATCATATAATCATGATGTTTGAACAATGAAGGTCTGTGACTAACTGTGAAGAGAGTGATACCCAACATCTTGGCAGTCTAATACAAGGTAGCCTCAACATCCATTGACACTGCACTGGTGCACTCATCTGAGAATAACAAATATCAATATACCTAAGATGGCAAACACTGGTTTGTGATAGAAAAGTCTAGCCATAGCAATTCTTTGCTTTTCACCACCACTCAACACATCATTCCAATCATTGCATTTGTCATACCCTCCTTCTCTTACAACTAAATAATCCAAATGCACGAGTCTCAATAATTCTGTTAAATCGTCATCGGTTACTTTCTTTCTCAACATTTGTAATTTTGTGTGTGGATAAATGATTTGATCCCTCAATGTTCCAGCAGGCAAATAAGGTCTTTAAGGAATGTAGAATAATTTATCAATATGAGGTCTATATAACTTACCACTTGAGATTGGCCATAGACCACCCAAAATTCTGAACAATGATGATTTTCCGCATCCATTTGGACCAGTCACAATGCAATTCATATTTGGTTGAATCTAAGTATTATAATCTTTTATCTTACTTCAAAAGTCATCTTTTATGCCAAGATATCATTATTAGGTGATATAATGGGGACTTCTTCGAATTTGATTGTGTTTTCAGTTTCAACTATCTAACCTCTATTCATTGAAACCAATGATTGTTTCTATGCAAAATATCCTGGTTAATTCTCGTTGCTTTACAACATTGTTCTCATGTACTTACCATTTATCAAATCCTTCAATACTTCATCTAATTCAGCCACTAAAGTTGTGTATCCTGCCAACTATTAGATTTCCTTGTATGAAACCACCAATCTTCCAATAGCTTTGGCTAAATTAATCAAAAGAGATGAATTTCTAACGTAGTCTCTAGTAATTGCTGAAGGATCATTATTTACACTCTTCAAATACTCCTCTCTTCTACTACCAAATACAGGTAAACCCACCACTGCATAACCAACCATGACAGCTCCGTATTTCACCAACATACTATCAAAAACTCCCATATACAATCTCTTCAGTATGATCTGCCCTGTGTGTCCAATCAAATTATTGAATGAATTTGTGATTCTTGTTTTCTCCCAAGCATGTCCTCTATAGAATGCTATTTCTTCACTATGATACACCAAATCACTATGACAAGCTCTATAATCTCCTTCAAGTCTCTACTCAATGGCTGTCAATTTACCAAATGGTGGACTTAGGAATCTCAATAAAAATCCAGATATCAGATAATACAAAATGACGTACATTGGTCCTTAATATCCAACCAATTCAGCCAACTTTCTGGAGAACAAGATAATATCTAAGACAGGCTTTGAAAAGTTGGAATAAATTTAGGACAATGAATTAGCCCATTTTTCGATATCAGCTGTTAATCTTTAATCGGGATTGGCAACTCGACTATCTAAATTACTTAATTGATAAAAGATCATATCATTGAGGTAGATATCATGGAAATGTTGGGTTAATCGTTTTCTAAACCTTATTGCTAAGGATTTGTTTAAATAATCCAAGAAGGAATTCACGAAAGATGCAGGAATTGCCACAACTCCTAATTTCAAGATCCTCTACAAGAACATATTCAAGTTTTATTCAATGATTGCTCTGACTATTTGCCCATTTACATTAGCTACATAGATACTTAAAAATGTCCTTGCCACTAGTGATGCTCTATTACTTAGAGAATAAGTTACGTAAGCAATACCAAGTCCAGAATTTCCGGTGAGTTCAACCTTGGAATAACTATTTTGAGTAATTTCAAAATCCTCTTTAAGAACATACGATCAACATTTCCCTTGCCTTTTTTTTCATCTCTCTTCACTTTCATATTTTCAGTCTTTGATTTGGTCAATCTGATCTTTAGTAAATACAGAATCACCGCTATTACAGCTCCTGAGATCACCTAATTGAATTATTGATTTGCTCATACTTTTCGCTTTGTAGATTTCAACATAAACTATTTCACATCTAAGATCTTAGATAACACAGGAGGCATATATGTATATATAATATTATCAATAAATATTTAATATGTGCTAATAATTTTAAATGGTATTAATATTTTCTAATTACAATTACTTTTCTCTAAATTTCCTAAAATTTCAATGCTCACCACATTTCATGTCATCTTTATAAATTTACAAAATATATATGTTTTTATATGCTATTGCTATGTCATAACAATACCACACCTTCTGACTCTAGAACTGTTTACAAAAACAACTGTAAAATGGATCCTTGATACTTATCCTACCATAAGTAATACTAAAAAGGCTTTCATTTAAAGATGATTCTATTGAGTGATTATTTACTCAATTAATTGATTTTATTTGCCCAATTCATGAAACAGGTTAATTTTCCAGCAATTTAGATGATAGTAAATGAAAATATGTTCTTATAACTATTATAGAAAATTGATAACTTTTGATATTATTAAATAATAGTTGCAGGTTTAGTTGATCTTTATAAGAACAAAAACTTTAACATATTTTTTTCAGAATTAAAGTATAATCAAAGTAATATCTAATTTGAATTAATTTAATGGATCAAAATAGCTCAAACTTAAAATAATATCAGAAACTTGAATGGATATATTTAAATTTCATTAAGCTATAAATTTCATTTTATTTAAATTAAATTAAACTCCTAGTAAATTTAACCTTTAAGTTGGATATCTTTATTTAATTTATAAACTCAAGTTCATTCGGCTGTTTTCATCTTTAATTATTACAAAATTTGTACTTAATACTTAAAGAGGAACTTATAATTGATTATTGAAATTAGCACTATTCAACTAGTATCCATTATTATTGGAGTATTTAAGATTATAAATATATATATGGATTAGCTTATAACATTATTTTCTAGAAATTATTCGAAAAATCCATTTCGAGAAAAATTCCTGTTTTTGAGCTGTTCCTTATATTTTACTATAATCAATTAAATATATTATGGAGGGAGGATTCGTTAATCTAATAGAGGATGGTGGAGTTAAGAAAAGAATCCTTTAAGAAGGTTAAGGGGAAATGCCGATAGACGGATCAAGATGCAAAATATTGTTTAAGGGAACTTTGGATGATGGAACCATATTTGATTAATATTTAGACAAAGAGAGACCTTACAAATTCAGAATTGGAAATGAAATATTAATAAAAGGATTTGACATTGCTTTAAAGTCAATGAAAGTTGGAGAAAAGGCAGAATTGAAAATCACTCCGAATTATGGATATGGTAATGAAGGAGACTAATATAAAAATGTTCCATAAAATGCTAATCTCACTTATGAGATACAATTACTCAATTTTAAAGAGGGCAAAATGTAGAAATGGTAAACCATATAAATTATTTCTTTAGGGAAATGACGACTGAGGAAAAGCAACAAGAAGCTATTAATAAACGAACTAAAGGAACATCACTCTTTAAGCAACAAAATTATAAAGAAGCTTACAAGATTTACAAGAAAGCCCTCTCTTATTGTACTCTAACTACTACAGAAGGCAATGAGTTAAAAGCAAGTTTATAGCTTAATTTATCAATTTGCTCTTATTAACTAGAATAATATAAAGATTCAATTGATTATGCTAAGAAAGCACTTGATTTAAAGACTAATCAATAATAAAAATTAAAGGCTTTGTATCGAAAAGCCCTTGCTCACATTAAAATTACTGAATTGGATGAAGCATAAGCTGATTTAAGAGAAGCTTTAAATATAGATTCTACAAACTCTGCTGTTATTGAAGAATTATCAAAAGTGAAGTAAATACTAAAGGAAACAAAGATGAAAGAAAAGGAAATTTATTCTAAACTTTTCTAGCAATAATTGTATGATGAATCTGAAATTGAACCCAAGGAAATTGAAATAAAGGAAGCTAAATCTGAATGCTCAAGCCTTTGTGATCCAAATGAAAATATTGAAGAAGAAACCCAAGCTAAACCAACAGATGAAAATATATATGACTAAAAACCAAAAACTGATAATAATGAAAATAATAGAAAAATCAGTGAAGAATCAGCACCTGTTTGAAGTTTGATGAGAATTTATTATATTTTGCTATAGCATAATTTCTAAATGTAGAACGAGTATTATTTATAATGATTAGAAGTACTCAAAAACTATTTATTATTTATCATAGTAAAATTATGTTTGAAGAAGGTGTTACCTTAGAAGGGATAATTGCATATTTTTTTAAAAACATTAATACATTAGAATTCATTTATTTTAAGAATGCGATTTTCAAAATACATATTGTTCGATTATCATAAAATTTTGATTAAAAATTTTAATAATTTTTAACTTCAGAGTTAACAAATTTATGAATTTTATTGGATAATTAGTTGGATCATAATATCTGCTCAAAATCAAAATTAACCAAGGTATATTGATTAATTATATTTTTATAATCAGCTTTGATCTTGTATTATATTTAAAAAGAGAAGATTTTATTTATTAATCAATTCAAATAGCTCAAATTATTTAATTTAATTAAATTGGAATTTAGAAAATACGAGTTAAAAGAAAAAATCAAGATCATATTTATTATTAATTCTATTTTCAATCCTCCTTTTGTAAAAAAATGTAATAAATTCAAAATTTTTGTTTGATAATTATTAAAGTTAAATTTTATTTTATATAAATATGTTGATGGCTTACTAATCAATTATATTAAATTAAAAAAATATGAATTATTATTAGACGTGCTCCTCATTAAAGTATGATGCAATCGTTTTTTAGTTTCAAAAAAAGGATAGCCCTTTTAAATTTAAATATATTTTATTAATATATATATATTTTTCGATGGATTATCTTCAAGCTAAGAAAGTTGACACGGTGATTACAAATAACACCCCAAAAAAATAATAAGAAAACGAACAAAATCTTGATGAATCTCAAAAGTAAGGAAATATTTTTCCAAATATTATCTAAAGTGAATTAGACAAAATAGTAAATAATTCGAAGAAAATGGATGAAAAGCTTCCTTCTTCCGAATATATTATTCATTTAAATGAAAGCTTGAGCATAAAGACTCTGACTAAACATCTCATTGAAAAAGAAGAAAATAATTGAGGATAGAGGTAACGAAAAAATTGTGAGATAAAAATAATTTAAACTATACTTCTATTTATTTTTTGAATCATCCAATTAATTTTTTTTTTCCCACAAATTAGATACCAAGCGATGACTGACATTTTAATTTATAAAAACCTTATTATAAAATCTTAACCTATTAAACTAATTAGGTAAGACTATTTTGTGTCTTCATATTCTTCAATTACAGAAAGATAGATCCTTGAGTCTATTTGATTAGAATACCCACAATCTAATGTGTAATGTTTTTTGGGATTTGAAATTTTACAGCTATATTTCGATGCTTAATACTTATTAGGTATTTTTAGGATATGTTATAAGAATTAGGTAAATTTAATACTATTGCATGCTCTAATTGTGAATCTACTATTTCAATAAACTTGTAACTGTTTTCATCAGAGCCCATCTTGAAGTATTTACTAAATAAGAAATAAGATTTACAACTATCATCATCCAATTTTATCAGAATAAGGTTTGGTTGGAAATTCTAGAATGCATTTCAGTAAATACTTCTACTGAATATTTGAATTGTATTTAATATCACAATAATCAAAAAAAGTATTAATTAATTCTAAAATGTTAACATTTATTAAGTATGAAATAATAATATAAAAACTGATTTTTGATTCACTTTCAATCAAATTTTGTGATAAATGGAAGTATTAATGAATAAAGCCTTTTTATACAAGATAATAATAAAATAAAAAATCATTGTTATTTAACCTTCTTATTTACATTATCAAATTCTTCAATATCTTATTTTTTTGTTTTTTTCTACAAGTTTTACTCTTATTCTTCCCTCCTCTTATACTTTAATAACATTTTTCTTCTTTTAATTTTTCTTAATTTCTCGATAGCTTTATTTGTTTTTGATACTGAAAATATTATATTATTTAATTACCAACTCTATTAAAAACAACATTTCCTTGCATAAATCCTTCTTCTATTTTATACAACTTTAATTCCAACCTAGGTCCGACTTCATGTAATCTGATACTCATTTATTATTTTTTATGTTATTTATTCTCAAATTCCAACTCTTCTAAATCAGATTATTCTGTATCAGAAGCAAACATTTGATGATTGTTCTACAAAAAATCAGAAAAACTATTGTATTTTGATAAATTTGGTAATTTATTTGCTTTGATGATTTTCTTCATTTTTTTATCAATTCCTTTTAAATTGAAACTAATGTAATAATGTCTTATGTATATCTTATCATTTTTATATGAGAACAATATGACTCTCTTCTATGTTTTAGGATTTGTATTTTAAACATTGATAGCAGGAAACATCGATTAAATCATATTACCAACAAGTTTAATGTGATCACTAGTGGGTTTCTTGGGATCATCACTCTAAAAGTCAGTTTGGAATCCATTCATAACAAGTAATGGAGGTGAGAAAACCCTAGAAAAGGATTTGAACTTTCTTTGAGCGTTAAGAACTTCATTTCTATTTGCGTATTTCAGAATACGGAATGTAAAGGTTGGTCCTCTAGGGTTCTAAATGAATCTTATGTATGAATCTATTTATTAGACATTTTCGTATACTCTTATTGGTTTATGTCATAATAATCATATGTGATATTAAAAAATAGCCAGCTGCCTATATGTAATCTTTCATTTTAGTTTTATCTGATTCTTATAAATTCATGGTTGTGAAGGGATACATAACATCTCTGTAATCATCAATCAATTGGCGAATAGTTGAAGACACTTTTCCTCTTTTTAATATGAAAGCTTGAAAATAGAAATTAAACGAAACCTTTTGGTGTCTATCCAATCAAATCAAGATCCTCCTCTGTGGCTTCTTTATGTGTTCTTGTTTTTTTCTAGATTTATCATAATTATAAACTGTACCCTTCTTCCTCCAACTTTAGGCATTAATTAAAAATAATTAAAAAATTTTTTATCAAAAACCAACAAAAAATAAACACATGGCTTTCATTATTCTTGGTATTGCTTCAATTTTTCTAAGTAAATATTGTAAAGATCTTTCGAAATAAATAAGTCATAATTTAGTAGTTCCAGCAATTCTGATTCTAATTGGTTCAACTCTTTTAAAGCGATTCCTGCTATTTTTGAATAATAATCATTTCTGTAGTAATCATCATCTTGAAATTTAATTGCTAAAACTATTGCAATAATTAGAAATCTAATTCAAATGATTTGGATACCTATGAACACAATGGCTATTCAACAATATATCTGGATTTAATTCTTAAACTTTATCCAAGTAAATCAAAGCAATAACGAAACACTCATCTGTGCACTTTGCGTATTTTGCTATTCGAATCAAATAGTTTTCTAGTGTTATCACAGGTACTTTTGATGCATGAAATAATGTTTATTGAGAATCTAACTTGTCCGTTTCTTCAACTATCTCTTCCAGTATTGTTGCAATGCATTTTAAGATAGATGGATGTTTAGTTCTTTCATGATTCTTCACATTAACTTGTGTGCTGATTTCTGTCATACGATATTGATATTAGTAATACGCTTATTTTAAAATATTTAATTTAATCAAATCAAATTAAAATCAAATTCATATACCTCTTAATTAAATCAGATGTAATGACATAATTAACTATGTTAATGGGATATCTTGATATTTCTAATTAATTAATCATTTTTATTAATTTAATATACCATCATCATTAATTAAATTATAATTATTAGAATTTTCTTATTTCTCAATACTTAAGAATTCTTTGACTTCTGATCCCTAAATAAGAGCAATTATATAAAACAAACAGAGATACTAAAAATAGGAGTTTTTCTTAATTTTTATAAATTTTATTAAAACACATTCCAGAATTGTATCGATGTATTCTTTTTAACTTTAAGCTTTATATTTAGGTTAGATCTAAGTTTTTTTTTTATGCTAAAGGTTTATGCTATGTAAAGTAATTTACTGACTAGATCATTCATATTTTAGCTTACAATAAAGTAATATATTTACAAAAATGTTGAATAATACATAATTTATTATATACATTCAAGAGTTTTGAATTCTATATTCATATTTTTAGATTCATTACTATAATGTTGTAATTAAATATATAATTTTAGTGTTAAATAATATAAAAGCTTAATAAATTTATTAAAACTATTTGAATGAGATAGAAGAATATATCTTTTAGTATAAGAACTATCTAAAATCATTAGTAGTTTTATAAATATTTTCTTCCGTCATGTACATAAATAAAAAGAGGGTTAAATTACCTCATAAACTGATCTCAAATGTCATTTATTAATTTCAAGCAAAAAAAGGTTGAATAATAAGAAAAAGGCAAAATGCTTCAGAGTTAACTTAAGAGCATGTGATTAATTTTAATAAGAATTAATTGTATATTCTTCATCTAGCCATTTACTTAAATTATTATTAGTAAATTACCATAATCATCAAGTATAGCTGAAAAACATAGATGAATTAAAAGACAAAACAACTTTAATTATAAAAATTATATAAGCATAAATTCATTTAGTTAATGAAAACCATAGTGAAGAATTGGTTTTGATATAAAGTTATAAAATTTAAAATTCAAGATTTCAATGAGTATTTAATTTAAAGGACCTTATTCTTTTAAACAGAATAATTCTAAGTAGAAGAACTAATTTAAAACCAGTTTCCATTCAACCAAACTTTTGAAATCTTATGAAGATTAATATATTTTATATTTAAAACTAAAATCATTGTAAAATGGCAAAGCAATTTTTATGGTTGTAATTAGGAACTGAAAATTTAAGATAAATAGATCTTATAGCCGAGAAACATATTTGTTAAGCAAACATCTATGAACCTTCCTTTGTATTGAGAGGTAAAATTTATTTATTTTCAAAGAGAGAGGAGTAGAATTTATACATTGTATATAACGCTTGAAATTAAACAAAAAATAATTGTTCAGAATTAATACTTGAATTAACTGAAGAGATATCCTAGTGTTAAGAATTTGAGAGTAGTCATGCTATTTTTATGAGAATTTATTATTCCAATATAGTTTTCTAGTATGGAAACGCTATTAATGAATTTGGTTAAGTGCATTCACAATAAGGAAAAAAATAAATATCAAATTAACACCATCTTAAATCATTGGATTATATGGAAAGTAGATATGAGATAGAAAGGGTAAATTTTGGAATCAAGTTATTATGATAATAATAATATAATCAATATTCCTCCTCTTCTTCCCAAATCTCCTACAGAATTTAGACCAAATTTTTGAGTTTGATTTTCTTCTAGAATGGCTAGTACGGACCTTTGATTTAACGAATAACTTCTTCTATCTGTCTTCTTTCTTGATTGTTGCCCATTAATTTTGACGCCTGGAACATTAATTTATATAATAACTAACAATTACTATAATTTAATTTCAAATTTATGTCAACATCATCCGATTTCTAGCCTCCTTCTCCGAGTCTCTCGCCTAATTCACAAATAAAATGTTATCAAGAACAATTAGAAAAAGCTCATTCAATGATTGATTACTTGGAGGTAATGCTTTCAGAGAAGTAAGCATTGAAAGAGAATTTTAATTCATTTAATATGCCCAAGAATAAGGGTCATATGAAGAAACAAAGTCTTTGCTTAGATAATATTCCTTAAGCTATTTAAATTCAATAATTTGTTACTCCAAGAGAAACAAATCAATAAATGAGATTCTCATCTACTAATATGCCTAGTTACATTTCTGAATTGCAATAAAAACATTAAGAAATCCTCTCATCTAATAAAGAGAAATCCACAGTTAAAAAGCTTTAAATCTAAGAAATATAAGAAAAAGTATAGGATCTTTAAGATGAAATAATTATTTGTAAAGAAAGATAAAAAGGGACTGAATTCGCAAAAGGCTAAGCAGAAGAAGTCCTTGAATAAATTGATGTAGATATTTTGCAAGCAAAACAAAAATTAAAATCAGTAAAATCATAAGGGGAGTAAATCTATGATAGTATGATAAAATTAGAAGATTAAGAATATGATAAAAAGTACTATATGGGCAGGACTTCTACATTAAAGAGAAAGAGAAATGAAATCTAACCACCAAATCAAATCAAGAACTAGTTAACTTAATTAAAAAATGAAATTGAATAACTTAAATAGTCCAAAAAAGAAAAAGAGGAATTTTATTCATAAAAAATCAAAGAAATCGAACATCAATTAGATTAAAGAAAAACAAATGAGTCAGTACATGATGATTAACTGAATGCTTCCTTAAGTCCTGATAGACAAAAAGTAAGGGTTTATAGAGGGAAGTAAGCATTATTGCAAGTAATTAATTATCAATATCGCAGCTTACACTCAATTCTGATTCTTGCTCGAGGTCTTATGCATTAAGAAAGTCACAGGAAAACAAATTGAATTCAGCATTTGATTTCAAACAATTTGATGAACATGAAAATGTTTCAATAGATTCTTTTAAGAATAAAGATAAAAAGAATAGAACTTGTGATCCTTGCACTATCTTTTGATTATATACATAATTAATATTGCCTATATGGTATTAATTGCAAATATTATTTATTCAAATAATAGTACAATTAGTTTTTTTAAAACTATTACTGTCATGTTTGATAATTGAGATTTATTCACATCTCAAGACTTTTCCTTAGTGATAATAATTGCATAGGAATTAGTTACTAATATTTTTATTACCTTAATATCACAAACAGTATATTATTAATATCACCCAGTTCAACATAATAAAATTTACTTAAATTTCAGTCAGATTTATAAGTGCATGAACCCTTTGGATGATGAATGCTCCGAATAAAATTTGGACCAATAAACTGAATTGTTCAAGTTCTTCAATGGTTTAAAGGTTGAAGAGCGATTTTTTTCATTAATTCATATTTATTATTAATTAATGTAAAGAGAAAAGCGTATACCTTCTAGGGCTTGGCGATATGAGGAATACTCTCCTCCAAGGAGACCTTCTTAATCAATGAATCGAAGACAAAGAAAGAGAGAATTATGCTATTATAAAATACAAAAAATATCATAAAATTCTTAATTTACTAAAGAAGAAGATGAAAGCATCCTTTAATATGTCAAAGAATTAGGACCTAAATTTGTTAAGATTGCTAGTTTCTTCCCTAGCAAGTCATACAGCATGGTGAAAAATAGATACTACAAACACTTAAGGAATAGGCTGTTTGAAAGAAAAGGAAGTTAAGAATTGAACCCGAATAATCAAGACACTACTCAACAGTTAAAAAATTCAATACTATAGCCTAATAATGAGAAATTAGAAGAATTGAAATAACTGATATCTTCAATAAACTTATTTCCTGAAATTACAGAAATAACCAAAAGTTTCATTGGTGAATTGTCAAAGCATTTGCTCTGAAATTCAGAGGTAAACTCTGGTGACATTGATTTTAATTCATTTGTTAAATTTATATAAATTCAATCATTACAATACAGTGGACTTATGGAAGGCAAATTAATAATTTTCCATTTTGGTAAATAAATTTAAGGATTCAAATTAACTACCATTTTTCAATGAGTTTAAATATTAGATATTAATTCCCAACCATCACTTTCTAAATCAATAGTTATAAATTCTCAAATTAATAAATTACGTTATTTCAATAGGTAAATCAAAATAAAAATTAAATAATTTTTATCAATAAGAAGTTTAATTCTTCAAAATTCTAGAATTTCTACAAACGTGGTATTTTACTATTAAAAAATAAGTTGAACAACTTGTTACATTAAAGGAATAGTTTTATTTATTATGACTATGATGTATCCATCATTTTGTGAAACAAATATTTTAAATTATAAATATTGTAAAAATTGATGTAACAGATATAACAATAAAGATTGACAACTCATAAAATTTGTCTTATTTCTTACCTTATCATATTAAGATTAAAATCTTACTTTTTTTAATGGACATAAAAAGAATAAAATACTAGTTGGTTAAGAATGTCTAGTATTTAATAGATAAATTATATAATATGAAAATTAAAAGAATACTCAACCCAATTAGGATATTAAAATTAGTAAATTATCTTTAGGTTAGGTGAATTAAAAAATATACTACGATTCTAAGTGATAATGATGTTTTTTGATGAGTAAAATTTGGTAATAAGCTGATGATATAATATTTTAGTCTTTGACATTATTATCATAAAGGGTTATAACCAATCAAAAGAAAAAGAATAATCATGATTATTTAAATAAATGCTTTAGTATTTCTTATTTTATTCAAATATAAAACGATCATTAAATATAAATGGCTATAATTGATTGCAATTAAATTAAAATTTCAAATTATAATATTAGTTTCTTCAATAATAAAGAAATAATATTATTTTTTTCTGTTATAAACTTACATTTCCAAATACATAATTTAATTGCAAGACAATTCGAAATAATAAATTTACCAAAATGATATTATAAACCAATATTGGATAGTATATATCTTTAATTTATTTGATAATTTTATTTTAATATTAATTACACCTATAATAAATTATTTGCAGTAATAATTTTCCTGTTATTATTTATTAATTTTATTAATCCCTCCAAATTATTTATTTAAAAGATGTCTAAGAACGTTGAGGATGTTTATAAGATGGTTTCATAGGTTGAACACATCTTATTGAGACCTGATACTTACATAGGGAGTGTGGAGATTTCAGATTAAGAATTATGGATTTGCGAGGATAGTGATTAAATTTCATTCAAATTTGAGGAATTTAGTTATTGTTAAGGATTGTACAAGATTTTTGATGAGATATTGGTGAATGCAGCAGACAATTATTAGAGAGATAAATCTACAGATCGTATATCTGTGTCAATAGATAATGATTCTATAATGGTAGAGAATACAGGAGCAGGTATTCCAATATAAATTCATAAACAATACAACATCTATGTACCAGAGATGATTTTTGGAAGACTACTCACATCTTCGAATTATGATGATTCTGAATAGAAAGTGACAGGAGGTAGAAATGGTTTTGGAGACAAAGTTAGCCAAACTTGTTTTAGTTCAATATTTCAAGGGTGGAAACCATTCATCAATCCAAAGAAGGTTCACAATGGTTTGGACAGAAGAAACATGAAAGAAACATACATAGCCCGGAAATCACCTAATACAAACGAAAAGCCCTTACACAAGAAATAACATTCAAGCCTGATTTAAAGAACTTCTAGACAAGATAGATTATCGGACATAGTTCCTTTGTTGTAGAAAACGTGTAATTGATTTAGCAGGAATATTGCCAATATCTGTATATTTGAATGGTAAAAAGGTGGCAATCAATACTTTTAAGGATTATGCTTAATTGTATGGAATAAATGGGAAATTTGCATATGCATCTTAGAATAAGCCATTCAAATGGGAAATTTTGGTAAGTTCATCGGATGGTCAATTTAATTAGGTTTCCTTTGTAAATTCAATCAACACCATAAGAGGAGGAACCCATGTAAATTACATAGTGGATTAAATAGCTGAAGGGTTAATGAATCATATTAAGAAGAAGTATAAAGAGATGAAGAACATTAAACCATTTTAAGTAAAGAGCTTCATTAAAATATTTTTAAATTGTTAAATAGTGAATCCTGCTTTTGATTCATAGACTAAAGAAACCTTAACAACAAAGGCCTAGAAATTCGGGAGTACATTTGAAGTAAGTGAGAAATTCTTAGATGAAATCATAAAAAAAACTGAAATCATTGATAATGTTATATTGTAGGCTAAATCGAGACTGAATAAACAATTAAGTAAATAATTGTCAGCAAAAAAACAATAACGATTATTAGGAATAGATAAATTGGAGGATGCAAATGATGCAGGTACAAAAAATGCTGATTTATGCACTCTGATATTGACTGAAGGAGATTCTGCGAAATCTTTGGCTATGGCTGGTATAGAAATAGTAGGCAGAGACAGATTTGGAGTATTCCCCTTAAGAGGTAAGTTATTGAATGTCAGAGATGCTTCCATACAAATGATAATGAAAAATGCAGAGATTGAACAGTTGGTGAAGATAATGGGATTGCAATTCAATAAGAACTACGAAAATACAAAATCCTTAAGATATGGATCAATCATGATCATGACTGATTAAGATCATGATGGACATCACATAAAAGGGTTGATTATTAATTTCATTGAGAAGTTTTGGCCATCTCTATTTAAAATGAAGGGTTTTCTTAAACAATTTGTGACACCAATTATCAAAGTAACTAAAGGCAAAGAGTTTCATAGTTTCTTTTCTATAGGAGAATACAAGAAGTTTATTGCTGAAAATCCAAGGGAAGATTACAAAGTCAAATATTACAAAGGTCTAGGTACCTCAACAGATTCAGAGGCTTAATAATACTTCAGCAATTTAACATTGCATAGGAAAGTGTTCACTTACTCTGATCAAACAGATTCAGATTACATTGATTTGGTATTCTCAAAGACTAAGGCTGATCAAAGAAAGGATTGGCTTTCAGAGTATTCATGGAAATAAGTTGAAGACACTCTTGATTACAGTAAACCAAATGTTCGATACAGAAACTTTGTAACTGATTGTTTGGCAATGCATTCAATCAGTGATAACTTAAGATCCATACCTTCTAGTATCGATGGACTCAAGCCTACTTAGAGAAAGATCATCCACACTCTTCTTAATCATAGCAAATAAGAATATAAGGTTAGTTCTTTAAGTGGATTGGTTACTACATACGCATAATATCATCATGGAGAATAATCTCTTTAATAAACAGTAGTGGCAATGGCATAGAATTTCACTGGATCCAATAACATCAATTTATTATTGCCAATAGGTTAATTTGGTACTAGATCCATGGGTGGCAAGGATGCAGCTCAAGCTAGATACATAAGTACTAAATTAAGTTCTCTGACAACCAAACTCTTTAATGAAGATGATTTGCATACTTTGAATTATCTAGATGAGGAGGGATACACTGTTGAGCCATTTTGGTTTACTCCAATCTTGCCTCTGGTTTTGATTAATGGAGCTGAAGGTATAGGTACTGGTTGGTCAACTCAAGTGCCAAACTTTAATCCAAGGGAAATATGTTAATAAATTAAGCGAAAATTGAGGGGAGAAGAGTTTGAAGAGTTGGTACCATGGTATAAAGGATTCACTGGTTCAATTACAGCTGGAACCAATTAGTATATAGCTAAAGGTTCCTTCATCTAACATAAGAATCACTTATATATAACTGAAATACCTCCAAAGAAAAGTGTTAAGGAATATTAGGCATTCATCTAATCTAAAATGGAAGTTGCTGAAGGCAAATCAGAACCTGAAATCTTAGACATGAAAGAATATCATGCTGGTAATAAAGTTTGTTTTGAATTGAAGGTTACTGATGAAGTATTAAAGTAAGATATAGAGAAATACTTTAAATTGTAAACCACTATTGCAATGACCAACCTTGTATTATTTAATGAGAAAGGTTTACTAAAAAGATATTCTAATGTTTCTGAAATCTTAGATGAGTTCTATTAAACGAGAATCAAATTTTATCAATTGAGAAAGGAATACTTACTTTCCAAATATCAAAATGAATTGGAGCTGGTCCAATCCAAATCTAAATTTATTGAAGGAATGATAGATAATTCCATATAATTGAGAGGATTAAAGAAAATGGAAATGTGTAAGAAACTATAATCTCTTGGTTTCAAAGGAATTAGCAAAATGGAAAAAGTAAAGAGCACCAGAATCTCTAAAGATTTTGATGCTGACAACTTAGAAAAATAATATGATTATCTATTGAGCATGCCAATGTGGAATTTTAGTGAAGAAAAAATAACAGCTTTCAAATAGTAAATCAAATAATTATAGGATTAAATTACTGCTCTGAATAAGAAAACTCCTTAATAAATCTGGTCAGAGGATCTCGACGAATTTTTAGAGGAATTAACTAAGGTTGAAGAGTAGGAAACTTAAGAAATGATCAAAAGAGTAGAAAAAAATGCTGAAAAATTATTAAAAGGTGGAGCAAATTATTTAAAGGCTGTAGTATTAAAAGGAAAGGATGATTTTGCTTAATAAGAAGATTATGATTCAGAATCTGACGGGGATGGTCCATCTAGAGATCCAAAAGTATTAAAAAAGGTCATTAAGGAGTTTGCCAATTTTGGTATTAAATCATAAAGAGATGTTCCTTAGTCAAAGTTTAAATTGTAGATTGAAAAGCAAGCAAAGAAAAAAGATTCAAAAGAGAATCAGGATGATAATAAAAGCGAAAAACCCATTTCGATGGATCTAGAAGATGACAGTCCTAAAAGAAATAAAAAGGTTGTTGATAGTTAAAGTGAGGATGAAATAATTAATGTAAAAAAGAATACTAGAAGAATTTAGAAATAAAATGATGTTGAAGAAGTTCAAGTTTAAACTAAAGATTCAAAAACTAATAAAGTAGATACAAAGCCTAGTAAGGCTGAATCCAAGCTTGAAAAAGCTGAATCAAAAGTAACAAAGACCAATAAATCAAAAAGAATAGTACCTCAAATGGATTCAGAAAAAAAAGCATCTGAAATTAAGAGAAAAGCTGAACAAGAGAAAGCTGAGGAGGATTAAAAATTAATAGAATAGGAAAAGGAAGAATTAGAAAAACAACGTGTTCCAGTTGATTCTTTAAAAGTTCCGAACCAAGATAAAGAGGAGATGGATCTATTCTAGAAATATGGATTTGGAGATTTTATGAAATACCTCACACCAGCTAATGGTAAAGATAATAATCCCATTCCATCTTTGGCAGATAGAATATTTTAAAGAACAAAATAAGGAGAAATTAATTTCGACCAAATTATTGCTGATAAAAAATAAGAAAGTGCATTAAAAGAAAGAAAAGATTCAGATAATGAAATTGAAGATTTCTTATAATTAGATTTAAGTGAAGATTCAGATAAAAAATAAAAGGTAGCAAAGGCTAACCAAAAAACCACAGCAGAAAGAAAATCAGGTAAAAAGAGCACTGAGAAATAACAATAATAAATGACTGCCACTCCCGCTAAAAGAAAATAAAGAAAGTAAATAATTGAATCAAGTGATGAGGAACCATTGAATAAAAAGCCCAAAAAGAAATGAGTATATAATTAATCATTATATTTTATTCGAAATTTGAATTTCAATATCTGTCAACGTAAAATTATTCGTAGTTTATTCATTTTCTTTAATAATTATCTAATTTTATTTCAGAATATAAATATTATATATATATATACAGAAATTAAAAATCTCAACTAAAGTCCTTCAAAGCCGAACAACCACTATAGATATTTTTTAAACATTCAAAATATCAAATTTTTTAATAGCAATATGTAAATATTGATTCAAACTAATAACAATAACTTTAATCATGTAAATATTTCATTAAATAGAGTTCCGATTCTCATGAAAGTTAGTTATACCGAAAATTGGAATTGTTTTAAATAAATATCTATCAATAGAATCAATAGATCAATTATAATGAAATATAAATAGATATAATAAATGGATAATCCTAATCAGAGATTATGTTATGATACAAAGAGATAATAATAAATTAGAATAATATTCTTAAGTATCCTATTAAATTGAATTATCTATGAAAGAAATTTAAAAACAAATTAATTAGAATATGTATTATATTTTATACTGGATAAAAAATTATAAAATTTTTAATTAATATAAAATAGTTATAAATATATAATTACAACAATATTTTCATTGATTTAATTTTCTGATCATATTCTAATATTAATATTAATTATGAATAAAAAAGAAATTAAACAAGATGGCGAATAGGCTCCATTGACCAAAACAAGCCTGCTTAAAATTGAATCAAGGGAAGGATAGATTATTTATATATTCACAAAGTTATTTGATCATCCAATACGATAATAAATTAAATTTGCATTTGGATAGATTAATGTGTTTATTGAGAAATAGGGAATTAAATGTTTCAAAAGTGAAATGAATAGCATGGAATGCTTAAATCAAGGAATTGACTGGGATTAAAAATATTTTGACAAAATTATCACCTGTTTAGAAAGACCAGATAAAGATTTTAGGTATTATAATTTATTATATTTAATAGTTATTCATTTAAAAGAAGTGAAGGTAATGAGCAAGTTCCTTGCGATTATGTTTTGATATTGTCTGAGAAAGTACACAAATTGAACGAGGTAATATTGTTACGAGTCTATTTGATTGAAAATCCATCATTTTCAACATTAGACCATTTTTACAGGGTTTGCAAGGAGATTTAAGATAAAAAGGAAATAATGTATAAGAGTTTAGAAGAAAAATTTACAAACTTGACTTAATAAAGATAAAAGTTATAAACTGATATTGAGTTTATAAGTAATCAATCACAATAGAGGGAAAAGGAGATTTTGAAAAAATTTGTCCTCCTATTAAACGAAAAGAAGAAAGAAATCTGTCGATTAAACTAAATAAATGGTCTAATAACAAATTAAATAATTGAAGAAGAACAATAAAATAATAATAATTATATAAATGTGGATGACTTTTTTGAAGAAAAGCAAATACCAGTTAAGAAACAATATGAAGAGTAAGCGCAAAGTTCTTAATTCCCAGTCAGTTAAATAGATTAATTTTTATTCACCTAAGACACATAATTTAAGAAAGATCTCAGAGAAATCCCATCAAAAAAGACAAAATTATGATAATTTGCTATAAATTTATTATTGATCTCAAAAATAATTAATTAAGAATTGAAGGCTCATTAATGTTCTTCTATTAGAGTTTGATTTGAAACAACTCGTTAATATTATATAATTATAAATCTCCATTTTTTATTCAAAATACAGTTTTATCAAAGCAATTTTATATATATCCTCCAAATTAGTTTAAGCCTTATTTATATTTTATAACACAATAACCATCATCTTTGCTCAAAGGGCTAAAATTAGTAATATCTTTTTTCTAAAATAAACCATATTAAATGATGATTTTATTAGTTGTCATATTTATTAAATTCTTTTTAAAAAAACTAACATCAATGGTTGAAATCACAATGATTAGTATATTGTTTTTCACGGCAGATCCCTATTGTTTATGGAAAACATAATTCACAGAATAAACATTTTCATCACTCCCTTCTAATTGGTATATCACTGGGGCATATAGTGGAAATAGACTTTCTGACTGCTCAGGGACAACTATTATTGGGGGATATGGAATTGTTGGATCTGGAAGCTAAATACATGGATCATATTCTAACCTTCCAAGACATAGTGCAATCAAAGTGAGATTAAAAGTGTACTATATTGATTCATGGGATACAGAGGTAGCTACGATTAATGTAGCTGGATTTGTTAAATAGAGAACTTGGTATTTAGATTGGGGGTGGAGTGATATGTGCGGAGCTGGTTTCAATGATGGATATTTTTGGGAAACTTTGCAAGGAAGTCATACTGCAGATTCTTTTTCTATTAATCTATCAAATGGATTAGATGATGACGCCTACAATGGTAACTGAATGATTTAATTTTAGAATCATTAGGTTTAAAGGATGTCGAAATATATCTAATTCCAGCTTAATGTATATAATTTTTTAGTGAATGTAATTATACTGGAACCATGAAAGAACTTTGTCAAGGAGCTCCAAATTTGGATAGGAGAAATATCCCGTAGTAAATAAAATCAATAAGAGTTGATGGTTGTGGGTAGGTTAAACTAACAAAAAAAGGATTGGGTTCAATAACAATAACTGAAAATACTCCATGTTTAACAGAATTTGATGTAATTAATCAAATATAAATTTAAGTTCCCTCCAGTTGAAAATTTAAATAGATGAAATGTATAAAATTGATAAGTTTTAAGTACTTTATTGAATTCACTTTTCTATTTTAATTAATTAAAATAATTTTAGTTTATCAAAAATCACATTGCTCTATCTCTTGGTCTGTATCAACCAATTAAGTACATAAGTATTAAAAACCATATTGAAAATCCTAAATAATTGTAGATCACCGTCACATGATGGCTTGTGGAGATATCTTAGAAGTAAAAAAAAGAAATGAATCAAAATCTTTTACAAGAAGTACAAAATTAATAATATATATAATTTAAATTAAATTTGAATCTAAAATTATTTCATCATAATACGATATAGGATAAATGAAAAAATTTGTTATCAAAACTTAAATTCCATCAAATTAGTTAATGGGTAAGGGCTTGGATTTATAAAATGTTTTTAATCATTTTTCCATAGTCTTTTTTTTATGTACATTCTTAATTCCTAAACTAGAGTAATTATTTATAGAAGAAGATTGGTGATTAACACGGACAGCAATAATACAATATGTGCCCAGCCAACTTAAACCTGTGTATCATATGTAAATAAATTAGACAATTAGCTCCAATACACAGCAGATGTTAGGGTAAAAATAAAGGCACTTCCTTCTATCATAAGTAAATTACAATAGTCTTTTTGATTTATGATTGGTTTGAATTTGATAACATAAAATAGATATAAATGACATACTAATGTTAATAAGATTGTTTGTATTTACTCATTTTTTTGGAAGCATACTAAAATGAAAATGAAAATTAATTTTTTCAAAGTGAAAAATAAATCCATTTTTGAAATCCAATATCTAAATAAATTTTCTTTGATTAATTCATTCTTTTAAATATATAATCTAAGTATTAATAAACATCCATAAAATATTATATATGCTAAAATTAAGCAAATTATGGATCTGAATGAGGTATATGATTGCGATGATTTCAATTATAAAAAGCATGTAAAAAAAAGATCCCAACAATTTGCTATTAGAAAAGTCTTAACCCCATTCTTTCGAAATTCTTTCTAATAGTTCCAACATAGTCTTCTTATTTTAAATAGTAATTTAAAAACAAATTTACTCTTTAAAAGTAATGATTGGATTTTGTTTGCATCAATAAAAATTATAAGTAAAACACAAAAATAATGAATGATAATCAAGACTATAATGAGAAACACTTAGGTTTAAATGTTAGTTAATAGATCAGCATTAATTTCATAAAATTTCAACTTTTCATAAGATTCAATATATATTGAGTTAAAGATTGGTGCCATTAAGGAATCAACTTTAAAGAATTGTAAAATAGGTTCTATAGTTATTATGTTACTTGATTCAAAATAGATAAATAAATTAATAGGAAATTCAACATTAACAAATCTTAGATAAGATTATTATTGTAAAACCTCTAGGATACTAGAGAAAATATATGAATTTCCTAGAAAAAAAGCAAGTATGCCAATTCCTCCAATAGAATTCATTAAATATTTATTTGCTATTTTTAAACTATCAGCTGCTTCTTATTTTTAATCATCTATATACCTAGGCTATTTTAATTATATTTTATCATACTAATTAAAAAGTATATTGTCTTCTGAATTATATAATTATTCATCTAAAATAACTTCTAAGTAAGGACGAACAGATAAAGCTTAATTTATTTAAATTTCTGCTATGTATCCAACACTTGTTGGGTATTCAACTGGTTCTTAATTAATAATCAGATTCAATGAATAGATATTAATGTCAAAATCAATAAGATTCATTTATATATATTTGGAATATAAATCTTAATTTAAATACTTAACTTATTAAGTGAATAATAATGAAACATATTATTTTTAATTTCTTTCTTCTTTAAACTCAAGATAGAATCTTGGTTGTTTAGAATAAGTACATTACGAAAAACTGTATTTTTAATTTCTACATTGATAATCGCTTTCAATCTTACAAAATCTTGAACAACCATCTCCATCCTCTTTATTCATATCATCACATTCTTCTTCCTAGGAAACCATGCCATTACCACAATATGTTAGACATTAATTTAGAATAGGACTTAATTCATAACCTTATTCGCAGAAATTACATTGTTCTTACTCACATATTTTGCAATGATCTGGACAATTAAATTTACATTTAAAACATCCATCAGATTAATCATCATTTTAATCATCGCAATCTTCTCTTTCTACTATGATACCATCTCCGCAAATTGGCAAACATTCATAATCTAATTCATAGTATCCAGACTCACACTTATCTTAACATATCCCTTTAATACATAATTTACAGTTTTATCTACATTAGTAAGTGCAATTATAACATCCATCATATGGTATTTCATTCATGTCATCGCATTCTTCATCTGAAATTAAAGCAATTAAATTATCTCCACATTCAGATTCACAAATAAAATGGTCAGTTATATGCCAACCATATATGCAATCCAAACAGATTCCTTATTAACAATATGAACATTCTTTTTAACAATCATTTCTACAATTATTACATCCATCAAATCTAATTGAATTCATATCATCACATTCTTCTTAACCTTAAATTATTTTATTTCCGCAATCAGATTCACATTAGTAATTTTTTAATTTCCATCCTAGAATACAATCATAACATTTTCCAAATTAACAATCAATACATTCATCTTAACAATAGTATTCACATTAATTACATCCAAATTATGATTTAGTATATTTATTAATATCACATTATTCATCACCTAATATAACAAGATCTCCACATATTGGTATACAAATATTTTAATTTTTATCGAATATCCATCCATTTAAACATTGGATACAAAATCCATTTGATTATAATTAACAACCTTATTGTAGATCATAATAACATAAATGACATTTATCAAATGGTTGGAGATTATAATCAGTACATTATATATCATTAAGTATTAATTAATTTTAACATATAGATTCACATCTATTATTAATTAATTCATAATTTAAATTTACATTATAAACAAATACCAAATTTACACAGATTTACAATTTGATGGACAAAAGAATTTTCCATTTAAACAAATCTCATATTATAATGTATCATCACATTCTTCCCAAATTTAAAATTAAGTATCATCAACAATAGGAATACAAGTATTAAAATCTAAATAGAATATCCATCCAATATCACATTCGAAACAAATACCATCCATACAATTTGAACACCCTTCTACACAAGAATATACACAATTAAAACATCCATCAAATGCATAAATATTACCGTCATCGCATTATTCATGTGATTCTTTTATTAAATTGCCGCAATCCTGCTAATTATCTTTATAAAACAATATAATACATATAAAAATTTCAAAGTCTCTAATTCCAAGTGATTCATTCATAAACCCTTCGTTAAGTGTTGAAGTAAAAGCTATAACCAAACTCTCCTTTCTATGAAACATTCTTATCTCATAATTTGGAAGATAATCATCATAAGTATCAGAACCGCAATAACTTCTAAATCCATATACTATAGGTTTATGAGTTATTTGAAATATTAAATTACCGTCAATGTAAAAGTAAAGATTTTCACTATCCCAGGAATCTATATAAGCAATCCTAAATCTAATTTTAATCAAATAATGTTAGGGCATAGTAATATTCGTAGTGATTATTGATTACACACCACATTTACCATATCCACCAAAAATAGGAATACCTATTTAGAACTAATAATATTACTAGAGCAAGCTGTATTATCTTATATTCCACTTATTATTGACCATCCATCTGTTTTAAAGGAGGATAACTAGTCTGATAGAAATGCTGAACTAACTATAGTCCATGCTTAGCATTCCAGAAATTAATCCTTAGCTTAACAAGATTAACATCCAGAAGGGCATAAATCAAGATAGAGTTTAAAATCTCTAAAACCCCAAGATTCCTCTTATATTTCTATTAAATTACATCATTTGGAAGAGAGTTAAGATTAGTTGTCAAAAGGATAATAACTGACTAAAATACGTGAGGTTGTGTAATTGTTAAACTGTAAATACTATCACTCTATGCACCACCACATAATTATACATGTCCTACGCCATATTAAGCTGTATAACTTAAAGTTCCATCCAAATCTATATACAGAAATTCACTATCCCAAGAATCAATTCTACATACAATAATACATAATACCTCCAAAATTACATTGTTATATATATCATAAAATGAGGAGGCAATTAGAGCAATTTCATAGCCTTGGCTTTACTTCCGAAGGCATTGTACCCTCCTAAAATTCTTGTTCCAGAGCAATCAGAATATGTACTTAAAGCATTTGATAAAGTCCAGCCTAAAATTAAAATATTTCTGAATACCTTCACTAGTGACAAATGAAGGATTTGTAAAGGCCTCATAGTATAGAGTCATTTGGAATGAAAATATGGGAAAAAAAATAAAAGATAAGCGCATGATGATTTAATCTAATTAAAAATTAAAAATTGTTAATTAAATTACATTAAAAGGTAGACAATGATTTATATTTTTATAAAAAATGAGAATTTATTTTGTAATAATATAAAAGATTTTGATAAAATTTAATTATTAAGATTAAAATTATCATTCATTATTATCTTTCTTTGATAAGGATACCCTTCTAAAGAGCAAGTTTTAATTTATTAATATTAAATCAACAAATCATTTGTGATAAAATTTCATTTATTTCTTTACATTTAGGGCTTATTTAGATTCAAAAGGATAATATAATAGAGTTTAAGCTTTTATTATTTCATTATTATTATATAATTTCAAAATTGATAATGTTATTGACATAAAAACAAGAATGGATTTAGCCTTAATCATTTTAAAAATAAATTATAGAAATATAGGCAATTCTAAATTAAATGCATGGAAAATTAATTATTTCAATAGAATTATTGTTCTAGCTATTATAGTCCTGGATAATTTATATTTAATTATGAAAAGTTATTTTTTAAATATATTGTTCAACAATTAATTTATATCATCATCCATTAAAATAATATTTATATTTTGAATATTAAACAATATTTGTTGAAAAGAAATTTTTCAATATAAATTCTACCGTTGCATTGTTAAAATTAGTTAAATAAATTTCAAGAATTATTTACAATTTCTATTTTCAAGCAAACTAAGTATTTTATTCTGTTGAATTTAAGTATTATGATTAATCTTAGCAGGATATGATTTTCCACCGATCTATTATCAGGGGCAACAAAGTAATATTTGCTCAAATTGCTACTAAAATTCTTAACTTGGAATCAAAAAAGGTAGATCTAGTACAATTGCTAAGATCAACAATAAAGAGAAATTTTACATTAAATTGAAATTTATAACTAAGAGCTTAGCTTTGTTGATGGAGCCTACCCAGATAAAACATGAATAGTCAATGTTGTAAAATAATAGATCTATGCATTCTTTATTCAAGAACCACAAAGTCCTTCCTCTCTATTCAAAGAATTTTTTTCTATTGCTTTTTCCAGTCTTAATTATCTTTATGATGGCGCTCTTTTGAATATTGAATGCATTTTTAGCATTTTAATTTCTCAATTATTCTCTTAACCTTCTTCAAAATTTTACTTTTGCACTTTCTTTTGCTTTTTTAGATCCCATTTCTTCAACTTATTTTTCTTTTTGGTTTATTTTTGTTGTTGTGTATTTCTATAATTTTTAAATTGCTAAATATTGTGTTGTGTAATATTTTATTCTAACGATTAGTTTCTTTTCTTATTATCTTATTTTCTCATAAAGAAGTTTTACCAAACCTTATTGCAATACTTTTAGGTAAATTTTTGTTCTTCAGTATTGATGTTCAGTTGCCAAGTAAAGCTGTCTGACAATATTGAAAATTACGAGTTTGTCGGGAATTCAGATATAAAAATTACATAAATTGATGTTATTATAAAGTAAAATATATCAATATAAGCAAAACTGTAATTAATAAATTTTAAGGATGCTAATTCTGAGAAAAATTAAATTTTCCTCAACTTCATCCATCAATATTAAAAATTATAAAGACATAATAATTAGGTAATTTAATTCATCATAAATTTTATTTTTATATGATCAAACCTAATTATTATGAAAGAAATTTAAAAAAAATTAAGATTTGTAGCAATTAGAATCTGTATTATAAAAACTGATTTAATAAAATAATTATATAAAAGATTGTTTTGGTGAATTTAATTTTCTGATAAAATTCAAACAGATTTCGAATTTAAAAGTAATTAGTTATTACAGAGAGAAAGGAGATTTAACATATCTCTTCCTAGAAGAAGAAGAAAAATTATAGATTAAAATCATTCAATGGTATAATTTAGAGGAATAATAAAATAACAATAATCTCAATGTGGATGATTTTTTGAAGAAATGTAAGTATCAGTTTAGAAAAAATTAGTTGAATAAACCCAAATTTTATTTCCCAGGCAAATTAAGCATCACTAATGATACATAACATATAAGAAAAATCTAATAGAAATTTCATAAAAAGCCAATTATAATAATATGTTATAAATTTATTATTGATCTCAGAAAAAAACACATTCTAAATGAACACTCATTGAAACTCATATAGTAAAGTTTTAATTGAACCATTTCGTAAATATTCTATACTTAATAAATTTATATCAAATGCTAAAATTATAGTTTTAAACAAATTTTAATTTAAATACTCAAAATTAGTTAGAGCTTAATTTATATTTCTAATTCTATAACCATTACCATCACTCAAAAAGCGATAAATTTTGATTGTTTATTTTTCAAATAAACACTGCTAAATGATGATTTTATTAGTTTTCATATTTAATAAAATAATTTTTAAAAAAACTAACATCAATGGTTGAAATCACAATGATTAGCATATTGTTTTTCATGGCAGATCCTTATTGTCTATGGAAAACACAATTCACAGAATAAACATTTTCATCACTCCCTTCTAATTGGTACATTACTGGGGCATATAGTGGAAATAGACTTTCTACCTGCTCAGGTACAACTATTATTGGGGGATATGGAATTGCTGCTGCTGGAAGCTAAATACATGGATCATATTCTAACCTTCCAAGACATAGTGCAATCAAAGTGAGGATAAAAATGTACTATGTTGATTCATGGGATACAGAGGTAGCTACGATTAACGTGGCTGGATATGTTACACAGAGAACTTGGTTTTTAGATTGGGGACCAAGTAATACTTGTGGAGTAGGTTATAGAGATGGGGTTGTTTGGGAAACTTTATAAGGAAGTCATACTGCAGATTCTTTTAATATTTAGATTACCAATGGATTGGATGAGGATGCAGGCAATGGTAAATAAAAATATAACATTTCTAGAATCTATAGGTTTAAAGGACGTAGAAATATATCTAATTCCAATTTAATGCATATAATTTTTTAGTGAATGTAATTATACTGGAACAATGAAGGAACTTTGTCAAGGAGCCCCAAATTTGGATAGGAGAAATATCCCTTAAAAAATAAAATCAATAAGACTTCATGGCTGTGGATAGGTTAAACTAACAAGAAAAGGATTGGGCTCAATAACAATAACTGAAAATACTCCATGTTTACCAGAATTTGATGTAATTAATCAAATATAAATTTAAGTTTCCTCCAGTTGAAAATTTAAATAGATGAAATGTATAAAATTGATAAGTTTTAAGTACTTTATTGAATTCACTTTTCTATTTTAATTAATTAAAATAATTTTATTTTATCAAATTATCAAAAGTCACATTGCTCCATCTCTTGGTCTGTATCATAATAAACATTTGGAATCATTCTACAACATTATCTAGCTGTCTTAATAAGATTCAGCTTTTGTAACGGTTTAACTAAAAATAATTTTCTGTAGTACATTTTTATAAATAGTAATGAAGAGAATCTGGAGATTTTGATAAAGCTTGATTGATGCATTTTAAAGCTTCAACCCATTTTTGCTATTTTTCTAAGTGTCGAGCTAAAGTTATAAAGAATATAATATTACCCTTATTCTCATATAATTAAACATTTTCAGGTTATAAAGAGATGGCTTCATCGAATAAATCTATGATTTTATCAAAACTTTTCTCGTCTTCTAAGATATTTGCTAAATAAATTTCTCTAATACCTTTATATAGATATGCCTCTATATTTTTTGGATACTTCTTAATCATGTTATCCAAAAATATGCGAGCTTCTTGTACTTCATTAATCTCTAATAAGAATTTTACTGAAAATATCATTTGGAAAAATACTTCTCTCTAATTCTAAGCATTCGTTATCTGTTTCTTGTAGCGCTTAAGTATAACATATTTTCATTTATCCATTAATTGAGTCTTGAATAAATAATTTATAATTACCCTATATTCTAATTAATTCATCTTCTATATTATCGGCTCGAAGATTTTTTGACACTTGCTTCTTATATTTTGTCAATGACTTGACTAAAATTATTTAGTTATTAAAACTTTTCATTTCATAATATTGTGTTTATTTTGTTTATTTCTGAATTAATTCATCAAAAATTTGAATGGCTGGAAGATATTATTTCTATATGTGTAAAATTTCACCTATTAATTTTATGAAATTCAAACCTTTTTTTTCCAAAAATAATAGTTTATCAGGAAACTTTTATATAGCCTTATTACACACTGTAACTAGCTCCTCGTAATATTTTTTTCTCTCTAATGCTATAACTAAATAAATTTTATTATAAAAGACTTAGAAACCGATATACTTCAGGAACTTCACAAAATTATTAAACACATTATCTCCACAACTCTATGACTTCGTCTAATTTACCACATTAAATTAAAACCTTAGCTAAATAAAATAATAATATGAATACATTTCAAAATATATCCATTTAATTACTGAGGACTTTGGGAAATTATTTAATCACAAAGTTCCAATGACTCATCTAATTTGTTGAAGTTAAGTAATACTGTTGCTATGAATTTGCTCAATAAATATTCTTACCTTTCATGTGTAAAAACTCATTTTCAGAAGGATATTTCTAAATTGTTAAATCATACAACTCCAATATTTACTCAAAACACTTTTATTTCTCATTCAACTAAACTCTTATATAACATGTTGTTAAAAAGTTTTCTAAAATCATTTTGATCTTTACATAAGAGTATGCAAGCTTCTTATTCATTAAATTAGGATTCCAATATTATCATTTTAGATATTTCAATAGCTTCAAAAATTTTGTTTGATACTATCAACTGAGAAACTAAAAATTTAGATCTCCTTTACCTTCTTATATTTATTGAATTTTGATATTTCTAATATCATTATTCCGATTATCTTACATTTAAATATTAAATAATATATATTAATTTATCTAATATCAAAATTATAACTAAGAAACTTAAAAGAGCTCAAAATTTTGTTTAAAATCCAAATACATCTTTAAATTGAAAAAATTTAAATAATTATAAGTTTTTCTAATTTTAGGTATATAATTAACTGATTATAATCGATTAAATCTTAATCATTATTATAAAATTTAAACTTATGAAAACAACACTGTTGACGGTCTTAACACTCTTAGTGTTAGGGAATTCTTAATAGGTAGACATTCATGCTAAAGATGTCTATTTTATTGTTAAAGGAGTGGTAGAAGGAGTGTAAGTTGATGATCACGTAGAAGTCAAAGAAATTGTGTCTTGCTTAAATGACTCAGAAGCATTAATAGAAAACATCGTGAAGGCTATCACAAATTTAGAATCTTAAACCTTTGATGGAGTTAAAGAAGGAATCAAATTAATCGGAGTAGCCATTCAATAAATTCCAGATGCTATCACTGCATGTGAATCTGGTTCTGAAGAAATGGTGGCCTTGTCAAGTATACATTATATTAATCAATAGAACTTCTCACCAACATGCTTGAACAATTGAGAAACCCTTGGACATTCTCATATAAAATCGGTTATAATTTAATTGTTAATGGACTAGACATCTATTAGGAAATTAGTAATTTCTATATCTAATTCTAGGCACCGCTATAAAAGACTGGAAATCAGAAATATATGAAGATTTTGGAAAATAGATTGGATTTGTTCTGGTTTAGTTACTTAAGGAAACCAAAAACATTGAGGCTGTTATACTTGATGATGAAGTCGTAGGAATAATATTTGAGGGATTACTTGATGGAATTGTAGATGCAAGTGGAATCAAAGCCAAGGACATTAAAGCTCCTAAATGTTGCTGGTGGAATTGTGATAGATTTTGAAAAGGCTGTTAGACTATTGGAAGATGGTTCCGTCTCAAGTGTCATCTAGGCTTTATAATCCTTTGTAGAGGGTATCTCTGAGTTCCCAAAGGCTCTTGAGACTTGCTAGTCTTCTTCTCAAGAAGCTGTGAAGTTGGCTGAAAAAATCAAAGACCTAATTGAAGCCTTATCCAATCCAAGTTCATTCGTCTATCATATTGGAAAAGATTTAATTATTAATGGAAAGGACATTTACTAAGAGGTATTCATATATTTTGATTACTTTAGATATTCGCAGCTGTTGATGATTGGAAGTATGGAAAATGGAGTGATTTTGGTTTCTAATTGGGTAAAGCAATGGAATAAATTTTCGTTGGACTTGAAAAAGAAAGACTATATTAATTATGAAATATTATTAATTTCATACTAATTATAACATAATTTCTTATTTAAATTTAGTATTCTTCAGGAATATCATAATATATTTGATGAATAATTATGTTATTATAAAACTCATTGTTTTTTGTTATTTTCAAAAACATAGAAATATATTGTCCCATTTATTTTCCTCTCTTTGGTCAGAACCAAAAGTTCAGGATCCTAAAGTATGGATTCCCAATCTCTATTACAAAATTGTCCTAAAGTTTATAAGTATTTTGCTTATTTGTATTCCAAATACAGATTGAGTATGTCATAGGTGCTTCTACCAGATGTGAGTAATAATATCTTGCCGCCCTATATATACAATTTCATTTTACCTGGTTTACAAACTCTCTTCATCTCTGATATAGCCTTTTCAGGATTTAGGTAATATTCTAACCCAAAAGTGTCCAAAACGGTATCAAAAGTATTATCTTTGAAGCTCATATTCTCTACATCTTCCAATCTATAGGAAATATTAATGTTTGATGCTGATTTTAATAATGCCACCTCCAAGACATTACTGCTCCAATCAACGGCTGTTATATCACTACCTTAAGGATAGTACTTAACATTCCTCGAAGTCCCAACACCTGTTTCTAAGATTTTCCCTGAGCAAAGTCCCACTATAGTTTTTCGATATGATGACTAAGGTTAAAAATAGTATTACAATTTTGCTTGTTTGTTCATAGGAATCAAATTTTTGATCAAAAACATAGGCGGCATTTTAATGTTACTGGAGTAAATATTACCTTTTATCAGGAAGGGTGTCAAAGTACAATTCTTTATATTGCTTTGCTTCATTTATTTTATAACTTCCATACGCAGCGAACCCAAAAAGAGCTTAAATAATTGCTAATTCCACTTACCTACTGAAGCACCTACAAATCTGCCAATCATAAATAATTATAAAATATAATCAATACTAATCCACTGATATATTTTTAATATTTTATAAACACATATTATAACTATAAACCGACTAAATTAAAGCCATTAGGTTTTTATAAGTGATATCGGTCATTTTATAATATAAGTACAGAGATTAAGCAATTGATGTGCAAAAATAATTTGAGCTAATTGAATAAAGGATCTCTAATTTGAAATCAAGAAACCTCAGAAACCTATTAGAATACTCTAAAATTATATCATTACAATTCAATTTTAACCTTAATTCATATGAAATTAAATAATTAATTTTTGGTTATTATAATAACATGTCCAATAAAATAACCATAAATTTATAAAATTTAAGGTATTTATCAGATTTAAATTAAGAGGAATTGCTTAAATTGAATGGCCTTGAATAGAATTGGAATAATAAAAATAACAATGAGTGAAGAACATCCAGCAGTAGTAATTGACAATGGTTCTGGTTAATGTAAAGCAGGAATTGCAGGAGATGATGCTCCAAGATGCTGTTTCCCAGCTATAGTCGGAAGACCTAAGCATAAGGGAGCATTAGTGGGAATGGATTCAAAGGAGACCTATGTAGGAGATGAGGCATAAGCTAGAAGAGGGGTTTTAAGCTTAAAGTATCCAATTGATAATGGAATTGTTAATAATTGGGACGGTAAAGTCTTATATTAATTTTAGACATGGAAAGAATTTGGCATCATGCATTCTTCAATGAATTGAGAGTGTCTCCAGAGGATCATCCAGCACTTTTGACTGAAGCTCCAATGAATCCAAAGGTCAATAGGGAGAAGATGACTCAGATTATGTTTGAAACATTTAATGTCCCATCATTCTATGTTTAAATATAAGCAGTTCTTTCCTTGTATGCTTCAGGAAGAACTACAGGAATAGTTGTAGATTCTGGAGATGGTGTAACACACACAGTGCCTATTTTCGAAGGTTATTCCCTTCCTCATGCAATTCAAAGGATAGATTTAGCAGGAAGAGCTTGCACTTAATATCTTGTAAATATTTTGAACGAATTGGGAATATCATTTACTTCATCAGCTGAGTTGGAAATAGCCAGAGATATAAAGGAGAAATTATGTTATGTTGCATAGGATTATGATGCAGAGATAAAAACTTATAAGGAGAGTGCTGCAAATAATAAACCTTATGAATTACCAGATGGGAATGTTGTTGTAGTTCAGAATTAGAGATTCAGATGTCCAGAATTATTATTTAAGCCAAACTTTATTGGCTTGGAAGTGCCAGGAATTCATGAATTAACATTCAAATCAATAATGAAGGCAGATATTGATGTTAGAAAGGACTTGTAATATTTAAATCTTATAATTATTTAGATATGCAAATATTGTTATGTCTGGAGGTACAACTATGTTCCCAGGAATTCCTGAGAGATTAAGTAAGGAATTAACAAATTTGGCCCCATCCTCAATGAAGGTGAAAGTAGTGGCTCCCCCAGAAAGAAAGTTTTCAGTATGGATAGGCGGATCAATCTTATCATCATTATCAACATTTTAATCTATGTGGATAACAAGATCAGAATACGATGAGACAGGTTCTTAAGTGGTTCATAGAAAATGCTTCTGATTAATATTATATCATTTTAATTAACTCTATGATAATCAAATAAAATCTTTAATTTAAATTGATAATTTCATCTTCTGCTCAAGGGTCCTGCACTACCTTATCGTGTTATCTATCTAGGATCTCTTTAGGATGTGATTTGGAGTGGATTATGTCTATGAGCAGTAGCTTAATTTTATAGAATTGGTCTGGCAATTCTATTTGGTGCTAATGGAGGAGGTTGCTAAATTTCAGTTTACCCTGATTTCTTAGGAGGTAACTAACTTATTTGATTAGTATTATTTTTAGTTTGGATGCTATTTTAAGTTTTGAGTTTTTGACAAGATTCAGATCTCTTGGGTTTAGCAATATAGTTTTATGAGGGTAGATTTAACTATTTGAGATTTTTTGGTATTTATATTGTTTATAGTAGATCAATCTATATTTTACCATCCACTATAGTTTAAACAGCCAGATTGCCACTATTTTTAATTAGTAATGAGGACTATAAGAGTTTATCACAATTTAGTCTATCTTTTGGTTTGACTTTCAACATAAAAGAAATAAATTGATTAAGATCCTAATTATTTATTGGGTCAAACTGTCCTGATTATATTTTCAAATTCAAATCCTACAAGTCTTTGCCATTAAATGGAGGTGCTCCCTTAGCCAATTCATAAAGCAGACATCCAAGAGACCAAATATCACAAGGATAGGAATATGCTGTACCTTGCCAAACTTCAGGAGCCGCATACACTAAATATAGAGTAAAACAATACATGGAGTTCCAATTACAGTTTTGGCCATATTCCCCTTTGCAATTTTGCTAATGTTTAGATCTCCAATCTTATATTAATAACCTATGGGAGAATTCACAACTAAAATATTGGCTAGTTTAAGATCTCTATGGAGAATTTGATTGTCATGGAGACATTTCAATCCTAGGAGTAACTATACAGCAATTCTCCAGATTTCTTGGGTAGTGATGAGGTTTTGTTGTTGGAGTTTGATGAGATTGCCTATTGGAGCGTATTCCATTACGATGTAGAGAATGCAGCCATCTGAATCTAAAAATGAATCCTTGTATTCGATGATGTGTTGATTGTTGATGGAGGCTAGGATCCGTATTTCGTTGAGGGTGCTTAGTTTTTCGTTTTGAGTTTGAAGGGAGAGATTGACTTTCTTTAGGGCATAAAATTAGTTGTCTGCGATTCGTTTGACCTTATGAAAATAGGTGATGGGGATGTTACTTTGTAGACTTGACTGAAGGAGCCTTCTCCCAATTTGTCTATTATAATAAAATCATTAATCGTAGTGGGCATTAATAAAAATATAAAAATGGAAATAATCATTCACACTTTCGAGAGATTCTTTGGTCCAGTCGATTGGAAGCGTCTTAAGACTGATGTCCTTTGTTAGTCCTTGGTAAAGATGTGAGCGAATCGTATTTAGGTAGAAGAGGGATTCAGTCCAAAGGAAGCAAAAGAGTTATCTTGGTTGTATGGCCATAGAAATATTGGAAGAAACTTTGGTATGGAAATTAGAATGATGGTGTAGGATTTATGTTGGGAGTGGGAGTTGCTTATTGTTGCAATGGTTGGATTACCAGATGGACCTACAACATTCCTTACCTGAGACTCCATCGCTCTTCATTGTGGGTGTCCAGAGCATTGGTAGTGTTCGGTAGTCTCCAATTGTTTGATTACTACTCGACTGCAAGAAGAAAGGGAGGTGATTCAGGTTTGGGTCATGATTTGATGTGGGTGAATACCAGATACACAGAATCTAAAGAAAGATTTATTAGAAATTTCGAAGTTTTGAACAGAAAATTGTCAGACATAGAGAAGGAGATCTTGACAGTATGATTTGAAGTTTATGAATTAAAGGCAAGACAAATTCAGTTGAATTCTCCAATAAAGGATAGAAGATGGGTGTACAATCCTTACATTCATGGTTCCGATGAGGAGGCCTTTTGGAGCAATGTGAGAAGAAACTTCTTGGATAAATTGCCTCCATGGGAGAGATACGATGTTCAATAATAGTAATTTGAGTTGTATATTCCAGGATCGCTGCTGATAACAAAGAAAAGATTGCTGAAGGTGAGTAAATCAGATTGAAGCCTTACAAATTAACAGACGATGTTGATACTTCAGGTGTTAAATTTGGATTCAGAAGAAACCCATTTGTTAACAATTGGACTCCACTTTAGTGAGTAATTCCATTTAATCACAATAAAAATAATATTTATAATAGATTGTATACTCCTGCAATGGAGATAAAAATATTAATTAACTAAATATCAGCGTTAAAGAAAACGATCCAACCATAGCTCTCAGAGTGTCTGATAGTTGTTGATGATATTGGATTGATCGATTACTCATCAACATAGATTAATCAAGGGAACTCTGCAAAATTTGAATCAAATGATCCTCATCACCAATAAGTTTCAATTGCTCATTCCAAAAATTGGCTCCCGTGACTTGTAAATAGATATCAATCGATCTTACCTTCAAGTTTATTGAGGAGAGTAGTCAAAGACTCCTTAGCTTGTTAGTGGGTGCTTTTAGATTGAGAGTAGAAAAGTTCTTTATCCAAAAGATCGAAGGAAGATTCCAACTGTTCATTCATCATTTCAATAATGGTCTCTTGTATAACACTGTGCATCAAACTTAATAATTGCAGAGCCTCATTTTTTGAATTCGAATGGTTGCTTTATTTAAACAATCGATCTACTCCTTTGATGAAGAAATCCAATTCCTAACTAGGATTGGATTTGAAGAGACCGATCATTATCTTTGATTCCAATAATTCTAAAGTTTTCAAAAGATCTTGAATATTTGGAGAATCAACCGCTAATTATTTAATTGTCCATTTTTACCTTCTTTAATTTTTTCAAGTAAAAAATTGTACTCTTAAAATCGTTTCTACGTATCCTCTCTAGTCTAATGCTTTAATTTCGCCAATTCTCTTATGTCAGTCTCAATCAATTTATCCTAGCATAATGAATTACAAAATGATACTTTCTCAATTATTAGGCGTTTTAGAAGATTTGCCACTTTTAGGTATGTCTCGTGTATAAATAGTTCTAGGCTGTCCTTCTCCTTTTTTTCTGAATTTATTCTCTGCTTGAGTAATTTGTGGATCTAAAAGTAACCATTTTTCACTCACATCAGCGTAATGTTCTAAGTAGATTGCCATCCCTTCCTCCTCAAACTCTCTATCCTATCGAGATTTCCATTCTAATTTCTCTAAGGCTGAATAATATTCCAATTAAGATATGGACTCCTTAATGCTATTCACCTGGTTATATATTTCCATCAGATATTATTCTTGTACATAAGCCAGAGCCGGAATCAATAATAAATATAACATAAATTAATTAATTCTAATTGCATACACATCTCTCCATATCATCTCAACCATCCACCTTAACGAAACTTCCTAATATTAATAATTAAAAATGTCAAAATCATCTGTTATTGATGTATTCCTCAGAGTGCGTCCCACTAAAAATCCATCAAATCTCTTCAAACTCAATAAAGATGAGGGTATGGCCGAATTCATAATTCCTAAGAATCCAGATCAAGGTTATATCAATAACTAAATTGAAAAACATACTTTCAATTTTGCTGGGGTTTTTCCTACTGACACTACCCAAGAGGAAATCTTTGATAAAATAGCCAAAGACGTAGTAGATTCAGCCATTGAAGGTAAGTCAATCTTGTAATTGAAGGTTATAATGGAACAATATTTGCATATGGATAGACAGGATCAGGTAAAACCTATTCAATGACTGGTAATCCTGAGGCTAGGTCATCTGCAGGTATTATCCCTCGTACTTTATATCATATCTATGATTATGCACGCAGAGAATAAGAATTAGTAACATTCAATTTCAAATATCAAATTAGATAATCGATGTAACCATTAGTTATCTAGAAATATATGGGGGATCTGGATATGATCTCTTAGTCGCAGACAATCGATCCAGAAACCTTCACGATTTGCCAAAGGTCTAAGCGATGGCAACGGCAAATGGCTAAACTATTTTATAGGGATTGTCATTGAAAAAGGCATAAACTGAGGAAGATGCTCTAAATCTACTATTTATAGGAGAATAGAATAGAGTTATTGCAGAAACACCAAAAAATGATGCATCTACAAGATCTCATTGCATTTTCATTGTTATTTTAGAATGTCGTAAGCCGACCTCTGATGTGAAGACTGTTTCTAAACTTTGTTTGGTTGATCTGAGTGGTAGTGAAAGAATTGGAAAGACTGGAGTTGAAGGCATTCTCCAGAGAGAAGCCACAGGCATCAATTTGTCATTGCATTTTCTAGAATTGGTTATTGATTGTTTGAATCGCTAAGCTAATGGCGAGAACATTCATATTCCATACAGAGATTCCCTGATGACTCTTGTATTAAAGGACTCTTTGGGTGGTAATTGTAAAACAAGAATGATTGCTACCATGTCTAGTGAACCTGATGATTTGCCTGAATCTATCTGCACTTGTCGATTTGCTGGGAGAGTTGCCAATATCAAGAACAAAGTCACTAGAAATGAGGCTGTCGATCCATTTATTATCATAGAGAAATTGAAAAGGGAGAATTAGTAATTGAAGGCTGAATTAGCAATGATAAAAGGATAAAGTATTAAAGATCATCTGGAATCTTATGAGATTGATGAATGCAAGAAGAAAGTAGATGAATTTTTGAATTCTGATGATCCTGCAGCTATTCTGGTTGTGAATGACCATCTTAAAATGAACGAGTGCTTTTTTTAACTTAAACACATGCTCAAAAATTTAAATAAGAAGGCTTCTTCCTAGCCTGTTGCTTAGTAACCATAAGCAATCACTACAAATAATAATCCAGTTGAATTTCAATAATTAAATGATGAGGTTTTGAGATTGAAACAATTAATTATTCAGAGAGACAATGAAATTATGATACTACTCAATTTAATATAGAAGGGTAAAGGTTCTAATACTAACCAATCGTTGGTATTGCAAGGACCTATTTCAGAATAACCTGAAATTCAATAGGCTAATACATCCAGTATCTTATAGCCAATTGAATTTCCAAAGCAAGCCGAAATCGATAGACAAAGTCAGATATTCACTGAGAAACCTGCAGTGAAGAAATAGAATTTTATGCAAGGTAGTTTAGATAGTGAACCAACGAGTCAAATAACTAAAACAACGACAGCTTAATTCAAAGAATTAAATGGGATGCTATCAGAACCAATTAATATTTCTAATGATTAATTACTAGATCGAAATTCAGCTTTAGAGATGTTCAGAAAATCCTATAGAAAAGCATAAGCTTAGGAAGACTTAAAGCAGGAATTACAGGAGAAGATGATGACTAGTAAAGAATTAGGGTTGTTTATTAATAATCAAAGAAATATTATTAGTTAATTGAAGGATAAAATCGAATAGACAAGGAAAGAATAAGTATTACTGGGATTAGTAAGCAGTGATCCCAATCAAGTAAGCACGGAGGAGGAGAAACTAATAGCTGAATATAACAAACAGAAGGATATGTAATAAAAATTATGATGAAAATAGTTATAAATAATCATTTGATAAATTGAAGTAATTGAAGGCAGAAGTGGAGAGAATGAGCACGTAGTTGAAGCACAGCCGAGAGAAAATGTAACAGGACTTTGAGAAATGGATTGATATGATGTTGAAATAGAGGAATTTAAATATGGCTGCAACCTCTGTTTTGTCTGATTTTAAGAATCTATCACAAAAAGGAGGGGAGGATGTGAATAGCATGGTGCAGCAATTCTACAAAAACAAAGAGATTTGTAATTAATTATTATAAAAATGATGGATTTACTATAAATATAGTGTGAAATTTTGTTTTGTGATAATGTTTACGTTGATACATATTAAGATCACTCTTTGATTTAGTACTTCTTTCTCATTTCGAAGTACTTTCTGTAATTTTAGTCTCTTGATCTTGACACGACAATGTCTTTGGCATGAAGGTAAGAGTAAAACATTTGGGTCAATGGCATTCCTTGACGAGCCAATCTTGAAATTCAAGGCAATAATTACTTGTCGTTATTGTATCCTGTATTAATAAGACCACTTCCTTCAGAGTTTTTACCAGCTGTCAAGAGATAATACTCTCTTTTTTAAATTTGATCTAATTATTATTGTGATGCTCAGATTACTTGATTCTAATTTGTATTTATAGAGAGTGCCTATCACCCCCAAGCCAAGCATAGTTGTGATGATACGTCCTTTTGGGTTGTCTGATGCGATATGTCTTCCAATAGATGTAGCCCATGGGATTTTTGATGAGTTCGGAAGAAATTCTTGAAGAATCTCCTCTTGTTGCCTCTATCAATAAACTTCTTTTGCATCTAGGATAAGATATTAATGATAGACTCACTCTGAATTTCTCCATTTCCCAATCATAGGCTTTTCCCATGGATCTCCAAATCATCTCCAATCTCTCTCTCTTGTTTGGAGCATGATAATAGAGATAGTGTTGTCCGAATGTGCGCATCTTCACATCAGCGTCACCAGTGGATTAATCACGGATCCAAATGTAGTCTTACTACATACGCTCTTGTGCGTTGGTCATTTTAAATCTTTTTTAATATTAATATCATTCGTAGTGGAATCGTGAATCAGCAGGCAGATTTTGTGCTAGACGCTCGTAAACATTCATGCGAGATCTCTTAGAAAGAGCCTTGGTTGCATAGTAGGCATTTGAGAATGGACTGCGTGAAAATAGGTCAGATTTCCTCTTTTCCAATCTGTGTTCCTGAACTAGCTAGTTATAAAACCAATACTCTTCTATTCCAAAACACTGTCGTTTTTTTCTATGACTTTGTTGAACAGTGGTCTCAAATTAAATCCATAATCTTTGATTGATTGACTCCGCAACTTATTATCCATCACTATTCTGTACATCGTTTTGCGAGCTTAAATCATCACCTTCTGTTTATCCTCAAATGAAACTTCCTTAGCATCAATCGTGCTTTTCGATTGCGATTGAGGTTTCTTAGAGATCTGACTAGATTTCATCATTTGAATCGCTGGAGTCTAAGATTGAAGCGAACATTTGAAATGCTTGAATTGCTTGAACATCTCCTACAATTATGCAATATTCTATATTTTCGATTTTGAGAGAGTTCCCTTATCGAGATGTCTACTCTTGCTAGTATTTTGACGAAACATGGGGATATGTTATTAGTCTTCCTCCTCAAGCTGTAATATCAGCTTCTTATGATAACCGTGATGGGAGTGAGAACTCTTTGTTTTAGAGAGACTTAAGTATGGCTAATCTGTCATATTTTAGTAATAAATATTAAAATAATCTCTCACTTTGACCAGAATCCACTTTCAGTTTTAAATGGTGCTCTATCCAAACCTCCTTTGTTGTTGATACTATGCAGAAAGTCTATTCCATTGATTACCTTGGCTAAACAATTTTCTATGATCAATATTTTTAATACTCAAGCAGGCTTCCTCTTTAACGTTCATGGCTCTCTCATAATTCTTCAGACACTTCTTATAACATAACTTATCGATGGTTAGTATCTTTTAACCAACATGAGAAAAATCACGTGCCTCTTCCATAAATAAATGATAATTAAAAATAATTCAATTTTTACTCATTTCAGTATTGTTCAGCAACATAGACAACTCTTCATTTGCATTCCCATTTTGTCTTGGCCTTACCTTTGGTTTCGGAATATTGTTAAAACTCTAACGAGTCGGTTCAATATTCTATTTTCCCCTAATCGTGGTTTGACTTGTGCTCTACTTTTTCAATTTATCAGGCGTCTTGTATTTCGCTGTTTATTTCTTATTGCAAGACGTACTATTGTTTTTGTGATGAGTGGACACAGATGGTTGTAGAACATCCATTTCACTAATGAAACTTTACAAGACATTCTTGAAATTAATTTCACTCAAGTCCTAAACAGTCAATTGAGAAGCAGTTTCATTCATAGTTTGTTTTGTAAAATTATTTGAATGGTGCAAGTACGTTGGAAACTCTATTTTAAAGAATTCTTCTGATTCAACACTCTGATTCTGATGATCTTCCTCCTTCTCCTTGACCATCTCTACATTTACCATATTACTTTGCATGATTTCATCCAAATCTATTTGTTGATATTACTGCACATCCACTACATCTTCCTTTTGGTCAACCAATCTGAATTGTTCAACGTCATACTACTTTTTCTAATCCATAGACTATCCTCTCGCTTGCTATTCAATTTACAACTTCAATAACTAACTTTAATAAAACGAAATCATTTATTCTAATTCTTGATTTTCAAGTTACTTAACATCAAAATTTAACTATTATTTCATTTCTGATGCATAACTATATAATTTATTATACTAAAGATTTAGACATTGGATTTGCTCATTTTATTATTACAATCTAAGTGTGCTTTAATTATAGTACTCATTTAATTGGAGATATTATTTTTTTACTACTTCATAATTAGATAATAGTGTCTTTCTATTTTATTCACTTGCCTTCAAAGCATTCAAAACTAATTTGCCTTAACAATCATGCTAAGGTGGTTTTTTCACTTTCGTATTAGTAACAAGAATGTCTCCTGCACCATCACAATGGAAGTCATGCTTGAATCGATCTGCCCAAGTAGGTTCTTTGTATAGTTTAGGAATGCATTTGAAATTCTCAGCATTTTAAGTGCTAATTCTATTTTGCAATGATTAATTTTCGATCTATAATTGGTTTAGCTATTATTCAAATCCTTCCTTCTCCTCAACTCTAATTTTTTCGAAGTCATGCAATTTCTTCTCATAATCAGACAGCAGAATTTTTAATGCTTCATCATCATTTTGATAATTGATGTTGGCTAGCACTTTAGTTTCAATCTTTTTAGCATTCATCCCAAATCTTAATGTGGAAATGGAGTAATCAAAATGCAGAGCAGCAGCATTGATGCATAATATGATCAATGTTCTTGATGATCCATCCAAACTAGATTTAAGAATCTTGGTTAGAGATGAATTTCTGAATGGTACATGACCCTTATCCTCAGCCTTTAAATAGATGACTTAGGTCAGAAAGAATAGACTCTTATTGATGTATTGACCCTCTTTAACTCTTCGATTGGTGTCTTAGATTTCAGCATCTTCAAAATGATTGGATACTTTTTCAGATCCAGCTAGATCAACAAAGTTGAGAACACTTTCAGTTACCATAGCTCCTTTGAGTTGATTGTTTTCAGCTTCTAATTATTCTAGTGTTGGGAATTTATGTTAGGATTACTCCCTTCTATATTGTCGAATAAAATTGTTGGTAATTGATTGTACTTATAATCGAAATATAGCGTGAGATCTGGAACTGTTATGATTCATGGCAGTTTGAGCATAGTGTCGATTGATTTCACCTCTTTTAAGTACCTCGAATATTTCGTTGATGGATGATACTGATTATTCAATGAGTCCTTTCACATAGAATTCCTTCTTTTGATCTTCGTTGACTTGTAAGGTTTCTTATAATTTGGAGGATGGTTTTAGGAGATCAAATATTTGTTCATTGTATATTTCAAAATAGGAACAACGCAACACGTAAGTCTTATTGAGATCAGCCTCGATTTTAGCAAATAAATCCTTAAAACTCTGCAATAAGACTCCTTCATCATTTTCCTTACCCAACATCGTGAAGGTCTTGCCACTGCCTGTTTGACCATATAGGAAAATGGTGCCGTTGATACCATTAGTAGATCCAAGCACCAATGATTTGACCTCTTTGGAGTAGATGTCGGCATTTTTGCTGTCTTGACTGAAGCAGTGATCGAAGGCGAAGGTTGTGCGACCTTATCCATTGGGAGGCTTTCTCATTTGATTGTTGAGGAAGATGTGTTGATCGTGGATTGCCCAGATGGATGGTTCTGGATCAGGACGTATACGGACTGCGACTTGTATGTTTTCCATAGATTTTTCAGTTAAATTCAAATATATATATAATAAAATTAATGAGTTAAGAATTACTCCATTGTCCGAAATGTTAAATGAATTTCGATAGATACACTCGAACACCTCAAATGTTGCCAAAAATGTGGGCATTCGATGTGCATGCAGTGTCTCAAGGAGTCGTGTAAGATCATCTGTCCAGAAGATGGGTACCATATCTCAATTTACCAGATTGCTCTAACCTGCAGATCTCTCACTCTATCCAATTAACCAAGCTGTTTTGAGAATCATCTGCAAAAGCCAGGATAACGATTTGGCATAGAACCAAGACAAATTGCAATAGTGTCCCCAACACCACAAACTGCTTGAGCTTATTTGTATAGATGACAAGTGCAGAATTTGTTCAAATTGTGCCTTGTTCGGTTTGCACAAGCAACATAACATTCAAAATGCTGAAGTACACATAATTATTGATTCTTCAGTCTCTGGATAAATCCATACACGAAAACCTCCAATACACTCAGCAGTTGACTCACACCATACAAGACAAACTCAAATTACTCAAGTTGCCCCTCATCAACAAGAAGATACACGACTAAATTGGACTTTGTATAAAATAATAATAAACTCTTGCTGAAGAACAATTCAAAGTATCTTACACCAATAATTCTGAGGAAATCATCAATTAAATACTCGCCAAATAGCAGAAAGTACTAGAAGAGATCGAATAGAAGTATAAGCTGTTAGAAGATCAATTTTTCAAAAAGGAGATTCTTACTATTACTTCCATTCTTGATAAAGCTGATTTATGGATACTTGGGTATTTATTCTCAATTACAAACTAGTTCCAATCAAAAAATCCAAGAATATCAATCAACCAAAGTAAAAGGAGATATTCCCTACACTTTGCTGCTCCAAGACTCTTCAAATAAACAAGGTAAACAAATCCTTGAAGAAATCGATGAGTATCTACTCAAATTCCAAAACAATCTTCAAGACATTGTCTCTGCTATACCCTGTGCCAATCAATATGAATAAACCTATTTCGATGAGCCTAATATACTCAAAGATCTATCTATAATAGAGTAGAGTTTCCTAAAAGAAATCGATGAAAAGCCACCTCACAATGAATTCCTAGGATCGTCTCTGCCAGAATCTACTTGTCAGTCTCAACCTTCTTCCAACAATATCTCTTAGAATGCCATAAGTCCACAATAGCCGCATTAAAAAAGGGCGTCGCAATAATTCGCTTTAGTTTCGCCCAAGGTATAAAGTAGACAACAATCTGCTTCTCCCAAGAAACCGGCAGCTAAGAAAAAGTTAAACACCAAGGTGGAATCCATTTTATTCAACTGTAATGGCGATTATCTGGATTTATCACAACAAGGTATTAGTATGTGAAATATTCGTATAGATCTTGGAGACGACGGAATTCTGATATTAGAAGAGTAGATAAGGAACAAGAAGGTGAAGATAGTGAAATTGATGAGAAATCGGATAAGTGATGTTGGTGCTATTAAATTGATGGAATTGCATTGTTAAGTGTTATACTTATAATCTAATGTAATTACGGAAAAGTTTTTGGATATGATAATGAATGCTATACAAAAGCAGATTCAAATTCACATCAAAACTGTATATTTGGGTCAGAATCTCATCAATTAATTTAGAGTGAAAAAGAAGATAGAAGATCTCAAAAAATTAGGAATTTCAATTTAAATATGAATTTAAAATATTTATATTAATTATATAATGAATATTGGTTTCTGAGCATCTACTCTCATATAGGGTGTCTTATAAAAATGAGATATGCACATTGTGTAGAGTGAACTTGAGGGAACCATGTGTGATTGGATGAAATTGCAATAGGATCGATTGATTATATATGGGTTGAAATGATAATTATTATTAATTAAAATAAAATTTATTCATGAGCAGACCCTACTCACCTACAAGAAGCAGAGCAGAGAAGATTGTCGGACAGTTGAGCGAGTTAACATTGGGACACAAAGATCAAGTATGTGGTGTTTAGTTTGATCGAAGACTTCGAGAATAAAGGAGGCAGAAGAGAGAGTGGAGATCTTGGAAACAGCCATAAAGGATCTTAGGGAGACTTTGGAAGGGAAGATCTCCAAAATAAAGGAGGGCTTGGAATATGTGGAATAGGTGTTGAGCGAATAAGAACCAAAGCAGGCATGGATGAATAATAGATGGTTGAGGATATGAAGAAGGCGGAGGAGAGTGTAAATGAAAAGTTGGAGGAGTTGAGCAAGTAGAGAGAGGAAAGTTAATAGAAGTTCAATGAATAGGTTGAGAAGGATATCCAGGAATTGAGAGAGCAGATCAGTCAGGAGAAGAGTGAGAGGAATCAATCAATCAAGGAGATAAATGATTGTTTAGAGGTAGAATGCTGAATAACTATTAAAGAGTGATTTGCCACAGTTGCAGGAGATGTTGCAGTAGAATATAAAGGAAAGGGATGAGATGGATAGAAACATCAATACAAGATTGACTGAGGAATTGCAGAGGCTGTCCCAGATTATTTAACAGGAGAAGGTGAGCAGACAATAGGGAGAGCAGAGTCTGTTTGAGATGTTGAAGGACGTGGTCAATAGAATTAAGAAAGAGATAGACGAGGAGAAAGGGCAGAGAGAGGTCACTGAGAATGATGTCCTCAGTGTGTTGGAGGAGACTCTGAATAAAATTTTAGCAGCTCAAGATCATTGATATATATAGATTATATAGATAATAATAAATAATTAAATGTAAAATTCAGACAACTCTGACGAATACTACAGCGATGATCAGCAAGAATCTCCCAGGTTTCTGTACAGCTTTAGGGAGATAAGTCTTTAGAATAAAACCTTGTTGGCTGAAATTAGAATTATATGCAAAAACCTGATCTATGTGATTGGCTTGGCACCCAGCATAGCAAAGGAGGAAGTATCAAACATTTCATTAAGTCAAAAGCTACTGAAGAAACCAGAGTATTTTGGACAGTATGGTTAAATCCAAAAATTAATAGTAATTTAGAGCAACACTTTTAATCCCCCTTCCCATGCTGCCTACATTACATACAGAAATGAACAGGAAGCATCGATGGCAATTTTAGTATACATCATATTTAAAATTTATGGCATGCGAAAGATTTCCACTGCATGACAGATATGTGAAGGCATCTTTTGGTACAACCAAATATTGCACCAACTTCCTTAAAGGATAGTAATGTAAGATAAAAGACTGTGTTTATTTGCACCAACACCCAAAAGATAAGGAGTCCACTCAAGTCATTAAAAAAGTATGCCTCTATTCTATGCCAGGAAGAGATGAACAATTCTAAATGGCTCTTTTCTTACTCCCAAAAAATAGCGTAAGACAATTTCAAAAAATTCTATTCCAAAATCAACTACAAAAATGCTCTCTAAAAATCTGTCTTCCTCAACACTCAAAACATTCTTGATCGGATGATTGAAGATAACATTGTAGATCGCATCCCAGAGCAGCCCCAACCTGCGCAACAACAGCAGATCGTTGAAGACACACTACCAATCGAAATCCCTGTATCCTAAAAGTCTCTTGATATCGAGAAGCGTTTGGAAGCAATCATACAAAACAGTATTATTCATCTCTTAACGCAAGTGGATGGGGACAGCAATTCGAGATTCAAGTTCACAAATGGCAACTGTCCGCAAGACTACGAAGCTATCTAGTAATTGAAGAAATCCCTTCTGAAATGATTATGCAAGTAAAATAATAACAATATAACATTTTATCGAATTTAATTGATTTTTCATTTAATAGGATAAGCATTTTAAAGTAAATGCTATTCAAAGTTATAAATAACATTTCATCAAGTATTAATATATAACATAATATTCAAAAACTAAATCCCATGATTTCCATCAAGCAAAATTTCTCTCAATTCAGAAGACTAGATCTATTTGGAATGGATGTGAGATTATTAGCTCATGGCTAATAAGCATACCGAACAAATCTCGGAGCATTTATGACCCTATTTCTATTCAGTCTGCTTGCCTATTCATGTAACTCCTTCATCCTGGAAATGAATAAGGGGAAAAACGCGATTCTTAATTAAAAAGAGTCTCCACTACTTCAAAACGAAGTAACCACATTTTTAAAACAATTTTAGGGGTTTAGTTTTAATTCGTCATAATTCATCTACGCCATCGGAATGGTTGATAGCTTAGGTTAATACATTCCTAACGAAAACAACCGCATCTTTTAGGTGAGTTTTTATTACTGCAAAAAATCCTTATTAGAAACTGCATGTGAGGTCTTCCCTGCTGTGATTTGTGGCAGTCGCATATCTGAAGCAGCCAAAGTATTCAATTAACTACCCATTAGCAAATGAATGTTCCTGAAGACTACCAATACATAACCTATTGTCCAGATGATCATTTTGCATAGACTCACCAAGACATAAGGTTTTAAGGATCCCAAAGAATGGATAATCTCACCCTTCTGGGTGCCTACATTCAAAAGTGTACCAACTCAACAGAAACACAAAGTTTTATATTTGAAATTTAAGATAGATTGTGCACCAGAAGAAGAAATCACGAAATCCTTGTCAAATGCCAACCTTTTTTATTCATACTCCTTCTACCAATTCAATAAGGAATTGGATCTATATCCGTATGAAAAAGTGCAAAATTTGGATGTGACTCCTTGCTACCCCAATATACGTAAATATATCAAAGTCTTTTATCAATACTCAGTTACTACTTCAGAGTATAACCCCTTTTATTTCTTTCCTTCCACCATTGACTAAGATGCTGTCGAGTATTAATAAACGACAATTGACACATTTTTAGATTATAATTTAGATAATACTTTTGCATAAATTGAAATCACCCTGAATTTTAAGAAAAAACTTAATTATGTGACCTATCAAACTCTTATGGATGTTGCTGCCAAAATTGGAGGCTTCTTCACAATTCTCAAAGCTCTCTTTTATCTACTGCTCTACCCAGCCTAAGTGATCGTCTATCGACTCTATCTAATCAATAGTCTTATTAATCAATAGTAAACATTCACCACCTTAGAAAACCTAGAATAGAAAGATACGCAAACCAAATTTGCAAAGTTAAGAATAAGAGACCTTATAAGATATTCTCGAGCTAGATCTACCTATTTTAACTATTTAAAAAAAGTAGAACGACTCTTAGATATTACTGAAGTCCTATCTAATCCTTTACGGTTAACAAGGTAAGTTGAAGACATCCAGGGATCGATACGAAAATTTGATCCTGCTAAAAATTAATTTCAAGTTAGAGTTGCTTTAGATGAAATAATTGCCAATCAGGATAAGAATGATATCCAAAGCCCGAGATCAGTCAATCAAGAGCTTTAACCTGTCATCAGATAGTCGATATTTTTAAATAGACTTCAGCCAAAATGAATACAGGAATAAATATTTATATGATTAATTTAAAATTGATAATCCCTATTGTTAATTTCATTAATATTCTTATACTATATTCCCACCGAAGGAATCTTCCTCCTATATTCCTTTTGGATCTTCTTCTTCTCTTTTCACATCTTAATTTATTCTTTTGGACTACTTTTTTGAGTTCATTTGAAATTCAAACGATTGATTTAGTTCCTAGATTTCCACCATAGACCCATCTTTAAGCTAAATTAAATTTATATATCTGCCTTACATTTAGTTTTTCCAATTAATCGACATCAATTGCTTACTATCTCTATTCTTTCATAAATCAGTATATATACTTTTGGATGCTTTGATTGGAGTATCTGATTAGCTTTATTGATCTCTCTTTTTTTTCCTTTTCAACATTTGCTTATCGATTTTCTTTCTAATTGCCAAATCCTCTTAAATTTCTTATTTAGGAATCATTTTAATTTTCTCCTCAAATTGATCACATAACTTCTTGACTCCCTTCAAGAATTCCTTAAATAGAGACAAATTTTCATAAATTTCAGGCTTTTTCAAGAGTTCCTCCAAGTCTTACATTACAATTTATAATTATATTAAAACCCATAAAATTTATTATTAACAAATCACTTTCTTTTGCCATTTCTCTCTGAAAAGAACAAACCCTTCTTATATTCATATATCAAATACCCTCACAGTTTATTGAGTTTATAATTGCAATTTTTAAATTACAAGGTTTTAATCAATTTTACATGTGATCTGCTATTATGGAAATCTCATCTTTGGAATTGTCTAAAATATAACCTTCCCGTTCTGCTTCCTCTTCAAGACTCGAATATCAGGAGTTCGTGTTCTAGATTGTTCATTATCACTTGCAAAGTGAACTGACGTATCTATCAAACTTTTATTATTGCTTTTGCTTTAGAATTGCAAGCATCCTTGTGGTGTATATCTTTGAATATTTGGTTATAAATTATAATCCTTAATCGTAAAATACTAAACAGAGTCTTGCTTTTATTCTTCCCTTTTTAATTGGGCTCTACCCAATATTTAAAGTTTAAATTATCTTTTGTTCTACTTATTTCTAACTTATTTCCAATTTAAAGCTTAAAAGACATCCATATTTAATAAATAATTAAATGAGTTTTATCTCCAAGGAATTCCCTTGTTAAATCTTCTCTTGTTTTTGAAAACTTTGAGTAAGGAATTCCTATACATATTTTGATAGGATATAGTATTTAAACAAACTAATTTAGTTTAGACATATATGAGTTATTATAGTTGATTATTGATAGTACAATATTATTAAAATACAATTTTTGTAGAATATATAAAGAAAGCGAAATTACTTAGGTGAAAAATATACCTTATCTAATGTAGAATGGAAATCTTAAAAATTTATGTATTCTGCTAACAAAAACTAAAAAGATTATGAAAAATTAAAGGGTAATTTGACTAATTTTGTAGTTTACTTCTAAATGAGTAATTTAAAAATATGATCTATCTAAGAAATATACTGAGATTTTGAGAAGTATTTAATTGTAGAATTATATATTAAGACACTAACTATGGATAATTATAGCAACCATAAGATTAACAACGAGTATATTAATGGGATCCATTTATATGGATTAATAAATAAATTTTATTTTAATAATAAATATTTTAACTAATTCTAAATAAAATCAAAATCAAAAGTTTTTGCAAGAATTACAGAAGTAACTAATATTTTTGGAATCATGATTTTAGATATCCTTATTGCATCGAAGACATTTTCGTATAATCTGTTGGATGTTGGTTTGCTGTTCTGCCAATGCCATTCTCGAATAATTCATAGGGTCTTTGAATAGTTCCCCTGTAGAGGATTAGCATCTTTACTTGGAAAGAGAGATAGTCAAAGGGTCCTGATGTAATAGTTGTATGAAATACGTCTAGTTATTGCAAGGCTCTAAAGAAATCATCATTGTCTAAGGATTGCAAGACTTTAAAGACATTCGCAGATTTTGATTTAAATTCATCAAAAGGCTATTTAGAATATTAGAATTTACTGATTATGCTGTGCATACAAGACATTCTCCTGAGGAATCTACAACATCAATTTCATGTCCGCATCCTAATGTTTTTCGCTTTGGATGACGCATGATTGGTTCTTGTTCTTTTCTAACACTGCTAGATTTCTTGGTTTAGGAATTATCCCTTTTGAGTGGAGACTTTCTATCCTTATAGATCATGTAAATATTTTTCTATTCCAGGATCGTTTGCATATAGTAATGCTTTAAATTAGTATAACGATTTTAGCATTTACTCTCTCTAGGGATTGTGAGAACTCAAGCGATCAAAAAATGTAGAGAACAACTCTATCATGGTTGTTCTCTCCACAGAAGACAGTTAAATCATTAAAATTTTAAAATATATATATAATATATATATTCATTTACGACAACTCGACTAACCTCAACTTACTGTCTAATTTAGATATTCTCTTAACAACTGCCAACCAATAATGGCTCATTTGTATTTAATTTCTATTTATAATTGATATCATCATTTATCACTCCTACCAATGGCCATAAAGTCTAATAGATAGACTTCATTAAATTAAAAAATATGTGGATCCAAAAGGTGGGTATTTGTAGAAATAGTAGCATAAAAGGGAGAAGATTTTCTCCTTAAACAAAGATTTAAAACCTTTTTTTAATGTGGGTAATTTGCTTCATTTCTTCAAAATTCTAAGGTCCAAATTATTGAAGAACATGCAGTATGTAAGTTATTTTGCTTAATTATCTATTGATTTACACAATAAAGTTCTTATTCTGGAGTTTCTTAATATAATTATTTGCATTTCTAATCAGAGTCTCTAATGTTCTTAGAAACATAATAAGTCTTCATTTATAATCTGCCTATTTATTAGAACTTATTTGTAAATTATTGATTATTCTATTATTTCACTTTCTTATTGTACTTTATACGAAAATAGTTCCGTATCACAATTGACCGCAATATAGGCGTAAACTCTATAACCTTTATTAAATCTCATATTTATCATGATTTTGCATTTTCTGACTATGAAATATTAATTTCTTTGAACTTCATGATGTATTATTAATCTGAATCGTTTAGAGCAATATATGTAAAATCACTTAACCTTGACTTCTCATAGTGTTGAAAATATCTACTGTTCCAAAAAGAACTTATGATAGAGTAGATATATATTCCTAATGATTTTTATTTTTATATTATTTACTTTGAACCTTTTCCCAAATAATATTAAAGTTATAATGATTAAAATTCTAAGGATGGCTCCGAGATTCAATTACTTGCCTAGATTCCATGTGGGATAAATGGGTCCGATTGCACCAAGTCCTTAGATTTAATAAAAAATGGAGGCGTTAGAATAAAACCAACCATTCTTTGATAGATTGATATTTTTTGATCCTGATATCATGGCATCATTACCAGGTCCTTTATAAGTGTTTGATCCTGTGGTTGATTTTGGAAGTGGAATACTTACCTATCTGCATGATTGTCACATTCCTTGGGTTGGAGTGTTGAGCTTAACTTGTATAATTGCCAGATCTACATTACTTCCTCTGATATATTTGCAAATGAAAAGAACAACTAGATTAGCAACTGTTATTCCAGCCATTGCCCAAATGAAGAGACTAATTGACAAAACCAATTATTCAAAACCCAAGAAATTTTTCACCTTGATGAGATTGTCATATAAGATTGTCCACTCATAGAGATTGAAATGGATGAGACTCTTCCTGTACAATGTATTCCATATACCCATGCTTATTACTTTAATTTGGAGCATCCGTAGACTTTTAATAGATGAATCCTTCAAAACCACTGCTTTCCTTTGGATACCTGTAATTATCAATCTCCTTATTTAAATAGTCTCTCTCCAATATGGATCCCTACTTCATTGTCCCTGCTTTGACTGTGATATGTTACTATTACAACCTTCAAAGATTCATCACCCCAGAAAATAAAGATACCTTGCCATCCAAATTGCGTAATGTTGGTTAGTTTCTGTTAATATTATGGTTACCATTCTTGGCCAATTGGCCATGTGCCATATAGATTTATATGTTGTTCAATGCCTTCTTTTCTATTATACAGACATCGATTATGCTACATCCTGAATTTTAAAAGATAGTTGATCCAAAAATATTCCTTTATCAAATGATAATCAGAATGATTGAGTATGATAAAAACACTAGTTTGTCTTTGATAGAGGCTATCAAGAGTGGTGAGGAGACCAACATCGAGAAATCAATTTCAGAAGAGCAATTACTTGATTAGTTTTAGAAATCTTTGGTTGAATTGAATGAAGGGGAACTGTAAGAAGATGCTGCCAAGATTTCAAAAGATAAACCAAATTTTTATTGACATATTAGTATTTAATGGAATTTTAAATAACTCACTATTTTTTTTATGATTTTGCATTTTCAATGAATTATGTCCAACGCTTTGTTTATTTAGGAAATTGATACTGATTCCAGACCTAGCAAATAGATTTCACATGTTTCTCTTGTAATCGATTATGGAATCTTTCTTCTGAATTGTCATAGAACATGTCATCGAATTACCTCTAAGAGTTTATTTTCATCTATGTTGGACTTAGAGGATTAATAGCATCAATTAACATATGTTTATGCTCTTACATTTTCTCTAGACTTATATTTAGATTCAACTTTAATTTTTAATCATTCAATTCTTTTTACTTATATCTCCGTGTCAATTGGGCCAATTTGCCTTCTGCATTGATAATGGCAGTCATCTTTTGATTTTTGTCGTACTCTTCAATGCATGAGGAGAAGAGTGAGACATCTTCATTATGGGAAGTTGTTCTTTTTTTTTCGATTCGTTTCAACTCTGTCAAAAGATGTCTTTTTCTCTTGGTTTTCAAATCTTTAACATAAGGTAGAACATACCCTTATCTGAGAGAATCTTGTTGACCTGCTTGTCAAGATTCTAATTTAAATACTAAAAATTATGAGGGAGATTCAACTCTTCCCTTATGTGAGTTTCCAATTTATTTTTGCTTTTCTGACCCAACAAACTCAGACTGGCTACTCTATTGAGATTGGAAAGGGCGACTTCAGACAAAGTTTTTTGATACAATATATTATCTCTTTCAGTATCAATAAACAAATTGGTTGGTTAACGAACAAGTTCTGGAAGTCGCTTCTCCTTTTTGATAACTTGTTTACCAGTTCGTTCTGAGTAAACTTATTACTTCATTTCATTTCTTAATTATTCACCTGTTTATGTAATCAAGAGCCGATTCATAATTAAACAATAATTAAATAGTGTAACAAAATAATAATAGATTTATTAAGGTAATTAGATTGAGCTAACCTAAACTAATTTTCATAAGTAGAAGACAAAAATAGTTGTTTTATACCACAATTTGATTTGATTAAAAAGATCTCACTAAATTATAATCTAGGAACTATGTGAATAAGAGTAATTCAATGACTTTTTGTGGTTGTTAATTATATAATACTGGTGGTTGAAAATACTTGAGTAAAATTATAAATTATATAATTAATTCTTGTTCCACCACGTAATCATTTTAGTAAGGCATTTAGAATGGTTGATTGGATAGTACATTAGTTCTAATTTATGTTATTCTTTGGACACTCTTATTTTAATTAGTGAACACTTTAGAAGAGAGGAATGTTCAGGTGTGAAGATCATTAATTAATTAATTGTTATAAGGAATTGAATAATTATTATTATCATGATTTAGATTACAATTTATTAACTGTTGCTTGGACGGCCTTCCTAATTGATAAAATAATAATTACTAATTTAATTCTTCCAAGGCGATCAATTATTTAATACGTCTGGGTAATTGTAAGTATTGTTTGCGTTTCCACTCCCTGGTTTCTTCGTAATAGTTATCCAACTTAATCTCGCAAGCCGACTGTAGTGAAGAAGCGCAAGAGTCATCCGAGTTCTCTGGAGGATCTTGATTATAATGAGTCTTTTTATTTCGAGTGCTAAGGAGTCGTCTTGTTAAATTCTAACGAAAATCAACTCCAGAGTCGATTACATTTTGAATGTATTTGGGATGCTTTTCAATCCTAACACCTTAAGTGTTATTGTAGAGGTAATCGTAGAGTTGCACATCGCCAATGGTGAGAATGCCATCTTGATTTCTCCTGTCAGTTTTGGCAGCTTTATGAAACAAGGTGAAGTCTTTCTTCTTGTTCTGGATGTTTAATCGCACTAGTTTATTGATGTTGTTCTCGTGTTGTTCTGCTCTGGATTGCAATTCCTATAAGTACAACTAGGCATTATTCTCCAAGACGGACTTCAGATATTGTCTGGGAGGGATGGCATCAATAAAGTCTCGTTGCATTTTGCAGATGGGTTCGACATCGTCATAATTGAGTCTGTATTGTTTAAGGCTCTTTGATTTTGGCATCAATTTCTTTTGGTAAGTTATTGTGTTTTCCTTATGATTGGCAATGTCCAATATAGTCTAGACGATGGCCAAGGTCTGGGCATTTCCTTAGCGCATCTCTTCGTTGCGGGGTTTTTTGATGGCCACTTTGTCTTTGATGAGATTTCGAACTTTTAGGAGTTTACTCTTCAAATAGTTCCTTCTCTATTCTGTTTACTGACGCATTTTTAGAGATGCTTCCTCTTTGCGTGGGTTTAGTTTCTCTGCAGTCAGTCTGGGATAATTGAGAGTTTGGATAAGAGTGGAGACATTGAGATCTCCTTTGAGGTAATGAGAGAAATTGCGTTGAAATTGATGTCCGTGATTTGGAGTTTCGAATGGTTTAACAGTGATAAGGGGATCTTATTTGGTTTTGAAGTGTAAGCTCTTGAATTTCCGATGCACAGTTTTATTGGAATGATCGAATTCACAAGTTGTTGATATACTCATACTAATTATTAAAATTAATCAAATTAAAATATCATCAATTAAATGAGAGATCACTAAACAATACGAATATCTACTTAGTCTATAATATTTTCAACTTGAAATTAAATTCCAAATTATAATAAATAATATTAAGTAATTAATTTCACATTCACAATGGGGTTTACCCATGATTATTGACTACATAAGAAAAAATGCTTGAGACAGTACTCTTCTTGGGAAGCTAGGGTGTTTCGGCATCGACACTATTGTTTGGATCAATGTATGCTGAAACCACGCTGTTGAAGTCATTTTGATCTAAGTTCTTTTTGGATGATCGACTGTCTGTTTCTGGTTGCACTCTGGAACTGTTCCTGTTGTGTTTTCTATCACATTAATTAATGACTTTACATGTATTTTAATAATTGAGGTGCCATTGAATTAAGGAGACTGATGGTAGTGTTGGTTGATGAAGTGTTTGGTCTGTGTGTGCTCGATTGTAACTAGTAATCTTAATTGAGGTTGTTGTTCGATTTCTGCAATTTCAGCTTCTCGATAAACTCCATCACATACACTCTGACTTTCTTCCACAACAAACAAGCCTTTCTCCTGTTGTAATAATTCTTGGGTTTTTTAATGCAGTATTTAATGCAAGGGTAACGAATAATAAGATTCACAATTCTCTCGATGTGTTGTTGTTTTAGACTCGACAAGTATTCCCTGATGATCTTGGAAAATATGTAAGTACAATAGAGCAAATTGAGCACTGAACACAATATTGATAGGATGTACACCAATGAAGTGTAGGGGTTCTTGTCTTAACTATATGACAGAATCAAAGTGACCATTGCCAATTGAGTGGAGATCTTATCAATAAAATTGTACTGTTTCTCAATGTAGGGGTGATGCTTGTTCAGCAATTCTAAGTAGACCAGCAGAATAAGTATGGCGAACAGGAACATCAGTTTGATGTCTTGGATCAACAGAGTTTCCAGTAGGTAAAATAGTGACTTGATGAAGAAACACACGAACTCCCAGTAGTAGTAATTGTCCTTGTATTCCACATACAAGTACCCGTAAGGCATACGCAATTGGCAAGTCCACAGTTTGTTCTTGTTCCTGTAGAGCTTGATGATGTAAAAGAGGGGAGACACTATTCCTACCAAAATCAATGTGGGGATGATGAGTATCTTCAGGTAAAGGTAGTATTCCTCAGTGTAACACATGTAAGATGTGGCTGCCAGGATGTAATATTGTCCAGAGGCTTTGATGCAGAACATCAACTGCAGGAGACCCTCGATGATATCGCCTTGGAAATAAAAGTTCACTTGGATGAGACAAGATATGAAGATGGTTTTGATTGAGTTCTCCATTTGACTTTGTTTGCACAATTGAATCAGAGAGTAGATGAACACAAATGAAAACACAAACAACAAGGACACAAACAAGTTCCAGAATTGTCTCAAGTACACAATTTCAATTTGCAATTACGAATTCAATAAGAAACATTCTATTGAGTATCCCAAAGTGGATAGGGGATTGCCAATCGCTTATGCAATCACTTCTATTGGAGTGGGGAAATCAAAGTCAATGACTTAAACGATTGATATCAATTGGAAGTAACTGGAGAATAGCTTAATTAGGATTTCAGTTTGATCGATCACCATGGTAGATCTGGTGGCAAAGAATATGCCCATCATTCTGAGATAATGAGCAGACAGTTATGCTCTTACCAATCTTAAACTCCCTCTAATGGATATGAATAAAGCAATGAGGATCCAAGAGAAAGAGAGAATTATCTTGAAGATGTTGAAGACATCATTCTGACATAGTGTGCAATTCCCTCCAAAACCACGAGTGTATGAATTGTTCCAATGTTCTGCATAATAATCGCAATCATCACACAATGCTCCAGTGTAACCCTAACTACAAGTGAATTCCTCAGATCCACCTAAACACTGAGACACCGATGACTGGCAATACTCAATACTGTCAGTAGTCTTATTGGCTCTCCAATATCCTTATTTCAATACTAATTCTGAACCTCCAGGACATGACTCTATTGAGGTGATACACTATTAGCAATGGTTGAAATTGTCTAAACTGTATGATCCAGCTGGACATTTAAGACAGGACTGATTTTCCCATTCCTCTCCAATCTCACATTGAATCAGACTTAAGTATATTGGTAATTTAAAAGTATCATTGTAGAACGTAAGCGATTGAAATTCAAGTAGAACTTGGATTGTCTCATTCTTCGGTTGTTGTTGATAATGTGTATAGAACACTTCATATTGGCATTCCAATTCATCAAACTCAAATATCTTCTCTTCTATGGCTAGGTAGTTCTTAAAATCGCATATCCTATTCCTTCCACTATCCAAGATGGCTATCTTCAATTCCAATGTCTATCCACTCTTATAATTCTCCTTATGTATGATGTCCTTTCTTTTGATCAGATTATCGAATAGATAACTATCGTTATTGACAACCAGATACACAGGGCCGGTTACATAGGTTAAGATGTCAGGTTCCACTATCTCGCTAGTGAGCATGAAGATGTGCTTGTCAGTCTTCATTGAGCAATTGTTGAACAGATTCTATTGAATGTAATGGGATAATCCTGATGATTGGTTCAAGTAGATCACTCCTCCCTCTGGAGATGTGAGGTCGATGAATTGATTTCCATAGATCTTAATCGCTGTATTGGATATTACATAGGCAGAACCCTGATTGGCAGAAATATTGGTGAAAGTGCTATTGTAAGCTATAAAATTGTTCGAATCTTGGACACTTATAAATCCAGAGAAGCTTTGAGTATTCTTGAATGTTGACTTGAATATCTCGATGTGAGTGCTCTATCTGATCACTATGATACCATTACACTAAGGACAATCGATGTTTGTAAATTGTAGGTCGGTTAATACTAGTTTTGAGCAATTCTGTGTAGTTATCAACTCCTTATTATTAAAAGTGATAGTATTCAAATACAACCCTTTGGCATTTATATCACTTTCTAACGCCTAAATTAGAGGGGTAAGAAAGTTGCTAATTTGAAACATTTTGATGTGAGTGAGATCGGCCTAAGATGCGTTCAAAGTCAAGAAATTGCATTCATTGCAATTGTTGATTGTGAGATTGCGGATCATCAAATACACAACAGTTTCTAGTTTTGCTATCTGAATTGAGGAACAGTCTTCTATGAGAACATTAGTTAGTTAAGTAAGAGAAGATTCTTTTAGGTTGATCAGGATCGAATTGTTAATTTATTTGAATTCCACCTAATCAACATTTAATTCCGTGATCGTTTGGGAATTGATTATTAGGCCAAACATGGAATTGAAATTGCCTTTAGAGAGTGAGAAGGCTCCCTTAATTTGAAAGAGGCCTCTTTGATGACTATTGGAAATGGTGAAGTAATTAAGCATCACGTTGGTTTGATCGCATTTTGATACCAACAGGGGTCCAACCAAAGAGGAAATTATTATTTACTGAAGAAAGATATTCTGACTATCCATGTTGAAGAACGCCTTGCTCTCCACTTCAGTTATTGTACTATTATACAAATAGACATATTGACTTGAGGCTACGATCACTTGCGAGTCTGATATCACTCTGTTGATTTTCAAACTTGAGAGCTTGATTTAGTTTTCACTTTGAAGTTGTATCAAAACACTTTGAGAGAGAGTCACGTTGAGCACGGTGGTGTAGAGAGCTCCCTTGGCCAGAATTCCAGTCGAGAGAGTGAGGTAGGTATTTTGGAATGTGACTTCTTGCGATATATCTGTCTCAATCAAAATGCTTTAAACCACAAATGAATTATTGAGAGTTAATCTGTTCACTTAGGTTTGCGGGGAGAGAGTGGAATTGATAAAACTCACTTAATCAATAATGACGTTTCTTAGTTGGATCATCTGGGAACTTAGTTAGCTTCTGAAAAAAGTGCAATCTGAAATGTAGAGTCCGTCGATCTCCATGGGAGATTGAAATGCTGACGTGTTTTAATAGGTCATCCCTATCATCTAAGACCCTCGAATCTACATGGTGGTGCTTCTTATTTAACAATTCCTCAGGAGAATCACATTCGAAAGCAGAACTGGACCTATGATGTCTATTGTGTCAGTTAATGTGTCTATAGTGATGTTCTAGAACTCAACAACCTTGAATCCAGCCAGGATTACAGTTTAAGTCAATAGCAATTCAGTTCCAATTACTTTAAGTTAGCCCCCAGAAGATGTCATATTCATTAATTTCTCGTTGCTCACATTCAGAGTACAATTGTATTGCGGTATCTAAACAGATTTGTCAATTTGCAACGTGAGTCCCATCTCATCCCTGCAAATCAATAACTCCATTGTGATATACAAATTTATGAACAAAAACAATCTTCTCATCAAAACAAATAAATAAATAGTGATTAAATATTTCAATATACATTCAAAATCATAAAACATCAATCCTTTCTCATTCATAAACCATCATCACCCATCCCCCAGAATCCACTCCCAACACTTCTCTCCTTTGTCTACTCCTTCCTCCCCTGCCTCTTCAGACTCTCAATACCCACTCTAATTCTAATCAAATATCGTACTTACGCCTACCTATATTGTCTTGATTTATATATTATATATTATTTAATCTTATTAATGGAAAAACCTCAAGTTATCATAACAACCGTAAAAAGAGGAGACGAGATCACCTATCCCAAGAAAGGAAACCATCTGCGCATCCATTTCGAAGCTTTCGTATCTAATCAATCCTTTTAATCAAGAGACCCAATGGAGAAAAGATCGAAACTACAAAAGATGCTGATCGCCCATTCGAGTTTCAAATAGGAGTCGATGACGTTATTCCTGGCTTGCAACAAATACTTTATAAAATGACCATCGGAGAAAAAGTCAAAGCAGAAATCCCCCCCCAGTTCGCCTATCAGAGAGAAGGATTGACTGGCATAATCCCAAGCAATGAAAAATTAATCATGGAAATTGAGTTAATATCAATAACATTCTGATCATATAACATCATTACTGCACTAATGGGTATGGATGTGAGTATTCTCCACTCTGCTAAGAATTCATCAACATATAATACTTATAAAGGAGCAAAAGGTTTGGCTGTTGACACTGTATAAGCTGTCGGAATGGTCTATTATGGTGCTCTAACTACAGGTTGAACATATTAGATGATCTATGGTTATGGGATCTGTTATTAAATCGTTGGTTGTGGTACTGTGATTTATTAGATCACAGGTTCTTATTTTGGTGAAACCATTTTGATTGGGCTTTCTTGATAATAGACTAAGGGTTGAGGAGGTTCGGGTTTGTTGATCACAATAGGTTATGGTTAAGGTGGGGCCTACGTATAGGTCAATTGTTGTGGTTATTATATGAAAGTTTGTGTATATGGTTAGACCTAAGGGACTATTTGCACTATTTGTGGCTATTAGACTGGGGGTGGCACTGGAGGAGGGGCTTGAGTTTGATAAATAATTTGTTATGGTATTGGCTACACAGGTGGACTAACCATCACCCTTTATGGACTATAATTATATGGTTGATAGTCTGCATGAGTGGATAAAACAGGGTCATATACCATTCTTGATACTCTTCTTATAGGATTATCACCTGTTCTTTCACCAGGTCTAAAAAAGTATTCTCCATCCTCCAATGTCACCATGAATAGATGATGAAGATGGAACTTTGCTTATTCCAATGCTTCATAATTCACTTAGATTGGCACACCTTAATATTTCAATTGAGGATTCTAACTCTCTTGGTCTGCAAAGTATAGTATCGTTTCTTTTAAACAGTAATTTGGGTCTTTTAATCTTTCTAGTTTCTTTATCAGATTCCTCCATTACACAATCAAATCATATTAGTAATTCTTATCTGCCTTATTCAACACATCATCTACAATCATATCGATCAATTTGTGTAAGTCTTGTCTGATTTACAGGATATCGCCTGTTTGATGAGTAGCAATCTCATTTGCCCTACTCGCATATCCTTTGTAAACTTATGTTAATGTACTCTCAATTGAGTCAACTAATAAAATTTGAATTATGGTATACTAAATCGAGAATGCTAATGTGGATGCACCTAAATGCAATCTTGACACAAAGGCATCAAACAAGATGGTTCCTTACAAAAATGACGTATGTATTATGGATGATAGATACATCGAGTCTGAGGGGCATCTTGAAACAAGTAGTCTGCTGTAATTTTTACGGGCTATTAGTGATCGTTAATTGGTTAAAGTACTTACATAAATTTATTAATATTTATAAAAAGAGAATGACTGATCAAGTTTTAATTCTCTTAAACCAACAAAATAATAATTTTACACATTGATGTTTGTCTGGGTCTTTGATTTATATGCGCTTTAATAAGGTTAGTAAAAAAACTCAATTGTATTAAAATATAATCACAATCCTCTAAAAGAGGAGGAAATTTTGAAATCGTACAATGATTACATTGGAGAGTGATGAACAGTATTTGGTTTCGAATTTTTAATAATAAATTATTTGATTGGACTCTCTAATTAGGGAATAAAAAATAATTATCTTAAATTCCTTCTTCCTTTAAGTAACGAAGTGTATGAATTTTTAGAATCTTTGCTTTTTGGCTTATTCCTCTTTGATTATTAAGTGGAATCTACTCTAATAATCTGTTTCAGTTCTAAAATTGCACTCTAAATAGTTGATGGTTTTTATTATTGTTGTTCATTGATAGTTTATTTAGTTAGCACCTTTTTAATAGTGAATTTCTTTTTTGTTTTGATTCTTTTCACAATTCTGTATCTGATAATAAAGATAATACAATGGATAAGTCTTCTGAATCGGCGAATTTATTTTTACTTTCTCCATTAGCTATTTTTTTAGAGTAATATGATACTTTGTTTGAGGAAATTAATATAACTGAAATATCTTCTTCATTAGAGTCGATCGTTTACCACAGGAATCACAATGACAACTTGACTCACCAAATATATTCTTCTCAATTCTTAGATTTTTGTTTATTCTTTCATTAGTTAGTACTGATCTATCATATATAAGAGTAGCATTGCGCTTAGATCCAAATGAGGGTAATGGTTTTGTATATTTCTTATTGTTTGGCAAAATTCTTCTTTATTGCCTAATTTAAATAAGAGATTGATTCATAAATTAAATAATAAACAAAGATGAAGATCTGTATTCAATAACGTGTAAATAAGAATAAGATTACAAATTTTGACATGAGTACTTCAGATTGGGATGATTTCGAAGTTGATGAACAAGGGAGTCCCCAATTCCTTAATTGTATAAGATAATTATAGAAATACTAATCTGAAGATTAATAATAACCAAATGATTTTCACATATCTAAATTAAACAATATTGTAGTAGAAGGATATAAAAATCTATTGGAAATTTGTGTCATAAAAAGAAGTAGTTGATTACGTGGTCCAATTTCTAAATTAAAAATGCAAATTATAAAAACAAATTGAAAGCTATTAGAATATCAAATTTTCAAGAATGCCAAGATAAATTAAGAAATGATAGAGTACTCAATCAATTATATGAAAGAATTGAATTAGTACTTTGAAACCAAGGATGAAATACCATATAATCATTCACTTTTTTATGGTAAAATCTTGGGGGTTACCTTTAATCAGACTTCACTCATTTTTTTAATTTTCTTAAACAATTGGGCTAATGTATATGATAAAAATATTAATAAGAACTTCTATTCTTGTTTTTTCAGGAAATGCATTGAGATAGGAATCAAAGTTTGATTAAGTAAAAAATCTCTAATAAGGTATTTCAAAAATAAATACTTAAAATAATTTTTATTTTGTTTATTTAAATATTAAAAATACTCACTAATCACTAGTGGAACTTTATTGACTGGTTGAAACACCGAGTGATTAATAGTGGATCAAAGAAAAATTAATTCTGCTATTATTGATAAATCTTCCTTGCTAATAATAATAATTATACAGGATAATACATTTAAAGAATGTTTAGTTAATAGCACTATTTTAGAACCAAAATTTTTATAATGAAAGAACGGTAGAAATAAAAGATTCCTTGAATAATTTTCTCCTAAATTTGTATAAATTATTAACTAATTTTCAAATTAGCTTTTCTCTTTAACTTCATTTAGATATAAGTTTGTATTATTATTATTATTATTTTTGTTGTTTTATTCTTATTATATTTTAGTTGATTCGCAATAATCCTCTAACTATTCTTCAGCTATATAAAATTCAGACATTTATTATTAATTACTTGAAAAAGTTGCATGATAGAATTATATCAATTCCTTAATTCTATCTGACATATTTCTAAAAGATTAGTGCCTTTAATAAAATTCTTATTGAAACAAACTTGGCAACCATGATCATCATTATTTTGGTTATTTTCAATTTATTAACTTCAATTAAATTAGATTATTATTGTTTTTAATTTCATCTTTTTAAGTAAATATATTCTATCTGTTTTTGTTACATTAAAGTTAAAAGTATAATTACCCACAAACTGTTTAAATTAAGATAGAAAATTTGCAACATATACATTCTATTCTAAATGATTAACTTTGATACATTTTACAAAAATATATCTGAGAGTGCCTTTAATATAAATTTGAATTAACCAATAAGATGAATAACATTATTTAAAATAAGATAAAAATCACTCTTCAGGGACAATGCTAAATATTTTAATATCTAACCCATTGTTCCCTATTATATATTTTTAAATTAACATATTTTCATTGGTCAGCTCAAACTTTTAGATATTCTAGATACTCTAATCTGAAATCTTATTAAATTAGTATAACGCATTATCAATTTCTATAAATGTTTCTATTGTATTATTTACACTGAAAATGAATAGTTTATCATTTTCATAACTTCTAATAATTCCCAAACTATTAATCTTGGATCCTGTATGTATAGGTCCAATCACTTATAAATTCTATGTTAAGATAAAGATGGATGTTTCATTTTCATTATCCATTTTTAATATGACTCTGTTGTAATCTACAATCATTTAAGTGCATAATTTATTAAATTAATAATTAATTTTCTGTATTGTTTATCCGTCAAACAATAAGAGTTTTTAATTTCTTGTACCAATCAAGTAATTACTTCCTACCTTTATCACTGCCTCTATTGTTAGTTCCAAATTGAAATGCTAAACGTACTTATATTGATCTCCAGTTAATTAAAATATTCTAATCAAACCATCTTAGCAAAATGTTAAGATTCTATCCTATTCATGATCTACAAACACTATATTCTTTAGCGTTACCTCATTTATGAGCAAATGAGATTATTACTCTAGCGTTAAATCATTTATAGGCAAATTTGCTTATTACTTCAACAAATTTGGATAAATAAGTAAGTTTTTAATCGTCTCACCTTTGTTCAAAAACTCGATTGTTAAATTCAATGTGCCATCCTATTTCTGTTAAACCCAACCATTTAAAAAGACCTTGCCCCAATGATCCAAACTGGTCCTTAAACTGTCATCTAAGATATCAGTTCCATTTCTTTTGAATAGAATATTATAAAATTCAATTTGATTAGCCTTCAATATTATCAATTATTCATTATAATATCCAAGCACCTTAACAAATTCATACATCTCTAAATTCTATTCTAATTTTAAGATTTTCGCTCTTTTTTTAACAATTACATCATTTCTCTTGACTCTTTTTTATACATTAAATGCCTCATCCTGTGCATCCCCCTTATTATCATAATTCCTTTAGAATTCAGCTCTACCACTCCCTCGACCATAGTTTGCATAATCTCTCTTTTAACCAAGAAATTGTGAATTTCCTCTACCTCTTCCTCTCCCAGTTTTTCTAAATTAGAATTCTCTAACATCTTTTTATTGATCCTCATCATTTTCCTAAATTTTATCCCATCGATCAGAATTAACATTGTTTCTATCCCTCTATTATGATCCTATCATTAATTTTCGAATTCTTTACTTCTATTATCATTAAAATTGTATGGTTGTGATTGCCTGTCTATATTTTATGTTTATTGATAGTTTTCGAGATTATCAGATTACTTTGTTCTATTCAATTTATATGATTTATCGTAATTATTTGAATAATCTTTAAAATTGCTTTCGAATCCTTCAAATTAGTTTCTATCATTAGTTTCTCTTCCCTGTTATCTCCCACGAAATGAAAACCTACTAGTTTATTGATCAGATCCAAATTATTTGTTTAATTGTATTCTTTCTGTATTTCCCTCCATATTAAGTCTATCTGTGCCATGAGAAAATCTACATTAATCCCCTTCTCTACATATACCTTAAAGGAAGAATCTACATGGCAAATCAGATTTTGCATTCATATTTAATAATAAATTATTATAAACTCAAATCGAAAGGGTGCAATAACATCAATTCATTATTAGTGCATTAAATACCATTAGTTTTCAAAAACATCTTAACATGATTTTGATTGACTGTCAATCTTCCTTAACTCAAAAACCTAAAAGCCAATTCTGCATTAAATTTATAATTTCTCAAACATTTCAACTATTTTAATTACACTTCTAATATCACTTAGAAGAGTTTGCTCAATACTTCTATTTTGATTTCTCCAGTATCATTGATATTTTAGGTTATTAGAGAATTTGGGAGAATCATCAACTTAAGATCCGACTCATCCAAAAACCCTTTCTCTTCTTTATCATAACATGAGAACAATCTTTTAGCCACTTCAACATTGCAGTCATGTTTGAATTTCTTGAGCAAACCTAAAAATTCCTAAAAATTCAACTTTGTTCCTATTAATTTTGAAATTGCCTCCCAACTTATGTCTTGAGTTATCAACATTAAATTCTTGAGATCAACAATTTGTCTTTCGAATATGATGAATTCCTTCATCACAGCTACTAAATTCAACTGTTCCTAGGGTTTTAGTCTATTAATTATCTCCCTCTACATTAATTAAATATAATATTACTTCAATAATTAGAAATGAACGAATAGTGCACTAATGAGATAATTAATATACATTAATATGTAGCACATAATTTCTACATTAAAATAATTATATAAATATTAATATGGCTTCGTATGTAGTTAATTCAGTCTTGAATGATTCTATCAGATCAATCAAATCTAATCAAAATGACTCAAAATAAAAAATAAATTGGGACGATTTCAACTACCCACCCTTGATAAAAGTTATTCATTACAATATTGAAGAAGTATAACCGGAATATAGATTGGTGGTAAGATCATTGTGGTTGTCAAGCATACTCATTATGGCCTACACTCTCTTAAATATCATTGATAATAGTATTTAGGCTGGATATGGAAATGATGGAATACGCATATTGTATAGTTTTATGTTCTTGTTTTCCTTCAACCCAATTTAATTGTAAAATATTCTGCATAGTTAGAGTTTTATATTTTATCGAGGTTATAAGGGTGTAGTTTCAGATCCATACCTCTTGGTTTTGTACAAATGGGTCTAAATCATATTGATACTTTGTTGGATAACCTTTTCCATTGTTGACATACTTGGATTTAATGGATTCGTCGTATTGTCATTACTTTTTGAATAGTAATTTATTCTCCCTACTTTGTTAGTCTCCCCTTTTGTGGTGTATTAGCATTATTCGAAGATATCATCTTCTTACTAATTGTGTTTTTAAGTGGATTTGCACTATTCCGCATCTGGAAAATAAAAGAATGATTTAAGATATATTTATTCAAAAATTGTATCATTAATCTACATCCCAAGAATTCTCATTATGATTTACATCCCTTCATAATTTTAGATCGTATTAATTAATTAAATTATACATTGTCTCTTATTTCTAATATTTATTATTAAATTCGTTTGACCAACTCAGAATTAAATAGAAAGTGTAATAATTTTCATAATCAGAAATACTTTGATAAAATAGAAATATACACAATAAAATCAAAGTCTAAAATCATAGTTTGTATTCCATAACATTTCTCAATGGATATGGATCCATTTACTAAATTTAATGATGATTAATTGATTATTATAATTTCTTCATAACAACACTTGTTAATTTACCTAAGACAACGTATAACTGAATTGCCAAGTTTATTATTAAGACTGATAGCAATGTAGCGATATGAAACCAGCCAAGAATCACTTAATTATCATAATCAAATCTGGATTCCATTTGGTTCCAATACAAGATTACTGTAAAACAAAATACAAACACGCTCATCTCTGTAATTATTAGATTGATATACTCAGTTTTACTCTGAAAGGGTCTAAATAAGAAGATGTAAATTAAATATATTTGGCAAACCAGTGTTAATAACATAGACTGAATTTCCTAACTCTGCTAAAATAAAACTAAAATAGCAATGAATAATAGTTTTTTAAAGATTAAGAATAAATTAAACTTTTTGATCCAATATTAAGAAAATAAAGGCATTCTTAGATCCTCTCTTAAAAAATAACATGATATTATCAATGCACATGTGTATATGATTGAATAGCCTAAAATAACTGAGAATATGGATCTCAAGTCCTTAAAGGATGATGAGCGGATTTATAAAAAGGACATAAACAATAAATCCCAACAATTAGCCAATAAAAATTACTTCAATCCATCCTTCTATAATTCTCTTTTTAGTGTAGTAAGGCTCTTAAAAAATTTCAATAAAAGTGAAGCAACACTTTCACCAAATTACAAAAAATGATGAACTTCCATTACCCTAAAAATTTCAATTAGAAAATGGCATCCAATATACACAGAATAAAGTGCCAGACTCAAAAATATTTAGGCCTAGATATTATTCACAAGATCTGCATTAATATCATAAAATTTTAGTTTTTCATAGGATTCAACAAAAGGCAGTTCTACTAATTCAGACGAAAAATAATTGAAATTAAAGAAATCCAACATAGGTTAAACTGTTATGATGTTAGTTGATTCAAAATAGATGAATAAATTAAGTGGAAATATCACATTAATAAATCTCAAATAAGATTGCTATTGGAGTACTTCAATAACTCCTCTTAAAATAAATGAGTTACCAAGAAGCAAAACCAAAAAACCTGCTCCACCCATAGAATTCATTATATATGTTCCCATTTTTTTTAAGACTTATGCAGATTATTTCTTCTAATCATCTAAGTATTTAGGTATATTCAATCTTACACTGCCATCTTAATTAATCAAAGGAGCGTCATTCTCGTTATACAATTACTCATTTAATACAACTTCAAGAACAGGTGGCGATGAAAGAGTACTATTAATAACAATCTCCACTATATACTCTACGTAGGTACAATATTAATAAGCTTCTTAAACTATGATCAATGTTATATTATATAATTCCGGATCAATTTCTTTTAAACTCAATTGGATGTACTCTGAAAATATTATATCATCCTGAATTTTTACTTACTGATCGAAATGTAAGGAAACGTATTATATTTCATAATCTTATTTGATAAACGCGGCTTCAAAAGAAGGGTACTTTTCATATGTACATTATGTAAAGGAGTACTGATAGTTTTTACAAACATAATTCACTTCTACTTTGCACTGTTACGAACAACCATCTCCATCCTCTATATTCATGTCATCACATTCTTCTTCCTTTGAAACCATACCATTTCCACAATATGCGAGACATTAATTTAGAATACGATTTAGTTCATAGCCTTATTCACATAATTTACATTTTCCTTATTAGCATATTTCACAATGATCCGGACAATGAAACTTACATTTAAAACATCCATCAGATTAAATATCATTTTAATCATCACAATCTTCTTATTCTACTACAATACCATCTCCGCATATTGCGATGCATTCATCATCCACTTCTTCATACCCATACTCACACTTATCATAACATATCCCTTTAATACATAATTTACAGCGTTCTCTACATTAGTAATTGCAAAAATAACAACCATCATAAGGAATTTCATTCATATCATCACATTGTTCATATTCAACAGTAATTAATCCATCTCCACAAACTGGAATACAATATTAATCAATTAATGTAAATGTATATTCACAATTATAACAATATCCATAAACACAAGCATTGCAATAGTGACAGCATTCGGTTTTACATTAATAACATCCATCAAATTAATCATAGTTAGAATCTTCGCATTCTTCATATGAAATCAAAGCAATTAGATTATCTCCACATTCAGCTTCACAAATGAAATGATCAGTTAAATGCCAACCATATATGCAATCTAAACAGATTCCTTTTTAACAATATGAACATTCTCTTTAACAATCATTTCTACAATTATTACATCCATCAAATCTAATAGAATTCATATCATCACATTCTTCTTAACCTTATATTGAATTATTTCCACAATCAGATTCACATTAGTAATTCTTTAATTTCCATCCTGGAATACAATCATAACATTTTCCAAATTAACAATCAGTACATTCATCTTAACAATCAAATTCACATTAATTACAACCAAATGATGATTTAGTATATTTATTAATATCACATTATTCATCACCTAATATAACAAGATCCCCACAAATTGGAATACAGATATTCTAATTTATATCTAATATCCATCCATTTAAACATTGGATACAAAACCCATTTGATTATAATTAACAACCTTGTTGTAGATCATAATAACATTAATGACATTTATCAAATGGTTGAAGATTATAATCAGTACATTATATATCATTAAGTATTAATTAATTTTAACATATAGATTCACATCTATTATTAATTAATTCATAATTTAATTTACATTATAAACAAATACCAAATTAACAAGATTTACAATTTGATGGACAAAAGAATTTTCCATTTAAACAAATCTCATATTATAATGTATCATCACATTCTTCCCAAATTTAATATTAAGTATCATCTACAATTGGAATACATGTATTAAAATCTGAATAGAATATCCATCCAATATCACATTCAAAACAAATACCATCAATACAATTTGAACACCCTTCTACACATGAATATTCACAATTAAAACAACCATCAAATGCATAAATATTACCGTCATCACATTATTCTTGTGATTCTTTTACACCATTACCACAAACGGTTCCACAAGCTTAACTAAAAGAGGAACCAAATACACAAGCTAATAATATAGGCAAAAATTACGAATATATATTTATATATCTCTTATTCCAAAAGATTCGTTTGTTGGAACTTAATCTAAATCACTGGTGAATTTTAACGTTATTGATTGTTTTGAGTGAGATACTGTGATTTCTTAATTGTGAGGTATATCATCATAAGCCCATCCACATAAATCCTATATTTCTCTGCTCTAGTAATTAAAGCTATCAGTCCAAACCTAAACATTATCAACATATAGGTAGGCATTTTCAGCATTCCAAGAATCTATGAACATAAATCTAAATTTAATTTTGATTTGATTATGAGCAGGCAAATTAATTTTCTTGTATATATAACTATTTTCTCCAGTGTAATCATAGCCACCAAGTAGAGGAATAGCTAGATACTTTAAAAGACTTACATAAGCAATTACTAGTGTATTTGTATCCTCTTTCTATTGTCCAGCCGTCAGGTTTAAAAGTGTTAATATCAAGACTAGTAAGACTTTCTTCAACAATACTCCAAATTATGCAATTTATTCTAGAGTCTGTTGAAATGCAAGTTTAGCATCCAGTTGGGCAAGGATATATATATAATTTAAAATCCCTGATCCCCCAGGATTCCTAAATTTTAGTATTAAATTCGAATACATTTGAAGGAGTCTCATCTATATCAGATGTCATTAAAATAAAAAGAGATTAAAAGTTGTGAGGTTTCGTGATGCTTATTTGTTGAATTGTTTCACCTTATATTTTTCCACAAGTTTAGGTACCTCCCATTATATAAGCTTATTAAAAGGCTGAAACCTAATCTAAATAAATGAAAAAAATTTCACTGTCCCAAGTATCAATTCTATATTAATTAAAAAATCTTACTTCCAAAATTCCAAGGTTATCTGAATTGTATGATGGGGTGGTAATTAAATAAACATAGTAGCTGAAGCTCCTTTACCAAATCCGTCATATCCCCCCAGAAGTCTTACTGTACCACAGTCACTATATACATTAGTTTATCCTTTCAACACCCATTCTTCAATTAGAATAATTTAATACCCTCGGAAGTTGTGAATGAGTTGCTAGTAAAACTTTCGTGGTACAAAATCTATGAAAAAGTACTCATAGATAGTATTATTAATCTAAAAAGCATCATGATGTAATCAAAATTAATTTACAAAATAAAAAATATTTGAGAAAATATTGAATTGCTTAATAATTGTTTCTAAATAATTACTGAATTCCAATTCGTTTGATTAGTAACTTTCTAAACGTTTATCGAAATCAAAATATTCTTGAAATTTATATATCACTTCTAGCTTAATACTTTATTAGACCTTTGATAAAACAGTAATAATTTATTTTATTTATTGCAATTAAAAAATTAGTATTATACATTTATTAAATATTCTGTAAAAAATATTTTGAACCATTTCATAAAGATAAAATTATTTCTTTTATTAAATGTAATGATTCTTATAGGATAGTTAGATGTGGATATGATACACTAAATATTTTTTCATTGAGCGAATAAGTTGAATTAAATGAAAATCAAAATGAACAATTAATATTTGTATTATAAAAAACCATAAGAAATGTTTCTGATATATCCTACAGTTTGCCTAAAATATAATAAATATTGATTAATGAAGAATTAATTCACTTTATTTTAAAAAAAAATACTATTGATATATAAATAATACGTCAGATGACAGTTTTAAAATTATTCATTTATATATATATTTTCAATTAGATTCTTTATCTTATTCGATAAAGGAAGTGAATAATCGTTCTTAATCGGAATTCTCAATAAAACACTCAACATCATTTTAATTCTGCTCATCCAAACAAGTTTCTGTGTTTATTTTATAATCACATGTTAAGCTAGGTGGGATACTCAAAAATCTATAATAGGGAGTTTTTTTAGAGAGCTCTTATTTTAGTTGCAGAATTGCGTCTATATATTTCCCTTTTGTTTGTTAATCCTTTATTTTATTATTCATGATAACAGTCGTTTCAGCCTGTTAATCTAAGAACTCTTTCCATCTTTATTGAGTTTCAATCTATATACATTTAGTTCTCGGATTAATAGGACCGAATACTTTTTGCAAATCTCCTAATTCCCATTTTTGTTATTTTGAAGTTTTACGACTTTGAATAACTTTCAAATAACACTCAACTTTCTTATAATCCATTTACTTTGCCCAATGTTTAAACTAATTCAAGAAGAAGGGAACAATTCTTCTTTGAAATTTCTTTTCATCTTATTGACTGGATTATGATTCATTTTTAATCTATTGACATAAGCTATAATCGTTAATTATCTCTTCCATTAATTATTCATCCAGCTCTACAATAACTCTTCCATTCTTATTTTTCAGTATCTTGGATTAAGTCTATATAATATACCTAATAACATTGCAACATGGAATAAATATTATTAAACAAATTTTATAAACAAAAATTTATATTTTCAATATAATTCAACACAATAATCCACAATTCTTATGGAAATTTAATTCATTTATAGTATTTTGACACATATAATATATATATATATAATTCAGTATCATTTCATGTATATTTGGTCATCTATCATTTCATATTCAAAATTGAATTTTTGGGGCATCACCTATAATCCCATGTACTCCTCCTAATCGAAGATTCCAATTTAATGATCAGTAACTAATTCGTCATATCTCTGCATTAATTCTTTCATCTGATTCTTCTCTTATAAATGCATTTACATAACAATTTCATCGATTTGATATTTTCCGAGAGTTAAGATCTTAAAAAATACTTTTTTTCCAATCCTTCTCACATCAAAAGATTGATCTATGACCATCTAAGATATCAATTAGATGATATTAACAAAATGAACTGATTTAAATATTTCTTTTTGATACTTTATTATTAAATGTTCAATGAGGACGCCAACATAGATTTTGCTATTAAAAGATTATTTGTTATATAGATTTGGTAATATGTTCTACAATTAAGAATCGTCGCAAAATCTCAATATGTCAAGCATAGTTTGCTCAGCCTATTGACTCACTTATTTATTCTCATCCTAAACCCAAACTCCACAAACAGTAAACATTTTCTAGACTTAAATTAACGTACTTCTCAAAGTTTGCACTGCAATACTCAAAGTCTAAAGAGCAATAAAAACTATTTTTCTCACAACTATCTACGGAGGTATATTCTTTTTATATTATGAATAATCAATAGCATACAGTGGATTATTACTTTATGTTGACAAGATTCTGCATACATCATTCACAATTTATAACAATGGAACCTATGAGGCATATACATCGGATAAATGATTCTATAACAATACTCTAAACTTATGTAGTGACATTGCCAATAAATCCAAATTTAAAGAGGATAAATTAATCAACAAGGCAGCAGTTTCTGCTCTAGCATTATCAATATAAACAGGCATATCAAACACTCTTGGTAATTCCTCCTATTTTGCAATCTCTTTAAGCTTCTTCTTTAATTTTCTTGCATTTCTTCCTTTATTTTTTCCATCTCTTTACTCAAAAGATAAGAGAAATTCATCTAACCTTTTCTGATATCTTTATTCTGGAGTGTAAATCAATTATTAATTCTTTATTATTTCTTAAACATATTCTATTTGATTATCCACAAGGTTTTCTTTAACTAGTTTTTCTTCAAATTCTATTGATTCTTCTTATGTAGGTTGTGTTAATTTATGTTGTTATTTTATTAGTTTTGTATCAATAAATATTTCTTCATCATCTGCTTCCTCCTCATTTTCATATTTATACCCAGAATAGGCTCCTACGTTAGCCTTAATAACCTTAGGTATTTGTAAGTCTACATTGATGTCCTCGTTTAATTATTTAATTGTATGAAACACCCTAGACTTTATATCATCAATAGGTTAATATTTAGATTTTGTTATTTGATCTGGAGCATGGCCTCTATATTTCAGAGTTCGTGTTGGGTATTCAAATTCAATAGATTGCAATTCCTCTTCATCAGAATGCATAACCTCATCTTCATATGGGTTATCATCTACCTTTTCCTTTTCCAAATATATGTTAGAGTTGATTAATTTGAATTACTCATTCGCTTTCGTCTGTTAAAATTATCCTATTGGAATTATCATATCATATTTAGTTCCTTGATTATTTTTGTGCTCTGAAGCGAACAAACTATCAATTGAGGCATTTGATTTAATGATTTTATCATTCAATGACATTTGAAACTTATCATAGTAATAGGTTATTTTATAACGACTTTCTTCTGATTTTTCTGATTCTACTGGAGTTTAAGGTTTAGGCTCACTTTACACGGATTAAACCATTGACAATTTAATTTATGATTGTATTTTTTGTTCTTCTAATTTTTTGATATTAAATTAAGGTAATTCCAAATTTCCATTTTCATTTATAAAATATACAATTCCATTGTCTACCTTATCATTCAACTTTTCATAAACTTAATTATTCAGAACTTCATGTAGGTATTCCAGATGCTTCTTGTCTAAATAAGCTAATAAACTAAGACATTCCAGAGAAGCAAACTTAACTTTAGCTATAGGATCATTTAGATAAGAAGCAATAGCAATCAAGCTCTTTTTAAAGTCTACTTCTCGTAGATTAAAGGACAATTCCTCAACTTATTTTTCTTATTTTATATTCATTTCCTTCAAATCAACTCCATAAAACCATTATTCACTTGGATGAATCATCAACACCAAATAAGAAATCAAGTTTAGTATTTCTTCCTTCTAATGCCAATTGTCCATATTTTACTCTAAGAAATATATTAAGTTTTAAAAATATTATTTCTTGCTGATGTAATTTGTTAGTTTCCTCAACAGAAACAGTGCCTTCTACCTGATAACTACTCTTTCATCCTTAAGACATTAGATTAATCCGGGCAAACAAAGGGGCAAATAAACATTTACTTAAACTCCTGGAACTTGCATAACTTTGCCAACAATATTTAGGATCATCAATATTATTTTCTTGTCTTAACTAAAAAACAAGGAAGAGATGTATTTGAAGAATGATGGCATAAAGCTTCCCCTTACTATTTTATCCACTGTTTTTTGGTCATAATTTTAGGGTTCACTCTCATCTTCAAAAAACTACATGTTTAATTCTGTAATTCCCTTTTCTCTAATCGCTAGATCTTTTTGATTCAAGGTGTCTTAGAGTATCTCCTTTGGCAAAAAGCCAAAATATAATTATGTCTTTAAATCATAGGGAAAATCATCTATAGTTAGATTAGTTTTTGCTATAAACTCAAAGGGTACGAATTAATCAATCAGTGGATCTGTGTGTTCTTAGATCTTGAAATTCAATTCAATAAATTTATCAACCTTTGGGGGCATTTCTTGTTGTATTTTATCAACTACATTTTAATGCTAAATTGCTAATCTTCTATAAACTAATTCAAAATTTTCAATGTTCTTGAGATTCTAAATCACTTTCTTACTTGCTTTTCGAACAGATTCGTTAACGTCGTTTAAGTGAATTATTATAGATTCAATAACTTTTCTCACTTCATTAATTCTAAATTAATTTACAAGTCTACCCAGTTCTATTGCAAAATATTGACTTATCTGCTATAAAAATATCAGGGATTAAATTTATAGCTCTTTCTCTAATATAAAAATTTTTATTTTTAAAGGATTCGCTTAATAGTTCCAAAACCTATTCTGAATTTCTAGTCTTAGCAATGAATTTAAGGAAAATGGCCTTGGTTGATTTCCTTATCTGTCTATCGCTGTCAGCCAGATTATGTACAAGCTAATTTTCAAAGTGTTTTAGACCTCCTTCTAATTCAGCTGGTAATAGGTAATCAATTAGCTTGACATATTAAGTTAATAGACATACAGATGACAGCAATCCATGAGTAGCTAAGATCACTTATTTATTTGTATCCATGAGCATCTGGTTTATCATGATGAACATTCTGCTTAAGTCACCCAGAACAATTCCCTTTTTTGCTTTGATGTCCTCTTGCATTAAGTTAATTAATTCAATTCTGGTGTCTCCAGATGATTCATAGATTGAATTAATTAAGACTTGCATATTGAGTTTTATAATATTTTTTATAACATTTGATATTAAATTTTTGGTTAATAATTTCAAATGAATAACTGCTTGATTATTTTGAAGAGGAACTACTTTATGAGTAACCCAAGATCTAATAGAAGATATTTATGAAGTAAACTATTCCACAAGAAGTAATATATGCAGAAGAATCTATGAAATATTTAAAATGTAATCGATATAAATATATAATTTATTATTGTATTAATGATATCTGAGAATGAGTAAACTAAAGTATTGTTGGTGATTGTATAGAATCCTTAATCAATAATGCTACCACATTCCTTGTTCTATCGATACTTCTCTAATTTTGGAGAGGTGGATAAAATTCTGATATTTGAGAAGGGCAAACTATGGAAATGCTTTGTTGAGATGGCCACTTTATAATAAGCGAGGTTTTCTTAGTAATAATTAAATGGATGTTAATTGTATGATTAAACAATCATGAATGTGTAAATTTATTGTCTAAGTCTTTTAGTTATTATTCGACATTGTAGAATGTCACCTTCCTCAACAATAATTCAGGGGGTGTAGATTACAAATCGATTAGACAGGGAAATTCTACAAAAACCACTAACAATTATGAGCATGACTATCATTCCAAAACATTTAGTTAACCTACTATATTCTAGCATTAATAAGATATCAAATAAAGTTTTGTCGGTATCTGGAATGAAGGAACGAGGGCTAGCTTAAACGATAAATATGAACTATAGGAATAAAAAAATGAATGGGAACCTTCAAGAATATTAACTTCGCTGGAATTTATTGATGATGGAGATTCTCCTAGATACAATCAGTTTTCATCCTACAAATCTATTTAATGTGATGATAATGAACATGATCCCATCGACGAAGACATAATGCTTGCATTTTCATCTGAAAAAAATATATATCTGAATTCCTACATGTTTTCCATTCCAGAAGTAGAAGATAAAACAAAAAACCAAGACATAGATCCATATACTTATGTATCACCTTAATTTCTTAGAGAAAATTAGCCCTCTAAAGTAGTTTATATAAGAGGTCTCATTAATTAAAATATTACACCATTAAACATTTTTAATTTATTGTCCAATTTTGGAAATGTGTTAGCTATCATTTAAATTAAACATAAAGCATCAGCCTTAGTTCAATTTTAGAAACTCTCCCATGCTTAAAATGCTTTAGATCATTTGAACAATTAAGTCTTTTTTGGCTCAAAGCTTAAAATCTTTTATTCGAATTACTAAGAAATATAATTACCTCTACCAATTCAATCACCATAGACTGTAGTGTTTGTGCCACAAAAATCTTAATTTAGATTTAGTGAATCAAAGTCAATCTCCATCAATCCACCAAGTCAGACCTTACATTTAAGTAACATAAAAGGTAAAATATGTGAGGAAGAATCTTACATTAAGGAATTATTCAAAGGAATTGGAAATGTTTAGGCGATTAAATTCATACATATTGATAAGTATAGTAAATATTAGCATTTAGATAAAAGCACATGGCATTAGTAAGACTATCATCATTAGAAGAAGCATTGAATGGAGCAGCTCTACTTCATGGTAAGGAAGTAATGGGCAGAAAAATCAATGTTTCATTTACCAAAAGTAAATTATGCTGAAATCTAAATTGTCAGCCTTTGCTCAAGTATTATGACTTTCTAAAACGAAAACATATTAAAATTATTAATTTTCTATTCTTTTTTATAAAGCATTTTGAATACTTAAATTTAAGGGAATCCATCATATTATATTCTCGGTTCTGAGTAGATCATAAAATTTTCAGCAATACAAATATATCATTTGATTAAAACAGCAAGATAACATAACAATTTATAACTATTTGTTTTATATTCCAATGTGGAGAAAGAATATTATAATCATATAATATTCATAATTCTTATTACTATTATCTTCTAAATAACTAGTTTATGGCCTGAAAATACTGTAATAATCCAACCAAATTTAAGAAATAGATAAAAATTAAAAAAATTGATCCATCTTTAACTTAATCTAACCAATCTAAAATTATTAATATATCATTTCTATTTTGAAACTCAAATTAATAAAAATAATAATCTCAAAATTTATTACCATTTTAAATATATTAAACTTTTATTTATGCTTCTTCTTCCAAGCATCTTGTTAAGTATTTAATAGATTTGTTATGATTCTTGCTCCTTTGGTATATTATGATTATCTTTCTTAATAAAGTAGATATTCAAGATAATATTATAATAGATATCTTTATTCTATATAATTTTATGACATTTAAATTAATGATGCACAATCAGTCATTATGAATAATATGAAGATATAATTAAAATTAGAAGCCATTATTGATGAAAGATAACTTGAAAATTGAATGTGAAATTTAATATATGAAATCTTATTAATTTATTTGTTTAAGATACAGAAATAATCCATGTCATTAGAAGATTTAATTAGTACAATAAAACAATATTTATAATCAACTCATCAACTTAAGAAGTACTAAATCTCTTTTTATACAATAAATAATATTACTTTATTTCTTTAGGCTTCAACTAATTAATCGTTGCGTTTCTCTTGATATAGGCTTCATTTTAATTAGTGAAATATAATTATTTTTTATCTACAACATTAATTTTTATCTCAATAACAAATAAATCCTATATCATTATTAGCTCATCTTTGTAAATAGGAACAAACATTAATTCAACTTACTATGGTAGAACGATTGGATCAAAGTGTCTCAGAATGTTATCGAATTCAATTTGAAAGTCGTCCTTTTACTTCCTTGTCATTTTGATTCCTTAGGCTATTCCTTTATCTGTGATTCCTATATATAAGATTCCGCCTTAAGAGTTCAAAAAAGCACATATGTAATTCATTATCAAATCCATTCGAATCTCCTTAAATTGTTTAAACTCGTGTTTCAAATCTTCAAATTAATCGATCTCTATTCGTTGAATGTATTTTTTAGAATTAAATATTAACTAAATATTTTAATATATATCATACATCATTCTCCTTTGATTTGCTCTCCAAGATCTAATTTAATTTTGTGAATATTTTGTATTGAAATGCTTATTTTATATAATTTTCATCATGCTTAAATGGACAATGTTGAGCTTTGCAATTCTAAGATCTGATTTTATTTTATTTATTTTTATTTTTACTTTTAAAATTTGCATGGCAGAGTACCATATATTCGAGGATGATACAAATATTCAATAATATTATTGCAAAAGTCATTCGCCTCATTATTTGAATCAGATATGTATATTGGCTTATAATTATTACTGTTTCTTCTTTTGTCACTATTATTGTGATAATATTAACACTATATCATTTATTATAATGGTAAAACATGATCCTATCTTACTTAACATGAAGCGTTTTAGCAGATATTTACTTTAAATTCTTATAAGCTTTGTTTATTCATTTATTTAAGTTAGTATAAACCTATTTATTTTAATAAAATAATTTTGTTTATTAATTACTTTTTTTAAAGCAATCTTATATCTTTCAACTTTCCCCTAAGTATTGATAAATATAAATTTGTTTCTGTCAAAACGATTATTCTATATTATCAAATTGTGTTTATAAAAGCAATTTTGTATCATTATCATTTAAGTAAAGCATTTATGTAACAAGAAATAGGCAATCATTTGGTTGTCCTTTTAGGAGCTCATGGTTAAGGGAAATCAACAGTAGCTGGCCTAATAGTCAACGAATTAAATTATGTTTCTCCATATGCTTTAGTGAGAATCGATGAACATCCATAGGTTTAAGAAAATCCTCATCTGAGATATGCTTTTTTGATGGATCGTCTTAGAACTGAGCGTAAAACAAAACAAACATAAATATTTTCGACTTTTCATTTTACAATATCAAATAAAAAGTACACTTTGATCAATATCCCGGGGTAATATTAATACATAAACTAAATGTAACTTGGAATTGCTTATGGAGAGATTGCAGTTTTTGTATTGAGCGGAGTTAAAGAAAAATATGTGTAAGATTTTAAAGGATAAAGCACTCTGGAATTACAACTACGATTATGGATGGCTTTGGGCAAAAAGCACATCATTTGTGCCATTAACGATATGGATTTAGTTGAATATCAATAAGATTGCTATGAATATGTTGTGAATGATTTCTCTTAGCGTTTAGCAAAATTTGAAATAAATCCAAAATAAATCTCCTTTGTTCCAATATCTTTAATAGATGCTGAAAATATCAACACAAAGAAATAACATATGGACTGGTATAAGGGTCCAACCTTAATTGAAGCTCTAGATCAGATCCAAATTGATGATATAGAAGATTTAGTTAGCAAGCCCCTCAGATTTGTAATGCATGATTGTATTAAAATACCTGGAGTTGGCACTGTTGCTCTTGGAAAATTATTGTATGGAACATTGATGCCAAATTAGATTTTAAGCTTTGCTCCAGTTCCACTTAAATCAAGTGTAAAAGCAATTGAAAATCATCATTTTATTTTAAACAAAGGATTTCCTGGCTATTTAATTGGAGTTCATTTATCTAATCTTTCCCACAAAGATATTAAAAATGGATATGTTTTTTCAGACATTGATAATAATCCAGCTTTAGAATGTGCAACATTTGTAGTAAAATTAAAGCTCATGGAAGACTTTAAGCATTAACTCAAGCCAAAGTAGTATTATACAATACATTTCCTAACTAAAAGAATGTAATGTAGCATTGTGTAAATTTCATAAAAAACAAGTCTTAATGATTAAAATCAAAATATTGAGAATCCTTAGGATTTAAAAGCTGGAGATGTAGGAGTTGTTGAATTTAAACCTATAAAGTAGATTACTTTAGAAAATCATTTTGATTATCCTTAATTAGGAAAAATAGCAATTGTAGATAACCGTCATATGATAGCTTATGGAGTAATTTTAGAAGTAAAAAAAAAAGAAATAAATCAAAAACCTTTAAAAAAAGTACAAAATTAATGAAATATAATATTAATTTATTTTACATCCAACGTTATTTCAGTATGTTAAGAACAAATTGGTTTTTAAATTTAATTAAATATATAATAAATGAAAAAAATTTGTTATCACAATTTGAATTCCATCAGATTAGTTAATGGGTAAGGGTTTGAGTTCATAAAATGTTTCTAATCTGTTTTCCATAATTTTTTTTTTACGTACATTTTTAATTACTAAAATAGAGTAATTATTTATAAAAGAAGATTGATGATTAACACCGATAGCAATAATACAATATGTCCCCAACCCAATAACACTTGTGTATCATAAGTAAATAAATTAGACATCTAACTCCAATACATAGAGGATGTTAAGGTAAACATAAAGGCACTTCCTTCCATCATAAGTAAATTGCAATAGTCCTGTTGATTTATGGCTGGTTTGAATTTGATTGCATAAAAGAGATATAAATTACATACAAATGTTAATAAGATTGTTTGAATTTACTCATTTTTTTGGAAGCATACTAAAATAAAAATGAAAATTAATTTTTTTAAAGTGAAAAATAAATCCATTTTTGAAATCCAATAACTAAAACAATTTTGTTTGATTAATTCATTCTTATAAATATATTATCTAAGTATTAACAAGCATCCATAAAATATTAGATATGCGAAGAGTAAACAAATTATGGATCTAAATGTAGTATATGATTGTGATGATTTCAATTGCAAAAAGCAAGTAAAAAAAAGATCCCAACAATTTGCTATTAGAAATGCCTTAACCCCATCCTTTCGAAATTCTTTCTAATAGTTACAACACAATCTTCTTACTTAAATCAGTAGTTTATATCCATATTTACCAATGAAAAGTAATGATTCTAATTTGATTGCATCTATAATAATTATAAGCAAAGCACAAGAATAATAAATGATAATTAAGATTATAATGAGAAATACTTAGGTTTAAATGTTAGTTTATAGATCAGCATTAATTTCATAAAATTTCAGTTTTTCATAAGATTCTATATATATTGAATCAAATGTTGGTGCCATTAAGGAATCAATTTTAAAGAATTATAAAATAGGTTTCATAGTTATTATGTTACTTGCTTCAAAATAGATAAATAAATTAAAGGGAAATACAACATTAATAAATCTTAAATAAGATTATTATTGTAAAACTTCCAAAATACTTGAAAAAATAAATGAATTTCCGAGGAAAAAAGCAAGTATGCCAATTCCTCCAACAGAATTCATCAAATATTTATTTGCTTAATTTAAAGTAGCCGCTGCTTCTTATTTTTAATCATCTATATACCTAGGCTATTTTAATTAAATTTTATCATACTAATTAAAAAGTGTATTATCTTCTGAATTATATAATTATTCATCTAAAGTAACTTCTAAGTAAGGACGAATAGATAAAGTTTAATTTATTTAAATTTCTATTATGTACTCAACATTTTTTGGATATTCAACTGGTTCTTAAATAACAATCAAATTCAATTAATAGATATCAATGTCTATATCAATAAGATTCATTTATATGTATTTGGAATATAAATCTTAATTTAAATACTTAACTTATTAAGTGAATAATAATGAAACATATTATTTTTAATCTCTTTCTTCTTTAAACTAAAGATAGAATCTTGGTTGTTTAGAATAAGTACATTATGAAAAACTTAATTCTTAATTTCTACATTGATAATCGCTTTCAATCTTACAAAATCTTGAACAACCATCTCCATCCTCTTTATTCATATCATCACATTCTTCTTATTAGGAAACCATGCCATTACCACAATATGTTAGACATTAATTTAGAATAACATTTAATTCAAAACCTTATTCACATAATTTACATTTTCCTTAATCACATATTTCACAATGATCTGGACAATGAAATTTACATTTATAACATCCATCAGATAAATCATCATTTTAATCATCGCAATCCTCTTCTTCAACTATTATACCATCACCACATCTTGGTAAACATTCATAATCCACTTCATCATAACCATACTAACACTTATCTTAACATATCCCTTTAATACATAATTTACAATGTTCTCTACATTAGTAATTACAATTATAACAACCATCATAAGGCATTTCATTCATATCATCGCATTATTCATATCCAACAGTAACTAATCCATCTCCACAAACTGGAATACAATATTAATCAATTAATGTAAATGTATATTCACAATTATAACAATATCCATATACACAAACATCGCAATAATGACAGCATTCCATTTTACATTAATAACATCCGTCAAATTAAACATAGTTAGAATCTTCGCATTCTTCATATGAAATCAAAGCAATTAGATTATCTCCACATTCAGCTTCACAAATGAAATGATCAGTTAAATGCCAACCATATATACAATCTAAACAGATTCCTTTTTAACAATATGAACATTCTCTTTAACAATCATTTCTACAATTATTACATCCATCAAATCTAATAGAATTCATATCATCACATTCTTCTTAACCTTAGATTGATTTATTTCCACAATCAGATTCGCATTAGTAATTTTTTAATTTCCATCCTGGAATACAATCATAACATTTTCCAAATTAACAATCAGTACATTCATATTAACAATCAAATTCACATTAATTACAACCAAATGATGATTTAGTATATTTATTAATATCACATTATTCATCACCTAATATAATAAGGTCTCCACAAATTGGAATACAAATATTTTAATTTATATCTAATATCCATCCATTTAAACATTGGATACAAAATCCATTTGATTATAATTAACAACCTTGTTGTAGATCATAATAACATTAATGACATTTATCAAATGGTTGAAGATTATAATCAGTACATTATATATCATTAAGTATTAATTAATTTTAACATATAGATTCACATCTATTATTAATTAATTCATAATTTAATTTACATTATAAACAAATACCAAATTAACAAGATTTACAATTTGATGGACAAAAGAATTTTCCATTTAAACAAATCTCATATTATAATGTATCATCACATTCTTCCCAAATTTAATATTAAGTATCATCTACAATTGGAATACACGTATTAAAATCTGAATAGAATATCCATCCAATATCACATTCAAAACAAATACCATCAATACAATTTGAACACCCTTCTACACATGAATATTCACAATTAAAACAACCATCAAATGCATAAATATTACCGTCATCACATTATTCTTGTGATTCTTTCATTCCATTACCGCAATCCTCCCAATCATCTTTATAATATAATACAATGTAATACATGTAAAAATTTCAAAGTCTCTAATTCCAAGCGATTCATTTGTAAACCCTTCGTTTAGTGTTGAAGTAAATGTTATAACCAAACTTTCTTTTGTGTGAAACATTATTATCTCATAATTTGGAAGGTAATCATCATAAGTATTAGAACCACAATAACTTCTAAATCCACCTGCGTTATAATTATGAGATTTTTGAAATATTAAATTGCCGTCAGCGTAAAAGTAAAGTTTTTCAGTATCCCAGGAATCCATATATGCAATCCTAAATCTAATTTTAATCAAATAATGCTAAGGCATACTAATAGTTCCAGTGATTACAGATGAAGCGCCGCATTTACCATATCCGCCAAAAATAGGAATACCTATTTAGAACTTAATAATATTACTAGAGCAAACTGTAGTATCTTGTATTCCATTTGTTATTGACCATCCTTCTGTTTTAAAGGTAGGCAACTGGTCTGATAGAAATGCTGAACTGGCGAGAGTCCATGATCTGCATTCCAGAATTGAATCCTTAGCCTAACAAGATTTACATCCAGGAGGGCATAAATCAAGATAGAGTTTAAATTCTCTAAAACCCCAAGATTCCTCTTATATTTCTATAAAATTACATCATTTGGAAGAGAGCTAAGATTTGTTGTTATTAGTATAACTACTGACTAAAACACGTGAGGCTGTGTAATTGTTAGACTATACATTTCATCACCCCAAGTAGCACCACATTATTGTACGCCACTTATACTATATTAGGCTGTATAACTTAAAGTTCCATCCAAGTATATATATAATATTTCGCCATCCCAAGAATCAATTCTATATACAAAAAGTATTATACTTCCAGAATTACATTGTTATGTAAATCATATAATGAGGAGGCAGTAATAGTAATTTCATAGCCTTAGCTTAATATCCGAAGGCATTGTATCCTCCTAAAATTCTTGTTCCAGAGCAATCAGAATAAGTACTTAAAGCATTTTATAAAACCCAGTCTAAGATTAAAATACTTCTAAATACCTTCACTTGTGATAAATGAAGGATCTGTAAAGGCCTCATAGTATAGAGTCATTTGGAATGAAAATATGGGAAAAAAAATAAAGGAAAAGTGCATGATGATGTAATCTAATTAAAAATTTTTAAATTAGTCTTATTAATGGGCGGAATTTAGCTTCATTATTAAATTTATTTAAATTAAGCATTATTGATAAACTCCATAATCAAATCAATCAATATTAAAAAAGTATCTGTTTATATTCAATATGAATTGAGTTTATTAATCATATTTTCAATTACAATTAAAATTGTTAATTAAATTAAAAAGTAAACAATGATTGCAATATGTATAATTAAAATGATAGGAAATTCAGTAATATCATAAAAAATTTTGATAAATTTTATTTATTAATATTAAAATGATCATAAATGTCAATTTTTCCTTTAATGAGAATATCGTCTAAAGAACAGGTTTTCATTTTATTAATTTCAATTTATTTCTTATTGGGTATGCTTAACTCAAAAGATGATTCAGGTATTCCTACAATTACTGCACCAAGAATATTATTTACTTAAGAAAATTCAATTATATGGCAAAATATATTAGAAAAACTTTTTCCACCAATTTCTTTTTGATCTACTTTCTTATATATCTTTATATATAATGTTCTGTGGGCTTGGCTGATTTCAAAAAGTTTAATCTATTAATATTTTCTAACCATAAACCTTGAAAACTCATAATTTTATTAACATAATAAGGAGCACTAAATTTTAATACATAAAAACAAAATAGCTTTCAATTAAAAAAATATAAAAATATATGGCTAATTTTAATTTAAATGCATGGAGAATTAATTATTTCTACAGAAGATATTTTCAAACTATTAACTTTATATTAATTTTCAAACTTTATAATAAATTTTAAGAGAATTAAAATTAATTAGAATATCTTTGTGTAATAATAATTTATATTTGATGGTGTAATTTGCCATAAAGAATTAAAATCTCCCAGAGAATTCTTATTAAATTCAAATTGTTGTAATTCATCAAAGACCATTATAAAATTTAAATAATTATTATATAAATAATCAATTACTTTATATTATAACAATATACAAGTCTTAATGTTAATTTAATATTTTTGGAATTTAATAATCTTTTCGAAATAGTTTTCTTAATAATTCAATTAATGTATTGATAAATGTTGAATTATATAAATGTATATGGATTAAAAAATTAAGAATATTAGTGACAAATAACTTATAAAAAGTGTATTTATTTTATTAGATTGCGATATGAGATTCCTTCCTTTGATATTCCTTATTTTAATTCTTACATATGTATCATGCTAAACTCTGTTCTATGAGGCATTTTCATCAATAGCATTAGGTCAAATGGAAGGTACATCACATAAAATATTTAAAAATAGGTTGGATAACTACTAATGCTTATGGAAGCTTCTCAGATTGTGGTGGAACATAGCTCTTTGGTGGTTTCGACACATTTGGTAAACAAACTAAAGTTATGAAATTCCTTCAATTACCTCCTCATTATGAAGTTTAAATAAAAATGAGATTCTGGAAGTCATAAATTTCATTTATTTCCTAGAATTGACACATGGGACAATGAATATTTTTATATATTTATTGATGGGATATAAGCCTTCTCATAATAGTATACATCTATTCTAAGTACTTCATTATGTGGAAATATTTGGGGAGAAGAAATACTATCAATAACAATGTCAATTCCTCACGTATATTAATCAATTTTGATTCTCATGACCTCTTCACTTGATGAACCTACATCAAACGTAAAAGATTTAAAAAATATAGGAATCTTGGGGGTTTCGAGATTTTTAACTGTTTCTCAGTCTCTGTCCTTCTAATTGCGTAACCTGTACGTATGATGATATCAAAAAAGATTGCATTTCATGGAGCCTACTTGATTCGGCATTTTTAGAAATTAACTCTTCAGTTTTTTCTGAAGAAGGTTGGTAAATAGTAAACGGGATTTAAGGTATTAGCGATTGTGGCAGTAAAAATAGCTTTATAAATAGGTATACCATTAATTGGTGGTTATTAAAAATGCGGTGTTAATAGTATAATAACAAAGTAATTAAATTTACCGACTCATTAAAAACTTATCATTAGATTTCGTTTTGCTTTTATGGACACTTGGGATAATGAATACTTTTATCTTTATATAGATGGAAATTTAGTTTTCTCTCATCAACATTTTTTTTACTAAGCGGATATGACAAATATTTGTGGATTGCCAAATGATGATTACTTTTCCAAATTTTGAAGTAATAATAAATCACTCAAACCCAATAATAAGATTCGATTTTACAACTAACTTGGATGAGTCCCCAACTACTGAATCCTTTGGTTTAAGAGATTTTAAAATATTCTCAAGAGTTGTAAAATATTGCGGTAATGGAATGAAAGAAACGGATGAATAATGTGATGACGGTAATATTTATGCATTTGATGGATGTTTTAATTGTGAATATTCATGTGTAGAAGGATGTTCAAATTGTATTGATGGTATTTGTTTTGAATGTGATATTGGATGGATATTCTATTCAGATTTTAATAGATGTATTCCAATTGTAGATGATACTTAATATTAAATTTGGGAAGAATGTGATGATACATTATAATATGAGATTTGTTTAAATGGAAAATTCTTTTGTCCATCAAATTGTAAATCTTGTTAATTTGGTATTTGTTTATAATGTAAATTAAATTATGAATTAATTAATAATAGATGTGAATCTATATGTTAAAATTAATTAATACTTAATGATATATAATGTACTGATTACAATCTTCAACCATTTGATAAATGTCATTAATGTTATTATGATCTACAACAAGGTTGTTAATTATAATCAAATGGATTTTGTATCCAATGTTTAAATGGATGGATATTAGATATAAATTAAAATATTTGTATTCCAATTTGTGGAGACCTTGTTATATTAGGTGATGAATAATGCGATATTAATAAATATACTAAATCATCATTTGGTTGTAATTAATGTGAATATGATTGTTAAGATGAATGTATTGATTGTTATTTTGGAAAATGTTATGATTGTATTCCAGGATGGAAATTAAAGAATTACTAATGTGAATCTGATTGTGGAAATAATTCAATCTAAGGTTAAGAAGAATGTGATGATATGAATTCTATTAGATTTGATGGATGTAATAATTGTAGAAATGATTGTTAAAGAGAATGTTCATATTGTTAAAAAGGAATCTGTTTAGATTGTATATATGGTTGGCATTTAACTGATAATTTCATTTGTGAATCTGAATGTGGAGATAATCTAATTGCTTTGATTTCATATGAAGAATGCGAAGATTCTAACTATGATTAATTTGATGGATGTTATTAATGTAAAATAGAATGCTGTCATTATTGCGATTTTTGTGTATATGGATATTGTTATAATTGTGAATATACCTTTACATTAATTGATTAATATTGTATTCCAGTTTGTGGAGATGGATTAGTTACTGTTGGATATGAATAATGCGATGATATGAATGAAATACCTTATGATGGTTGTTATAATTGTAATTACTAATGTAGAGAGCATTGTAAATTATGTATTAAAGGGATATGTTAGGATAAGTGTGAGTTTGGATACTATGAAGTGGATTATGAATGTTTACCAAGATGTGGTGATGGTATAATAGTTGAAGAAGAGGATTGTGATGATTAAAATGATGATTTATCTGATGGATGTTATAAATGTAAATTTCATTGTCCAGATAATTGTGAAATATGTGATTAAGGAAAATGTAAATTATGCGAATAAGGTTTTGAATTAAATGTTATTCTAAATTAATGTCCAACATATTGTGGTAATGGCATGGTTTCCTAGGAAGAAGAATGTGATGATATGAATAAAGAGGACGGAGATGGTTGTTCAAGATTTTGTAAGATTGAAAGCGATTATCAATGTAGAAATTAGGAATTAAGTTTTTCATAATGTACTTATTCTAAACAACCAAGATTCTATCTTTAGTTTAAAGAAGAAAGAGATTAAAAATAATATGTTTCATTATTATTCACTTAATAAGTTAAGTATTTAAATTAAGATTTATATTCCAAATACATATAAATGAATCTTATTGATATAGACATTGATATCTATTAATTGAATTTGATTGTTATTTAAGAACCAGTTGAATATCCAAAAAATGTTGAGTACATAATAGAAATTTAAATAAATTAAACTTTATCTATTCGTCCTTACTTAGAAGTTACTTTAGATGAATAATTATATAATTCAGAAGATAATACACTTTTTAATTAGTATGATAAAATTTAATTAAAATAGCCTAGGTATATGGATGATTAAAAATAAGAAGCAGCAGCTACTTTAAATTAAGCAAATAAATATTTGATGAATTCTGTTGGAGGAATTGGCATACTTGCTTTTTTCCTCGGAAATTCATTTATTTTTTCAAGTATTTTGGAAGTTTTACAATAATAATCTTATTTAAGATTTATTAATGTTGTATTTCCTTTTAATTTATTTATCTATTTTGAAGCAAGTAACATAATAACTATGAAACCTATTTTATAATTCTTTAAAATTGATTCCTTAATGGCACCAACATTTGATTCAATATATATAGAATCTTATGAAAAACTGAAATTTTATGAAATTAATGCTGATCTATTAACTAACATTTAAACCTAAGTATTTCTCATTATAATCTTAATTATCATTTATTATTCTTGTGCTTTGCTTATAATTATTATAGATGCAATCAAATTAGAATCATTACTTTTCATTGGTAAATATGGATATAAACTACTGATTTAAGTAAGAAGATTGTGTTATAACTATTAGAAAGAATTTCGAAAGGATGGGGTTAAGGCATTTCTAATAGCAAATTGTTGGGATCTTTTTTTTACTTGCTTTTTACAATTGAAATCATCACAATCATATACGACATTTAGATCCATAATTTGTTAACTCTTCGCATATCTAATATTTTATGGATGCTTGTTAATACTTAGATAATACATTTATAAGAATGAATTAATCAAACAAAATTGTTTTAGTTATTGGATTTCAAAAATGGATTTATTTTTCACTTTAAAAAAATTAATTTTCATTTTTATTTTAGTATGCTTCCAAAAAAATGAGTAAATTCAAACAATCTTATTAACATTTGTATGTAATTTATATCTCTTTTATGCAATCAAATTCAAACCAGCCATAAGTCAATAGGACTATTGTAATTTACTTATGATGGAAGGAAGTGCCTTTATATTTACCTTAACATCTGCTATGTATTGGACCACTTTTAAAACAATAATAAGCAGTAATTTCTAGATAAATCTAGGCTGGTTTCATATTATATTGTTACTTCTAGTTTTATTAGTGAATTTATTGATCCAAATATATGGAACCTTTCATACTTTAATAAGTAAAATTAGCGAAAAAGTTTGTAAAAAATAAAAAAAGCAATCAATATAAGCAAATCCATATCCTTTTTTTAGTGTAATAAAATTTAAGGAATGATATATTTATGTAATTAATAATTATTTTAATTTGGAATATAATAATATCTGCTATGACTAGAAATTCTAGAGTAGCTATTGGGAATTTTTATAGCCATTAATTGAGCATTATAATAAATTATTGAATTGTAGTAATGAAATTTTTGATTTTTTTTCATTCATTTTAATTTGTCAATATCTGGTACATTTCTGAGCTAATAATTATTTTAGAATAATGTCTATTCATAATTAAGAAGGTTAATTCTAAACAATAAACAATTTAGAATTGGACTAAGGTTTATCAGAAGAAATTGAAGCATCTAAATTATTGTTGCCTAATACTATCCCAAAATAAGTTGTTGATTAATTTTTAGAAATTATCGAATCACACTAATTCATGTAGGTTTCTGCTAACGATGTACTTAATATTAAATTGGAATCGGAGGACATTATATCATTATATGTTGAATTATTCATTTTAAAAAAATATTTAACAAAGTATAACTTAGAAGAATATGAAGACCATGATATGAATATTTTAAACGCATAAATACTTATTCCAAAATTGATTCATTTAATCAAAACTAATGAGATTCCATTAATTTAATATGATGTTCTTTGGATTCTTGGTAATATAGCTACATTCTAAGCGTTCGATAAATTAATTATTTAAAATGATGGTATTGATATTATTCTACAATATTTGAATTCAACTTATCAATAAATTTAATTATAAGCAAATTGGACATTAGGTAACATAGCAACTGAAGGAGAATTATAATAAGTTTGCAGAGATTAGGTTAGGTAGAAAGGTGGGGTTGAATCGATACTTAGACTACTATCGAAATTGAAGGATCCTAAAACTATTGAATAGTGTATCTGGAGTCTTACCAATATCTGTTCAGACGGAATTACTCATCTAAAAGAAGAGACTGTTAAAGAAATAATTCTGTAGTTATGTAATTTTATAAATAATTATGATGATGAAATTATAATTCAAACTTGTTTAGTATTTTTGTGTGAAATAATACCATCTACTTATGAAAAAAGCCTTTATATTGTACAAAGCAACATAGTCCCTAAATTATTAAGATTAGTTGTTAATTAAAAAAGAAAAATAAGTATTAAATCTTTTGAGTTCCTTTATGATCTTTTTGAGAGCGGTGGTTAAGTGTGTGATCATATTTTATCATTAAAATTTTTAGATGTGGCTGAAACACTATTGAAAGATAAAAATTCTAGAATTAAAAAGATGGATGTTAATATTTTTTACTATATTTTAGGTTTTAACTTGCTGTCTTTTGCTTTGTAAAGGAACTGAGAAACAGTAAAAGTTATTAATAGAAAATTAAATGGTCTTTTAAGAAATTTTTAAATAAGTGTAGTTGAAAAATACTAATTTTATCTAGTCTTTTGTAAATTTAACACTGTCAAAAGACAGAGATATTATTTTGGTTCTTATTAACAATCAAATTATTTCGAATTTCACTATTTTGTTTGAATAACTGCAAGATAATGAATTACTTGAAAAAATGTTAAAAGGGTTGGAAAATATATTTTCAGGTATTAAGTATTGATTACAATTAGTGGTCAAAACTGAAATCGTAGAACTGAATCCAAAATAACTAATAAATAATTCTGAATTAAATTAAATAAAAGAATTATTTTATTTCCATAAAGTTACATCGCTAAGAGTTTCTGCTGAACATATAATTTAATTATTAGAATGAAAATATATATATCAAAATAATTTAATTCTTCCATAGATTTTGATTCAATAGTGAAAATAGCAAAAATATGAATGATAAATAAAAGAGGAATATTGATTTAATTTAAAATATAAAAGAAAAGTCCTTGGTTTTTCAGAGATAAAGAATTATAATTAAATGTCAGATAAAATCTAAAGTTCAAAGAAAGGGTATTTTTAGTAATAATTATAAAGAGATTTATCCATTCTCGTATATTTGCATTTGTACGCTTTAATAATGATTGAATGGTATTGAAGATAACCAAGAATAAATTAGAAATATTTATTAATATGGGAACAATTGGCTTCTGTATAAAAAATGGCAACTTATTCTATAAGATTTGAGATTAACTGACTCATGTAATTTACAAATAAACAAAAGTGATTATATTAGAAGAATATCATGAATATTATGATATCCAAAAGAATATAAAATTTTATGTGTCACCAATGATATAAATCTATTAAAGTAACAAAAGTGCAAAATTCACAACAAGTATGTAATTTAATTTATTGTTAATTAGATTCTTTATAAGGAATTATAAAAAATACTAAGTCAAAGAAAGAATCAAATCATTTAAATGGAAGGACTTATATGTTGATGACTATCCTAATGTGATTAGATATTAGTGATAAGAATAATATCCTACAACTTCGGATACAGCAATAAATGTGTAAGCTGCAATGAAAAATGTACTAATTGATCAGAAACATGATAGAAACTAGGAATGGAATTAGTTTAGGATTCAGATGAAGAATAAAACCAATTGGATGGGATGAATGATTATTGATTCATAATAAGTCATTTATTTTCCTTTTTAAATTATAAGGAAGCAGAGTTAATACAATATCTGATGCCTCCGTGTTCTGCTGGGCCATCATCAAACTTGTGTCCCAAATGAGCATTGCATTTCTGGCATCTAACTTCAATTCTATTCATTCCATGGCTGAAATCACTATGAAATAATTTTAAGAATATACCTAATCTCTTTTATATTTTTTGAGTCATAAGAGCCCCAAAAAGCGGGCCATCCACATCCAGAGTTGTATTTGTGTTAAGCTCCAAACAATTTATCTCCACAAACAATGCAGAAGTATTCTCCAGGATCTTTGGATTTGTAATATTCATTCTTGAAAGGTGGTTCGGTATCTAGAGAATAAATTGATATTGTACCTGCCTCTTGGGTTACTCTGTATTATATGTCACTAAGTCTTTTTTTGAGTTCTTATTTTGAGAAGGTAGCAAAAGGTTATTACATTAATTTATGTAATATTGCACGCATAAGTTTTTAATTTTAAAAGTTTTTAAATCTTGAATAAATGACTCATAGTTACGGATTGAAGAAGGGAACAAGAAGCAAATTTGCAAAGCCATTCAGAGGTCATGGTAATATCAGTATCCGTAAAACACTCTAAACATTCAAAAGAGGTTGCTATCAATCTTAATCATAGGTGACTTTGTTGACATCTTAGTTGATGGTGCATAACACAAAGGTGTACCCTTCTAGTATTATCATGGAAGAACAGCAAGAGTCTTCAATGTGAATCCTAGAGGAATTGGTGTTTCATTACAAAGAAGAGTCAGAGGCAGATATGTAGAGAAGAGATTTCATGTGAGAGCTGATCACTTGAGACCATCAAAATGCAGAGAAGAATTTGTCAAAAGAGTTTAAGAGAACGATAAAAAGAAGACAGAAGCTAATAAAAAGAAATAACACATTTCCACCAAAAGATAACCTGTTTTACCAAGAGGAGCAGAAATTGTTAAGCCTGCTGCAACAGTATTCCAACATCCAAAAGCTTTTGTTGAAATTATCTGACAAGAATGCATAAATTATAGTATATTATAAATTAGAATTTAAATAATATTTAACATATTCAAATAAATCTAGGATCAACATAAGATCTTATTTAAATCTATTCTTTTTCTCTCTTTATATATTCTAGTATTTAATAACTAATTTTGTCTAAATGATTAATCAAATCCTAAATTTGATAATTTGGAACTAGATATTTTGATATGTTTAGAATGTTATAAGATTTAGATTATAAATATGTTTAAAAATTCACAAAAGTTTTTGTAATGATATTAACATTATTTAAAGTATAGCCTTTATCTCAATAAAATGATATGAACATGATTAGATTCTCTTTCTTGTCAAAATGATTAGAAATAGGAAATTTAACAAAATCTCTTAGTATAAAATACATCTATGAGCATGAGTGCGTACATATTGATACTGACTTGGAACAATAAGGAAGATTAACATAAGATAATAGGTGAGATTGTGAATTTGATTAAGGATGTATGATATAAAATTTAATAAATAAATATAAATGTCAGGATTATTTAAAAATTATTCGAAGTTTGTGAGTGCCTCAGTATTTGCAAGTGCTAACAAACTAATAATTAATCCAGCAAGATGGACTTTTAATTCTGCAAACCTCTTTTACAATCCTTCTTATAGATATACTGGATTACCATAGGGTATTAGAAATAATTTTGATATTAGGACATGAATTAACAGCATTCTCATTAGCTCAAATAGCAAGTGCATTAACCTATGAAGCTTAATAATTTAATACAGTAGATGCTTTGAAGGATGAAGCATAATTGAATTATCAATTTTCAGCTCAATGTGCTAAAGAGGCAATTGGCTTCATTCAAAATAACAACTGGGGATAGGAAGTGGAGACAAGCGCTCAATTATTGTATGTGATTTAAAATAATGCCTTATTAAAAGATGTGAACAAAGACATCTTATTGTCAAACTTATCACGAAATGCTAAGTATTTATCCACTTAGAACATCGTGGATGTAGTCGTTAGTTTGTAAGACCATAAAGATGCTGGATTTTGGTCATAATTTTTCACTGGCATCAAGAGTAAGGAATTTCTTTGGGAATTACAGCCAATTGATTACCATGGTTGGGAAACTGTGTAATTCGATTATTTGGATCAAGTTAAACACTCATTCAAATTAAGCAATACATGGGCTGTGTTGACTGCTTAAGACTCACAATTGAAACGTTTTGTTCTTGAAGGAGTGCTCTTCGGATACACAAATTTGTGGCTTCCTGTTCTTTGTAGAGAAAAGAGAATCAAATATGTGTTTGATGACAGATTGGTTGACAGAAGTGCATTTAAAAATGCCTTAAAGAAGATCAATGAAGTTCATAATGTACAAGAATTCCTTGCAAGAGCTTGATCCATCATAAATAAAATATATATAATAATGTTTTCATAAATATTCATTCTCTCTCCCAGAGGTGACACCATTATCAATCGGGATTTCAGATCGGATTTACCTAAATCCACACCTGAAACCTTCTTCAGATAAGCTAAAACCTACTCAGGAGATGCCAATCCTTTATTTACTGTAGATTGCATCCAATTTGCTCATATCAAAAGAGGAGGTTCTCTTCTCATACTTTAATTTAGGATTGTACATTGTTGGCACATCCAGATTCAACTTACAACCAGCTATGTCATTAGAATTATTGGATCGATTAGCAAAAGAGATCAAAGATTTTTGTGGAGTCATCAATGAAGAAGTCCTTAGAAAGAATTTCATCCTGATCTACGAGGTCAACAATATCCTATTTTTCATAGATTCTAGATGAATCATTTGATTTTGGCTACCCTCAACTCATGGCTACAGAATAAATCAAACCACTCATTGTGAATGACCCAATTCAGCCTTAACCTGATTCAGTCATGAATTCCCTGAGACCAAAGATTCAAACGTTCAACATTTTTGTTCCAAACACCATTGGAAGTCAAGCAGTCTAGCGATCGGTATTAAACAAAAATTAAGCAAATGAAATTTTTGTTGATATTTATGAAAAACTCAATGTTCTCTTTAATTCTAGTGCATATGTTATCAATTAGAGTATTGAAGGATGTGTAATCTATCTTATCAATATAATAGATACAAATGACATCATTTTTATAAGGAAATCCACCTCTAAAATTGGCATTGAATGAAGATCTTCAAATTGGAAGATAACAAGGGTAATATTCAGCTGGAGTCACCTTGGTATATATTAATTAATAACAATATAAAGGATGATTGCAATTTCCATGAGTGTGTTAATGCAAATGAATTGGATATGAATAAAACCTTGCGTATACAACCTCCTGATGGTTAATTCGTTGTTATGAATTATCGTATAAGTGGAGATTATGCTGCTCCTTTTAGACTGTTTCCCATCATTGAAGAGGTTTCCTCATCTAAAATCGAAGTTACTATAAAATTGAAAGCCTGCTTTGATGCCAAAATAATTGCATCTTATGCAAATGTTCGAATTCCCATTCCAAAACAAACTGCAAATGCCTATCCTGAATTAGTTAAGAATGCTTAATTGGAGACTGCTGAATATGATTCAAATAAAAAGATGGTCGAATGGTAGATCAAGAAACTTTGTGGTGGTTAGGAAAGATCATTAAAAGTATTAATAAATATTTACATATTTTAAGATTAAATTGACTCTATAGGCGACTTAGACTGCTCACACTGCAAGAAAAGAGATTGGTCCTATTGCAATGAACTTTGAAATACCTATGTTTAATGTAAGCAGATTGCAAATCAAATACTTGAGAATTGAGGAGAGAGGCAATACTACCAATCCTCATAGATGGGTGAGGTATATTACATAGAGTAGTTCCTATGTATGTAGAATCTGAAATTAAATTAATATGCATAATCATATTTTCAAAATGTTTATAGTTTTTCAATAGACTTATGCAAATATGAATTTATATTTTTTAATCGATTAATTTCCAGTTTCTGGGAATTTATTAGGGTCTATTGCTTAATGATTATGTCCTCCCATTCTCTCATTTTTTTGTGAAGGTCTTTCTATTCTTATTAATAGTCTTATTATTTATCAAGGATCTGTAATTGCTGTCTAATAACACTTTATTCTTAATAAATTTCATCTGGATTTTAAATAGTGTGCTATATATTTTAATCATTTAATCTATAGTTATTGATAGAATCATTACTAATTTGTGAGTCTGATAATTTCTTGATCTTTTTTGAAGTTTTCATGTTAAAATGTATTAAGAGCAGATTCGTAGATTTTAATTTTATTTTCTAAAATTTATTCTCTTTCATTATTAGAAGGTTGAGTTTCCAAATCCAAGTCTTCTTCAATTACCATTTCTTCAAAAGAATTTAGTTCTTGTTGATTTTAAGAGTTTGCAGAAAAACTAAATCTAGCCTCCTGTTGATTGCTTTCTAATTGTTTAAGACTGTGGTTGATGAGATAGTTGATGTTTTTAGAAGATTTGGACAATTCTTCGTGCATATCGAGGAATCTAGTGTAAATTTCACTTTAAAAATCAGTTAATGATTAAGATCTATGTGAAAATTTCATTTCTTCCATATTTATATATAAATATAAAATTAAATTATATTATATTATTATTACAAAAAGAGGATTTATATAGGGTTCATTTGCAGTGATTTTCCTTAAAAATTATCCATTCAAAATCTATTGCTTTGTTCCATACATGCAAAGTGAAAATGAACTACTTCAATATTCTCACATTTATTAAGTTAGTTTTATTAACTAAATAGGATGTTTAAGATTAATGTTCTAATATTATAGGTTTGGTTTGAATTTGGTTAATCGTATCTGAGTATAAGTTTCTGAAATTATGGTTACTATTTAACTTAATTCTATGTTAACGAGTGCATGTGACTTTATCCCAACTGTAAAGAGGGAGTTTTATAAATTGTGCATAATTAGCCAATCATCAACGGAATGTTGCATTAGCATTTTGAGAGTATGAATATCGGTTTGCAATCCTCTACATTTGAGAGTACTGGGACTTTGAATATTTTATTATGGAAATATACTAGTTAACTCTAATATTTCCGCTCATTTTAATTAATAATATTCATATATGCTGCTCCAAGGAAATCATGTATGTAGAATTCAAACGCTATGCAACAGAAGATTTGATTTCCATGAATAATTTCTTAATCTTATTACACCCATTTAGTATTTTGTATTGACATCTTTTCACAACTTCTCTGGAGGCTTGCTTGTCATGTCCATCAACCTTTTTGTTCTTCTTCATTTTTTGTTTGGCTCTGAATTCAGCCCATATGGCTTTGGCTGAAGAGTAATTGATACCAATAGAGTGGGCAGCCTTGTTTCAAATTGGTAAATACAGCTTTAATGGTTTATTTTTCACTAACAACTGCCTTAAGAAACAAATCCTTAATTGATTAAGTAATCTTCATATACTTCTTTTCTGCCAATCTAGGATCAAACTTTTTCATTTCCTTCTCTACTTACTATTTGATATCATCAATTATTTTCATTTTTGAGAGAATTTAAATCAATTTGATTATATATTAATTCACTTGATATAAACAAAATGTAGTTAAAAAATCATTATTAAAATCTACTAGCACCATATCTAACTTCCAATCTAAGATTGTCATCAACTGTCAATCCTGCACATACTTTAACTAGATTCTCAAGCATAGCTCTCTATCTTGACAAAGCATTGATAGTGGTGATTCCACTCTCTGATTTTGGTGCCTTCATCAAGTAACTCAACCAAGACAACACTGTATCAAATCTTTGGAATTCAGAGGAATCCTTTGAGAATTGGATTCTTTCGAATAACTCGCATAACAATAAGAGATCCATAATCAATGGAGCAGCCAATAAGGAATCTTCACAAACATTGTAAACTGCAAAGGTTTATCTTCCTCCCAAGAAGATCTCAGCAATGTATTCATCCATAGCCTTCTTGCTATCTCCAGTTTCTGGACAATACTTGATAACAATAGTGTGATCAATGTTTAATTCCTCCTCTGTGGGATATAAGACTTTATTGGATTCCAAAATATCATCAACACAAGTCTTCTTACTTCTTTCCTTACTTTTGAAGCATGATTCTTATGAAAGGTTCTTTCCATCATTGTTTCCTAAATGGTTATATGAGATGATGGCTTTTGGTTTAATACCAGCACCAACCAAATATTCAACTAAACAAGTCTTAAATTTAGTTTATCCAGTCTTGAAATCATCTCCAGCAACAAAGACACCAGCTTTTTCTGCTAATTCAATGACTCCTGGAACAATAGTGTTTTATGGTGATCCATTAATGAATGAGCATCCTTCTAAACAAGCAGCACATGCAAAGATTGTTGATGCACTAATTTCTGGATGACTTGATTCAATGGATTTCATTAATTTCTCGGCTGTTCCATGAACATTTGGGTCTTCAACACAGAATCTCTCTGTATTTGCTGTCCATAAGAGGATTACTTTATCCAAATTATTTTATTATTTGAAATCTGCAATGTTCTTTCTAATGATGTTAAGATGTTCTAATTTATTATTTCCTGGAATGACATTGTCTGCTCTATCACCTTAGTTAGCTGCTATGAAATCTGGATAATAGATTGAAGGTAATGGAACCAATTTCTCTAAATATGGTCTCAATTTTTATTGCAAATCATAGTCAACAACTTATGCTCTGCCCATAGCATCAGCCAAATTCAATGAACTGATATCCCATCCACCAAATACTATATCACATGGATTGACCATTGGTAACACATCTTTGAATGGAACAAATACTTCTTCAGTATTGCATGTACCAATCTTAATGACGCTGCTTTATGTAAGCGAACCATAGAAATTTGGTTAATGAGTTCCTCTTCTGCTATTCCAAGTAATATTGAATTTGTTGGCCAATATACCTCCAGTAAGGGTTGTTCCATTGTTACCACCCCATCCGACAAGCATAACACCTACTTTTGGAATTCTAGTGTCAGTCTTGAATTTGAAATTTGTGATTTATGGTTTTGCGATGTACTTGTCTCCATTCTTTTCAATGTTGGTTGACTTGTAATCGTAGTCTGCGATTAAGAAGTGATCATCTTATTATGTTGTGGTTGATTAGACTTTCATTGATTGAATTAATTATTAACAAATATACACAAATTAGTATTTGTAAACATTCGAGTGCGCATACATTTTACAAATTATTAATAAATGCGTATTTATCAATAAGAAGTGCGCACTTCATTATTTATAATTATAATTTAATTAAAAAAGAATGCGTAATTAAAATTAAATGCGTACTCATATTATTTTTAAATAAATCAATCAAATTCTTCATTTTCATATTCATTTTATTATTCTTCATGATTATTATTCTCATTTTCTTAATTCTAATCTTCTTGCTCGTTTTCCTGATGTCCCTCCTATTATCCATCCTATTCATTCTACTCATATTCGTCCTATTCATAGTGATCATTCCCATCTCCATTATCTTATTCAGAACCTCTCTATTAATGATCCTCCTCCTCATGTTAATTTTCATCTTCATTTTCATTGTAATTCTCATTTTCATCATAATTTTCATTCTCATCTCCATTTTCCTCTTTATCAAACTCCTATTATTACCGTCCTTATTGCTAAACAATATGTCCCTCATCTCTGAATACAATACCCTGATCTTGTTCTTTCTTCTTCTTGACGGCATTCTCATCTAGCGAATAATCTTGACTCTATTTGTCAAACAATTCCTCATCTGATTCTTCAGATATTCTCATATTCTAGTGTCCAGTCATTGGGTTTTACTGCGATGGATCATCTATAGTAAATGGGTCATAAGTATCAATTATTGGGATATGCTATAGGTCTTCTCCTGATTTCTCAAATATTTATAGGAAATAGAAGAGATTCTCGGGTTCCTGCCAATTCAAAGAAAGGGAGTTTAACATCTTTCGAACATCTGATTTGGTGACAACATCTCCTTTAATTTTTTGCTTGCTCCAAAATTCTTGTATCTTCTTCTCGTTTTGTTTCAATTGGGCCTTCATCTTAATTTGGGCTTATTCAAAATCGAAAGTTGGAAAATTCATGAAAGTCTTGTAATTTCCAATCAGGGATTTCAAATTCTCTACTAACTGGTTGCCATGACCATTAAGTGAGTTTAATATGGATTGTACTTTGTTTGGATCTGTGTATGTAAATGGCTCTCTAATTATAATGAGTATAAATTTATTTACTGAGCAAAGATATGTCTTAAATCATCGACTTTAACTGTCACATTCTATTCTCGTGCTTGTTACTTCAAGCCTTCCAACATTTCAGCGAATTACTCGACTGTAATGGCTCGGTAAATCAATTTGAATCTCAATTCATCTAAAATTAAACTGGATAATTAGGGTTGGCGAGGAGTAGGGTCTTTTTTTGGTTTTGGTTGTGGTTATTGAAGATGCTAGTATTGTGCTTCCTACATCTATTTAATGGTCTATTTAAGATTGGTTTTGTCTGTTTATAATTCTTTATTTGATTTTTTAGATCTTAGATATGTTTGTCCAAAGTTTATTGTTTCTATTGGTTAAGTTTGTACAATTGCTAAATAAATGTATGGACAAAATACTTGGAGCTATCGCATCATTTCATCTGATTGCTGACTCTTTTGATTGAGTGCTTTATTTTCAGCAATCAGATTTTCATTTGTTTTGAGTAGCTTCTAAACTTCACTTTCAAGTTGAAGACTTTGATTGTATTTACTATAAATTAGGGGATAAGGATGATGTACCTCAACATAGATTAGAATTATGATTAACTCTCTTCTATAAGTTTACGCATACGCACGGTTTCATCAAAATAGGCCTTGCGATCACACTCTAGCTCTTGAAATTTGGTGACTTTGGTGTTTTTTTTGAGGTGGTCAACTTAGACTGTACGTTCTTTGAGTGACTATTGGAGGTCCTTGTTCTGTTTTTTGAGTTGGATGAGTAGTAACTCATTGGCCTTCTTCTTGTTTGGTGTCTACTCGGTCATGTTCTCGCAGAGTCTCTCATAATTGAGGAGCTCTTTCTGAGCATATGTGGTTGGCTTACCTCGGTCTGTTGTATGCGCGTACGTAACTTGGTGTTCTCCTCTTTTAGATTGTTGTTTTCGATTTTGTAATTTTGAAGTTCCATGAAAAGTTTCTCTTTGTCTATAAACTTGAACTGTCTCTTGAAATCATCTGCCTCTAGCTTGATCTATTGATTAAAATTCTTTTATGCCTAAGAATTTTACGTATCGTTGTTATTATTGTTATTAATTTTCATTTATATTAATCACTTTAAGTGTTATAAGAACGATTGCTATTCAGGTGTCAAAGGGCCTTTGCTAAATACATTTTCAGTTTCTCCTAACAAGTCCAATTGGGATTTTCTAAAGTAATTACAAATGCCATACCTATTCTCAGTTTGCTTTCCGTAGGATTTGGTCTCATCTCTTTGAATGTTCAACCAGTCAGCCTTTTCATTCTGTTTGTTAACGACCATCTAAATAAAATACAATAGAATATTTACTTAAGCTTGAGTGGCAATGTCATTTTACAATTCCAAGAGGGATTGTTCTAATCTCAAGATCTGAGCGTGTAAGTAGGCAACAGCACCTTCCAATGATTGATTAGCTATTTCAAGTCGAGCACTGTTATATAATAGAAATTGATGCATACATGGCTTATTAAAATGCTGCTTCTCTGGCATCATCAGCTTCCATTTCTTGTTTCTATCTAAAATGATGTCGAATATAATTTGTACAGTTAAAATAGACTATCAGCCAAATCTTCAATGACTTAGACTACTTTCTCTAATGCAGATTGATCAGATTTTAGGGTGGAATCCTGAGCCATAGCAAGGGACAAGGAAACTAAGGAATTGAAGCCTCTTCTGTCTGGGAATCTTTGAACGAATTTCTTGTGATGATGTTCGATATCTGCGAAGATCTCTTATTGAGTGAAGACAGACCCAGTTTTTATTTATTGGATCAATTTCTTGCCTTAATTCAATGCAGCCAACAAACCAACGATTTCAGTTCTTCTTTAATCATAGGCTTTTTTGGTCTCTTCTCTTTCTGCAGTAAGGGCAGCAATGCGATCTAAATTTCTTTATTTTTCAGCAAATTTGGTTTCGCCTTGTGCTCTCTTATCATTGAGTTCCTCCTCCTTCAAAGGAACTATTAGGAAATTAGGATAATAAGTATACGCTATGCCTCATCTTGTGCCTTTTGTTATTTAGCTTTAGCGAGAGCTTAATCAGCTTCAGTAATGTATTATGTGATTTGTCCATTTCTGTTTTGTAAGTAGGTAGTGTGTTCGGTTTGTGCTGCATTAATGTCCACTTGTAATTGTCTGATAAACTATAGCACACGTTCAACATTGTTTCTGGGGATTGAATATAAATACGTACTCTTGAACTTGAATTGTTTGTAAGATTGTCTTTTCCGAAGTCAGATTGACTGAGCTTGTTGAAAAAGTCAATCCTTGAATCTGCAAATGTGAGAGTCACAATGCAAAGCAACACAAGCAATTTCATTAATTAAAATAAAAAAACGGGTTAAAGAAAATCATTAATCTAAAAGCAACAACTCGGCCTGATATTGAGCAATCTGTCTGAGCAGCCATTCGCATGGATATTGTTTTTTCAAAGTCTAATACACTTGAGCACATAAATTCAGTTTGATCTGAAGATTCATCCTTCTATCCATGTTTAATTATTAATCGAATAGTAGATCAAATTTATCAGGTTCGTCAATCAGTATATCTATTTTCGTTGTTTTTGATGTCTGTATTTTGATTTAATAGACATTAGGAAATTGAGGTATTTTCTTACTCTTTTGGTTACTCTCAACCTCATTGAGTGAACTCGCATTCGTAGTTTATGAGGAATTTGGAGGAGACACTTCCAATTTCTTAGAAACCATACTCATCTAATTTGAAGTGTTCACTTAATTCACAGAATTGCATTAAATTTTTATCACTTTTTTCATATGAATCTTTATTGATTAAGCAGCCTTGGCCATTTTGAATATGTTTTCTAAAAGATGAAACAAACGTAAAATGAGGATCATAGCGTAGATGGTGTCTGTCATAGGAAAGATGTCCATAACGATCATGGCATCAAAGCACATGAAGCAGCCGTATATGAAGTGATAAGAATCATTTGAATTACGAAAGTGTCTAACAATATTCGGAGTCAGTATGGAGGCAACAACATATCTGACAATCTAGGAACTAATGTACATTCAAATGTACCTTAGTATCAACCCCGAAGTTGTAATTGCATTCACGAACGAGTGACATACGTAAGAGACCTGGAGACATCACTTTTTGTGGCAATTTCAATCTGGAGTACAATAGAACATTCAGAGCCAGCTCAACACTTCCCCATACAAATTCAGCCAAATTTCCTGTGATCATAGATCCGTTTTAAAATAATTAATTATATATATATATACACTATGTATTATTTAATATCATCTTGATATCCCATTTTAATAGTACTAAATGTTGTCATACCATCTTGTCGTTATTTTATCATTCGCATCCTCTATGATACTCTACATATACTTCGCAGCAGCCAGGTCATTCTTCTTTAGCTAAAAGTATTCAAATTAAGATTTACTTGAAATCTCTCTGTGAAATTCTTCATTGAATCCTTCATAAAACATCCCAACCCAGAGTTAGTCATCAGAGTCACCAAATAATAGAAATGCTCATAGTAATGGCGAATGGCTAAGAAGGCTCTCACTGTTAGATCCACATAATAATTAAACGCCTAATAAGATAACATGTTATTGGATACCTCTCCACCCATAATTTGACTCATCTCCTTGGTCAATTTGAAATTGGCAGATTCAAATTTAAGATTACCTCCAGGACTAATATCGAAGATGAATCCAAAATCTATGTGTATCAAGTGTCCCTTATCGCTGATCAAAATGTTGCCATTGTGTCTATCCTTGATTTGCAAGATATAACTGATAATACTGTAAGCGGCTTAACTCTTAATGAAGTTCTCTCTTGCTATTTGAAATTATAATGAGTCTTCTGCACCAAACTTATTAATGAAATACTCATATAAAGTACATCGATTGGTCTTACCTAGTTGATCTCTAGAGATAGTATTAGGTACAACTTCAATGATTCCTCCAACATTCAGAGATTTACCTGTTCGATTAGAAATGGTCTTATAAGGGAAGACATGTAAATCCAATCCACACCTTTCAAACACACCCTTAAACATACTGATTATTTATAAGGCCAAGTTGTCTTGTCTGATATCATCAAATACTTTGAAGATGCATGACTTGATTTCCTGTTGTTAATCAGCATTGTTATAATTGGTTGTTTGTTTCTTAAGACTTCCTCTGGGAGTAGGTTATTTGAAACTGTGTTTTTCAAAGGATTGTGATTACTTGTGAATGCGAGAATCCTTGTAATTGGATTGCATACTTTGACTCATTATTTAAATTTGTCCATTGCTTCTTAATGGTCTCACCAACTCATTTATGAACAATTATCCTTTCTCTTCATCATCAGGTAAAGGATCTTACTCAAAGATGATCAACATCTTTTAGATATCCTCTTCCTTTAATTATTTAGTCAATTCAATTTCCAAAGCCTTACCAAACTCCCTTTTCTCCTTCAACTTCCTTTCAAAATATTTATCAGGCCCCTCATATTTCCTACAAAGGAAACTAACCAAAATTGGACACTTAGCTGCACTCTGCATAGGTGTTCCTGAATCTAATTTAATTGAAGTTATTTGATATCTAGGGTTAGTTGGCATATAAATATCCTACGTTAATACTATTTCTCTAAGTTTCTTAGCAATTATATCTCTCTTCTCAGGCTTACTCATCTGAGGTCTCAATTACCCAGAGATTGCAGTCACACTCTCATAGAATGTATCCACCTTCTTAAAGAAGGATGTCTATTCAGAATCCATATTCCGTATGATTTTAGATATGATGAATGGTGCCACCTTACTTATTTGATACTATTTCCTTTGGATCCGACCTTGATTCAACAAGTCCCTTACAAATTATTAATATTCAGGTGTTCTTAATATATTTTAATGTTGACCCTTATTCTTAGGCGAAGGAGGTCTCTTATGATCAACATCTATCTTGCTCTCCACCCTTGCTAACCACAAAAGTTGATGTGCAAATAAGACTGATTACTGAGCATACTCTATGAGGAATGTCTTTATCAACTATCCAGATTTACTGGCTAGGGATTGTAAGATCTGTGACAGATAAAATATAATCTATTCGCTGTGTAATCTCTTCATGATCTTAGAGAAACACAATTGGACATCAGGATAGTTTTCAAATTGATCTGTGATGTATTTTAAGAGTAATTATATATGAGGTGGTTTCCAATACAACAGTATTTTGGTGTAATTCTCTATCTACGACATATTGTGAGTGACAATGATGTCAAAGAAATGGGAACAATCATAGTAATTCTGAATGTTGGATGAGATCTTGTGTCCAAGAAACTTGTATAGGACATCATTCAATTATAGTTCTGTCTACATTATGGGATATAGTTTTTTCAATATGTAGTAAGCCAAATTTAAATTCTTGTCTGGAATTTCATTTAATATCTATTGAATGAAATTGTCACTCAACTTATTTTGAGTCATCAAACTATAGTCAGTCTACAATTCATCTTATAAACGTGATGCAAAAGCCTTGATCTTATCAATCTCATCACACAATAGGAAATACAAGGCCTTCCTCAAATAATAAGGTCTAACTTCTAATGGTCTTTGTTCCTACAACTTTTGAAGTGAGATGGCATAAGTCTGTTGTCCATTGTATGCAATTTCTGCTTGCAATTTTCGATATATCTAGGATGTATTTCCTTACATCAAAATAGATGCTCTAGCTTACCCTTCCTTGGGATTGGTAGTCATCTTAATCTATCGATGACTCTTAAAAATGACAGAATTGAATCTTTTTTTGACTCTCTTCATCTTGGGTATTTTTGAATCCTCATTCAATTCATTCAACTTGTCTTTTGCCAAGTATTTACACACAATACAATATAACTAATATCTTTTAATCAATCTAGATTGATTCTGACATTAAATGAAGAGTGGTTCATGATATAAGTTGATATTCTTAGCAAAATGACTCAATCCAAATTTCAGAGTCTTGTAATAGAAGGATTCAATGTTAAATTTAACAGCCAGATTTTATTACATCAACATAGAATGCAATTAATTATTCTATCCAATTTTCACTTCATAATCCTAAGTGTCCTTGAATTTCTCCTTAAACTCCTTCATTAATTGAATGATCTCAATAGATCCCTTCAGTACTTGACACACATTCTCTAATGGTATAAATTCTACCAATTTACGATCAGTCATAAAGTTATGTTTCAAAATATTAGCAATAATTGATAATTTAACATTTTTGACTAAATGAATTTACATGTTATCATTTAAGAATCTTATGAGAATCAGATGTAATTTGCATAAGCATTACCACCTGATTTCGTAATATCCAATCTAAGCCAAATTGATAAAATTAATGTAGGGTTCTTCCAGTTTGTTTAAATAGAAATCAGTGAATTCCTCAGCTTCCAAGTCTTAGAGCTGGTTAAAATAGTTGATCTTAATTTAAAATATATCCTAAGAACTTATTTTTTTATCATACTTCAAGTTACCTAAATTATTGATTTGATATATGATATAATGAAGCATCTCTCCAAGAAGGAAAAAGAATGTTGAATCAAAGTAATTCTAAGAGATTGAATGTAGAAATGGTATCAATCTCATTAAAATGTATTTTAATAATTATGGTTACAAGTAGAATTTACAAATATCTAAGAGTTTAGTTAAGATCTAAGTTTTAATTTAAGCACCTGAATGTATTATCACACTCTTCAATTAAGTGACATGTTGTAACATCTCTCTCACAATTTCTTGCTTTGCCTTTTTGTAATTACTCTCACGGACATTGATTCTTAATTGTTACATACGTCCCTTCAACTTTGAAGCCACTTACGATTTATTGTTGTAAATAAAGTGTATTATATTTAATTCTTAACAACATTTCTGAATGTCCTTCAACACTTACACATAGTTTATTTATAGTAAATCCTCAGCATGGAAATCAAATTCAATTTCATTTTTGATTGAATAGTTAATTAATTTTAGGATCTCTTGAGCACTGGCATAGGGAATCCTTTATTCAATGTTAATCTTTTGCAATCTCAACAACCCCTTATCTGATAGAAACATTGACATGTCAGATGAACTGATTCTTGTATCGAACTCGACCTCCTTCACCAACCAGAAGTAAGGATTATATCGATCCGCTTAATCCTTGAATGTTTCAATGGCTTCTTTATCAACCTTAAAACTATTGACTAAGAATTTCAAGAATTTATATCCGAAAGGCAACTCAGACAACAAGGATGTTTCCTACCTTATCAAATGCAAACAAAACACTTTTACAAAGTTATGGTCTATGTATAACCCTCTAAAGATTAACTTGAGCATGCAATTCATCAAGAACACTATGTTCTAAGTCAGTATTTTCTAATCCGTATTCAACATCACTTTCTAATCATTAAACACCTATTTAGACTTTGAGTCATATTCTCTTCCAATCTTCTATGATATCACAGTCAATAAATATGAACATACTTTGATCACCTCCGGAGAAAAACAAACAAATGGGAAATTACGGATAAAATCAATTACCATATCACTTGCATATTCAGATAAGGTCTTCTCTATTGAACATGATTGTTATAACAGGTACACAAAATCTTTGCATATGATTTCCTTTGTTAAGGTTCCTTTGCTATTTAATAGAAATGAATTGTATTGAACTGCAGCCCTTGTGATTGATTCCTTCAAAAGAGACTGGAATTTAACCTATTTATTTAATTAATTCCGCAATTGTTAATGTGTCAACTTGATTCCATTGATTTCCTTATTTTATAATAATTCCTCTTCATCATTGGTTTGCTTTAAAAAGTTGAACAACTTCATAATATAAGAGTACTGTTATTTCTACAATTACTTGATGTCTTGAATGATATTAGCTTAGCATCTCTAAAGTATATCATTCAAGGTCACAATATACACTAGATCTTGAGGTTCTAAATGTTTATCCTTCAACTCCTTTTTCTTAATCCTGAATAGGATCTTCATCTGTCTTGCCAAACTATTAAAATAAAAGAAATTGTATGTGAAAGTGTCTTTGTTTTCAACTAATTTCATAATAATCTTTAAATCAAGCAAAGACGTTTTTGAACCTGCTAATAGATTTGGAGTTTGGAATGCAATCAAATTTAAGGGCAACCACATTGTTTTATACAATTCCCTAAGTGGTTAGATTTATTCATTCAAGAGCTTACCCTCCTCATTTGTGAGTTATTCTTTCTACCCGTCCTTCTTTGATAAGAAAAAAGAGGGGTTATTCAAAGTAATATAAATCCAAAATTCTGATATTAATTATTAAGCCTTTAATCTTTAAGCAATAACCTACGATGAGTCATTGAATATCTGACTGCATTTAGATAACAAAGGTATTATTTGGAATACCCTTTTATAATCTATCACTTTCTTCTCAAGAATTGATCCAATTGATAAATTTTGGTAATTCTAACCTTGTGCTTTCTAAACCAATTATCTGAATAGAGACAACGATCGCATCCCTTCCTATGTACCTTTACATTACTCTACTTGAGTCAAGAATTCTTCTTCAATTTTCAATAATTGTTAGTTCACAACAGTCATTATTTCTATAAAAAATTAGACCTGTTCTTATGTATCACATAGGAAATAATTTGTGTAGATCTTATCAGCAATATAATCTAGAACATTCTATTGAATTTTTGACTGAGAGAAGAGATCATCTCCATCGAAAAATAATTGAATTGATTTTGATAGTTCTTTTAGAGCCTTTTCTCTAAATTATTTATCCTTCAAATTGGCCAACAAATTTAGGTAGAATTGATACAATCTCTTAATCATATATTACATCACCATTATGTTTGGTTTATCTTATTTATTCTACTACAATAGAACTTATTGTATAATTTAATACAGATTCAATTTTGGCTGAACCAAATCTATAATGGCATTGCTACTAAATGATACTTCCTGTTGCTTGTCTCTTAAAAGGAAAGTATTAGCCAATCTTAAGAATGAGATTCTCCTCAACAATTGTTCCTCTTTTGCGTTGCTATTGTAATTGAGCTTTATCAATTATGACATTTATTTGAAATAATCCTATTGAACAAATTCAGTTCTATTTTCAAAAAAGGAATTCCAGAGCTATACAATTTAATGAATCTTTCTTTCATTCATCACTTTATTTTGATTTTCTTCATGATAAAAAGATTAAACAAATACATGTTGAATGGATTTTAAGATGTAATTCAGTTTCTGTTCAATTAGAAATAGTTCTTAGAGTAATTAATGATCAATTATCTATTACAATTACTGTTTTTAAATGAGTACTTTAGACAAGAAACTACCAAAGTTGTAATGTAATTCATGCATTATAAAATAGAAATTAATTGAATACAAGACATCAAAGCCCAAGTATTTAAAGTATTTTAATCCTTAGCAGAATTCATAGATTTAGGGAATACTGGCTTTATGTAGATTGTTGGCCACCACTTCAAACATCTCCTTAATAAAAGATTGAACCTTGTTTTTTTGGATGAGATCCAATTGCCATCCTCCAAATTCATCTCTTTGTTGTTTGAGTAGTTTAATGATGAATTGCAAAAAGATGGGAGAGGTGCTAATCTTCGAAATACTTCAATGATTTCTGGAAGTACAGAAAAGCATACTAATGTAGTTATTCCAATTTGATTTAGTTATTGATTGTAATTGAATTGATGATCATTATCAAACTATAAGTAGACTTAATCTGGGTGTAAATTTATTCTAAATTTGAGGAATTATTAAAAGTTTCTTCATCCTTCTCTTTGATATTCTCAATATTATCCATGAATGTTTAACATATTGCAGGATCCAATAATTTATAATGGACTGATTTAGCCACATTTTCAATGATGATGCTGTTATTATTCTGTATATTTTCATTGGTACCTTAGACTCTTAGATGGATGAATTTGGCGACGTATTTGTTACATAATTCAATTAGTGATTAAGATGCTATTTATTACCCATTGATTTCAGAAATGTTCAATATCTGATTGATCGAACCATAACTATCAACATTGGATTACATTTGCATAGCAATAGAATGTGTGACAACTTTGACCATAGTGCGAACATTTCTTATGAATGTGTTACCTCTTTAGAAGTGATACATAATAATAATTACCCTAATTAGCATTCTTGCAATTGTTGTAGAGTACTTTAGAACTACTCCAATACATCCTTGCGAACGATGTCCTCACTTTGTAACAATAATTCAAGTAATTTCTAAAATCATTTTTGTACATACTTAATCAAAGTATTTGTCCTATAATGTTCTAATGCTGAGAATGGTTTCTTTGTTGAGTACAAAATATTGAGATTGCATATATTGATATACATCTCTTAACTCTGTTATAAACATTAATTAAATAATAAATTTAGAGTAATTCATTTATGTAGTGGAAACATTTAAACAATTAAATCATGGAGGTTCTTTGCATCCAATGGTTTTGTGAGAAAGTAATCCATTCCAGAATTGAATGACTATATCTTAGTATCAAGATCAGTGAATCCAGTATTGGCAACACACCACGCTCTCCTGATAGTTTTGTTCTAAATGAGACTCTTGATTTCCTTGACTGTCTGGTATCCATTCAAGACGGGCATATTGATGTCTATGAAGATGAGACTGTAATATTTGTTCTAACAGATGTGACAAGCTAGAGCCAATTTCTGGTAGGTGAATCTTATTGAGTGCCTCTTTTCCATTGTACGCATAATCGCATTTCGCTCTATGCTTCTACATCAACAGCTATAGACTCAAAATGTTAAAGTACTCGTCATCAACAATCAACACTCTTGAACAACAATTACTTTAAATGGAGCATTCGATAATTTCATACTGGAATTTGGGATTCATATTTCTTGGTTCTTGTACAATCACGAATTCATCCTCACTGATGGGTATGGATCCTTGATCCTAGACCAACAACAATTTGGGTTGTTTTAGAACATTATCATCCTCCACAATGGAACTCTTGAAATTTATTTGATCGCTGCTTTTACTAATGGATGGAAGTATAAATTTAACTGAACTACTGAATGGAGACTCGATGTATGAATTACCAGAAATAAGTCTAATGATGGATTTGCTTGATCTGAGTTCTATCGATTTCTTGTTATCGTAATTGCTCATCTCATGCAGATGGTTCTTGATCAAAAACGTAAAAGTGGTTCCTTTTCCCTTCTGATCGCAAAGTATTGGGATGTTTTGACCATTCAATCTCTTCACTATACTATTTGAAATGCCAATTCCCAAGCCACTTCCAACTGAATGAGGTGAAATCTATACGAATTGATTCTTGCCTATGAGAATATTCTACATTCTGGCCATCTCCTCTTCAGACTATATTGAATAATTAACATTAAAATACTAATCCAGGTCCAGAATCTTATATGGCTATTTAACATTATGATCTGCTGCTTTCAATTTTAATACGTATAGTACCATTTCTGGTTGTGAATTTAACAGCATTATGCAAAAATTGAAAATACACTTATCGAAATCTTTGTCTATCATTGATAATATTAGAGTTGCTCAATTAGTAATCATGTACTACATTGATCTGTTTATTTTTAATGGTATCAATCAAAAGATTCTCAATTTACTTGACTTCATCATTGATGTTGAATTCCTCTAGTTTTAGATTGAATTATTACAAACTTATTAAATTGTAATCTCGTATATTACTTACAATTAAGCCGAGTTGCTCACTATTGATTTTTAGTGACTAAATGTACTTCTGCTTGACCAATTCAGGAACCTCATCATCATGCATAGCCAAACTTGAGAATACCATAATACTATTTAGATTGGTGCCTAGTTCATGAGACAGAGATCGACTGATGTCCATCAACACTTGATTGTTGCTGTCATCTTTTAATCTCTTGATCAACGATTGACTTAAATAGGAAAATGTAACTATGAAGTTATAACCTTCATCCCGTTGAAATGGCATCAAATTTAATGTCACATTCTCCAAATCAAAAACTTGACTCTTTGAAATTATGAATGATGCAAATTGTGTCTTTAAATTGTCTTTGAATTTCAAAATGAATTCTTTGATGCTGTATATCTGTTCACTCTCCCCAAAATTTGAAGAAATCACCTACAAGTACAGAAATTATTCTATTAAAATATTGTTGTTGGGAGAAGATTCGTTTATCCAATGAATTTTAAGATCGAAATTACTTTCCACAATCTCCAAATCCTCCTTAAAAATAATGAAATTATTATATTAGAATAATTTCTGAAGGTTTGATCGAGGTGACTGACAAGGAGTCGACTCGTAATCCTATTTCAACTTGTGATTGGCTATCATATCCATTATCACTTGATTCTGGATTAAATTGTGTTTTCTATGACCTGAACACTTCTTAGTCATTATCTTACAAAATTGGATCAAAAATAACAAGGCGATCCCTGCTTCTATCCCCAATATTGCTCTATTCTCCATGACAATTCTCTCCTAGTTGAAAATATTCAGTATTAATCCGAACATTCCAATCAACTCATATAAAAACATGTGATCAAAAATACTCTTGCATTTCAAGGCTTAACACATTATCCCCTAAACCAAGAAACTCACTCCACCTGAATAGCCCAAAAACCAAATGCCCAAATATTTACAACAAAAACTCATGTAGATCGCAATTACCTTAAGGTTGTTATTCTCCAATCTCGAACTTCCCAATAAATCAAGCAATATTGACAATCCCAACAACACCCCCACAGCCATCAAATTCTAATTCTCTTTTATCATTATAATCAAAATTACAAATATAACAGATGTACACACTCAGTCCGGTTATTAGTACATTAGTCACTAACTGAATGCTCATTGCAAATTCCATTATTTATATTAATATTATGATCAATTTTGAGAGATATTAAATCAAAATTAATACCATTGTACTCAGTCAAATCTCCAGAATAAATGTTATAATTAAACTCATTGCAAAAATATAATTAAATAATAAATCAAATCTTCATTTTTATTAATAAATATAAATTAATGCTTTCTCTCTTTTTTAGAATATATTACCTAAAGAAATTGGCCTAATTTCGAATATTCTAATCTATTAATAATTCTCTATATTAATCATTCATTATGAAAAGATATTAATTTTTTACTTTTATCAACAATCTAAATAATTTTATCTCAACCTATCTATTAGCATAAGTATCAATTTTATACCATCTAATCCTATAGTAATACTCTCTTCAATAAGGCATGCTCTCAACTTTATCTATTACAGTTAAAAGTCAGATTAAATCTTTAATTTAAGTTGTTCTTTCTTTATTAATATTAGTGCATTAAACTACACGAAAATTCATATGTAATTAAATATTGATTGAATAAAATGGGAGATCCTTAAGTTTTCAAATTTCAATAGTTAAGCTTATTTCATTTGATAATTAGAATTCATAAAACTGATTAATATTAATATAAAGTTTAAAGGGATGTTTTAAAATCCCTAAAGTTTTGATTCAAGTTGGTTCCTTACTATAGTTTAAAATTCAAAATATTTAAGGAATGAAAGGTTCTAACTTTTTGTTGTAGAATTTAATAAGAACTTAGCCTAATTGAGTGGGGATAGTGACAGAAATATTAATAATAAAGTAATTTAGTTTTATTAATTCATTCTTTATAAGTTCCTTTGTCTTGCAATTCTTTGATGTAATTGGATATGGTTAGACTGATGGATTGATTGCGCTATCTCAGAACTTTGTATAGAGCAGAATTGGAATTCTTATAGATGCTAGGGAATTGTAATCGTTATGTAGTGGGTTCAGTGTTCTTCTAGACACTTTGATATCTTTAGATGTTTCTATTGCAAGTGGTAGATACGTTATCGACGTTGATTTCGTCATAATTTCTTATATTTTTCTTGATGATTTCACTTTTATCATAATGAGAAATAACATCGTGAAAAGAAAGTCGATCTTTTTTATCAATAATAATTCTAAGATCTTACTTTTTATCAGATTAATGTAAAGAATTGGATTCACTTCGCATAACTCTTTTAATTTTATTCCTTTTAACTGCTCCAAGTTGAATCATTTCAACTCTTTTGCTTAATAAAATGGGAGGCTTTTCAATCTCTTTACCTATACAAAAGAGCTTCATGTCCAAAAAACGTTTGACAGCACACTTCAATGCAATTTTGGTTAGATCTATCAAATGCTGAATGAGACACAGAAATATCTGCTACTTGGAATTGTGAAGTAATTCATTGTACAATGCGTCACTTTTTTGCACGAAACCAAAATGTTAGTACAACTCTATGAACACTTTGCTGGTGGAAGTGAGAGTGATTTCACTAAATCGTGTCTTAACTAATGTTATCGTGTACATCAAATCCTGGCGCAATTATTTTAAATATTTGTTTTGCTCCTTCTTGGAATTGAGCTAAATCCTATTGTGTCAATTTACGAAATTAATAGAGCGAACTCATGATGTCAGCCTCTTAGATTTACCGAAGTTTCTCTCTATACTCTACATTATAATCAAGATTACTAATTTGTTTTATTGCCATACTATTATTGTAGATATTCTAAATGTCTGAAACCCTCTCCTTCATTATATCAATTATTATCATTTATTAATATATATAAATCTAATACACTCATCAATCACTCTCAAACTGAATTCCAATCTAATCTACAAGAATAAATGTGCACTTCAAATCCACTTCATTTTACCTCTCCGGGGGGAAGAATCAAAAATCAGAAAATCCTTTAACAAAGACCTACTAAAACGAAATAAATTCAATAACCAGAAAAATGTGACAAATTTATGATAAACATTCATTTCAAAAGGTAGAAATATTTCTCAAAGCTCCTTAACAATATTTCATATTGGATTACCTACTTATCATCTAAATTCAAAGGTTTTTATTAGGGAGAAAATCTTTTGCTAATTCAGCATACTTTTTTAGATTAAACAATTTGAATCTAAAGATGAATTGTCTAAGAATGAGCTTTTAGATATGAAACAAAAATGATAGGCAACATTCTTTATAATCTAGAAATTCATACTATAGATTTATTAAAACTCATCAAGGTAACAAAAGATTGGTAGAGTTATAAGGAAATCAGCACTTAAACTGTTAAAAGAGAATAGAAAATATTGTATTTAAAAAAAAGCATTTTATAAATTAAATCATATTACATTTATATGCCTTTGATATAATAACTTCTTTAGACCTTGTAATATGATATTACTTGAACATAAGTGAATAAAGCAAGCGTATTTTTTTAGATGATAATTTAGAATATTATTCAAATATAAATATCTAATCAAAGAATTTGATATTAAAATTAAAATAAAATTAGTAAATTCATGTCAAATGAATCTATAAATTGAAAAAAATTTGAGATGAAAATTACAAATTTCATTGATTGTAGTTATAATATTATATCTCCTAAATTAATTCTTCCCAATTCTTTAATAATTTTTATATTATATTCAGAAAAACGAATTTCCTAATCCACTTTTTGTATTCTCCTCATTTCTTCCATTTGAAGTGTAGAATGTTATTTTCTATAATCATAATTTTAGAACCATAAACTCTACTCTCTTCTAATAGTTCTCTACTAATAAATGATCAAATGCGATATTTATTAGATTGTTTTCTTAATATTAAATGCTAGATATTTTTGATTAAATTTATTATGCTCATTAAACTAGATATATGTAAATGACGTTATTAAAATAAATTCAGAGAACAAGTTAATTTGTAGTTAAGATGGTATGGTAATACTAGAATTAGAATATAAATCAGGAGGTAATGAATTATATATATTTTAAATGACAGAATGTAACAGTGTTTATTCATGAATAATGTATTGAACTTAATCTAATACTTTTATCATTTAAGTATTAGTGGAACATAATTTAAATTAATGAAGAATATCTCAAATTTAGTTCAAGATGAATCCAAAATCAATTAACTGAGAGTAAGTGCTCATCGGAAACACCCATCTCCTCAGATTCAGATATATGACAAATTAAAGCATTCAATTCAAGTGGAGTGTTATAATAGTTATACTATTAAATTGAAGTCGCCAACATCTTGTGATAAGAAACTCTTTGAATATAAGAATCAAAGGGATTTGGAATTATTAGTTTCTTTGGTTATTTAACCATGTTTACATTTGGATAATTGTATTCATGAACAATTATATGAAAAGAATTAGCAAGGTAAAACCTTTAGACAGGTATGTGAATTCAGGGTGGATTGGACTAAGAAAATAAAGAAGGCTGAGAGATATTTTGAAAACTCAATTCCGCATAAAAAAGTGTAACAAATACAATGCTAAAATAATGATTAATTTAAAATTATTATTCTTGAGGCTATTAATAATAAATAGGGAGCCTTAAAAATGATGATTGACAAATCTAAGAAAGAATCATAATTCATTGAATATGCCAAGAGATTTGCAATTCAATAGAGACAAAGAATGGATTATAGTGAATCGTTGTTGACTTAATTTGAGGATGTCCAAAATAGAAAGAAGTATACCCATCCACCTTCTTTTTGGTCAATACTTGATTGCTCATGCAATGCTACTGTGCTGTGAATAATTTTTTAATTAATTAACCGTTGATTTATTTTAATGTCAAAACACTCTGAAAAGAAAACTAAAGTAGTAGAAAATCGATATGATCATCCTCAATCATACTATTAATCCTATATTCCCACTCCATACATAGCTGCCACATACGAATAACCAACAGTGGTGATACCTCATATCCAAGGAACTTAAATCATAACAGCAGAACCAACAGTGATAAGAGAGAGAAGAGTGGTGCAAGGAGAATCATAATTCATAAAATAAGATCATGTGATCTAGGAATAGAATTGCTGCATGTCTTGTATGCCTTGTGTGCCATGTTGTGACAAGGAGTAAAAGGTTGTTACAAGATAAGTGGTGTTGAAAGGTAAAGTCAATCAATATTCCTAGAGAAGTAACCAATTGTCTAAAATAGAAATGAGGATTACGAGAGGAAACTAGATGAAATAGAGAAATTGCACATACAAGAAGTTAGGGAAATGGAATTAAAAATGTAATAACAATTAGAAATATTGCAGAATCAAAAGATGTAGGATGAATAATAACGACAATTAATAGATTTGAAATAATCACTCTTTGATATTAAACATCAATTAAGTTAAAGAGGTCAATAAACTCAGCCTTAATAATAATAAACTTAAATCATCAACCCATATTAAATAGAGAGATTGGAAAACCAATTGGATAAGAAAAAGAAAAGAATTAAGGACTTGAAACAAATCATAAATAACATGCAAATAGACCTTTAACAAAAGAGTAGTTAGATCTAAGATTTGGATCTACGATTAAGACAACCAATTCCTCAATAAGTAGTTCATGTTCCAGTGCCATAAGAGAATTATGAGTTGATTAATCAGGTAAGATATTTAGAGTAGGAGCGTAATGCATTGCTGAGAGAAATTGATTCCCTCAAATTCTCTAATTCAGAATTATCGTCATTGTCTTTCAGGGAGGATCCTGAGAAGATCAGATTAAAACAAGATTACACTAGAATGATCAACGATTTTAGGTTTCTAGAATAAGAGAATATTAAGATGGCCACTATCATAGGATAAAAGGATGAGTTGATTAAATCTTTAGAGTAACGAATCAGCATAGAATTGTCAAGACAGTCGATATTACTTCAATAACAATCTCCTCAGAGAGTTGTTCTTGAATAAACCACTACTACTCGACCAATTTAAGCACAATATGTCATTGATTCATCTCAATCATTTCCTCCATAGCCAATTCATAAGCAATACATTATTTAAGATTAGCCTATCCAAACTATCCAACCAACACTTTTACAATAGTAATAATAATAATAAACACTGCCTAATGTGAAAATAATATCATGATCATTAAACATAAATATATCATATTATGATTGCTATAATTTATAATCATTTCGATTAATAAGAGAATTTTAATTATTTCTAACACCAAAATTAATTCATTTCTTGAGCAGTATTCTAAAAAGTTTTTACTGTGCTGAACTGAACTACGCCATAGTTTTCTCACCTTCACCTTCCCCACTCATCGGTCTCACTTCAATCCGACATATAGGAGATAATTTTGGAGTCTGTATTCGAAAAAACCTTGCAGAATTTGATGATTTTAATTGTTGACATTATAAAGCCTTTTTGATCATCCTTTGATCATAAATAGGACTTTCTAGCTTTAATCATAAGAGAAACACCAATTACCCCTATGCGTCACAGGACTCTATCTACTTTCTAGTCTCGATCTGATTTTCTAGGCAATTAATTCTCTATTCTTTCCACCCATTTATACAAAAAATGACTCATCATTGTGCATGTACCCTTGTTATAACTTGGAACTTACTTCTATCTTTGAACTATCCATTAGGTAGTTTTGTGATATCGATCATTTTCGTTGGAGGATCATCGTAGTCACTATCAAATTCAACATGTTATTTTAATCCAAATGGTCTCATCCTTTCATATTAACTAAAGGCCAAGCTGATTTTGTTATCTGCAAAATATAAATCTAACTCAATATTATGACATACTCTATCTATCAAGATTGTACTTAGTCTTAATTTAGTTATGCATAAAATATTAATTAATTTACAACCCCATCCAAATAAGATCAATAATAGTGTGTGCCCATAAAGTACTCTTCTTTATAAATGGATATTATTCCACATGGCTCAGTGAAATAGATTTCAGTTAATGCCTAGATTAATTGATTATTCTAGAAATTCCGTTCTTTTTATTTTCATCGGAAATATATACAAAATTAGAATATTTTGGAATTGATTCATGGAGACAATTCATGTGTTCTTATAGGATAACATGAGCCTCTTGAGTATAATTATAATTAATGCAAATAATATCAATAGGAATATTAAGACTTTGATGCTATTATCATCTAATGACTTGTGCTTAAAATAGGGAAGGTGATTACTATTGGGGTCAAGCCCAATCCGGTTGTCCTCATGAAAAGGAATATATTAGAATCTAAATCATTAAATAAAAAGGAGTCTCATAATATATTACATAAATAATCAAATTTATTATCTTTAATGAGATGATTTATTGGAATGAATGAAAGAGATGCAAATAAATAAGTTAACCAAATCAAAAATTCTATAAGATTATAACCATTCATTTCTTAGATTTGAAATCAATTATACAAATCTTTTAATATCCAAATAACCAATTAAACTCAAATTTATTTTGTTTTATATTCTCCATACATTGATATCATTATCTTTATCATCCTGCATCAGTATATTCTTGATTAAAATAATAAAATAAAAATACAGCCATTATTCTTAATTATTAGGCACATCTGCTATTTGGTATTTTTCATTCACATCCATAATATTATTCAAATAAATGAATATAGGTGTAATTGGGATTGATACTTCTACAAAATATTGGATGAGAGAATTAAGCACTTATATGTGTAATAAAATATTAAATATCATAATTATTTTGAGTCTCTTATTGAATATCTATGAATATTTCTTAAGTCTGTATAATATAATCAAATTCCAATGACTTAGGCAGCAGTTTAACCTTGATATCTATCCATTTTGCAAACATAGATGAAATGATAATTATTAAGATCTGTAGCATCGAATTCCAAACTTTTAGTTCTTACATCAGGTTTATAAACTTTACTGTATGTCACCTTCCAATTATATTCTGATTTGCTTAGATATGGAAGTCTCTATTCAGGGAATCCATGGGAGACAATTATATATACACCTGTGTCTTTTTTTAATGCTCTGTAGATGTGATTGATCACTTTTTTAGAATTCTGGGCTGAGTAGTCTCCACTTAGGACAGCATCCAATAGACCTTTGTCGAAGACACAATCAAATGAATCATTTGCAAATGGCAATTCTCTCGCATCAGCCAAGACAACTATATATGGATCTAAGTGAATACATTAAAAATGAGCAGGATAAGACTTAAACTTCTCTTTCATGAATTCAATAACTGTTTTAGAGAAATCTAGATTAACAATCCATTGATAACCTTCTTTGTACATGTCTTCAGGGATATCTATAATTAATTCAGTGAATAAGGGTACTTGAATTGCCACATCCAATGTTGAGAATACGACTGTTTTGATTGATGTATTGTGTAACAATGTCTTTTAAGTTATCATAATTTTAATACCATTCAAATGGTTTATCATTTCTAGAATAACATTACAAAATACTCTGAATATCTTCTTTCCCAGTATTCTAGTTTGCCATAATGGTTCTTCTGAATAGCTTCTTATTGTGATTTATTCATAATTAATAATTATTGTAAATATTATTAAATTTCAATTTTGAATCCAAATTGGTATTGGATTCATGCACACTAGACCCCTTGACTCTGGATGATTCAGTCGACTAATAATGTTCCTACTAATTCAGACATTCAAATTGATGCAACACCAAATGATTCGATTGGAATTTTATCTTGGGAAATCCGCAAATCAAAAAACTAAAATGAGAGAAGTAACTCAATCTTTGTATCTGTTGCATCAATTATGGCATCGGAAATACAGCAGCATAATTTTTGATGTCATATTCTAACTTATTTGAAGTGAAGCGTTTCAAATTGTTGATGGCTTCTTAATTCTTTTGTTCTCCAAAGATGTTCGGAATCCCTTTCAATTTCTACTTAGTTGAATATTTATATATACTATTCTGTAATCCTATATTGCATAAACCAGATCCTTCTTGATTTTCTTACTGGATTGTTCAAATTTAGATTCAATTGTAAAAAAGTCTTGTCTAAGTATTGGTATTGTGACATTTAATTATTCGACCAATTATTAAATGTGCTTGGTTGGAAACTTATCATTGCTCAAAGACAACAATAGTAACATACTTGTATAAAGCTCTTATTCTAGCGCATATCAAATAAGTACATCGTTTGCTTCAAAAATAATGTTCAAAGCATTTTCATAAAATCTTTCACATTATAAATAGCTGGGATTGAACTGTTTTAATTACACATGGTAGGTTAATGATACCTTTGGTCTAGTAATGAGAACATCATTGGCTTCTCCTTGTTTAATTGATTATTGGGAAACGTTCAAATTTTAAATTTTGTTTGCTTCAGTTGATTCATCATCATCGATGTCTTCAAGATCAATTAGAAATCTCAATATTTATTGATTCTCGTATTTCTTGATCATTTTTAAATTAACTGGAGATTGTAATGCAAATCTCCTTGGCAATACTCCATCTACATTCTCTGTGAATAAAGAAACTTTCTCTTCCTAATGGTTAATTAAATGACTTACAATCAAGATTTCTATGATTTCGTAATTGCTTTTAAGAACAGCCAAATGCATTAATGATAGTCCTTATTATCCTGATAGAACATGAAAATCGAATTATCCAATTTATTAGGCATAAATCACTGCTTTATTTTAATTATATCTCACAGCCAGATGCAACGGAGTCCATTTCTCCTTATCATACTCATTTGGGTTTTCAAATTTCAGTAGCAGATTTGTTAATTTTTTGGCAAGTTCAGAATCCTAATGGAAGTGTTGAAACACTTGATGCATTAGATACTTCTCTTTTGGTCTTCCTCCTTTGTAATTTAAATATACTATTACCTTGCAAGAGATAATTCAAATCACTCAATCGGAATTCGTTATTTACAGGCTTAATATTCTCTATTTATTATAGTTTTTTCATTTGTAAAATATATAATTAATTATCTTTAACAGGTAATTCATTTTATTTATTAAATGCCAATATATTTCCTCTCTTTATTAATTATTGCGAGTGGACAATGCATCGAGAATGTCTATCTCCAAATTCCCAAATCAGTCCAGAAGCAATAATCAGAAACCGATATCGTCATAAGATTGGAAGGAGAATACATAATTGGTTATGGCGAGAATTTTAGTATTAATGATAAATCTAAAATTCAAATATTCCAGTCCTCACTAATTTTCGGATCCCAAAATTTTGAGATTTATTGTCCAGCTATCCATATCATTCCTGACGAAGAAGAAGCAAAATGCGAAATCATAGTAAATATGTATCAAATGAATACAACAGAAATCGATAACTTAGCCTTTGCTTAACTTGTTATTCCTGTTGAAACAAATAATAATATTCGAGAAAACCCTACACTTCAAATCTAAAATAATTTCTAATTAAGATTAGTTGATTTGGCAGAACAATTGAAGGATGTCGATTATTTTGTGCAATATGAGAATTGTGGTAGGAAGATATTCATTCTGTCTGATTCCTTGCCAATAACAGCAGAACAAATAGCAAATTTACAAAATTACTCTAAATCTTTGAACTCCGCGGCTTAAACAGAGTCAATAACCCCATTACTCAAAGGTTTGATTAAGGTTGAAAATTTTACAGTTGATAAAAGATCTACTATACATCTAATTGCACTATTCACAATAATTTGTGGCGTAATTTTGCTAGCATGTATTCGTGCATTCAAGAAGAGAGTAGAAGAAAACACAACTTAGAATGACGAATTAATGAATCAATAAGAAATGAATGTTTTAAAATGATTAATTAAGATATAAAGTAATTTAAGTTCAATTTTATTTTGATGAAGACTTACCTCGATGATTCTGACTTTATTTTTCTTTCAATCCTATTTTATTATTGAATTTTCCTAAGGTGCTGTCAAACTTTTTAGAACACTCTTGTTAATTATTGCTTTTATAAATTGTCATCGTAGTTGGCAGTGCTTAATTAATCACAGAATACTTAGGAGAAGTCTATTTACTGTTTACTGAGTAGTTGTTTTTACGTTAACTACTGCTGTTGGGTTCGCTATCCTAATTTGATTATCTGGTTGAATTGCTCCTCAATTTAATACTCATAACTGGCAATCTATTAATTAGATTCTTTATTTTATTTTCTTGAGAACTTCTAGTTATGTTAACCGTCTTATTCATAGACGAGGATTCAATCTATTATTTGGCTGGTTTAGTCTAAGATAAATAGAGTGGAGGTTTAGAATTGGTAATATTGACTATATTCTTGGGACTTCTTTCTGGTTATGTGTTAATAGTAAGCTTGTTTGTTTCAATATTCTCAAACAAATCGTTATAAAATTTCCCTTTTTTTCTACTACCATTTGCATATATCAACTCCCCTTCTCCATTCTTTTTGTCATTTTAATAATAGCCCTTATAAGTGTAATTGGCACATCGATATTCACCATAGCCGGATTTCAATCCATTCAAAAATTAACCGTGGAAATATGCCCCACTTGAATAGAAATATTCTCCATCTCCATCCGGAGTTCCATTTTAATACATCCCAACATACCTGTCTCCATTTGAAAACATTTCTTCACCAAAACCATGTTTCAAACATTCCTTAAACTCCCCCTGATATTGTTCTCCATTAATCCATTTATGAATGCCTTAACCATGAGGCTTGTCATATGCCCATTACCCACTATAACTATCTCCCTTTAATCCTATCCAGCTTCCATAACCATGTTTAAACCCGTTCAACCATTCCCCATCATAAGATTCTCCATTTCCCCATATAAATTTTCCCAAGCCTTCAGGCCTACCATTTACATAACTTCCACAATATCTAGATTTTGATTAGAATATCTCCAGCCCAAATCCATGTTTTCTATTGTTATTAAATTCCCCCTCATAAATATGTCCTTATTTGGACCATAACACACCTTTCCCGTGCTTCTTTGAATTGAATACTTGCCCAAAATATATCTTATGATTAGAAAACATAGTCTTGAAATTCTTTAACTCACTCAATTCTTCATATGAATATCCTTCTGTTACATTCTAATAATTGAGTATGCTTTACAAAGTTTGATTATCTATCATTTTTAATTAATTTATATGTTACAATAATAGCAAGTGGAGGATCAAAATGAGCCAATCTCTTAATTCAAATAAATTCCTAGATATTAATCTTTCAAAATATTGAATCCATAAGTTTATTATTACCATGTAGCTCCTGGAAACAATAGCAAACTTATTATTTAAACAATGAAAAAAAGAAAGAATTGGTAAGAATCAGAAAATAATTTAATTCATTTTCAATGGAACATGAGCGACAAGAACTTTAAATATCTTACACTCAGCTAATCCAATATTCAAATTGTTAACCATTTACAGAATCACAGAGAACTTACCATGAAATGCAATTTAATAAGAAATCTAAAATAGTTTTGTTAATCCAACAAGCGCTATGTATGGGATGTAACTCCATTATCTTTCATCATTGACCTTTATTCTTAAGAAAGCAATCTAAATAGAGTTCTCTAGGAATTCACATACTTTTATGAATAATTCAAACCTTCAAGCGACAAGAAATCTTAACATAATTGTCCCTCCAAGCGGTATTAATAATATATCCACCCTAAAATGCACTATAGTTTTTACGACGAAGAAGACAATTACATTTGGGTATTCATTTGCACTAACTGTTAAGATTTTAAAGCCAAATGAATTCAATCGAGGAAGAGGTATCCAATTCTTCAGAACCATTGAAGAACTCAAGCAAATATTAAAGGATTTCACTAAAGGCACTTCTGAATATCAATTTAGTCAAGGTTAAATTAAATCCTCCTCTTTTGTGATATAGAAGTACATTTAAAGACCATTGCTATTAGATGGAAGAAAATTCGATATTAGAATATGGGTTTTAGTAACCTATTCTTTTGAGATTTATGTTTTTAATTAGGGTTATGCAAGATTGTCTTCGGAAATGTTTGATCTAAACCAATTGGATGCATTTATTCACTTAACTAATAATGCTGTTTAAAAACACTCCAAAAATTATGGGTTTTTTGAATTGGGAAATTAAATTTCATACTCAGAATTGGATTATTATACAAATGGAGAATTCACCAAAACTGTGTTACCAAAACTTAAGTCAATTATAGTCTTTTCTTGGATGGCAGTACAAAATACTTTTAAAAAATTTAAATATTCTTTTGAGATCTTTGGATATGATTTTATGTTAGATGAATAATTGAAGCCATGGCTTATTGAAATCAACACTAATCCGTGTCTTGAAGAGTCATCGCCATTATTGAAAGAATTGATACCAAAAATGATAGATGATGCATTTAAAATAGTGATTGATCCCTTAATTAGTAAAGTCTCAGAACCAACTGGATGGGATCATCTTCTGCAATTATGATATAATTAAACACTTATTTTTAAATCATTAAAATTAAATTGTATTAAATCTATTACTATATTACATAGTGTTTTGTAATTTCAAATATGAAAATAGAACAGAATAATATAGATTATATATATTTTAGACATATATCATTATTTTTACTTATTCTTTATGTATATAAAATGTGTTATCACAATATATGTGAAAATTATTATTGATAAGAATTTTGGATGACATCATTATATGAATGTGAACATCATATAGATAAGCATGAATATGCATTTTCACAATTGGATTGTGATTGTATTAATTTGCTCTTAAAATTTGTATAATATAAAATAAAAAAAAGTAAAATTAAATTCATTTGAAGTGTTGCAATAAAAGGCTCGAAGATGAATTGGATTAAATGAAGTTCTAAATTCTTAATTTGAGAGAAAAATTAATATCTTTAAATTAATTTAAATAATAATGAGTGAATAATATTCGAAGGGTGAGAGTCAAGAAAACTCAAGTGTATTATCTTCATAGGAAGAATAATAAAAGAAATAGGTAAAACCAGCTGAATTAGTAAATCTACCAAAGGGATCTTCATAATCCTTAATAATTAATGAGTAAACTTCAACTAGAGAAGAAAGAAAAATAAAATAGTATTTACAACGTATACAGGAGAAAGAACGTCAGGAAGAGGTAAGTTTCCTTTAATTTTAGATTTTAAAAAGGCTGCTACACTTAAGCGTAAGCGGTCTAAGGTATAATGTTAATAATATTATAGCCGAACCCGCCATTGAAGTAACAAGACAGTCAAGAATAGCCAACCAGCTCTGAAAATAAGGAAGAAGAGGGGAAGTAAGTTATATTTGAATGAATCAAGTCAACAGCTAGCTTAGTCTCTCTAGTTAAATCCATTGTTGGTCCCATAGTAAAGTGTCCAATAATCAGAAACATCCTCTTCATAGACAAAGTTGAGACTGAACCCAAAATTAAAAATGAAGGTATATCATTATGTATATAAATTAAAAGGAACAACACCACATCTATCTTTACTTGTCAGATTGCTAGGACCGTAGTTTTGAAGGAATGCAAGATTTTTAAGCATCCGCAACTCAATTTTATTCACCCTAAAAATAAAGTAAAGATTAAACAAGTTTAAGTCAAATAAATCAGGAGATATTTTAGGAAACTTAATATTTAATAAAAAATATTAAAAATTAATATTAATAATACATAGAACCCATTCAAAGTGTAAATTCAAACGATTAGAAGGACTTTTACAATAAATATTTTGATAAAAAGTACGTTGAGTCAGTCATAAGAGAGAGTAGATTGTAAATTCATAAGAAATCAGGATTAGAAAAATAAACATCGATTGGAAAATTAATTCCAAAAAAACATTGATACTTATAGATCATATCAAGAATTATAGAAATCTGGCTTTTCACTTCTATTTGTGTATTTTATTTTCCTTTTTTCTCCTAAAATGCAGCTGATAACCTTAGTCAACTTTTTGTTGGAACTCTAATACTTTTCATCCACCTATTGTATGATGAACAGCAATTCCTTTATTTCACTTATCTAATATATTTTCTTTATCAATTCTATCGACTTTACGGATCTAATCAGTATTTCCTTAAGAATGTAAAGAGTTTCTTCCGTAGACATTAATTCAGGCTAAATCAGATCTAGAATGTTTAATTATTTTCTCTTTAAAGATTCCTCATCTCCTAATTGGATGAATGATTTTATATTTATTGAATCTCCAGTTGCAGCAGAACATCGTACTCCTGTAGTAATTTCTTCAGATGTTCTTTTTGTTAATTTATCATCCTTTTGACTCTAATTTTCCATCATCAACTTTTGATTTTGCTAAGCCAAATAGTTATTGTCTTGTTGAAGTCTTGATATTCTCTAACAATAATAACAATAAATAATACATTTTATAATATTTCATGTTATCTTAGTTTCTCTGTAAAAACCTGTTTCAAGTCTACAAACTCTTATTGATAACTCTTATATTCATCCACCAATTAATTTAATTATTGCTAACTCAAATTTGATGAAATATATTAACTAATCACCCTATCTTGTTCAATGCTTTTATTGTTTGGTGATAATTTAGTATCATTCAATTTCATATCAGATTCCTACTAAATGCATTGTTATTAGAGCAAAATAATCTTTTGATTTAGATTCGTATTTTTGTCTTAAAAGGTTTTATTCTAGTCAATTAATTACTTAACTTCCGTATTTTTTTATTACAATTTCTTTTTCTGTTTTTCCAGTTCATCCTTAAGCTCAAAAATTGTTAATTCATAATCTTTTTAGACTTGCTATAGTTATTTTATTTATGAATAAAGTTCAATGTTCTTTTTATCTTTCTCCTTAAGTTTTTATTCCTGGTGTTTCATCTCATTTTATAAATTTTGACTCTAAAAATTCTTATTCTTTTTAGAAGATGATAAATTCTTAAATGAATCATTCTTTAACTATAATATTTGTTTTTCTTATTCAGATATTTTTCCGAGTAAGTCCTTTATTTAATTTTAGAATTATTGTTTAATTTATGCCATTTCATTATTTAAACCAGATCTATCTGTTTAAATTGATTTAAAATGACCTAAATTCTCTAAATCGATAGATTTCTAATGATCTTAGTTTCTGGGAGATTTTAATTATTATTTAAATTCTGAATTTTCCTAAATTAATTGGTAGTTGATCTTTTTTACTTTTTCAAATTCTTCGTATAATTTCTATTCTTGTTCTCCTCTTTCATTTAAGATTATTGATAATTAGTTATGCAATTTATTGTTGTCATCTATTAAGTTCTTATTTTACTCTTTGAAATACTCAATTTAATCTGATAACTCTTTTAACTATTCTTCATATTATTGAAATGCAATATCTATCTATTCTCTCTGCTTTGTCAGTAGTAATGTAACCACTTCTCTGATTTAAATTGGTACAGACATTTCACTTTCAAAAATATTCTTATCATCTTCAATTGAGCATTCTTATAATATATTTTTCAATTCCTATTTGCTTAATGAACAAGATTGACATTTAGTATTGAGTTCAAATACTGTGGATCTTTTAATCTCTTTTAATTTGATTTCTGACAACATGTTTTCATTCTGCTTTCGATATTCAAACTCTTTTTTCAATCTGTTTGTTAGAATTTGAATTTACTGTTCCTAATTTTCAATTATTCTATCCTTGTCTTATTTATTTTCGAATTCACTTAATATTTAATCCTTTTGCTCAATTTCTTTTAATAGATCCTTAATTTATATATCATAATCCTTTCTTTTTTTGATTTCTAAATTTAATTCATCAATAATCTTGTCTTTGGATCTGATAACCTCTTATTAACTAACAATTTTCTAAGAGGCTATTTGTAGGTTCTTACCCCTTAGAGCTTCGAGAGTTGAAAAGTCTTTATGCTTTGCCTATAACAATTTAAGTCTCTCTTCAATTTCGATGTATTTATTTAAGAGAATATCGCTGTTGATATTAAGTTTTTACGGTTATTTAAAATTTAATGAGTTTTCATTTGAAAATTCGATACTTGGTCCTTGAACTTGGGGGAAGATATTTTTGCCATCCCCAGGTGTTACATTATATTTAGACCAATCAATTAATTTATTCATTCTTTATGGGGTCATAGATTCAAGAATTGAATTTGATACCTATAATTGATTTTATTAGTGGATCTATTCTTCTTGAGTTAGTATTCTATTCTTTTGATGTTAAAAGCAATTTTATTCTGTATAGACTTTTTTGATTGGAAATTTATTTGGAGTTCCATCAGATATTTCACTATAAGATGTAATGGTGATATCTATGTGAGAATAGGGAGGTTTCTCTAAGTCTTATTTTAATTCAGTGTTCTTTTAAAAGAGGAGTGCATCCAAGTCTTTATTTCTATTCATAGTGAGAAAAATTCAAAATTATAAAATTAATTTATTGTTTTTAGTAAATTCATTTTTTTCTCTACTTTAAAGAGGATACCCTTTTATGTAAAATTTATTCTGTTGACACATTTGATAGCAATTGGTGATAGTCTATATTTCCATCCTTCTGTCCTGTGGGCAATGTATTCTATCTGTCAGCAAAAAAATTATTTTGGGAAATAATCCTCTTTAAACCCTACAACTTAGATTACGCAGGACTTGGAATAGTACTGATCTATTATACGTTGCTCATAGATGATTATCTATTTTAGAACTCAATATATACTAAGATTTTATTCTTTTCTAAAGAGATTAGAATTACTCTGGCGTGAATTTCTATTATTTTTGATTCCTAGTTTATGGAGATGCAGGTTTCGATTGATGTTCCTTCGGCTCAGTGCTTTTTCTTTTGGGTTTAAACTTTTGATTTAATGCTAATTATTATTAAGTCACCATCATAAAGTGTTGTTATAGAATTTTAGCCTGTTCTGTTTTCATCTATTTTTATTCATAAGAATCAAAGTAGAATGCCTTAAATATTCTTATTTCTTATTGCAGGCCTGTTTTCCCCAAAAGCTTTTCTCTTGTTTCCAATTCCCCCTTCATTAAATCATTTGAGTCATAATTGAATTTCAATTAATTAGGTTTGAATGGAGGCGGGATCTATTTTTGTAAAATTGCCACCAAATCCACATCTTTAAACCAAGCATGAGTCAGCAATTCAGTTAATCCTTTATTCGCTCCCAATCTCTCTGATGGTTATTTGCATAGTAATCCTTAGAGCAAGTCCTATTGATCAATAATAGTTATACCTTGATTTCTGGTGATAAATTTAACTTCTCAGGGAATGTTAATTCTTCATTGAGGATTGATTCATAAATTTCATCAGTGTCTCTTGAATAATAAGGAGGCAATCCTGTAACTAATTCAAAGAGCAAAGCACCCATACAGTAGTGGTCTACCTGTACATTATGTCCCACTTTCAACAGCATTTCCGGAGCCATGTATTCAGGAGATCCACAAAAACTATAGGCATAGTCTTCTTCTGTCATATTAGGCTTGGATAGACCGAAGTCTGCAATTCTTATGTGACCATCAATGTCAATTAAGATATTTTCTGGTTTGATATCTCTGTATACCACTGACAGTGAATGTAGATAAAACATAGCCAAACAAATTTCTGTAAAATAAAACCGAGCTTGATCTTCTGTCATTCTCTTCACTTATCTTAATTGCCAAAACAATTCCCCTCCGCTGCAAAATTCTAAAACGAAGACAATAAAATTTTTGGATTCAAATGCATATTCCAATTTTATTATAAAAGGGTGATCAAGCACAGTCATTATGTCTCTCTCATTTTATACGATCCCTAATATTTATATTTATTATAATAATACCTTGTTTTTTATGTTGGATTATGAATTCCTTATCAATTAATTTCATTGCATAGAATCTTCCATTTGACTTTTTCTTTACCATATAAACCCTGGAAAATCCTCCCACTCCTATACATTTTACAAATATAAAATCCTTCAAAGTTATTTTACTTTATTGAGGAGTTCCATAAAAGGGCTAGAGATTTAGTGTCTATCCACTAAAAATTTCTAAACTTTTATTTGCTTGTTGCAAATAGTAATCGATTGGTAAGTTCTTATCAACTGTATTAAATGACACTATTTCCAAATCTGATGACTCATTGCCTGTTCCACAAGTTACCTTTCTTTCGTCAGGTTAAGATCCTGTAGATGAATATTGGTGAATAGAATGTTTCTTTACTTCTTATTTCAAGTATTCTTCTAACCATCCCGTTGATTTTTGAGGATCTATGCTAAATTTGATTTGTTGATTTTCATGATTAACAATTATAATAATCTAACTAGCTGGATTAACAAAACTAATTTTATTCGAGTTCTGGGATTTCTGAGGCTGACTATTTCCAGAAGAGATTCTCTTGGAATCCTTTTATTAACTCATCAGATCTGACATATTGGCTTTTTTAGTGCCAGATTATAATTGTTTATGGCTTGTCATCAATTTAAGCAAATCTTATTGATACTATTTTAAATTGTTCCCTTTTTTTAATCCCATACTTTAATTTGTTTTCTGAGTAGGACTCAATGATTAACCTATCAATCCATTAGGATTAAATGACTAACTCAATTTTTATGATGTCTTCGTCGCAGATCTAATTATTATTCAAACATACTTCTTCAATATGCTCTGAGATACTATCTCTTACAATTATTATTGTTATTTTGATAGCATAATCAAAATTTAAAATTTTTATTAATGTTATATAATATGAAAACTTTCTCTTAATTTTCAAAGTAAGAAAAAATTATCCTATCAAGGCGAATCAATTGATTCTCAGCAAAATCTTTATATGAATCCTCAGAAAAATTAAATTAAGAATTTATGCTTCCATAACAGAGCCAAATATTTCTATTTGAAAAATATAATAAGCTAATTAAATATCCAATTTATATATATATTTTATCTTTGGAATATAATGAGACAATTATTAACATTTATTAAATCACATTTGGAAACAACATCAAAGTATAATAAATCATAATATACAAGTAGATGGTGCCTTTTAATTATTACATCGATTAATTTCCATGAGCTCGAAGTTTCCCTTAAAATTTTATTTTTTTTGGATATCTCCTATAAAAAGTTTTAATGATTGCCTCTTAAATGAATACTTTAGACCCTCAAAAAAATTGTTGGACAATCATTTAAGTAATTATCATTGTTAAACGATTGTTAGGATAAACACTTCTTGAATATAATCAAAATGTATAAAATTTTGATATAATCAATAGGGAATTAGCTATTTTTGAGTATTTACTAACATTATTTGAGTTGGAAATTTTTATACCAAAACAATAATTACAATAAAAATTCCTTCTTTGTTATTGAAAGAATTAAGTTATAAGGATAAATTAGACACATGTTCTTTATCCTAGAATATCAAATTGCAATCAAAGTATCTTATTATAGTATTTATTCACAAAACCATTTGTTTTATAATATTAATTGGTTAAAAATGATACACCTTGATAATTCTGAATTTCTTTAGAAAAATCAATGATTATTATATTATTGTGTGAAAAAGTTGATTTTCTAAATATTATCTATAGAAGTAAGTAAGTTATTGGCATGAAGTTGCAACACTTCTTAAACGAATATTCCTTTTGGATACAACAATTAGCTAAAGCAATAAATATTAAATAATACTTAAAATAGCGATGAGACATCAGAAACTAGGAAGTTGAGTTTCATGCCATCATTCGCTTATGATGTTGAATATATTAAATATATTTATTTATCAAACCTCAGAATTCCTCAACAGAACAGGTATCATTGATACTCATAAAACTACAGATTTAGATATCTAGTTATGTAAGTTGGTTCGAAATGAACAATCTTGTGATTATACGCCTTAATGCTCTTCCTCTATTCAACAACTGCTTAATTTGTAATTTAATGAAAAAGAATTAAATTTGAATATATTCCAAGCATTATTAAAGAGTGATAATACTAAAAGTACATTATCTTCATTTATTTATGGGAGATCAATAAAAATGTAATTGTTTGCTCAATAAAAATATTAACTATCTGCGTTTATATTAAAGGCAATCTCTCTATGCTCACTTGGATTTAACGATTTTATAGCAATATATTTTGGATAATTTTTTATTAAGTAGGCAATATGTTATTTAAGCGGATTAAAAAATTAAAATTATTTAATTAAAATTTCTGGATTTTCAATTTGAGTGAGAATATAAATTGTAGCCCTCTTCAAAATCAATTCATTTATAGTTGAGTTTTTCAAGATAAATTTAGATCCTTATTCAAATCTAATTTAATAATCATTAAAATAGTTTTATAAGTAAACTAGTTAGAAGTGGTTTTGGCATCAAAAGACATAGAAAATAGCTATTTTTATCAACAAAAAATCTAAAAATAATGATTGGGCAAATGATTGATAAGTTTGGTGATTTAATAGGTAATTTAAATACTGGGAAAATTTCGTTTATTAAACGCACAAGATGAACAGAATTTTGGATCAAAAACCTAAATCTAATCTGATTGCATGAGATTGTTTTTTCATTTTCGCATCGTTAAACTAAAATTGGGTTAGATTGCTAATATACATAGTTTTGTAGGTCGTTGTTGATATTAAACTTAATTAATATTATTTTAGAAAGTTACCTATTTAAAATATCCTAAATTTACATTTTCACATTAATTATATTAATGATTTAACCTAACTTTGCAATATTTCTTTATCTGAATTGTATAATAAAAGTGTTTGGAGTTATGGAAGTGATATCGTCTTCATTTTAAGGGAATACTTTTTCTGATGCGGATAGTATTATAATATTCGATTAAATTTAGATTGGGTCGTCAGCGGAGCTTCGCCATAATTCACAGACTGCATGGGCACGTTATTATTTGTAGGTTACAATGCTTTTGGATCAAGGACAACTGTTTCTAAGATATTTACACTTCCTCCTCATTTTAAGATAAATTTGTAATTGTAATTTTGGAAGTAAGGACAATAAATAGCATAGAATTGATTCTTGGGATAATGAAATAGCTTAAGTTTACGTTGATTAACAGATTGGGTGGCAGCTAGCATAATTTGGAACTCAGGGAACTGACATATGTGGGACTGTAATGGATGAATATAGAGAAATGAGTTTTAATTTGAACTTAATAGTTTAACATAGTGGTCCTACAGCAATAGTAGTAGTCACAAGTGTTTTGAACGAAGGGCGTGATAATGTATTCAAGTTTGATTATTTTGAAAGGAATCTTGGGGAATGAGAGATTTTATTATTTCGGTTGAGAGATGCCCAGATGGATGTTAAATTTGCAAAGAAACTGATACAGATGTTTAATGTTAGGTTTGGTAGATATTTTTCACTAGTTGGACCTAATTAAGTAATGATGAAATATAATCCGATGGTTGGAATACAATTCCAACAACTCCTGAAGCTACATATTGTGGACGTAACAATCTTTGAATATAAATTAGCTGCTGCTTTATTTGGTGGTTATAACAAAATAGGAGCTGGTACAGTTATAAGTAGGTCTTTTTCTAAATATTCCATAACATGCTAGAATAAAGATATAGTTTTTATGGGTTAAGATTGATTCCTGGGATTCTGAACATGCCTATATGAGACTAGATGGCACTCTTATTTGGCAAAAATAATTTTTCTTTGATTAGGGTTAATTTTGGAAGATTTGCGGAGATTCACACGATGACCATAGAACACTTTTTACAAGAATTGAATTGGATTTAAATCATACTAGCACTCAATTTGAGATCTCTTTTACTACAAATCTAAATGAATCACCAGATGGAGAGTCATTTGGTATCAGAGACTTTGTATTGTTATATTCATAATGCCCTTAAGGAAATTATAATACTGGCGTTGCTGAAACTGGTTGTTAATGTAATATCTTTTATTTGAATTAGTGTGCTATAAATCATGTTATCAGTGCAATGGACCAAATATAGATGACTGTATTGATTGTGGAGACCCGAATATATATTACAAATAATTAGTGTCTAAATAATGTACATGCTTAGATAGGACAATTGAAATAACTCAGAATGATGGAAGTACAATATGCTAACGTATATAATCCTAATTACTTATTTTAGCATGTCATCCAAGATGTGAGAAATGCTCTAAGCCTTTAGATAATACAGCCAATTAATATTGTACAATGTGTATAGCGGGGTAAAATAGAGATGTTAATAACCAATTTATTTGTGCTTGTAGAGCAGGATATGGTGAAGATGGTATTTCTGATGCTTGCTTTAGTAATTATCTTTTTGATTTTAGAATGCCATTATACATGTGAAAATTGCAATGGTCCTTTGGCAACTAATTGCACAGCCTGCTCATCCTCATCCTTTCGTAATCTGAGTTCTGATTATCAATGTTTATGCAATAATTCCTATATTGATACTGGAACTAATGATATGGTCTGTAAATGTAAGTTATTTAATATCACTATTTTATAGACAATTGTCATTATACTTGTTCTAGTTGTATCTTATCTACAGAAGATTAATGCACAAGTTGTCCCATTTCAAGGTAATCAGATAGAGTAGGAACCACATTTAAATGTGGCTGCAAAAATTCAAATTATTATAGTGATGGCAAATCATTAGAATGTTAAGCATGTCATTTCACTTGCAATACTTGTAATGGCAGTTTGGATAGTAACTGTTTAACTTGCAACTTAACTTATCGTCAATATTCAATGTTCAAATGTATTTGTCCTGATGGATATTATGATATTGGTGTATTATAATGTACCGGTAATTATATTATCTATTTAAAGCTTGCCATTTTACATGTCGTACCTGTTATGGTCCTGCTTAGGATTAATGTCTAACATTCTCATCCAGTATAGCAAAAATATTTTGGTAATAAGCATTGTAGCGATAACAATAGAGAATTTAAGACTAACTTGTGTGCATGTCTTGATACTTATATGGGAAAAACAGTTGGCGACCCCATGTGTTACAGTAATTAATTATACTAAATATGCTAGAATGCTCATATCGTTGTGCTAACTGCAGTGGCACAATAGACAATTGTACAGCTTGTCCACTCTACTCTTATAGGGATCTAGGAACCAACAATTCTTGTTCTTGTCCAGACAAAATGTATGACCCACCTAATAATCCAATCTGCATTCGTATAATTTGAAATTCATGTTAGCTTGTTATGTCAATTGCTTAACATGTAATGGATCTTAATAAAATTAATGCACATCCTGTTATACTTAGATTATGAGACAATTGGATCCTTCAGGGAACTGCGTATGTATGAGTACATACTATGATGTTGGAACTCCTGAATGTCAACGTATAAATCAAAATAATGCTTAGCATGCAGTGCTTATTGTTTGGATTGTTCAAATGCTCCTGATCATTGTATATCTTGTAAATCAGATAGATATTTACAAGGGAATGTTTGTATTTGCTAGACCAAGCTAACTGGAGCTTTTATCACTAGTTATGAAGTTGCAGGAAAAGTTGATTGTCAAAGTTTTATCAAATTAATTTAACATAATAGATTGTCATTATTCTTGTTTACAGTGCAGCGGATCTAAATATAATTAATGTACCTCATGCATGGCTAGTGATGGTAGAGTTTTTACTAATTCTACTTGTGTCTGTGGCCCTAATTATTTTGATATTGGCAAACCTAAATGCTTAGGTAATATTTTAGTAATAGGCATTAGGATGCTATTATAGTTGCGAAACTTGTGCAGGGTTAGATACGACATGTTTAACTTGCTTATCAAACTCATTTAGAACTTTAATCAATTCATAATGTATTTGCTAAAAAGGATATTTTGATGATGGATCTAATCCTATATGTTAAAGTACCTTAGATTAATATTATTAATAGAATGCCACTATTCTTGTTCAGAATGCAACACCATTTCTACAAAATGTAATGTGTGTCCATCTGCATCCAATAGAGTATTCAATGGAACATTATTTACTTGTAATTGCATTGATTCTTATTTTGACAATGGAACTCAAACTTGTTAAAAATGTTATTATACTTGTCTTACTTGTAATTCTTTTGGAAGTTAATTTTGTCAAAGTTGTTTAGACAAGACAACTTCCTTTAGAGTCTATAATCAAGGGGCCTGTTTTTGTTTACCTGGATATTATGATGATGGAATCTCTACTAATTGTAATAAATGTTTAAGCTCATGTTTGACTTGTTTAAACACTGCAGATAATTGTACATCCTGTGAATCTCCAAGATATTTGGATGGAAGTGCTTGTCCATGTAGTGTAGGTTATTTTGTAAATAATCTGAGTAAATGTAGTAAATGTAATCAGAATTGTTTAAATTGCTCACTCACTTCTACTACTTGTATTGAATGTGATTCATCATTAATGAGAGTTCTGGACTCTGCAACTAAAACATGTATTTGCAAACCTGGAGCGACTTAAATCAATAGTTTATGCCAAGAGTGTGATATTACTTGTTAAGCTTGTTTAAATTCAATCACTTCTTGTACTTCTTGCAAAGTTTTAAGATAATTATCTAACAATTAATGCAAATGTGTAGATGGTACATATGAGAGTGGCTCAGATAAATAGTGTTTATTTTGTGATTAAACTTGCTTAACATGTATCAATCAAGCCAATTATTGTACAACATGTGCAGTTGATAAATTTAGAATATTTTCAACAGGAAATATTTGTATATGCAAAGATGGATATTACGAAGAGCCAATATCTTTAGATTGTAGACCATGTGACTCATCTTGTTTAACTTGTAAAGTATTCCCAACAAATTGTCTAACATGTGATCCTTCGTACAACCTTAGTCTGAATACTACAGGTAGATGTCTTTGTTCTTCAGGCTACTTTTTTAACTCTTCCACTTCAACATGCGCAAGTATTCTTATTGTTGTTATTCAGTGTGTACTGTTTTGTGTAGAGAATGTAAGTCATTGTCCCAATGCTTAGAGTGTGAAAGTATTACTAGATATTTTGATCCAGTTAACTTGAAGTGTCCATGCAAAGATGGATATTATGAAGTTAATCAAAAAAAGTGTTCATGTAATAATTTTAGAGTAACCGTAGTATGCAATTTCAGTTGTAAGACATGCTAAAGTTTACCAACTAATTGCTTATCATGTGAGCCAACTAATTATAGACTATTAAACAGCTCTAATCAATGCATTTGTTTAGATGGTTACTATGATATTGGAATTGAGTTGTGTTAACCATGCAATCCAATATGTTAAACATGTGTAATGACTTCAACTAAATGTACTTCATGTAATTAAGCCCAAAACTTTAGATTATTGAATCTAAATTAGTGTGTTTGTTAAAATGGATATTATGATAGTGGTTAATTGGTTTGTCAAAGTAAAATTTTGATTAATTTATAGAGTGCTCTAATTAATGTCTAACATGTAAAGGGAGAAGAGATTTTTGTTTAAGTTGTGATATTAATTAAAATAGACTTGATCAATCTGTTATTAATAGATGTCCTTGTTTAACTGGTTTCTATTAAGACATAAATGAACAATGTTAAAGTATTAAATGTTTATATTATTAGAATGCCATTATAAATGTTCAACATGTAATTCATAGAGAGATAATTGTGTAACTTGTTTTTAATCTAGCACTTCCAATAGATTGACCATTTCATAGAATTGTATTTGCAAAGATGGATACTATGATGATGGCTTTTAAGTGGATTGCTTTAAATGCAGTGCACGCTGTAGAGTTTGTTAGAACTCTTCAAATAATTGTCTATCTTGTTTTGGTAATTTGAGGGAAGCACCTCCTGCTTGTAGTTGTAAACTTGGTTATTTTGAAAATTCTTCTCTCAATTGTGAAAGTAATTAATTATAATTATAGTATAGCTTGTGACAATTAATGCTAGACTTGTGATAAAACTTCTTCTAATTGTTTAACATGTAAGGAAGGAAGATCAACTCAACTTTGTATCTGTGAAGATGGGTATTTTGAAGGTGGATAACCTCTATGTGAGAGTATTTTAATTATTTATACTCTAAGAATGTGCCTTTTAATGTAAAACATGCTAAGAATCCTCAATAAATTGTTTAAGTTGTAAAGGAGATCGTATTAAATTTCCTCTTTGTTAATGTCCAGATGGATTTTATGATGATTTCTCGAATGAATCTTGTTAGACTTGTTTTTGGTTATGCAAAACATGCAACTTAGATGGATGTCTAACTTGTAAAGCCAATAGAGTCTTGTCTCCTGAGATGTCTTGTGATTAACCACCCGATTCTGTGAGTCACCTTGATACTCCATGGTGTTCAAGTATTCAAATTCTAAGAATATTAAAGCTTGTTAAGTTGCTGTCCTCGATGTTAGATTCTCTGATGACTTGTTGTATATATCAGTAAAGTTTGACTTCACCTTGAATTCATAATTTTTCACAACTCAATTTCAAGATAATGTCTGCTTATAAATATTAGATGATAAAACATATAAATTACTTGGTAAGAATCCTATTTGTGAAATTGATCCTATCGATGATACAATATTATAAATAGGTGTTGGATAATAACCAAAAATTCTTCCAGGAGATTAAATCTTTTTTTAAGAAAACTATTTTGGTCATTAAGACTGTGATCAAAGATTAAATATTTTTATCTTCAATGATGTTAAAAGTCCCTTAAACCCTGTATCTCCAATTGCAATATACGATTTACCTACTTATCTTATAAATCCTTGTGATGATAATAATATAGCCTTGAAATCCAAATTGAATGATGGACTCAGAGGGTTTATTGAAATAAAATGGACCTACACTGTAAGTGGAACAAATGGAAAAGGGGACATTGAAAACTTTGTTAATTCATTAACTAAATTCTAGATGTTAGAATTAGTTATCCCAATCCAAACTCTACCTAAACAATCCAATATTACTTTCGAATTGGAATTTCAAAATTTTGTTGCCCAAAAGAGTGTACAGCAAATTAAATTGGAAACCCATTCTGGTCAATTCCCCACTATCCTTTGGGTTTCTAAGCCTACTTATTATACTTTTGAAGCAATTGTTTTGGAATTCAAAATTAAAAAGAAGGCTTGTTCTGATTTGAATAAAACTTAATTTGATAATTCTTCATATACGCTATCGATAGTTGAAGTCCATAGGAACAATTCTAATTCTAGGTCCTCAAGAGTGAACTATTCTGAAATCACAAGTGGAAGTAGTTTTAATGTTACTATTCCAAAATATACTTTGACACCTATGATTGCGTACACTTTTGAATAAACAACTCTTGATGCAGTACTGAACTTTTCATCTAATAGAAACATTACTATCGATATTAGCTCAGGAGGTATCCTTTGTTAATTCAATGGCACAAAAAAGATTCAGAATTATAGAAAAGAAACCTAAATATTCATATCATGTAAAGATTTAGATGCATAATATGACTGGAATGAGGATTCTAATATCGATATTGATGTTCAATGTCTTGACTTAACTATGAATTCTCACTGTACTGATGTAAATAAAAAAGAGATAAAAGTCAACCATACTGATACTTTCCAAACCATTCCCAAATAATTAATAAAGCCATATACTATTTAATGTTGGACAGTAGTGGCTAAAAAAGGATTACGAACATATAAATTTAAATAAAACATCGTCTTTTTAGATAATGATTTTAAAATATTAAATGTTACCTATAGTAAAGGGTATTTAATGAGACCTGTCAATAACTATGAAAATTTGGAGTTCACTATTAACATTCCTTTTCAAGATAGGCAGTATCTTGTGGATTATTCATTGGTTATTATATATAATTTTGAAGTTATAAAGATATTACAATCTGAATACTTTAAATAATCATTTCATATATTTGATTACTATCAAGAATTTACAAAAGGAAACACAATCAATTTGAAATTTTTGGCTTAATTTAGTAATGAGATTATACCTAGTCAAGAAGATTTAGTAATAACTGTTAATTTACCTCCTACTTGCGTAGTGAGCTTAGGTTCAAAAATAATTCAAGCATTGAAACCTTAATAGATTGTTACAATTTGCGAATTTTCTGAAACAGCTCCATTCACATACTAATTGAGATATTTTCTTAAAAAATAAGATTTAACAGATTATTTAAGTAGAACAAATGATTATTCGTTAATCGTGAGTAGTTATTCAAGTGCAAACAATATTGAGGGATATTTTCCGTTTTCTAACGGAATTCTTCTAATTTAAGCAATGGATTCCAAGGGGTCATACTTAAATATTTAAAAATAGTTAAACGTAACAAAAACTGTGATAAATTGTTCCTCTATAAATATAGTTTAATATAATTTAAGATATTAAATTTCATTATTATTGGAAATTGTATTGAATCATTACGATTAATAAAATTGCGTTAACCTTTCCAAATAGTTATATTAAAATATCAAAACTTATTTGAATGCTGAGAATTCTGATGATTAATTACTAGTTTATCAAACCACAAAATTATATAAAAGAGCAATACAAGAGAATAATAGTTCAACCACTTCTATGAGATTATTAACAGATAACTCAGAAAATTGTTTTTAAAATTCTACATAAACATATTATTTCAGAAGTACTCGTCCTAATGCAACATCAAATGTCACTCCATTTATTTTGCAAGCAGAATTACTATAAATTACAACACTTACTCAAAGTTTGATAACAAAGTTAACTGATATTAATGATTAAATTAGTTTTAATGATGTTTTCTTGGATGAAAAACTTTATTAAGGCAAAATAGCAGTTTTAGACTCTTTAATAGTTGTTCAACTTTTAATTGACGACATATTTCTTAAGATTCCACAGGCCACCATTAAATCTAATTAAGATTAAGAATAGATTATTATTATAGCAGAGGGATTAATAAATCTTATTGAAAGGATTTCAATTTATGTTAATGTTTAGGTCTAAGTAAATGGCCTTCAATTAATTAATAATGGTGAAATTCTAAAATGGCAATTATCCAAAATTACTAAAGAAATGTTAAATAAATAATTTAATATTGAAAGAGATCTCTTAGATGGTTTGATTGATTTTGTTCAAAAGGAACAAATAGAATTAAGTTATAACCATTTGAATCTATCTCAAAAATTACGCACATAATTACAAACATTTTATAATTAGACTCTCCTTGAAATAAATGAGAATTCATACAAAAAAACTAACCTCAAGAATCATCTTTATAATAATCGCTATCTGGATTACCAAGATGCAATTAAAAAATACTTAATTGATATGTTTTAAACTCCATACTGCTAAGAACAAGTTCCTGATGAAAAACTCTATTCTTTTGAATGTGTTAATATTAATAAGGAAGGAAATTTAACTAAATGTAATTTGTTAATTGAGGAAATTGATAATAAAACTGTGTAGGTATCTTGCATATCTGAAGAATTAGGGAGCATCTTTTTAGTTTAATATCCAAACAACTCAGCCCTATAATTAAATGCCACTCCTAATATAGATAGGGGGGATGGAATAGACAATAGAAATTTAACGTTGAGTGAATAACCGATTTTGCTATTTTATGGTATCTTCATTGCTTTTACTCTCTTCATTTATTTTGAACTAATCTCAATTGAATCGAAATCTAAATAATTGCCAGTTTAAACCAGAATAGAATCAGATATTAGCATAGATGAAGTTTTGAAATAAACAAAATCTAAGACAATTAATTTCTATCCAGGGAATTTTGCTATTTTCAAATTATCCTTCTAAGTAAATAATATTATTAACATCTAGTTTATTCATGAGGTGTTATCCTGCTTCTATACAGAAAACCATGCCCTTACAAAAAGCTATCGGTTTTTATAGCTATCAATAAAAATAAGTCTTTTCATTCTATTTTCATTTTTTTAAATAAGTTTGTAGGATCATATTCCATTATTTGTTATCTTATTCCTAAATTGCGGAACATTCTTATTAATTAGAATGACTCTTAAGATATTTTAGGCAATTTACAGATTTGGTGGGAAATGGAGTCTTTCTATAATAATCATATATCTAGCGACACATTTCATATGTTATCTAGAGTTTATTCTATTAATGAAGAGATGGTAAATATAGATATATCTTTTTAGTTAAAGAGACATTCAAATAATCAATATTGAAGTTTCCCTTTGTTTTATAGGCTCATTATTGTTATTTTATGTAATTGTGGAGCCAATTATGATCTTCTCAAGAATATATATTTTTAGACGCATTGCCTAATCTATTAGAAATTAAACAATTCAACCTTTAAATTAACTAATCTACTTTTTTATTTAACATTAAAAATTAGATGAACTTTTTCACTATTACGCCTAAATCTGAATTATTATATTCATATGATATAAAATTTATTCTTTCTTAACTATGTTCTTACTGGAATTATCATAAATTATAATTAAATATAAAAGATTATGAATTCATTTAAAATTGCAATAAATATTAAAACATTCTAAAATACATAATAAATTCTTAATTCATCTATAATTAAATCGTAGATAAATCAAAATTACATAAAATTAATAGGGGAAATCTATAATTTAGTTTTCTCAAATCATGAATTATTTATTTTAAAATTTAGAAGATAAAATAATTTCAAATTGAAATATTAAATGATTAATTAGCAATAATCAAATTTATCCAATTTATTAGGATAGCTGATACTGTGGAGTTGAATCCTTTTATTAAAGATTTACTGGGGCTAAACTCTCAAATTTGATTACTTAGTCTAAAAATGGTTTTAAATTCTAAGGGATTATATTTAAATGAGTTTTAATGTTTTCGATTAAAACTTTTAATTCAATTCTACTAGTTTTGGATTATTTAAGAAACTATATAAATTCATTAGGATCTTTTCTCATCTCAAATTATGAAGTGAACTAAATAAATTGATTTTTAAATTTATGATATTCTTATTGAATAAGATCAGCCAGTTTTTTAAATCCTTAAGTATCTTATTGATACAATAAAATTCCCTTTTCTGCTTAACGTAATTTCTCTATGAGCATCAAATTATCATTATATTTTAGAATACTAGGATGCATTTCTAATGGTCTTATATAAATCAGAGCAAGTGCATAAAGTAATTGATGATTGGCTATTAAATAAATGTTCAATTTAACCATTAAATAGTCATCCTCATTACTCAATTATTCTATCAGTTAACAACAGATCTTGAACTTATCAAGAAATAAATCTAACAATAATTATAATCTTTCTAAAATTGTTAAAACTTAATTTTTAGTTTTTTTTAAAAAATTAATTGATCTATCAAATTATTTTGAACTTGTGGCTTCTTTATTATCAAGGGTAATAGAGCCAGTATTCTATTAATATTTATTCTTCACGACAGCATGATTGAAAAGATCTTAATATGAAATTCTTTTATCCTCATCATATACTATCATACTTTATATAAGATTTCGTAATATATCCTCTCTTTTATAGCTAAGAGGTTTAGTTTTCAAATTGTTTTCTTTCAGATTTTATAAGCTTTTATATCTAATTTACATTGAACTGCAGTCGTAAGGCAATTCAGTTTTATAACAAATTTAATAAATTAGTATTCCAAATGAAAATATATCACATTTTTAAGATTATATTGCAGCACTTTCAAAGATTTGAGGTGCTGTATAATTAGGAGAACCTGTTCTAATGACTTCATTTCTTTATGTTAGCTTTTTAATCAAATCACAAATTCCAAAATCACTAATCTAATTAAGCATTTATATAAATTACCTTATAAATCTTTCTTTCACCTGTTTAATATTTTATTAAAATATTTTCTGGTTTTACGTCGTGATGCAAAATATTTTTCGAATGTAGATATTTTAAACCTTCAATAATTTACTATAATATATCAAACACTTCTTCTTCAGTATACCAACTGTTTTCATCCAACTTTTTATCGAACTCAATTGATAAGTCTTCATCGCATTTCTCCATAATAATATATAATGCAAATAAATCAAAGTAGATGTCGAATACTTTAATTGTATTCGCTTACTATTGCTGATTCGATTTTAACTAATCTATCGTACGTTTTATTATTATTTCATTTTCAGCTATCCTTTCTGCATCAATATTAATAGGAATGATCTTTACACACAGTGGAGTGTTGGTATCATCATCTATCCTTTTACAAGAATAAATTTTGCCGAAACAGCCTTCACCATAACTATCATCTGTGTCGTTTACAAGAACATATTTATCTCTAAATTTTATTTTAATGTTATTTTCCAAATCCATTTTATATTTCGAAAAATATTTATCAATTGATAATATTTTTCAGAAAAAATGTCTCCTGTAAAGAAATAATTGTATAAAAAGATTTGATATCAATTTATTGATTCTTAAAGTATAAAATCATTTATAAAGATTTCAAATTTATTTTTTATGCAAGAGCTTATTTGTTTAAATACATAAGATCAATTAAAATTAGAAAAGAATCAAATAATATCTAATTAGATAAATAATTTATAAGTAAATAAAATAATTGAAATTTAGTCAATGCATATTGATAGTATGCTTTCTAAAGAGAGACCAATATTTAATTTAAATTTTCAATTGTTTTTCATGTTTTTGTAATACAATTAAAATTGATCGCTCTGAAAATGACCTAAATACAGGTTCATCTAAATATTAATTCTTTTAAAAAATTCTTTGATAATCCAAAAATTCAATTATAAAATTAATTGAAAGTTATCATTTAAAAACTCCTTTACTTTTAATTGATTTGGTTTCAATATTTCAAACTTCACTTCAGGCTTTGATACAATCTCCTAAGAAACATCTTTATATTTGAAAAATGAAGTTCAAAGATTTTGCCAAGGTGCATCTTTTATTTGAATTTACAACCTTAAGGATTAAATCAATATGGCTTCTTACTCAAAATAGACTTAAGGAAACCTAAGGATGGTTCTTTTTAGATCACCTTAAGTTTGTCTGACTTTGGATAAACAAAATTATATAAATCTTTATCATTTTATTTAAAAATAAGAAATCATAAATTCTTCCTTTATATCTAATTTCTCCAATGGAAAATGAAATTGTATTGTATTAGTCTGAAACAATTTAAGTATTACAGTATTTAGGCTTGATGTGTGGTAATTCAACAAATCTTACCTTAAGAGTTGAAGATGTTCTTATTTGAGTGTCCACCTTATTAATAATTAAAAAATCATCTAACGTCTTATAGCTTCAAAAATTCTGTTAGCAAAGATTTTTATTTGTTATTATTAAGCAAATTTACATATTATCAATTTTATATATTGTTAATAGATTTATATAAATGAATTGAAATTTTACATTTCATCCTATATTTTGCAATTTTATGTCCTTTTAGATGAATAAAAAAATGAAGCAATTTTGATCTAAAGATTTTATGGATTTTTACCAATATATATTTTCCATAGCATAATTTTAAATTAGAAAATGAATGAAGCAGAAAATTTTTATTTAAAATTGTTTGATGTAAGTTTCCAATAAATTCAATTCTTAAGACATCTTCTATTTTATCTCATTTTTTGATGGGATTCTTTATTGAGACTTTGCTGCTTTCAATTTACTCTGTCTTTTTATTGGAAGAAATTTGGTAAGAAAAGTGACTTGCGAGGTTCATAGTCGTTTCTGAGACCAAAAATTCAATTATTTGAAAAATGAATATCTTAGAACAAATTTCTAAAAAGTCTCTCAAAAAGACTCAGGATAATAAAAAATATTGTAAAATGATGGGTGATTTCTAAAAGAAAGATTAATATTATAACAATTACTTAATATTAATTTAAAAATAAGAATTATTTCATCATAATTTGGTCATGTTCAGCAACTGTTAACTATTTATCTAATAATTCCAAATCTATTAAATTCTCCATTTTGCAATAACTCTTGACCATTGTGTTCAACTTAATAATCTCATAAGATAAACAACAATACTTAATTGTTTAAAATCAGCCAATTTTGTTAAATATATTGATTCGCGCTCATTTTTGATAATCTGATATATCTAAATATTTTACAAATATTTCCAACTCTCTCTTCCTCATTGATATTCATTTCGCTATAATTCCTATACTTTTATCATCAGTTATCTTATCTAAATCTATTTTACATATTTTTCACTTTACTCCTTAAACTTAGGCTTGAGAAGTATTTTGCTTGCAATTAATTATATTTAATTTAAATTCTATTTGAATTTAACAACACACTCTACCAACTTTATTAACATCTAATTGTCTATTGTTCTGTTTTAAGTTGGGATAAATATTATCAAATCCATAAAATTGCACTATTAATCAAAACATGTTAGTAGAATAAACCTTCTAGAGAATTTTTTAACTTAAAAAATGATCTTGCATCTCAAATTTGTTCTTATTAAATACTTCCTTCGTATGAAATATTTTTAGTTATGCTTTTGTAATAAAGCATTATTCAGATATAAGCAGAAAAGGGCAAATTTACAACAAGATTATCCTATCTATTTTTGCCAATCAACGATTTAGTTGAAACTAGAAATCTAATTTCTTAAGAATTTTCTCTTCCCTTGCTTTTGAGAAGAAATTTTTCGAAATATGAATGTAAAATGATAACTCAATATTAAGTAGCGTTTTCTTGATTGTCCTTTATGAGAATTTTAATTTTAAGATATTTTGATGAGACATTAGAAAATTAAATTCAGCTTTAAAAATATCGAATATTAGATTTCACTATTAATATATAATAATTTAATATTTTATGGAATATCAATAATATATATATTGATAAAATATGTTATTGTGCGAAGAATCAGAACATGATCAAAGAGAGATAATATTAGTTTGTTTTAATATGAATTGCCATTTGAAAAGGGCTTGTTGTTTAAATTGTGTAGAAAATCACAGCTAACATAAACAAGAACTATAAACTTTCAAAGAAATTTCAAAGTGGAAAAAGGACTTATTCTCATGCTACCAATCACATGAGCAAAAGATGAATCAATTTGTTGATCAAATAACAAAGGAAGAAAAATATTTATCTTTAGATCTTGAAAAATCTAAAGAGGAAATAACTAATGATGAGTTTGAAAAATATATATCTAATTTATTAAGCTTCTCAAAAATGATATCACCTTTGAATTAAATAATGTCAAATCTAACAAAATAAATGGAATCTATGACTCAACTATTTACAAAAGTTGATAATTAAGTTTAAGATAGAGACAATGAAAAATATTCAATTTAGAATTAATAAAATAATTAATTTAAATATAGAGGCTAAAAATAACAAGAGTACTTAGAAAACTAAGGACAGTTTGGAAATTAAGAGGATAACCGAACAAAGTAAAATATGAAAAAGTATAAATATAATGATTTGATTTAAAAAACTTATAAATTAAGGAAGGAGAATGACTTTGATGTTCATCAATACCCAATCTATTATAAATCATCTATTGAGAATTTACAATAATACAAAACCATAATACTAGTTGGAACTTTAACTTCAAAAAAATAAGAATTAATAAACTTATTCTTAAATTATTATTTAGAAGTTGAATTTTCAGACCCTTATAGATTTGAAATATTTGATGATGATATTGACTTAGTTAAAGAGGATTAAAATAATGAATATGAATAAATGAAAGTATATTATATCACTCCTTAATATGGTAAATCAGGACTTAGAATTATAAATACACCAGATTACAGTGATGACCTCACTTTTAATGATCAACAAATATTTAATAGAATTTATAATGTTATTTAAAATTCAGTTTCACTAAACCAAAATATTCTAATTAGTTTTGTAATACCATAATAAGTTTAAATAGGCTAGTTTTTTATGTTAGAATCTATTTTAAGTAACTTTTCGAATTGCTTAATCAATAATATTGTCTTTTTATTTCCAGATTGCTCAGATGCTTGTCCTAAATAGAAAGATATTTTATAATCTAGTACGGAAATAATTAATGGAATGCCTTCTCCTGTTATCAAAATGATACCAACCATGAATAATTCTTGGTATCTAAAATTTAATACAAGTGCTTTATTTATGGAATTTTAAACGTAAGAGAATTAATTCCTCTGGGATATGGGGAAAAATAGTTTTGAGTAGATTCTTGAAAATTATTTACAAAATCAATTAAACATGAATAAATTTAATTTGATGAGGAATTATTATAATTAATTCCTAAATTATCTCAGTACTTCTTTTATTTAGAGCTAATGGGAATTCGCTGATATAAAATAAGAACTGTAGAACTAATTTCTAGAGTTGTACAAAAGAGAAACCTTTGGCATACGCGAATTCAACTTTAATATAGAAAAACGTGAAAACCAAATCTATTAATAGATTGATAAGAATAGCAAACAATGGAACCATTTATGGAATGAATATATTTATAAAATAAAGAATGGCGCAAAGAGTAGTAGTATTATAGAAAAGATTCTTAAGGAACACGAACAAGAATTAAATGAAGTGTAAACTTAAATAAACAGATTTGAAACTCTAGTAGGGGAAATAGATCTAAAGACATATAAAATTGGATTTGAAAAGTTTTATGATCTCTTTTCAAGGTTCATTAATTCAATATAAGAACATTTGTTATAAGTTTATAATGAGAAGCGGTAATATTTGAAATTTAACTCATTGTTAATTTCATTAAATCCTTTTTAATCCAAATATTATGAATAGTTAATTTTTATTGAGACAAATGTAAAATAAGAAGGGTGGGAAGAAAGGGTAAAGGTGTTGACTTAAAAATACAATTTTTATATTTATTCTGATGACTACATTAAGGGTTCAAAGTCACAAAAAATAGAACAAATTCTTTAAGAATGGGCTCAGTATCAATTTCCAAGATTGAAACGATCAAGTTATAGATATCAAAAATCAGATTGGAAAATTTCAATAGATAGTTCTGAATTTCATTGCAAATCAGAACAAATATTTTTTAAGGAGTTTAAAACATATAAGTGTGATTAATTGATAGGACTTCGAATAAGCGATGATGCAGATAGGCATTTTCTGAGTTATATTGAGAATTTCAGAATATTAGGAAGCATAAATTGATTATTTATATTCTAATTTTTAATATATTACATTAGAAAGAAAAATATTTACATCTAAAACACTAATATTAATTTATTTTCATGAAGAATCAGAAGTCTTCTTATACTGATTAAACAATTTATTCAAATTGTTTTCAAGTCATAGTTGTTTACTTCTATAATTATCAATAAACCATTTTAGAAAATTTTCTAAAATAAGTCGTTTATAATCCATTATTTCCTTTAGATTTGTTTATATCAAAATTAAAAAATTACTTATTTTCATTATATAGATTTACTAATTTTTGAGAATCTCAATAGAGCATTCTTTTATTAGTATTTTCTACTTTTGAGTAGCAATTTTTAACAATCAAAATCTGAAAATTATTATCTCTTCAATTTTGATCAAATACACTCATATAAGATTTAATTAAGTATATTATCTGAAGTTCAACAAGATTAACATATTGGAATATATAAGTTTCAACAGAAAATTCGTTAGGAATCATACTGATCTTTGTTGAGTAATAATCTATTTAATTTAGATAGGGCAACTTAAAAGGATTTAATTCTTTGAAGCATAGATTATAAAGAGCACAAGCGCATCTTTCACTACAATGGTATCTACATAATAAACTAAAGAAATTAATTCTATTTATGTCTTTTTAATCAACTACAAAAAATTAGACCCTTCTTTTGTAAATAACCACTACCCTTCTTGTTTAAAATGAGTATTATTTATTGGGTTAAGGGCCAAAGAAAAAAAAATAGGAATTTTGATTGGGATTAATGCTTCTTATTACTATAGATATGGTTGTATATCATTATGAAAAATCATAAATATATATATACTTTTGATAATTTGGTATTCAATGAGGTAAAAATTGAACTTTGAATTTCAAGATAACTGTCGAAAGTAGATACAAATTAAAACGATCTTAGACAATATAAGAAAATTATCTACCTAATCATTCTAGAGTATTGTCTTTAGATATCCTGAAAATTAACCATACTAAAATCTCAATTCTTATCTATAAGAAATAATTTAGAGAACATGATGAAGTTTGAATTGGACCCCCCCCCATATATATTATTAAAATAGTATCTTCTTAAAAGTCTGATTGTAGATCATAAATACCTCAAACTGAAGTTTCGCTCACAGATGAATATGCTTAGCAATTTATTCTCATAAAGGATTTTATAAATTATATCAAAATAGTTGTATAGTGTTAATAATGCAATTAAAATATGAATGACTTTGATTTTAGATTTCATGAACTCATTTTATCATGTAAAAAGCGTTATTAGATTCAAAGATGAAATACATAAAGACTTTTTGTGCTGTAAAATTTTGGTCTTGATAACTTCAAGTAGCAAAGAATAATATCAATCCTCAATTAATACATTTCTCCAATAGGAGAAAATTTTAAATAGAAGTTAGATTTCGATAAACTCTTTTCTAAAAAAAACCAAGCCTTCAAAATATAAATGCAATTTAATAACTAAGAAAAATTTTAAACTTGCAATAATCCTAGATATAAACTAAAAATATCAAACAATTAAGAAAAAACAAAGTAACCACAGATTAAATTTTTTGTATACAAAAGTTTTTGAACCAATTATGTGAATAATTTAATGAAATTTTGGCATTTCGAATTATATTCTATCCACCAATTGTAAATAAAAGTTGCTTAAAAGCAACAATTATGGGGGTAAGAAGAAATAGTATTAGCCAGCAACAAATAAATTGGCTCAAATAATACTCTTAATAAGAAGCAAATTCAAAATTATTTAATTATAAAACTTTTAGAAAACATTACTTAATTAATTTTAAGTATTAACTAATAGTATACATTAGTGAAGATAAATCTTACATTAATACCGAGATAATGAATCCCATCATTAAAACATTTTGTAGTTTTTGAAAAACTAGCAAAAATGAAGAAGTAAGAATGAAAAATAATGTTAGCAAAATTTCCTTGTGTATTCACCCCAGCTTATCGACCAAAATTCAATATTATAGAACATATGATTGGCTGGATAAAAAAGGAGATTACTTATAAATTATCTTGCATATCACTAATTTATCTGTTAAATTCACATAATTATAAATGAAATAGATGATAAAATGATATAGGAATGGCGTTTAAGCATATATAAACGTCTACTTAAGGAGGTTGGATTTTAGAGTGACATAATTGATGAATCAATAATTAAAGAATACCAACAATAATTAAAGTATCATTTGATCTAGCTGAAAAAATTGTAATTAAATTGTATAGTAATAAAGAGTTAATCAATATGAAAACTTAGATAATTGAAAGGATTTTAAATTAAAGTTTACTATCTATATTATTGTTAATGTTATTATTTACGTAAATTTGAATAGCGAAATATCTGATTCTCAAAATGGATTATATTTTGAAAAATCCTATTTTATGAATTAATAATTTTCAAATGAATTCATAGATTTTCACAGTAACAACAATTATGATATATTATAAAACTAGTTATTTAGAATGTTTATAATTTCACTTTATAAAATATGAAAAAGCTATTTCAAACATAAATTTTGAAAATATGTAAGCCTAATCTAGTTCTTATAAACATCAAAATTTCCATTAATTAATCCAACCATTTCAATAATTATTTATAAGTGATTCAATAAATAATAGTAAGTAGGATGATTTTAATTGGTTAGCCATTTAATTGATGCGAAGTCTCCATATGATCAAGATTTTAGTCTAAATAAGACGATTTTAAGAAAGTAGCGAGTGTTTAATTCTTTTTCAGTTCTTTTATATTGAAATGTATATCTTAAGCGCAAATTAAATATCTAAATGAACTATTTGTTATAAATTGAAAGAAAGATATTTTTTATTTCAAATCTTACAAATTTTATTCAATTTTATAAAATAGATATTTGTTTTAAAATTAATAACAATGAAAATAAAAAACATATCAAATGAATATATGGAAGCTTTAAATTTTCCTATCGTGATTTTCGATATTTGGTATTGTAGTTTATTAAAGTTGTATAAAAGTGGAATAGATGAAAAACAATTTAGAATTTTAATAAGCATTAAAATAGCAAAACAACTGTGATTTACATTTAGAAGTAAGAAAACAATGAGTTTATTTAGTTTAGTTTAACAGTTGCACAATTTAATTTACATAATCTATACATTCTTTTTAATTAATATGATTTATTTATTTATTTTTTAAATTTATAATTATTATACCCATCCCC